CTACCGAGTGATCAAAATACACTTAACTACTGGCACCACAAAGTGCACAGACCCAAGACTTAGCTGGGTACGTAGAGCCGAAGCTACAAGGTACATGCATGTACAAAATGTACATGTAAACCAAAAAAAGTAGTTATAGGCCATATCCCTGTACATCATTAAGACGTAAACATTAAAAAGTTGCATGTCCACTGATGTAAAATTCAGTCAGAAACCTAGCCCCATGAGACTTGCGAGCACTATTGCAACTGTACAATATTTAGAACCTCAACAAGAATTATAAGTGAACAAATGTTTCTTAACAATGAGAAAGGGGGAAATGGCTGCCTGAACCCGTCAAAAACTTGCCAATCCTTCGTAATTATTTCAGAAAGTTAAAGAGCAAACAAGACAAGGCGGGGTTAAGGGTATGGTGGAGGGGAAAACTGAATGTGCACAAAATGAAAAGTGCTCCTGCTGTCTCAATGACTGTGACAGAAGTGAGCACAGCCCAACTCAGGCTAGGCCACCACTTCACCAAGCAACATAAGACAAAACAAACTTTTTCATTGGTTCAAAGTTGGCCTCTACATTTGCATATTCAAATCTCTCACTGGCATACCTTATGATTACCAAATATGGTCATGGAGTGCAGCTGTGCAAGGCTGGAGAAATGAGTGAGGTAATCCAGCTAATTAGGTTAAATACTTGGCAGCATGCCAAATTGCTGGCCTGTATTCATGTATATAAAACTAGGGCTAAGTGCAAAATGAATTCATATACATACAAACATGTACTTGCTGAGTTTAAAGCATTTTATCATACACTGTTGATAAAATGAACTAATTTCGGTCTTTAAAGGTAACATTTTCGAAAGCTCTTGTGATTGTTATGCCGTCCCCAAGCCCCAGAAATGCCTGGACACTTTGCACGATAAATTTTACCGAAATTGTGTTTTATTTTTACCTAATCATTTTTGTATAAGTCTTTTTGATAGTGTACGATCAATCTCAACAAAATGGCACCCAAGTTAATCTCATCGTCCCTAATATTATTTACTATTATCATAGACAATGTCATTGTGTTTTGATAAATCACGGTAATGACAATTATCAAGGACGATGTAGAAATGAGCTAAATTGCTGTGTATTGATTGAACAGTCAATTAATACATACGTGTACAATAACAATGTTATTAGATTTTGAATCCAGAAGTAGATCTGGCATGCCTCGCTTCGACAGGTTGCAAAGAAAGGCTACCAGCTTTTCTAAAAACAAATGCCAAACGTTTGATATTCTTGATCCAGGAGAAATTAGACAGTGATTAAACATCGGAAGAATATCTCTTTACTCTTTAAGTCATCAACGAAGGCCGTATGGCAGCTCTCTAAGTGACAGCCAGATATGCAGGTTATTGCCTTTTGCTCACTGATTATTTTCTAATTCAAGCTTTCATCCAATCAAATTCATCTGATTCTGAGTCAAAAGATTCTGACTTCAGTGCAGGATATCACTCTGAGCATCGTTTTCATTCAGTGAGCATGCTACATGATCAGCAGAGCGTTTCCTCCAAGTTCTTTGTTGCTGGATACACGGGGACTGTTTTATAACAGAAAGTGTCGATGCAGGGCCATGTGCATATTTTGGTCCAAAGAATCCTTCAATTGTACTGGCCAGCTTTAATATGTGAATTCTGCATCAACAGTATATAAGGACCAAATATTTACCGGACACAACTTTTTCAGCAGCGTCATTCCTCAAAATGTCAGCCATGAGTTCAACCCAGCAACTCTTTAACAATACGGAGCCAACTACCGGTATAGGCCAGTGGGTTTGCCATTTGTTGATTGTGGAAGGAGTCATTGGTGTCTTGGGAAACCTCTTAGTGTGCTTCGTCATTTTACGTGTCAAATTCCTTCACACTATGACAAACTATCTGCTGGTGAATTTGGCTGTGGCCGATATGCTGATGTGTTTGGATAGTATTTTTAAGGGTCTAATATATTTTGAAGACTGTAACATAATTTACTATGTGCCCAAAACCTTTGGTGGAAAGGTTGTTTATTGCCGATTCCTACAATCCGACTGTTTGGAAATGGTGTTGTCGTATGCATCTGCTTACAATCTCTGCGTGGTAACATTTGAGAGATACATTGCTTTAGTGCAGCCACTACAGTATGCAAGGAAACTCACAGCAACACGGATGAAAACTCTGATTGCTCTAATCTGGGTAATATCATTTCTATTTTCGTTACCATTTTTATTTACATGGAAACCCAGTAATGAATCAGACGGAACTTGCTCAGAAATTGAATACCAAGACGATACATTTCACATTCTGCTTCAAGTACATACATATTTGTTAGTATACTTGCTGCCACTTACATTGATGAGTTGGGCCTACTACAAGATACACGTCACTCTCAAAAGACAAGCAAAAGCCCTGAATCTGCAACATGCAAGGGCGGCAGCATATGATCTTGTGATTGCCAGACATCGTCTTGTCAGCATGCTTTCGATCGTCTTAGGAGCTCTCATCATCCTATGGACACCAACTACCACAGGTTTTCTTCTGTGCGTGCATGCAACAAACAAAGGTCAATTTCCTTTCTGCGATTCAAAAGGCTTCAAGTACTTCAAAGGAATTACACATTGTATGTTATATTTCAATTCAGTCATTAATCCCATCATCTATGAGTTTAAATACAAGAAATTCCGACAAGGACTCAATGTAGCTTTTTGTTGCTGTCGCAAAAGCCGTGGAGTTAACACAGTTGACATTGCGATGGTTCCCCTGTGAATACAGTTATAACTTTGTTATATTCTGCAAGTTCACCATTTTTATACTATATAGGATAGCTAGTGCAGTGTAGCATAGTAACTTACCAATCAGCCAGCACTGATTTATGTTAACTCCGTTTTATTCAAAAGCTTGTAAGAAAGAACATTCACAAGCGCGCTTGATCAGGTGGGACCCACACCCACAACCGCCTGCTACAGTTGTAACTCATGCATACATCATAAGCACTCAACCACTCAGCTTTCTAGGTTTGGCTGGCTGGTTTGTTTATGATATTAAGCAGAAGGTACTGCAATTAATATGTTATTAGATTTTTATATCCCGAAGTAGATCGACAGGTTGCATAAGAGATGCAATGCACTTTTCTTAAAAACAAAGCGCTGATTCTTCTTGATCCAGGAGAAATTAAACAGTGATTAACGATCGGAAGGATATCTCTTTACTCAAGTCATCAAAGAAGGCGGTGTGGCAGCTCTCTAAGTGACAGCCAGACATGAAGATTATTACCTTTTTTTCTCAGTGGTTATTTTCTAATTTAAGCGTTCATCCAATGAAATTCATCCGATTCTGATTCAAAAGACACTGACTTTAGTCGAGGATATCAGTCCGAGCGTCGTTTTCATGCAATGAGCATGCTTCATGATCAGCAGAGCGTTTCCTCAAACAGAAAGGGCTACTTTTATTGACAGTCATTGTGGAAATCTCTTTGATGAGAGACCACGAAAAGCACTGACGAGAGTGTGCTTGGATGTTGCTCTGGAACACAGGTCTTTATGCCACAAAACTCCATGATTATTGTATATTGTGTGTTTATCAAGTGTCGATTAAGGGTCATATGCATATTTTGGTCCAAAGAATCCTTCAATTGTTTTGGCCAGCTTTAATCTATGAACATTGTATCAACAGTATTTAATGAACAAACAAATATTTACCGGACACAACTTTTTCAGCAACATCATTCCCCAATTGTCAGTCATGAATTCATGACTGACAGCAACTCTTTAACAATACGGAGCCAACTACTTATGTATTAATTGTGAGAGGCAATGTCTTGCATTATTGATTTTGTTTGTTTGATTTGGCAGATTTAAAATTATCATTATGATCCCTTCACAGAAATAATTAGTTTACTCTGTTTTGTTCAAAAGCTTGTAAGAAAGAACATTTACAAGCTCGCTTGATCGGATGGGACTCACACCCACAACCACCCAGCTGCTTCACTTGTAATTCATGCAGACATCATAAACTCTCAACCACTCGGCTTTCTATTTTTGCCCAGCAGGTTTGATTCTGATATTAAGCAGAAGGTACTGCAATTAATATGTTATTAGATTTTAAATCCAGAAGTATATCCTGCCTCGATCGATAGGTTGCAAAGAGATGCAATGCACTGTTCTTATACTTCTTGATCCAGGAGAAATTAAACAGTGATTAAAGATCTGAAGAATACAGTCGACTCTCGTTAATACAAACACTTTTAAGACAAATTATGGTTAGAGCAAACAAAAGGCCTTGGTCCCGAGTCCTGACTGTGCTTTATGTGCACAATGAATGGGACCGGCACTCTACTTAATTCGAAATTCTGATATAACAAACATTTTGGCTACAGGTCCGGCTGAGTTTGTATTAACGTAGACGACTGTATCTCTTTACTCAAGTCGTCAAAGAAAGCAGTATGGCAGCTTTCTACGTGACACCCAGATATATATGCAGGTTTTTGCCGTGTTTCTCTCACACATTATTTTCTAATTTAAGCTTTTATTTTAATCAAAATCATGTGGTTCTGAATAAAAGGAGGCTGTCTTCAGTGCAGGATATCACTCTGGGCGTCGTTTTCATACAGTGAGCATGCTGCATGATCAGCAAAGCATTTCCTTCAAGTGAGACTTTATTGCTGGATACACGGACTGTTTTATTACAGACAGGGCTACTTTAATTGGAAGTCACAGCGGAAAACTCCTCAATGAAAAACCACGAAAAGCACTGACGAGAGTGTGCTTGGATGTTGGTCTGGAACACAGCTTTTTTACACCACAAAACTCCTTCATTATTGTACATTGTATGTTAATCAAGTGGCGATTGAGGGCCTTGTGTATATTTTGGTCCAAAGAGTCCTTCAATTGTTTTGACCAGCTTTAATCTATGAACATTGAATCAACAGTTTTTAACAATCAAATAATTACCGGACACGACTTTTTTCGGCAGCATCATTCCCCAAAAAATGTCAGCCACGAATTCAACCCAGCTACTCTTTAACAATACGGAGCCAACTACCGGTATAGGAAAGTGGGTTTGCCATTTTATGATAGCAGAAGGAGTCATTGGTGTCTTGGGAAACCTCTTAGTGTGCTTCGTCATTTTACGTGTCAAATTCCTACACACTATGACAAACTATCTGCTAGTGAATTTGGCTGTGGCCGATATGCTGTCGTGTCTGATCTGTATTTTTAAGGGTCTAATTTATAATGAAGACTGTAAAATAATTGACTATGTGCCAACAACTTTTGGTGGAAAGGTTTTTTCCTGTCGATTCCTGCAATCTCACTTTCTTGAGTGGGCTTTGTCGTATGCATCTGCTTACAATCTCTGCGTGGTAACATTCGAGAGATACGTTGCTTTAGTGCATCCACTACAGTATGCAAGGAAACTCACAGCAACACGGATGAAAACTCTGATTGCTCTGATCTGGGTGATGTCATTTCTATTTCCGTTACCATTTGTATTTGTATTGAAACCCAGCAATGATCCATACCTGGCTTGCTCAAAAATGGAATACCAAGACGACACTTTGCAGATTCTGTTTGGAGTGTACACATTTTTGTCATCATACTTGCTGCCACTTACATTGATGAGTTGGGCCTACTACAAGATACACGTCACTCTCAAAAGACAAGCAAAAGCCCTGAACCTGCAACATGCAAGGGCAGCAGCCTATGATCTTGTGATTGCTAGACAGCGTCTGGTTAGCATGCTTACGATCGTCTTAGGAGCTCTGATCATCTTATGGACGCCGATTAACACAGCCTTTCTTCTCTGCGCGCATGGACCATACAGAGGTCAAATTCCTTTCTGTGGTTCTCAAGGCTTCAAGTACTTCAAAGAAATTGTAAACTTTATGTTTTATTTCAATTCAGTCATTAATCCCATCATCTATGAGTTTAAATACAAGAAATTCCGACAAGGACTCAAGCTAACTTTTTGTTGCTGTCGCAAAAGCCATGGAGCTAACACAGTTGACACTGCAATGGTTCCCCAATGAATGCAGTTAGCATTAGTTATATTCAATTACATTAACATTGTTTTTAATTGTTTTCAAATGATGGTTGCACTCTACATTGCCTGTATGTGTGTTTTTCTAAAGAGCTTGGACATAGGCGTATTAATTTAAAACGTTCGAGGCAGTGTGACCTCTCATGCACTTGTTGTTTTTCCAAGATGTATGGCTGTAGTTTTGTAAGTTTCAGATCTGATGTTGCTTGTCACAGCGGACTGCTACTATTTTCTCAGTGGTAGCATGACTTTTATCAATTACATTAATGTGCTTAGGTAGACGTTAAGTATTCAGGAAACCTCACTGAATATTCATAGGTTTTAGATTCATGCTTGTCAGAGAAAATGATTATTTCATCGTACACCTTTTAGCCTCTGTGTAGTGCGTACATGTCAATGTCGTTGTTTTGTATATCATTCCGGGCAATGGGAATTTTTGTCGACTGGGAATTATTCAATCAGGATTTTGAAAACAACTAAAACAATGTTATTGTAAAGATTATATATATTTATATATTATGAAGGAGCAAGAGTTATTATGATCAGTAACCTTGCACTATACTTTTACAAGGAATCGATATGGTATAATCCGTCCGTGCGCGGGAAGCACAAAGGTCAACTTACAATATTTATAACTTTATAAGAATATGCAAATGTAAAGAAACGACAACACAACAATGAGGGCGCTACTTGCGTTCCCTACACAATTACAAACAATTGAGTTCTGCCACCTGCATCTGATTATCAAACGAGATAATTTAGCTAAGCAGCAGTAACATTGATGAGCTTTTGAGCTTGAGCCCTAACCACCCAAGATTAAGATTCCATTTAAGATGGAAGTTTTTCTCTGTTTTGTCCAGCGTTCCCTTCATGTTATATATCAATTTAAATAAACGTGTTTATTTTTACATATTGATGCAGTCATATACTAAAGTTTAAAGGGAATATACATCATTTGCTTTTGCTGTAATTTTCAGAAATGGATGGAATTGGGGGGTTGGAAATATACAACAAATTTAGTTACACTGACTTTTTTGAGGTATTGGGTTCGAAAATGCTATAAAAAACTAAGAAAAACAATCATTTTCCTGTAGTCTGGTTCCCTGACTCCATATAAGAAGAAACAGAGCAGTTTACATACATTGGGGAATTGTAAGGTCAAGGAACCATGCAGTCTAGCTGGCTCGTACCCGTTCATAGGTTTGTAATCGATTGCAAACAAGTGCGATGGTCAATTGGGGCCAGTATTTGAAAAAAGCCAGTTTTTTCCAACGCTGATCGGCCGATCAGCGTTGGAAATTGATACAAAAATAGCACTTTTCTTTAAAATGACAGTATACCAAGTGCCATGATTTTACAGGATGCTTTACGCTGTCATTCACTAACAGTCCAGCAAGGTATTTCAAAATGATTTGGTAGTTTTATTTTTTATGTTTGCAAATGTTGTATATTCCCTTTAATAGATTGAAGTCAGTAAGCAGCTAGGTTTTTAGATAATGTTCCCTGCGAATTCATTTAATTGCTTGAGTAAGTCTGTGACGATTACTGCTAGAGACATGCATGCAAATGTTATTTCATTGCATCAAGTTATACAGAGTAAAAGGTAACAAAATTTGAAAAAAAATAATAAATAAAAAAATTTAAAAAACGAAAAAAAAATATGGAGAGTAAGAAATTTCACTTCTTCTTAGGTCTGAGAGGCAGTTATCTAGGTGTGGTTTAGATTTTTGTGAATTTTAAAACGAAAATTAAATACGTAGAATTTGTATTGTGAGGAGACACGTTATTCTGAAATAATTGAACTAGTTGAAGGCACTGCATAAAAGAATGACCCAAAACAAGTTACGTTAAAACAATTACTGAGGTTGAGAAGTTAAATTTGTTGGGGTCTCCAACTCTCCATCCACCTATGTCAGTTTGGATTTGGATAAATGTGCATGGAATTTCATTAGCTTTTAAAGTATTGGAAATTCATACTTTGTCATATTTATATGTTTGGTTGTTGAAGTGTGTGTTCCACTGTTCCACAGAAATTGTCTCTCAAACTCTGTATTTTTTTGTTTAGATCTGCATGTAATGCATTTGTTTTTAACATTTTGTTTAAAAAAAATGTGTGATAATTATAACCAAATGTAGGAGGTTTGGAGTTGTGTTAAAAGCAACTAAATATCAGAAAAAAAAAAATTAAAAGCAATCTTGGAAAATACGATCAACCTAGGGATGAGTTACTTGGACAATCAAGTTATGTACATTCCCAAAAATTTGTTTGTGAAACTGTGAATGCTTTTGTGACTATGTTCAGTCATAAGAGACTTTAAAAAGGTCCCGAAGTCGGTAAAACAAAAATGTACATATTAATTAGTTCCTCGGTTTTATCTCTGACCCCTAAATGTTTAACAAAAAATGAAGGAAAAAACTCCGGAAGTTTGTGCCTCCAGACAGTTCATCCTTTGATGGAAATAAAACAATGTGTGTGTTGATGTTTAACTGTTTATTCTACTTTTCTTTTAAAAATGTATATGTGTTAAAATGGGGGTTTCTGAAAGGGGGAACGCTACGTTTTCAGACGATACAAACATATCATTGGTTCAAATTAACTGGAAAAGGCCTTTTAAAATCATTTAATATGCACAAATGCTGCCAAACGACTAATAAATCTGTAAACCCTTGATTAATAAAATTCAGAAAATATTAAAAGCCCAAATCCTGTTTACTAAGTCGGAAACAAGAATGTCTGATGCTGCCTCCCCCTCCATCGCTTCTTGAGACCCCGACCCTAACTTTTCCATACCAATTTCATTCCCTGGCAACGTCCTTTTGTAACATCACTACAGAAATTTCCGATCAATCTCAACAAAGCGGCACCCGTGTAAGTAAACAACTTAATCTCATTGTCCATAATATATTATCATTGACAATGTCACTGTGTTGTGTTAAAATACAATAATGAAAATTATCATCGAGGACGTTGTAGAAATGTATTTATAAGATGACTTTGCGTTGGGGTGCTGTAAATCATTAGGGTTTGCCCTGCACCGACGCATAAACACTGTATACTCAGTGTGTTACCTCCCGAGTGAAAGTTGGAAAAAATCACTCGGGTGGGACTCGAACCCACGACCTCCTGCTTTCAAGTGCAGATGTAGAAATGAGCAAAATTTCTGTACATGTATTATGAATGATTGGTACCTTGAACATTCAAGAATTGTCGCTCGTACCCGGTGCCCACCGCCCTAAACAGGGCACTGGGAAGGGCTAATTTCTTCGGGATGCAGGACATAATTTCTTCGAGCCCCCATTGGATAGAATTTGGTTGAACAATAACACGGGCCAACACTTCCGCCTGCGCATGACACGTGCGCACAGAATGTGCGTGCATTGATAGAGGCAGCGAGCTGCCCACCCACAATGCTTTGCGACGCCTGTGCTTCCTAGCCACACTTGAACTTGATAAAAACATGCTGAATGATATTAGCCCTTCCCAGCGCCCTGTTTACGACAGTAGGTACGAGCGAATCAAGAATTCAGAATAGAAAATATCCAATATATTGGAATTTTTCCAAATAACGAAGGTTTTTGCTTTGCTGGCTCACAGTCACAAATTGTCACCAACATAGTTCAAATATTTTGCTCTTTCTATATCCTTCGTCGGTAAGTGTATTTTCCCCGTCCATTTTCTTTCAGTTATATTTTTAGTTTAATCGTTCTTCTCCTGGTGTTCTTAAAAAAATTCTTGTGTTTTAAAGCGATTCTTTTTGCACTTCACTCTGTTGAACAAGAAAAATCACACGATTTAGGCCCAAGAAAAGTCTCCGGTTTCTGGTCTGGAGCTTGCCCAAAAAGTGGTGCGGCGACGCGGCTTTTTTTTTGCTTTTTTTCTTCAAAAGTCGGCCGATGACTGCAAACGGTGCCAGACTAAATTTAGTGCAAATATATGGGAGTCCAGAGAGGCCACATAAAGCTTATACTCGATCTAAAAACACGTTAAAATTGTGCAGCAGCAGGATTCCAGTCAAACCAGTGAGTTAGGCGGTTTTGAGACATCGTTTTACATAGAAAAAAAATTCATTTTGCCGACGCGCACCAACCTCGTCCCCAGGGTGTCGAGCAGTACGCGCCCACCACTACCGCGCTCTCTCACCCTGGTATTGGGTCATTTGCATGTGCAAGATTTTTGCACACGTATGCAAATGAGGAACAGTCTGGTGCCTGGATCTGCGTTACACATTAGCGTTTGTTTTTGTATGCGGTGTCTGGGGTAAAAACAGAGTCAATTCGTAGCAGCGCGAGCACGGCGTGAGTTACGAAAACACGATTTTTGAAATCAAACTGTTACGATCTTATATCGAGACAACATGCAGTATCATATTTCATATTAATATGAGCAAATTGGAAAGGAAATTAGTATTTTCGAGAAGGCGTGGACGAATGATCGCGAAAACACGTACTGCACGTTGTGAATATATAGCACCAAGTACACGATAAAAATCCATTACTAGCCAATTCCGGTATCCAATCAGGATACAGGAAGAAAGTTTCCTATCCAGGGTTTACTATTGGAAACGCGGTTGGAAATAAAGTAAGCACTGGGGCGAGGTTGGACGCGCGCGGCTACGGCGACGCGCGCGCATACCAGAAACCGGAGACTTTTTTGGGGCCTTAGTTAAAAAAAAAAACCAACACAATCGAAGAATATCCACGAGGGCGCCCCTGCAATCCATCCCATCTTCTCCCCCCCCCCCCAATCTGAACACGAAACAGTGGGGTCAGTTTGCATAACGGTCCCAGCTTTATTCCCCTTATCAGAACGTGTTGGTATAAGGATTAAGCAACATTAGGACAGTTTATGGGTATCCCTATGGAAAAATCAACATGATGACAATGGATGTTATCTGACCACATTGTTGGAAGTTTGAAGATAAGCCAGCCCACCTTGTCTGTTGCATCGATACATTTCTCTCATGTTGCCTGTCAAATCGAATCAACTGTTTGTCTCTTGCGCCACTTTTAGTCGAGGGATCCGGTTTTTAGCTCGATTTTATGGGCTGTTGATGTCCGGGGGAAAAAAACAGAAAGAAATAACGCTTATTAAATGAAAGGCTGCTATATTTTAAATAATATGAGCAAATTTTGTTGGAGCAAAAAAAACAGTCAACTTTACTGGGTTTTTTTGCTAGTAACTAGTTAGTAGGCCTATTAGTAACTAATCCGAACCAAAGACATTTTGGCGGCTGTCACATTTTTGTTGTAAAGGGTGAACAAAATCTTTGGTTAGGTGTTATCATTTTTGCTGAAAGAACATCATCTGAGTTCTTTTGGATTGTTTTTTGGTATCTAGTTGGTTGGTTGTTTGTTTTTTACCAAGAAAAAAAATATATATTAGTTGCTCTAAACGCATGACATTCACGTACCAAGTGAGCATAGGTACGGTACAGAATTTGGCTAATTTATTATAACACGAGATTGCCTAGCTACCGTGTATGTATCGTGCACGTATCTGTCTGACCACTTCAAAGCAATCCCAGCAACGGTCATCGGCTGACTGCAACGTTATGAAACACGTTAGAAAATAAGATATGAATCATCGATGAATATTTTCCATTTTTTAATACACTTGCTGGCACCCATTATATAACAAAAAAAAATTGGGATCTTCCACCGCCCTTGATTGGTTAACCTTAGTGCGTGTAATTTTACTCTTACACCCACTTGTCTTCAGAAGATCTTACAAAATGACTAATCAATCTCTGGACATTCAGTTATTTAAAGAAACAACAGGTTTAAAAGGTCAAGGATTTGGGAATTTTCACCCATTTTTAATTAAAAAACCCACGTGTGCATGTATGTTTTAAACAAGTTATTTTTTACACATGATTTTCACGGTCACATTAAGACGACAATGAATGAACCTATACTCGCGCACTGTGAGTTATTTTTAGTTAATAATCATCAATGCATTCTTTTGCAAACTAACTGATAAAAATGACCAAAAGTTAAAAATGGGCGCAGAGTCCATGGAGCAAAGGATCACGAAGGCCTTCACAGGACACGCCCACCCAGGGGCGTAAATCCCGGAGGGATGGGGGTATATATTCCCACTCCCCACTTTTTGACCAGGGGGATGGGCCAATGAATCATCCCCCCCCCCCCACACTTTTTTCGTGATGAGAAACAAAAAAATGCGGATTCCGAGGTATTTCTTTCGAAATTATCAACAATCAATAGGTATTTAATAGCACTGAAAATTGAGAAAAAAAGTGTCCGCGACTACATAAAGAAGTACATGTGTATCATGAACAGTGCCCCTAGTGTAATGTGGTGTCCAGCCCCCCCCCCCCCCCTCCCCCGCGTTTTTGGAATTTCCACGACCGGGCAACTTTTGGATTAAATCATCCATGGTCATCCCCCATCCCCACCCCCCCCCCCCCCCTCTCCGTCTGCACAGATTTACGCCACTGGCCCCACCCCCATTTCAACAAGACCTATTCGGCAAACACAATCACCGTGAAGCTCGCTATGGTATATCACGTGCCACAAAACCAGGTCGATCATCAAACAATCACCATTGAACGTGACATTACCCGTTGATACTACCAAAGAGGTCCAATTCTAAAACAAACACTCACTATCAAAATTAGCCTCCATATTTATGCTGTCCAAGCTGAAAATAGCTCCAAATTGAACAATCAGTACTCTTTGCGTAGATAAGCAATTTTATTTACTAGAAGTCAAAGATACCAACGAATTGTTCAAAAGTTATTTTCAGAGACACTTGTGGGATAAATTTAACAGAGAGGGATACAAAGATAATCGCAGCGAAGAAATAAAAGATACTGGACAAGGCCAAAAGTTTAATGTTTGGATAGTTGAAATGAACTTTCATTGAAAGTCCTAATTTTATTTTGTGTTCAGAATATCAATATCTCACCGACCTAGCCAAGCAAGCTGTCAAAGTTGTTGGTCCCGACCGTGGGGTTCTGTGATGACTTCAAGGTTCTGCCTTAAAATATGAGGATTGGAGACAATTATGATGTTTGTGGAAAAAACTTGTGACAATGTCATAAAAGGTTTCTACGCAAGTAATACTGAACACCTACTTTTATTTATAACTTGCTTAAAATGAATCGTCATATGCAGCAGAATAACCACCACAACAGAAGTTTTGTAGCATGATTGAGGAGGATGCGGCTAGCTTCTCAAAAACATTTTTGATAAATTTCTCCTCTTTCTCCAAGGTTTCCGAGCAACACTCGAATCCCCACTCCAAGAACTGGAGACAGATATTAAGTGGTTTGGAGCTTGTTTGTTCGTGAGCAACTCATGATTTCATCAACTAGAACAGATACGGAACACGAACCAAGACACGGTCTAACCGCGTCTGAATCCGATATTTTCGTCTATGGCTTCTGGGTAGGGTATTTTATATGGCTATAATATGAGAAGTCGTAGCCAAAAATGAACAATTTATTTAAACACTGTAGTAACTATGCATCAATTTAGTGCAATAGGCCTGGAGGCTGAACGGGGCAACTGTACACACGCAAATCTGATTAGCATTTTTAAAATGCTACCAAAAACAAAAATGGCCAGCAAACGTTTAATGCTTTTGTTTAATTTTCAACAGATATTTCCATGCAATATCTTCAACCATTTTCATACAGATATTGCCGTGCAATATCTTCAATCGTCTTCAAGCATTTTTCTGCTCATATGAAACAGAACTACACAAAATTTCACAGTGTTGTGGCCGAGTCTTTAGTCATATCTTCGACAATAACTTAAAGGGAATATACAACATTTGCAAACATCGAAAAATAAAACTACCAAGTTTTTGCGAAATACCTTAATAGGATGTTGGTAAATGACAGTCTAAAGCATCCTGTAAAATTATGGCACCTGGTATACTGTCATTTTCAAGAAAAGTGGTATTTTTGTATCAATTTCCAACGCTGATCGGCCGATCAGCGTTGGAAACAACTGGCTTTTTTTCAAATACTGGCCCCAATTGACCATTGCACTTGTTTGCAATCGATTACAAACCTATGAACGGGTACGAGCCAGCTAGACTGGTTCCCTGACCTTACAATTCCCCAATGTATGTAAACTGCTCTGTTTCTTCTTATATGGAGTCAGGGAACCAGACTACAGGAAAATGATCGTTTTTCTTGGTTTTTATAGCATTTTCGATCCCAAAACCTCCAAAAAGTCAGTGTAACTATATTTGCTTTATATTTCCAACCCCCCAATTCCATCCATTTCTGAAAATTACAGCAAAAGCAAATGATGTATATTCCCTTTAAGCATATACATTCATTTATTATGCTACCAACATTCTCCATGGGCATTTACCACATCTTATTCCATATTCATGTATCAAATAAATTTGCCAACATTCCCCCCATAGAATAAATTTCACTAAAAAATATTAGCAAATAAATTTTTGTCAATGATTTCAATAAACCCAAAACCATTGACTAATAATATCATACCAAAACATAATATACTGGGGACTTCTATAGCTTAGTGTACGTAGTGGTGAGATCTCCGTTATTCAACATAATAATTAAGCCATTTTTTAAATCCAGTTAATAATTTACATCTGACCCACGTAGCAAACCCAAGCCCATTGGTTTATCAGTGTATCGTACCACGAGGCGCAACGAAACAAAGTTATCGTTAGAGATAATCAACAATTTGTGTTGTTTCACCGCCAAGGAACGGAATCTGAACTTTGGTCGGCACACACACAGCTAGCTACAAGTTATCTTTGCATCACGCGAGTGCCCGTACTTACCACGCCTAGTGAAGTCGAGTTTAGTCATCATCCAGATCACAAGGCAGTAAGACTGATTCTCACTGGTGTCACCATAAGTTGTTGGAAATTTAAATTCTTTTTGGAGGTGTTTTTGGTGGCTGGTGCGGGTTTGATTTGAATGATGGGGAAGCCTGGTGTTCCTGGCCGGCCAAGCGTCGTCTTGGCTTTGGTGGTGCTGGGTCTTCTCACTGTACAGGTAAGTCGGCATTGGAGCCATTTTCCGAAACTAAGTTTGCATTTTGTTTTTATCCAAAAAAAAATTGGTTCGACCAAAAAAGGAGTTGTCTTGTTCTTGAAACATACAAGGAAACACGCAATAGGATATTTTATGACTTGAATATATTTTAAAAAAGCTTTCTTGTCATCTTCCTATGACTTCCCACCTTAATTTGTAGCAGAAAGAGGGTGAAATTTCAACATTTTGGTTTTTATGCTAATGAAAATATCCATATTCATGAACCACAGCATGGTGCCATTCCAGGCAGAACAGTAGTGTCTATATGTGTGCAAATAATATATTAAAAGTTCCACTTTTATTTAAAGTTCCACTTGTTACTTGTTTATCATGTTAAACAGCTTGTTTAAACAATAGTAGTAGCCGATATTTCTTCAAAACTTTTTTGTGAGTAATTTTGAAGGACTAGTTTTTGTACTTCTGACAAGGAGAACCTTGTGTGACAAAAGCAAAATAGCACCCTCCTACATCAAAATAGCACCCTGCTCTTATATGTATTGATGAAAGGATTTGCTGATAATTGAAAACCTACCACTTTCTTGTCACTTCCAATGAAAACAAGTTTGTTGCAACACAAAGTAATGTGCATGAAAAGATGAGCTGAATTTCCACTGCATGTTTCCTTTAAAACATACATTAAAACGACATACCAAAAAATATAAACGCTGCTATATTCAGAGTAGCATTATACAGCAGGCAAAATTAGGGGGCATATTCCCACACAATCTCAGTGCCACTTTTGGCTTGCTGGCATAGACCGACACATTCATTTTTTTTTAACAAAAAGTCTTTTTGATTTATGTAATTTTAAAATAAATGTAAAGATAAGCAAGATCATTTTAATGTCCCGCCAATAAATGTGCAACAACAATATTGTAACAAAAATATATTAAACACTAATGGGTAAATAAATTGTAGAAGATTAAATGTCTGTAGGATCATTTGCATTTGAAACATTGTTTGTTCCTGTCTCCCCCCCCCCAAAAAAAAACACTCAAAGTCAAAAGAAGAATGTTCAAAACCTAACCTGTTGAGTTTCAGATCAGTGGATATTACCGAGAAAACAGTGAGAAACCATTTACAACCTTTGATCTTGAAACACAATTTCATCCACAGCACTCTTTATTTCCGACGATCAGTCAATGATGATCTGTCAATGACTGATTGTTGGAATTCAACTACATTTCTTGTTTTCTTCTAAATGACAGCAAACCAGACGGAAAGATTTCACATGTTTAGCACAAGTACCATCTATAATCTAAAAAATTGTTTTGGATAATAATTCGCTAGTTTTCGTTTTTGAAGAACTGCAAATGATCCTATATACAGATGTTTCATGTTATTTAATTTTGTTTCTTTGGAATCCAGTTTGTGGGGTCTCAGACTGTCATTCACCAAGAAGGCTACTGCGTCATGTACGGGAAATGTACGGCCAAGTTCAACTGCGTGAACAACACCTACGCCCCGGAAGTCACTGGAGAAGAACACGCAACACTTCTTCGTCAAGTCTGTCCTCATCTCGCTGGAAGTCCTCGGGCATGCTGTGACATGGAGCAACTCGATACACTGAATGGTTACCTAGCTAAGAGTTTAGGTGTCTTGAATCGGTGCCCGTCCTGCGAGGCAAATCTACGTCGATATCAGTGCGACTTGGCATGTAGTAGCGATCAGAGCGTGTTCGTTGAGGTGGTACCAGATCCGGAAAAACCAAAAAATTACACCAATGTGGAGAAGGTTCGATTCTACGCCACTCAGACTTGGGGTAATGCTACGCTGCAGTCTTGCCGATACGTCTTCTTCCCTTCGGCTAACCGACCAGTTATCGATATCAACTGTAATGGGTTTTCCGCCGAGCAGTGTGAGCCCGAGGTCTGGATGGATGCTATGGGAAACCCAGCCAATCAGATCGCTGATTTTGAGACCGACGTGGTGCTGTCGAATGATGCTGTTGGTATTCCGGGGATGAGACCTTTGAATCCTCAAGCTATCCCGTGTTCTGAGCCAGCAAGACCGGACGGGTCACCGTGTAGCTGTCAGGATTGCCCGGCAGCTTGCCCGGCCGGTATCAAACCGACCATCCCTCCGAGTCCAAAGCCTAACATTATCGCTAACATCGACGGAAATATGTTCATAGTCATCATGGTATTCTGTGTCTTCACCGTGATCTTTTTAATAGGACTGACCGTGTATCATATCTGCAGATCACCAAGATCACGTCCCGAGTCTGAAGACGGTGAGAAATCGGAGAAGAAATCACCACAAATCACAGAAGATGACGTCAGCTGCTTTGAAAGGATCGGTAAGATCTACGATGACGCCTTAAGGCGCTTCTTTACCCGACTTGGTACCTTCGTTGCTACCTACCCACTCTCCGTCTTACTGTTAACCATAGCCCTAGGCGTTCCTCTAAGCATTGGCTTCGTCTTCTCGGACATCACGACCGACCCAGTAGAGCTCTGGTCCGGGCCTGAAAGCCGTGCGCGCACGGAGAAAGTCTACTTCGAGAACAAATTTGTACCATTCCAGCGAACGGAGCAACTCATCATCACGGCCAACCCGGACAAGTACAGCAAAACACAATACACGCCTTATAACTCCGACGAGGCGCTGACATTCGGTTCTGTCCTGAATCTGACGGTTCTAGAAATGGTAAGATTACAAATCGTTTCATGTATTTCTGACCCAGATACGTTTTGGACTTTGCCGGGTGCCCAATATAAAATTGAAAAAGACTATCATTATTATTTTAAATGTTAAACACTGAAGATTACCTCATTGTAAAATTAGTAATTTTTGCGTTTTGTTTTGCTTCAACCAGTCAACACCAAAGAGACCGTGGCGGCCTTTTGACTGAATCTTTTAATTTTAAAGGTGGGAAGTTATCTTGTCTGGATAAAAACGTCAGACTCTCTGAAATTTTGTGTTTTCTATTTTATGGGACTTGCAACTTGCAAGCAGACACTCACTAAGGTCAGGAACTGCTGGCTTAGCAAAACCCGTCAAATTGTTTTGCAATTGTTCCTGCGTCGAAGCAAAGTTCTTTACAGCTGTCCATCCTCCGTTTGAAAATGACAGATTTTGGACGTTCAGAAGGGCCTGCAACAAATGCAGGTCAATCGAACTGCAGATGACGGCACTATTGAGGAAATATCACTAGCCGATATTTGTTGGGTTCCTGTGACAACGCTCCCCCCTCCTACGACGTGCGCAATCACCAGCCCTCTACAATGGTTCCAAAGTAGTTATGAGACACTGCGCGAGACTGCAGTATCGGATGATGGTAGACCGCAGGACTGGCATGATCATTTCTTGTACTGTACGCGGTAAGGACAATTCTAACAACTCGTCTTTTTCTCATGCCAATTTGGCCATTATGATGCTACAAGCTACTGAATGCTAAAAAGGCCCCCCCCCCAAAAAAAAGGTCTCCGGTTTCTGGTATGCGCGCGCGTCGCCGTAGCCATGCGCGTCGGCAAAATGAACAAGTTTTTTTTCAATGAAAGATGATGTCTCAAAACCGCCAAACTCACTGGTTTGACTGGAATTCTGCTGCTGCACAATTTTAACGTGTTTTTAAATGGGGTTATGATCGAGAATAAGCTTTATGTAGCCTCTCTGGACTCCCATATATTTGCACTAAGTTTAGTCGGGCACCATTTGCAGTCATCAGTCGACATTTGAAGCAAAAAAGTCAGGTAAAAAAAAAAAAAAGCCGCGTCGCCACACCACTTTTTGGACAAGCTCCATACCAGAAACCGGAGACTTTTTTTTGGCCTAAGGGCTAGAAAGGACAGAAGCAAAAGAATTGAACAGCAAATCACAGAGCATATATTATCAAAATTTGGGGAAACTGGGTTTTTAAAATTCTAGAGCGGTAGCTAACATTTAGAGAATAAAACTTTCTGACACCACCCCCCCCCCCACACACACTTTTGGTAATATTTCCCCCAATTTTACGTTCTACAAAGCAAAAATTGAAGAATTAAGTTCGTTTACAGCACATAAATTGTTGAATTTCCCCTATATATAACATTCCTTCCTTGAAAATTCTGTACTTTCAGAGATGAAATTGATTTTTTTTTTCAAACTTTGAATTTTTGAATTGTTATATTTCCTTTTGAACATTCCTTCTTTGTTTATAGGAATCCACTGGCTTTATCAGATGGCACCAACCTTGACATATCTCTAGGATGTATATCTGAGTTCTTAGGTCCTAGTTATCCATTTGTTACGCTAGGAGGATATGAGACGACAGAGGAAGGTGGGTCAATAATAACGATAACTGTTATGAAAATCATTATTCATTTTTGATGATGACACCAAGAATTTCTCAAATTCAAAGGGAAAACAATATGTGACCTGCCATATCATGATGAGGATTATCCCCTACCTTTGACTATTCAAGTTACATATGGTAAAGATATAGTCCATCATTTGTAATTTGTGCATTTTGTTTGTTTGAAGCAACAAAAGTGCTCAAAATCTAAAGAAGGGTACTGAACAACTAACCTGATGAAGTTTCAGCTCAGCTTCAGCTGTATATTCCGAGAAAAACAGCATTCTGGGATCTCAATTTCAAATCAAAAGTTGCTGAATCATGTTTGAATTGGGCCTTAATTATGCGTTCGAGACACATTCTCACTGAGCCGATTGCAGCTACGCGATGTCGCGCACTGATCCGACGAATTACAATGTATAGCAACCACGCGTGCATGTGCGTCGTGCCAACGCTTGCGCCCGCTTCGCCGAATAACAAAACGAACTACTAATTTAAATTACGGTGCGTCTTAAGAAGCGCCGTTGGACAGGCCTTCTTTCGTTGATTACTTCAAAATGACAGCTTGCCAGAAAGAATAAAACGAATTACATAATCTGTAACATATATACTTGCAGTGGCGCTAATGGGCTTTCGTACCTGCCGGTTACTGAAAAAGTCAAAGATTTTAAAGTCTTACTTCTGTGATTCACGCCAAGGTCCAGTGGTTATGGTGTTTGACTCATTTAGGAAGGTGCGTGGGTTCGAACCCTGCCAGGAACATGATGTTTGTGCCCTTGGGCAAGACACTTAACTACAATTGCCTCTCTCCACCCAGGAGTATAAATGGGTACCTGTGAGGGTCAAGGACCGATTGAGCGCTTATATCAGCTGCCGCGTGGTCCCATGGCCTGATGAACAGGGTAATAAATGTAAAGCGCTTTGCGATTGTCGATACGATGGAAAGCGCTATATAAGCACAATTATTACTATTATTTATTATAGGGGAGCCCCTGTATCATACAGCTGAGGCAGTCTTGGTCACGTATGCTGTCAACAATTACCGTGACGACGGAGAAGATTTGCAGTTCAAGAGGTCGATACGATGGGAAGAGGAAGCGATCAAGTACATCGAGAAATACATGGCCGAGAATGATGATCTGATCATCAGATATATGATGGAGGCATGTATAATAGCCAGATATGTCATTTCTAATTATGATAACTGGATTTGTCTCTTAATGGCGAGGATTATTCAGAGCTATTTTCCTTTAAACCCTGCTGGTCAATTTCAGGTGAAGGGATAATAGTCTTACAGTATGTGTCACACCAAAGAGCACTCCACAAAAGAAACTGCACTGTGGAGAGCAGTGGAGCGTGACCGAATCTGCCTGCTTGCCCCGAGCAGTGTGACTGTTTTAGCCGAATTTCGGCTTTTTGACAGAAACAATTTGTTTTTCAAAATAAAAAAGAGTTTGACAGAAAATGTAGCAGACTGATTTTTTTTAGCAGATTTCTAGCAGAATTCGGTAAAATGGTGATCTGACAGGAAAATATGGCAGATTTGAAAATTATATTCGATTAGTTTTTAAAAAGCTTCAATTTGAGGTTCCCTGACGTGTATTAGTACACACTAAAGTACTTCAGACCATTGCAAGCCAGGCTACACTCATGCAATTTTTTTTTTAAATTAATTTAGTTTTTGTTAGGAAATTTTATGATTTAAGGTTTGTTTAAGGACATTTTATAACGTCTGCATGCGAGTACAGATAAGTATTTATAAAATTCCGTGCAGTAATAGGTGATTTAGCAGAATTGTGTTAAATCTAGCAGATTTTTGAAGTGCATCTAGCTGAATTTTGTCATTGGCTTATGATCACCCTAGCCCTGAGCTTAAACACACAGAAAGAATTGTGCAGGAATTTAAAGTGTTATCCACACTCCACAGTACAGAAGATTGGACATGAGAAGGAATTTGAAGTGTGGGTGCTAACTCTATGGGCAAAAGTGGTTTTGCGAAAGTTGAAGGGTCGTGCAGTGCATAAGACTAGGAGGAGGGTCGTGCTAGATGGATTGAGAGTTTTTAAGCTCTGGCATGAACTTTACATGCTGGTCGGTCGGTCTGTCTGTCTGTCCCGAAAATTGACCAAAAGTATGGTGTTCCATATGTGCCATCGGCATTGCATTGTTCACCAGAGGGTATTGTGCACTCGCACTTGTTTTTAACAAATCTTTCCCCATGTCAAGAGGTTCTTAATCAAGTTTGGCCAGTTTGAAATTAGAAAACAAAAATGCTGTGATGATCTCTGAGAGCGTGGGACTAAACTCTAAAAACCTGTTCATCATGAAGTCACAAGAAACCCCACCCAAATGAATAGAGTGATTTTTACAGAGAATCAAATTAAGTTTACATTAAAGTTCTCTTTTGACTATCCTGCCATCCATTCATGAGAACATCTCTCGTAAAATAAATTGTTTTAAGTATAAAGCATTTGGCTAAGCGAGTCTTACTAGTAGCCATATCAGATTGCTTAAAATTTGTTATTAATTACTGCAAATCGGACATTTCTCCACCACGTTCATGATAGTGGGCATTCCGTTGTGCTTAAATTAACGTTTGTTAAGAAAGACTGTTAGTGGTAGTCACACTTGGCTTAGCAATTTAGCTTAGAGAAACCAGATAATTAATGAAAATCTCAAGTAATGTGCATTGCTTATTTAATGACTGAATAAGCTAGGCACTAATTTCTGCCAGCTGGTTCAAGATATCAAATCTGGCTAATATGACTTATAACTTTCATTTATGAATTACAAGTTTGTTTTTCCTGTTTCCAGCGTTCTATTGAGGATGCTTTGATCGAGAGCAGCCAAGCCGACATCGTCACTATCATCATCAGCTACTTAGTCATCTTTGCTTACATCGCTGTGGCTCTGGGTGAATTCAGTACACTCAAGCGCATCTTTGTAAGTCATCTTCGTAACTCAAAACAAATTCGTTTTTGTTCAAGCAAAAGAAACCATATTTTTTTCCCAAGGTCAACAATTCTTTCGAAACTTGAATTGGCAAAGAGAAAACTTGACTGAATAAAGACATGAACCTTAGACTTTTGTATCATTTTCCTGGTTACCAAACAACAAAGAAGATGAAATACGACTACTCCAGGATTAGGACCCCTCACCATTAGATGACAACTCCAGTGTTTTAAATATTAATTGAAAAAAAATATATATCACATTGTCTCAGATCATTAATCACGTAATCTTCACTTGATTCAGCTGCCAAGATAAGAAAAAAAAATAGAGGCAGTGCTTTCAAGAGCTCACAGAAAAACCTTTGGCTACCTGCTTACTAGGAGTAACTAGTGGTTAAAACAACTTAACCAAAGTTTTAACCTTGGTTAAGCGGGTAAAACCAAGGTTAACTGGCCAAGGTCAACTGGCTATATCAAGTACTGAACGGTTAATAGTTTACATCTGTCTAATGCAAACATTCTGACATCCTCTATAACCAGATACATTAATGTTTATTTTCAGATTGATTCCAAGATCTTATTAGGTCTGGGCGGTATCTTTGTGATTCTGCTGTCTGTCATGATGTCACTAGGTATCTATGGTTACCTCGGCATAGCAACCACGCTCATCATCATCGAGGTGGTGCCGTTCTTACTTCTGGCTGTTGGAGCAGACAACGTCTTCATCCTGGTCTTGGAATACCAGGTACGTAAACATCATCTTACTCACATCGTTTCACAGATTGTGCCAAAACTCCAAGTTCGGCTTAATTTTGAAGTAATCAGCGAGGCGACTACATGTTTTAACTTTATATGAGACTTGATGTATAAAGCCTCAACAGTGGACAATCCAATTTTCCCATTGATTTCTGCCAGCAGAAATTCAGATTTGTTTGAAGTCCAGCTAACCTGTATTTTTAAATGTAAATTTTCTGTCAGCAATAATTTGGACTGAGTTGACAACTAAAAAACTCAAATGTTGACAAAATATCCTAGTTTGCGCTGGTGGAAATTTCGGTCGTGGACCGAAAGTGGACAAAGTAACTAAAAAGCCAAATTATCCAACTTTGGTCAAGTACTAAGAATGCGCTCCTGGGTTAACTGCACAGTGTTGGAGTTTAGCAGTCAGAATTACTCCCTTGCAAAAATGCACAGGGGTTAGGAGTTATATCCAAAATCAGATCAAACAACACAACTCACAAAGTTACAAATGACATTTTCAGCAAAATATATTTTGAACTTCATGTTTACTCGCTTTCAATATAAATGTTATATAAAACATGAATAGTTTGTTTCCAAAATGCAATATATCCATTTGAAAAAGGTGATTTTTGTCACTGTTATTGTTGCTAAACTTCACTTTTTTGCTTTATCAGTTTATTAAGTTGTATTTAACTACTTTAAACGTATCGAAACTGCTTTTGGGCAGCCATGGGAGGATGGGATTCTCATGGCGTTGATCACATATTGGAAGTAAACGTTTCACATCTAACAAACGTTTTATGATATATTGTTTTAATCAAAATCATCTATTTTATGAGGGTATCAGTTTTATGAGTTTATTTTGGTATACATTTATTTGATATGAATCTTGCAGCAGTGAGATTGGGGAAAATGAAAAAAAAAAACCCATAAAATAACCACAAGAGGGTTTGGGATCCGCTTAGGACTCAGAGCAAGTACAGCCTGTGAAGCATGCATATGTTTGTATCTGCCTAACGCTTCCCTTAAAACAACCATTTTCTTGGCGCTGATATCAACATTTAGGTAAAGAGACCTTTAGGGTAAAATCGCACAAATTCCAGATTTGAAAGTGATTTTTCAAAAGTCCAGAAATCAGGAAAAATACTGAGAAATCTAATTCCCTGATCTTGTTACAGCGTGACGTCCGGCAGGATAAGGAGACACGAGAGGAGCAGATTGGCCGTGTCTTAGGCAAAGTAGCTCCTGGCATGCTCATGTGTGGACTATCCGAATCCATCTCATTCTTCCTCGGTAAAGTTCCAAATTTTAAACATGTTCATGACCCCCCCCCCCAAAAAAAATAAAATAAAATTGAGTCATAAACTATTTAAAGGGAATATACATCATTTGCTTTTACTGTAATTTACAGAAATGGATGGAATCGGGGAGTTGGAAATATATAGCAAATATAGTTACACTGACTTTTTTGAGGTTTTGGGTTCGAAAATGCTATAAAAACCAAGAAAAACAATCATTTTCCTGTAGTCTGGTTCCCTGACTCCATATAAGAAGAAACAGAGCAGTTTACATACATTGGGGAATTGTAAGGTCAGGGAACCAGTCTAGCTGGCTCGTACCCGTTCATAGGTTTGTAATTGATTGCAAACAAGTGCGATGGTCAATTGGAGCCAGTATTTCAAAAAAAAAGGCCAGTTTTTTTTCCAACGCTGATCGGCCGATCAGCGTTGGAAATTGATACAAAAATACCACTTTTCTTGAAAATGACAGTATACCAGGTGCCATGATTTTACAGGATGCTTTACACTGTCATTCACTAACAGTCCAGCAAGGTATTTCAAAATGATTTGGTAGTTTTACTTTTTGATGTTTGCAAATGTTGTATTTTCCCTTTAAGTGCCAAAAACTTGACCACACGGTTTGGTTATTGATTCAACACACTTGGGTTACATATTAAAATAGCCTAAAACATCTTGATATTATGAGAGTTGCAATTCCAGTCTTAATGACAGCTTTTAAGAGCTCAGTGAATAAACCTAAAAATGTATTTTTCAAATCTTATACATCAATCATCTAGTAATGGTCAACAGAGTTTTGGATCATTTTCTGAATCATTGATTTATCATGGTTAATGGGCTGTGTCATGGATATAACATGTTTCATAACGTTGGAATTGCCTAAATGCACAGTGTGATACTACCAGTACCACACTAAAACTGAAATAATTCAGTGCCATGGAATGGTATGGAAGGACGAGGCACATAACATTGACAGCATATGGAAGCTTTAGGAATCGTGTTTTTGGTTAATTAACTAAACTATGACAAAGTAAACAAATTTTTATCAAGATTGATTCATAATGATCAATCTGTCATAATAATTTCTATTTTTAGAAGTATTATCAATCAACGTGTCAAAAATTCATGTTGCTTTCCTTGGATGTTTATCATTTAACCAGTTCGCGCCGGGATTAGTTTGACACTGACCGGACCCAGGTGCGGGATTGTTTTTCACGAACCTCAATGCCAGACGGGTTCAGGCCGTCATCTGTGGGTAGCACACCCTGATATTTCCGGCCTCGCTCGCTGTGAGCGGGTCGCTGACAGATATTTCCGGTTTCGCTCGTTGCGTGTTTATCCGTCATCCATTCCGAATACCGCAAAATCTTTGCGTGTATACACGTCATCTGATGTGAACTGGTCAATCACAAAATATGTGTTTAAAAAATTACCTCATGCATACATATACTTAAGAATAAAAACCCAATTTCAATATACTGAAGGCCTTTGGATAAATCCAGTTTGTGAGTACCCATGAACACGTATTTGACTACAGCACAAGTAATATGTTACCATGGTTACTTGTCGCTAGGTGCTCTGACCGAAAACCCTGCTGTCCAGACTTTTGCTCTGTATGCTGGCTTGGCCGTTCTGATCGACTTCCTTCTTCAAATCACGGCATTCGTGGCTCTTCTCTCCCTGGATCTGAGAAGACAAGAGGTGAGAGAATTATATAGACTTCGCTGTTGGCTCTGTGCATCACCATTTGAGGGCGCTATTCAATTAACAAGAGACATTAGTGGCATTACCTAAATTCTTTCAGCAACTTCTTATGTCTGGCCGTTGGCATCAAGTGTATCACGTGCTTATTCAGTGCTAGCAATGGGCAGAGGTCTGGGTAGGCACTGTGTAAGCACGACATAGATGTGGGAGACTTGTGAGTGAAAGACAGTCCCAATACAGCCTCGTGCATGCAGTTCTCAATTCAACAATGCTCCTGCCTTCCGTCGGCCCCACGTCCAGGCCATTTGAGTTAAGTCCACGTCCGACCTTGCAGCGTCCTTACCCTGTTGTGAATAGGACGGGAGAGTCTCCCGTTTATTTTGAACATACTCAAGACAGTCGGGCACTTTGCCGTTCTGTCAGGACCTTCTAGTGTCTATCACGACCTATGCAGTCCCCACCAGTCCCCAACACGAGCTCACCGTTCAGAGCAGTTGCCATCAAATCCTCATCCAGTTTTGACCATTTCTATGGTCATGACACCTTAGGGGTGCCAGAACGGCACTGTGTGACAGGGGCTTAAGAAAAGCTGCCATTTTGAATTGCTGCACAGTGTGTTTTGGGAAGATTCAGGGAGGATTTTCATTGCGTTCTCTTTTTTTTTAACTTCCAGAGTGGTCGTATGGATATTCTCTGCTGTTTCCCTCCATGTAGTAAAGGAAAAATTGTGAGACACCCAGGGTTTATCCAGGTGTTCTTCAAGAAGTTCTACTGCCACTTCCTGCTCAATAAGTTCGTCAAGCCAGTTGTGGTAAGTCGGCAACCAAGAAGTCAACCTACGATTTGAGAAATTCATCTCAGGAGTTTATCTCTCAAGAGACAAGGTTCACAGACTAAGCTACAGGTCTTAAGAGTGAATGAATGGAAATAAAACATTCAGAATGCAAAATTTGTAGTCAAAAAAATACAAGTGTCTATAATCTCCAAACGCATTTAAGGAAAACTGGTGTGAAGTAGTTTTTTTTCATCCAAAATATCATTGAAAGAAAATATGAGAACAGAATTTCATGATGACTTTAAATGGCACTTTGAAATTGTCATAGCAACAACAAAGTAAAAAGGGAAAAAAATATAAGTTCAATTAATATTAACTATCATGTACAATTTTTCTCAAATCTTTGCCCTTTTTTATACAGTTTTTAGGATTCATAGCCGCCTTTCTGATATGCACACTACTGACATTGAAACTGCCAGTTGGTCTAGAACAGGAAATCCCAGTCCCAGATGTAAGTAGAATCAATCAAATTTCTCCCCTTTCAAATCTTCCCTAAAATATCTCCACTTCTGCAAACACAGAGTTTACATCAGTGGCACACCCAGGACGGAAAAAAAATTGGGTTTTTTTGAAATTTTGTTTGAGGGGACGGACTATTTTGACATTGGTGCGCTATTTACACCCCTATTGTACTAGGTGAAAATAGGCCACATACATATATCACCACGGTCAAATCATGGGACTAAAAAAGAAATTGACCAAAAAAAATTTAAACATTGACAACCTCTGGGGGGTGGGTGGCTCAAGCCCCCCGAGGCCCCCCCCCCCCCCTTCTTAGGTGCGCCACTGGTTAACATATCTTGTATAATAATGACAACCTACAAATTAAATCTGAGTTTGTGTTTTCAATCTCGGCAGAACCACTACCTTCTAGACTACTTTGACTACGTTGAGAAGTACCTATCCGTCGGACCGCCGATGTATTTTGTTGTTAAACATGACAACCTGGACGTTACAAAGAAAGAAGACCAGGATCTTTTATGTGGAAGCTCGGGATGTGATCCCAAATCGCTGGCACAGCAGGTCTTCTATGCTGCTCAGATTAAAGAATAGTAAGTTCCATATTGACTTGTCTGACAACCGAATTAGGAGCCATTACTGAGGTGCGCAATGCCTGCAGGTTTTGTTACAAGCCACCGTAGGTCTGTTAAGAATTTGGCCTATCATTGGGCTTACATGATGCTGGATCAATGCTGGTTCAGGGGCCATTTATTTGCTTGTTCTTTGATTTATTCGCCGGTCTATATATCACCATTAATACACCCCCATGTGATCAAGTCTCGACCAATCAGAAGCCATCAACTCTCCAAGGTATTTATTAATACAATGTAATACAATGTAATATAAATGCTTATGGGTATAATGAAATCTTTTGCTGATGTGCTTATTTTTCCCACAGCACTCGGGTATCTACTGCCCCGACGTCATGGATCGACGACTATTTTGATTGGTTGAATCCAAGCACAGTGGACACGTCCTGCTGCAGGGTGTTCACGCTCCACCCGCAAGACTTCTGCGACTTCACCATACGTAAGGAATCCGCCAGACAATTTTCTTTACTGGCACATTATACAAATATTGAATGCTTCGAGTGGTGTAGTAAAACTAGCCTCCCGAGGTGATCCATGGACCATTCTATTTTCCCTCGGCTTCGCCTCGGGAAAATAGAATGGTCCATGGTTCACCGAGGGAGGCTAGTTTTACTTCACCACGAGATAAAGCATTCAATATTTGTTTCATAACACTTCACCCACAGATTCTGCTTGATTTTAATATTTTACATTATTTAAATCTGAACACAGTTGAAATAAACTTCAATTTCAATACAAAATTGGTGGAAAATGTATTTCTCTCTTAAAAACTACCCCTTCACGAAATGTTTGAACCCAAGTCTGCGGCGCGCTCTCTTTGGAATAATACGCACTACGCACAACGCGCACACCAGCATGCATTTGCACACAAATACCGCGCCGTGGAAATAGTACTTTGGTTGCTAATGGTATAGTACTTTGGTTGCTATGCGCATAGTACTTTTGGCCGTGCACAGAAAGATAGCAAAAATAGAAAGCAAAATCAAGACACAGAATCTGTGGGTGAGGTGTTATAAAGGCTCATATTTGCTTTTTTAGGCATTCTGTTCCTTTCCAATAATGACACCACTCCGAATCCAAAAGAACATTGTTCTAAACCTATAACCTGTTGAAGTTTTAGCTCAGTGGATTTTACACTGAAAAACCATGCACGACTTTTTGATCACAAAACATGATTTTGCCTCGTTATTTCCCAAAAATCAGTCAAGTGACTGATTGTTGGAAATCACCTACATTTCTTGACTTCTTCTAAATGACAGCAAGCCAGACGGAATAATTTCACAGGGTGTTTAGTACCAGTACGATCTTTAATCCAAGTAAGCTTTTTGATGATTGGGTTGGTACTTTTTGGATAAATGCAAATGAACCTTTATGCCTTTAAATAGGTCAGCTGAATCCGAGAAATATTGACGACCACGTTACATTCTATATATTATACAAACCATAGTTCACAGAAAAGTAATTTAAAATAACTTTGTTTTTAATCATAACTTCTAAACATTACAATATTCACTTCATTGGACAAACTTTGTGGCATGATCAGTAAATTCTTAAATTTGCTGAAATATTTTTTAAAATACTATTAGTGCCAATGATGCAAGTGTGTTGAAACATTGAAGCACATTGGATTAAAAAAGGTTTAAATTTCACATTTTCTATTCACAAAATATGAAAAATGGCCAAATATATACTTTCTCCAAACGGTGATGGTTATAGTGTTAAACCTAACCTCCCCACTCCATCAAAATCCATACCCCCATTTTGGTGGATTTTGGGGGACTTGGTCCTGCAGGCCTGGTGTGACTAAATATTGATGGAGTTGGGCCTGGAGGCCTATTAAGCAAAGCATGCATTGGAAGCAGTGTGATTGATGGATTTTGGCGGACTTGGTCCAGTACTTAGTAAAAGCCAGTAGGGATTAGGGTTAAAGAAAATTTGACCCCTATAATAAATGGCATAAATATTCCACTTCAAATATGGCTTGTTTGAAAAAGACCAATCCCCCCCCAACTTAATTAACATTCCATCAGATTCTTTGCATTGGAGCCATCTTTGAGGTGTTCTCTACACAAAGTCTTAAGATAACAAAAATAAACCTCAAATATGGCTGCTGTATGTAAAGCTCTATTCCGACTCTTACAGTTGATCCGTGTGAAGTGTGTCTCTCGCTGGATCAGAAAGGAGTACGACCGGTCGGCAAGACCTTCGAGACCTATCTACCGTACTTTATTGATCATAATCCTGGATTCACCTGTCCAAAAGGGTAAGTTGGAATTCATAACTGATTTACAACTTAAAGTTGTGTTTCCCTTGCTCTGCAACAAAATCTATTTTTTCTTCTATTAAAACCTAATAGTACAGGTAGTACAGGTAGTAACTGGCAGGGCGGTTTGGGGCAGTACAGGGACTAACTACTTGCTTAACTATGAAACATAGTACATACACTAATGAGCATGTGTTTTAATTCTTCCATAGAGGACGTTCAGCCTACCACGACGCTTTGCACTTCACAGACGAAACCAAAACCAAACTTGATGGTAAGATTTTTGGACAATTGTCTGTTTCCAAAAAGATTCCAAGATGTTGGTTTCGAAAATGATGAAAAAATTGCATCCCTATTGTCTTGTCTCCGTTCTGTCATTCCCAAAATACTTACTGATTAGACGCAAGCTGCACATTCAAAGATGTTCATTTATCATGTATTTCAACTCCTAATATACAAGCAGGATTACCACAGAACGATTTAAAATACTTGCACTTTGACTGAGCCAGATCAACTTGATCTACTTAAATTATATCTGAGAAGGTATGTTAAGGGGAATATACATCATTTGCTTTTGCTGTAATTTTCAGAAATGGATGGAATTGGGGGGTTGGAAATATATAGCAAATATAGTTACACTGACTTTTTTGAGGTTTTGGGTTCGAAAATGCTATAAAACCCAAGAAAAACAATCATTTTCCTGTAGTCTGGTTCCCTGACTCCATATAAGAAGAAACAGAGCAGTTTACATACATTGGGGAATTGTAAGGTCAGGGAACCAGTCTAGCTGGCTCGTACCCGTTCATAGGTTTGTAATCGATTGCAAACAAGTGCGATGGTCAATTGGGGCCAGTATTTGAAAAAAAGCCAGTTTTTTCCAACGCTGATCGGCCGATCAGCCTTGGAAATTGATACAAAAATACCACTTTTCTTGAAAATGACAGTAGACCAGGTGCCATGATTTTACAGGATGCTTTACACTGTCATTCACTAACAGTCCAGTAAGGTATTTCAAAATGATTTGGTAGTTTTATATTTTGATGTTTGCAAATGTTGTATTTTCCCTTTAAACCCAATATTAATAAGTTCACATCCCCGATGCAAAAATTACATCAGTATTAAAGTTTGTGAATGCATCCATTCAGTTTTCTCTTCTGATAAACTTGATTATATTTTAAGGCAAGTAGCAAAGAAAAGAATGGGATATCTAAACAGTGCTTTCGTTGAACATCGCTCTTTGCTTGTGTCTTTTTCAGCAAGTTACTTCTTCTCCTTCCACACGGTGCTGACGAGATCCGAGCAATTCACGGCAGCCGTTAGAGAGTCGCGAGCAGTAGCGGAACAAATCAAGATGGATATGAAGATGAAGAAGCCGGACCTAGGGGATGAGTTTGACGTCTTCTCCTACAGGTCGGTGATGTTGCTAGTTTACACTTTTAATCTTTAGTTTTACTTCCAAATTGCAGACAAATGTGCAATTTTCTTTACGGATTATTTTTTAAATGCAGCACAGTAACTAAATCTCTGGCAAAGGATGAGGAATTGCAAAAATAAGATGATGAAATTGCAAATACCTTATCCAGGCATGCAACTGGGAAGTCAAAAAAAAAAGAGGAAATTCAAATTTTGCCCAGATTTTGTACAGTTTTTTTTCTATTTTTAATGGCACACATGGGAAGTAAAAAAAGAGGAAATCAGCTGATCCGAGGAAAAGTTGCATGCCTGCTTATCTATTAAGGGCCAGCCTAAAGACCTTTATCATGCTGCCACCATTTCAGTCATGTTCCCTGTATCCAATAACAGTACTGAATGATAATGTTTTTGGTGCAAAAAGGAACCAGACTATTTTTCCTTCCAGCCTCGCTTTGGTTACGTTGATTTGAATGGTAAAAAAATCAAGATGGCCGCAACATGATAATGGTCTGTTGGGCTGTGCATCGGAATCGAATAAATTTTGAATTTAGCTTTGAAATTTGGTGTCAGGTTTCTTTTATGCGTACCAGGGTACCCATGTTTTACTTCAATAGGGTCCCCGGTTCTTGACACCCTTACTACCCGTAAATGCACACCACTACCAGCCCATTGACCTCTGACTTACTAATAGGTCATTGATAGACCGAATGACTGACTGAGTTGCTGACTGACTGACCGACTCAATGAGTGTATCAATATTAAGTTTTGACCTTTATCAACATATAAACACTGTATACTCAGTGTATTACCTGCCGAGTGAAAGTTAGAAAAAAATCACTCGGGTGGGACTCAAACACACGATCTCCTGCTTTCTAGTGCAGACGTCTTACCACTGGACCACCCAGCTTGCGGGATTGGTTGGCTGGTTCCAATCTGATGTACAAGGGCAAACTTAATATTGATTTACATCACCCCGACGCACATTTATCTTACGAATAGTTTAATTGTGGTACCCGCTGCTACATGCACATGCACAACCGATCCCGCAAGCTCGGTGGCCGAGTGGTAAGACGTCTGCACTAGAAAGCAGGAGGTCGTGGGTTCGAGTCCCACCCGAGTGATTTTTACTTTTTCCAACTTTCACTCGGGAGGTAACGCACTGAGTACACAGTGTTTATACGTCGGTGAAGGGCAAAACCTCATATTGATTTAATGAGTTTAAATAATACCCTAAACTGACATTTTTTGGATCCACTTTGACCAGATGAGCCTAGTACTATAGTTATGATGACATACAGTATTCTTCACAGTATGGGCCACACAAACCAAATACAGAAAAAGCAAACATTGAACATCAGAGGTATTTAAAAATGAAGAAAAAGAAGTCACATTACTGAGGTTTATCATTTTTAACATTCATTTTTGTTTCTACAGTTTCTTCTACGTCTACTACGAGCAGTACATAGACCTGGTTGAGATCGCAGTCGTCAATATCGCCATAGCGATGGTGCCCATCTTTGTTGTCAGTTTCTTCGCCCTCGGCTTCGACGTCATCTCAGCTTTCTTCATTCTTATCAACATCATCATGATCATTGTGGACACGCTGGGAGTCATGTATCTGTGGGGCGTCGACTTCAATGCAATATCTCTGGTCAATTTGACAATGGTAAGTGGTAGATGTGTGGCATGGATAACAGAGACAAATCACCCCAAATCTCCTGGAACAGTTTTGTATATCATGTCCATAGAAACTTGCTTAAATGCTAAGTTCTTTATTGCTAACAGTGTTTTAGTTGAGTCTATCCCAAGTCTTCACAAGTCCATCACAAGTCCATCACAAATTCCTCACAAGACAATCACAAGTCCATTACAAGTCCAGTCACAAGTCCATCACAAGTCCATCACAAGTCCAGTCACAAGTCCATCACAAGTCCATCACAAGTCCATCACAAGTCCAGTCACAAGTCCATCACAAGTCCATCACAAGTCCATCACAAGTCCAGTCACAAGTCCATCACAAGTCCATCACAAGTCCATCACAAGTCCAGTCACAAGTCCATCACAAGTCCATCACAAGTCCATCTCTAGTCCTTCAGTCTCAAGTCAAATCACAAGCTATTCAAATAAACTGTTACAGAAGCATTCCTTTGTCATTGTTCATTCCCTGTTACTTGTGACTGGTCTTGCGAATGGACAATCCGACTAAACTGAGACAATTTATCGACAATTTGTTTCTCTCTCCCAACACCAAAAACCAGGGGCCAATTTCATAGAGCTGCTTAAGCATAAAATTTGCTTCAGCACAAAAAAAACTTTAAAATCAGGATACCGGCCAAAACTCCATGTGATTGTTATGCCAAGTGAACAACAGCTAAATACCAGTCACAAGCAGTGTACATCGCATGGAGTTTTCACCGATAACCTAATTATATTGAGCAAGGGTTTGTTGTGCTTAAGCAAATTTTGAGCTTAAGCAGCTCTATGAAATTGGCTCCAGTTCCTTATAAACAAGGAAGCCCAAGGACACAACGCACGACCAGTAGCTGGATTCGAACCTCTGCCCCTCAGATCACAATTCCGTGGTCTTTCTTTCATAGTAAATACAATGATAAATGTTCTGTTCTTCCACAGGCGATCGGTATGTCAGTGGAATTTGTGTCCCACACCACACGAACATTCCGAATGTCTACGAAAGCCAACAGGAACGAACGGGCCAAGTATGCGCTGTACCACACTGGAAGTGCTGTGAGTATTTAATATTTAGTTTTAGTTTATTTCCTTTCCTAGTTTTAAATTTATGTACAAGGGGAGGGTTCTAATATCACTATGGAATCTCATTAAAGCAGAATAAAGAAAATCATTGAAGCAGAATTCGAACCTGCAACCTTTGAGTGCTCACTGGTATACCAACTGAGCTATGCAGCCCTATGCCAGAGGTCTCCCAAATTACCAATGTCTGTGTTCAAGGGGCGCTACTCAGAAACCGTGGACCACTTTGTGACATTTGGCAAGGGATCACACCCATGCCCAATCCAATTCCTTTCTTAGCTGTATAAAATGTCTTTGAAATCCAGAACTTGTCATGATGTACACCTAATTAATTTAGTGATGTTATGTTTTCAGTGATATTTCGCCCATGCTTGCACACAAAATGCATCTGTATTACTGTACATGTTCTACATAACCCCCGAGGGAGAACAACAGATCCTTTCAGTCCTCTGGCGTTGGGTCTTTTGTTGGAAACGGTCCTCTGTAGTAGGTGTGTGCTTAGTCTATGGGACAGTGTTATAATACAGGGACAAAGGGAAACACAAAGCATTGTCCTCGAGAGTATAGTAAACATGAATGTATTTTACATCATACAAATTCTGTCTATAACGACCCAATGTCTATCTGCCGATCTTTCAGGTCTTGAGTGGAGTAGCTATGACCAATCTCCCTGGCACCATCGTCTTAGTCTTCGCTACCTCTCAACTCTTTGACATCTTCTACTTCCGTATGTTCCTAACCATCACGTTGCTGGGTACGGCCCACGGAATCATCTTCCTTCCAGTTCTACTCAGCTACTTTGGTAAGTTAATCCTTAGTGCCTCTACATGTAAATCAATCTCCTCAGTAATAATGAATAAAACTTCATGATTTCTACTTGGTATTAAAGAGGCTATCTTCTCCCAAAAAACTGGCCAAATATGGCCTCAGTGAAGTACTTTGTACAATAACCATTTCAGATTAGGCCATAAGCCCCGCCCACTTTTGGTTTGTGTACATTTTTCACAGTGCTTCTGACCGATTTTTTTTTTTTACATATTATTGCATAGGACAATCAAACTTCTGATTTACTTAAGGTGTAGGAGACGCTGTTCTGAACCAATTCTCTGGAAAGGGTTTAAGAAAAAGAAATTAGTAGAAAATGTCAAAATGCTTCACAATGGCTCATGTCCCCCTTCTTTAAAAATTGTCTAAAAAATAAAGTTTGAATTATTCAAACAATCTTGAGAACTTTTTTTTTGTTAAAGGTCATCTTTTGGAGATGAAAAAAAAACTAGCTTAAACAATCTCCTTTCAAATTTTGATTCTAGGTCCGCCAGTCAACAAAGCCCAACTCCTGCACGAACAAGACGAAGAACGCAAGAAACTCCTGGCAAACTCCAGCAAACAGCAGGAGGCCCACATGTACGACAACGTCGCACTGAGTGCGGATGAGCTGGACGACAAACCGCCTGCTTACATGTACACAGTCTCATACGAGGAGGCAGGGGTCCAGACTAGTCTGGGTCGCAAGAGCAAGAAAGCGAAGAAAGCGAAGGAAGCCCAGGAAAGTGACGAGGAGGAGGATGGCCCCAAAGTGGAAATTACAGATTTGTAATTAATTTCGCGATACATAAATTAACATTACATTCCCCGTGTTTTTTAGCAAAGTAATTTTTCTTCTCTAAATAAATTTGTAACTTATATGTTATATATGACTTGAAGCTTTGCATGGCGGATGAGATCAATTATAAAGTTTGTGGGTAACACCATGTGGAAAGAAATCTCTTCTTGGAAGAAGTGTGGTTCTGAAAAGAACCGGTTGGTTGAGTGTAGAGTTGTACACTCAACCAACCGGTTCTTTTCAGAACCAACTCATAAAACCTGTCCTTTTTTTCTTTATTTGGGCATCTACAACCCTATGAAAAAAAAGAACTTTTTATTTTGGGCACTAACAGATCAGCCTTGCGAGCAAATTGGTACCCGGTCCATACATTATTGATGCTGATTGTGGGGTGGGAACCAGTGTGCCTCGCAAGAACAGTCACTCAAACTTTGTAAAAAGTTGGCCTATAAAAATGTGACTATAAACTTCTGTATTGCTTGAAAAATAGCAAGTTAGAAAAGGAATCTGTAATTCACTACAAAACTTGAAAAATTAACAGGGAATGCAACTTTAACTACCATTGTGTTTAATGGGCATGCCAACTTATTTTGTATGTTGTTACTTTCTTTTTAGAAATTTTAGATAGTAAAGATTGACATAAATAAATAAGCCAGAAAAGACAAAGAAAGGAAAATTAGTTCAGTGAAATGAGATTTGGCACAAAAAATAACAAAGGTATTTATGTGGATTTGCATTTTATGTTGCAGTAAAAAGAATATTTTAGAATATTTGCATAAATTGCCAAGCAGCAAATTTAAAGACGAACAGTATATCTTCCAAATCATGCAGCGTTTCTGAACTTGCGTTTGTATTTTCAGAAGAAAATATGCAAACCAAGTGAAAACTTCACAGAAACAGAAACACGAAGCCAGTTTTCTTATTTAGTGTATATAATATTAGAAAATTACTTTAAGTATAATGTATTGTTTTGTCCTGTTTGCACTTTGTTCTAGTACCAATTATGCAGAGAAAATAAATTTAGAAAGCATGAGATTTTGTAATGTGCCTGTTATGTTACTGTTTAACATACGTCTTGCAAGGATACTCTTATCTTGTCAACTGAAAACACTTTTATGCAGCTGTGTGTTTTGTTTCTTTTTCTTTGGGGAAAAAAACATAAATTATCTCATTTTAAAGTTTGCCTTCCAAAACATCACCTTTCGACAATGAATTACAATATTTCATGCTTCTCTAATTATCACAACATGGCCTTCAAAAATTACTGATAAATGTTTTGAAGAAGTTTTTTAAACTTGGCATCGGAATGATGTTTTATGTTCATGAACGTAAACGCATATTTAAGCTTTTTGTACATATGTACTAGCACTGTTCAGACAACCAATAATTTGTTTTTCTTAACCTTGCACACCTATAGATGATACTTTTCAAAATATATGTTGTAGTTTATCTTTGTATTCCGACAAAAACTAAGCAAGTTTTTGAGAGAAAAATCTGTACATTCCAGGCTGTACGTAAGAAGTATGAACAACTAAAAACATTTACCACGTTAGGTTGTATTTAAAAAAAATAGACCTCTTAGAGTTCCTAAAACATTCCATTAAAATGCTTCCTTTTCAGTGAAAATGATGAATTCATTATCGTTTACAAGCGCATATTTATCAAACGTAGCGTAGACTGAACTTAGATATGTTGTCAGTCTAGTTTTCTACCGATAAGCAGCCGATAAGACACAGACGAACTTTTGTGAGAACTTTTAAAGTTCGACCAGGGCCAACTGAGTTATCAGAATTTAGGTTTATTAGAAAAATGGACAAATATCTTATAAACAAATGTAAAATAATTTCTTTTCAGATTCTATTAAACTCATGAGTGAAAGAATAAACATTGTCTGTGATCTATGCACTTGAAAAAAAAAACTATTTTGAAAACTGCATCTTTTGAAATGGTTAATCTTTTATCTCAAGTAAACCACCAGAGCTTACGATCATACAAGTTGCTTACACATTTTATGAATATTCATGAGCCTTCCTATGATGTCAGCTACACGTACCGGTAGCCAGTATTAGCTGAACTGCTTGAAGCCTGCTTTGCACTGTAATGCTTTACATCAATTTACATATGCATCTATGAATATTCATCATATTTACCATAAACTGCTTGTAGCCTGCTTTGCATAAATTTACATATTTACATGAGAAATTATGAATATTCATGACCTTACCATAATGTCACCTAATTCCCAGTGGTATCTTAAACTGCTTGCAGCCTGCTTTACACCAGACCTCTGAGATGGATATTGGTAGAAGCCCATTCTCGCAAAGCCTCCGAAACCTTTCCTGTTTGGAACACAAATAGTGAGAAAGTAAGTACAATGCTTTCCAGTGGAGACTTCTGGAAGTCTCCCTCAAATAAAATTAAAAATGTAAAATAGATGAAATTAGTAATGCGAGAGGAGCAGTAGGTACTTGAACTAGTACTCGTACTTGTACAGTTTAGGTGGCTACTGCATAAGCTGTTCTGTCAAAATCAGACTTTTCTGGGCATAAGGTCAAAAATGAGATTTTCACATATTGTTAAAATATGTACATTTTCCTTTTTAATGGGTGGTTTAATTTTTGAAACCGGTCATTCCTGGGCAAAGTTATGCTATTTTGAAGTTCATCGTGTTAAAAGTAGAAAAACAGAGAAAATGGCAGTTAAAGTTTGGGGTCTATTTTAAGACCTGTTTCAAGTGACATTTCTTTAACTGATATACCTTAACAAATCATCAAAAATACTATATTTAGAGTTCAAATTAGGGTTTCAACCTTTTATAGTATATTTTAGACATGTTCAAGATTACAAATATGCAAAAATTAGAAAATCGAAAAAAATCACCCCCACATCATTTTTTTGGCCCTATCTCAATGTCAACCTCTGCTCAGAAGCGTCTGCTTTTGACAGAACAGGTCACATATGTTTAATCCCTAGTTTGACAACAAAAAGTGCTTGAAAACACTTGACATGTTGAAATTTGCTCTTACTTGTGGAAAGTTATCGTACTTGTACTCATACTCGAGTACATTTTTTGGTATTTGTGCTCATACTCATAAAAAAAAATTGCCTTGAACTCGTTCTCATACTCGTACTCATGGCAAAAGTATTCACACTCATACTCATTGAAATGTACTCAATTACAACACTGGAGAAGAGCACAGTAACTCACAAACTGACCTGGATTATGGAGATGTCACTCGAACTGAGCATCTTGCTGTAATCCCCGAGACACCATCCAAAACTGACGTGGAAAGATGGCTCCTGGATTGCAAAGAGAAAAATGAAAATTGACTTTAGGTGGGACCATCTGATAAAAAGTAAGTTTATCCTGGTTATCCGAGTTGTGTAAAAATGCATCTCCTTGAAATACAAAAATTTGACTTTGAATTATCCGTGTATGATCCATGGGATCCATACCATCAGGACCACAAAAATAAACCTAAAGCTGTCCAACGCAGAGCGGCCAGGTTCGTCTGTAAGGATTCCAGGCGCACAACTAGTGTCTCATCCATGATCACCAACCTCGGATGGAAATCATTGGAGGAGCGCAGAACCATACCCAGACTAACCTTGCTGTACAAATCCATCCATCATAAAATCGCAATTGATGTTGATCAGTACCAAGTTGATTCCAAAGGGGACAAAATCTCAACTAGAAAATCATCTTCATTATCCTTTGTTCACCCTACATCTAAAAAGGACTGCTACAGATACTCTTTCCTACCAAGAACAACAGCTCAGTGGAACTTACTTCCTACAGAAGTCAGGGAAGCTACTTCAGTGGAGTCCTTTAAGTCAAGGCTCCATGAGATGCAGTTGTCTTCAACACTAAGGGCACCTACTAACAAAATTGTATAGGGATGCTGCTAGCCCCCATGCGCCTGCAACAACTGTATATACCACAGTGGAGTTTGCTTGTAGTATGCTACAGATACAGATAGCTGAATTTGAATTACTTTGGACATTTTTTTGCGTGTCCTTCATCAAAAAGGATGATTGGTGAACACCGAACAGTTACAAGTCCTTCAGTTAGCAGTGTGGTCTGCATGAGAGGGATTGTCATATTGGGACCTCAAATAGAAATCTCTATAACAGCTGGTAATTGATTAGAGTAACTTTCATTGTTTTTTTCTGACCTTGTAGTAGACAGGAAGAGAGAACTCCTTGAGGCAAAGATCGATGCCCTCAACCAACTTCAGCATCTCCTGATGTCCGTAGCCGACCTTCAGTCCAATGAAAGACCTGCACTTCACACAGATAAAAGACAAAATATTAAGACAAAATCAGGCCAAAGTATTAGGATTTGATAATCGGATTTCATTGACCCTTACGCTCCAGGGTATTTGGCAAGAAAGGTTGCTGAAGGCAACAACAATCGTCAGAGAGAGAAGTCTGCCCCACGTTACGAGATCCAACAGGTAAAGAAATCACAAGGCCGAACTGCCTCAGAGTCTGTGGTCGCCGACTGCAGAAGGGTGAAGCAATACACAGTGGCCTTGTTCAATTGGACTAGCTCCCATTGTCTCAGAATAGGCATAATATGTACTGGTATTGATGGCCCAATGTGACAAGATCCCACAGACTTTTACACCTGTTGCAGCTTGTTACATCAAGCATGGTCTATTATGGTTCAACGCGATCTCTCATATCATCACCTAGTTTTCTCGTCGTTGGCGTAAAACTCCACGTCGTCAAAACAGTAGTGGAACGCATCAACGGAAGCCACCTGCTGGTTAATGGAGTCTACAAACGGGTCAATCCACTGGTACTGTAAGGTCACTGTCCTGGAAATGCTAATATGGAGGTCAGGCACTGGCGTCATGTCAACACTAGAGGGCAGGCTACCCAGGAGGTCTTCCATGACTGTCTGGAGCCGATCTGTTAAGTCCACTGCGTGAGATAAAACAAATACAGAAAAGAAAAATGTATTTGTTCATTCAAACTTGAAGACATTGACGATAAATAAATGTTTTGCTGAAAAATTGGTCAGAACAAGATTGGAAATAAAACAATTACATTGAGAGTCATAAACCTAGTCATAAAGAAAACTTAGAAGTACATTTTCATTTTTACGATTTTTTTTCCCATTTTTTTTTTTTGCCAAGCAAAAATTAACGAAACTGATTTACCTGGAATATACACATATGTTGCCCAATTACCGGCAACATGCTCAAATGATCGGACTCGCCCATCATGATGCATGCTGGGATCTTGTGGGCCTCCTTCTGCTGGATGGGTTGTAGACGACTCTCCAAACATCCCCAGTATCTCAGGTGGGAGAGATGGGAGGACTGAGCTGTTTGAACAGAAACCATTAACAAATTGAACAAAGAGGGCGATATATCACTGTGTATGTTGATGGTGTGGCTTGGAATCCCACTGCTGCCACCAAAACCAATTAATTAATATATTTCCCCCTTCCCTTAAGCAGGTGTTATCCAATGATGAAGCTTGCTCCTTGATACAAGTATGACAAATGATTTGACCTGAGTCAACTGGAAGATCCTACACGATGTATGTAGTTGCACTGTGAACATTTTCACCCTACATTGTTATTGTACATAAAAAGCTATAGTACAATTAGTCCGAAAATATGGGACTTTCAATACTGTAGTCCCAAAACTTAAAGGGAATATGCATCATTTGCGTTTGCTGTAATTTTCAGAAATGGATGGAATTGGGGGGTTGGAAATATATAGCAAATATAGTTACACTGACTTTTTTGAGGTTTTGGGTTTGAAAATGCTATAAAAACCAAGAAAAAGAATCATTTTCCTGTAGTCTGGTTCCCTGACTCCATATAAGAAGAAACAGAGCAGTTTACATACGTTGGGGAATTGTAGGGTCAGGAACCAGTCTAGCTGGCTTGTACCCGTTCATAGGTGTGTAATCGATTGCAAACAAGTGCGATGGTCAATTGGGGCCAGTATTTGAAAAAAAGCCAGTTTTTTTCCAACGCTGGTCGGCCGACCAGCGTTGGAAATTGATACAAAAATACCACTTTTCTTGAAAATGACAGTATACCAGGTGCCATGATTTTACAGGATGCTTTACACTGTCATTCACTAACAGTCCAGCAAGGTATTTCAAAATGATTTGGTAGTTTTATTTTTTGATGTTTGCAAATGTTGTATATTCCCTTTTAAGGCATTGAAAACATGCAATACAAGAAAATACACTGGCACCTGAAACAACCAGTCCAACACCGCTTCAGTACTGCCTCAATCAACTGTCAGCTGACTGTGCCGAAAGAAATATCTAGGATGTCGGGTACTACGTCATTATTTATACACATTTCTCCATAGTCGGGCACCAGACTTATCACAATGAATGAAGAAGTAAGTCTTGTCAAACAGTTGGACCAAGGATGGACATGTACAAGTCTAGTCTTTAGCCTCATTTTAAAATCACTTGACTTCCCTCTCCCCTGCAAGCCACTGTCAAATATTGAAGAAAAGTCTCCTTTAAAAATTGAATTGAGTCTGCAAACTTGGTTGGTGAAATACTGAGGACCTTCTCTTTGCCCAGTGAATTTAGTGAAAGTTTTGGAGAAATATGCTAGCTAAAGATGACTAAAGTTGGCCTGATCATTCTTTTGCATCGTTTTAAGCACTTAAGGTCCCAGTCTGTAGCACAATGATTGAATACAGTTTTCATAAATTGAATGTTTTCTTTTTTTAGTTAGCAATACAGTACACACCCATTGGCCTGTTGCTTTTGCTGCTTATGTCTGTTGGCAGACTGTGACTGTGAGGGGTCCTCTGTGAAACCTGCAGGGAAAGTTGCAACATAATAGCAATCTACAGTAATGCAATAAATAAAACTACATGTAGGCAGGGCCAATCTTGCAAAGTTAAAATTTTTCATGCATTTGGCATTATTGAAGGATGTTTTGCTCTTCTTCACAAACCAATTGTTCCAAGATGAATAATTAATATAACTCTAATCCAAGTACATGTGTACATTATTCTTGTAGGGCTGTCCCGAATTTACCGAGTATTCATTCCTCAACCACAAATAGCTTTTAACCGGTTCAAATATTCGAGAAAAAAAATACGCATGTGACTGTGATGATATTTTAATTGTAAAGTTGTGGCACTTTATTTTTGTCAGATGCCACTTTTTGTCAACCAGTAACTTTTTTTGTCGACGGCACTCCATTGTTTTCCTCCTTATAGTTATAGCAGTTAAAGCCCCTGACACTTCTAAAACACTTACTGCAAAACATTACAATTCTGAAGTTATTCAAATTTTTCTACTAATGACCTTTTACCGGGAACTCCATCTGCCTTAAACTTAAACTCGCCCTGCATTAAACATGTCAAATGTGCGCTTCAACATTTTTTGTTACATTATAAATAATTACTATAAATTACAAACTTACGACCTTTTGCCGGGCAGTATAATGAAAAGCTCCTTCCGTCTTTTGTTTACTGTTAATTACGTCAGAATAACGTAGCCCCTTGAGACAATATGTATATCAAATGAAAGTGAAAGATATTGACAAGCTTAATCGATTACCCGAAAAAAACCCGAATTTTACCTTCAATTTTTTTTTCATGACCTTTTGACCCATTTTTCGCCCTGGCCTTACGACCTTCATGACCTTCTTCCACTTCCACAAGTTCCAGGCACCCGACATGCCCGACGATTTGTAACTTATCCTACCTTCATCATCGTCATCTGATGAGCTGCTTCCATAGTCCTGAAGTGCTTCTAAACCTGACATTGTAACAAGCTTTTGAAGAACATATATTTTGCTAAATCGCAAAATCAAGGACTACACTGCAAGGACTACACTGCACTGTCCGCCACTCTTCTTTCTTTCATGTCTTTGCCATGTGTTTTGTAAAGTGCGACCTCTATTGATAATTTTGGTACCACGTCCGCGCGCGCTAGGAAGTCATTCGCTGGTACGCGAATCCAAAATAGGTTTTCCTTTCATTACATGGGCTTTTGTAACTTTTGCCGGGTACCATGTAGGATAAAAACTTCGCGCGGTTGCTGAAAAAGACACATGCATCCCGCGGATTTTTGCACCAATATAAAGTTGTCTATGGTTGCTGAACAGCAATAACTGAGACTGAGAGCCGGAGAAAATGGCTGAAGTTTTTGAGGTTTGTTTGTGATTTTGTCGTTGACGTTAACTAATTTGGGGTGGGGAGTAACGTGGCGCTGGCGCCTGGTCATGCTGGTGGGGCCTCAACTAGCCCGACTACGTCTGGCCGTACAGTACTATCGCAAGCTCTGTATAGAGCTTGCGATAGTACTGTACGGCCAGACGCAGTCGGGCTAGGCCTCAACCAGAGTTGTAACGAGTCACTGATTTTTGTGACTCGAGTCGAGTCGAGTCATTTTAAAGAAGTGACTCGAGTCGAGTCGAGTCATTAGGTCAACAAAGTCGAGTTGAGTCGAGTCGAGTCACAGTGTGTGGTCGAGTCGAGTCGAGTCGAGTCAAGTATTTAGCTCGAGTCAATTCGAGTCACAAATATTTGAACACTATATAATAAATTACAATAAAAAGCAACAAACACAAGAGAGAAAGAATACAAGGCACCAGTCTATTACGAAAATCCAAAGACATAAAGTATGCTGTATATGGTACCCAACCAACAGTTTCCATTGCTAGCTCACGTCACAGATAAGAAGATGTGAAACTTCGGTCTTATAACTGTTTTGGCTTCGGGTTTAGATTTTGTTGTTCGCTGATCGCTGACAACGTCAAAACCTAATTACATTATACAAAACTGTTTCTGATTATTTAAAGGTGGTCCCATCCGTATCCATTTTTTGTGTGTGTGAAATCGGGACATAAGTTTAGCCAGCGTTCCACCAAGAGCTTTATAAGAAATTACCCGAAACCAATGATGAAACCACGGATTGAGAAATGCGTTTTAAGTCTGGTTCCGGATTTAGCATTACATGCTATAGAACCACAAGGTGGGAGTCCGCGACACGGTGTATGTTTGTTGTATCATTATGGAGGAAGGAAAACAGATGGCCGCTGTATATGAACGTACATAATTCGCGAACATAACGTGACGTGAACAAAAACTGGCAACGCGAACGGCGCGGCGTAAGTCATTGCAAATATTTTTCGCAAGTAAGTTTTGCTTTTATTTTTGGGACTCGAGTCTTATTAGCATTCCTCGAGTCGAGTCGAGTCATTCTGATGAGGGACTCGAGTCGAGTCGAGTCATTTGCTCGCAGTGACTCGAGTCGAGTCATTTACCTGTTGGGACTCGAGTCGAGTCGAGTCACCAAAAAATGTGACTCGAGTCGGACTCGAGTCGAGTCATTGACTCGAGTCATTACAACTCTGGCCTCAACATATACAGTGCTCAATGGGATTGGAACTTTTTCAGGGGTAGGCCGCCCTAGGCCTACATTGCATTCACAGGATCTTCAATTCAATTCAATTCAGTTGACATTTATTTAGCACTCTCCAATAAACCAATACAAAGTTGGATAATGTATAGCCCCATAAATGTGGCCTATTTACTGGACTGCCTCCGTAAACATAGGCCACACATCCACATGTCATGCATGTACAAAAATCGTGTCGACTTTGTCAAATTTTGATTTTCACATTTAGGCTTACTTTGTAGGTTTTTTTTGCTTTAGAAGCATTCTCACCCTCTATATAGGCTAGTCAGAAAGTGCTGCCTTTTTCAGATGTCTAATTTTTGTGAAATTTCATGTTGAAATTTTGATACGCAAACGTGTAAAAATGAATCTGGAAATTTCATGAAAAATATACATCTGAAAAAGGCAGCACTTTCTGATTAGCCTATATAGAGGGTGAGAATGCTTCTAAAGCAAAAAAAACCTACAAAGTAAGCCTAAATGTGAAAATCAAAATTTGGCAAAGTCGACACGATTTTTGTACATGTGGATGTGTGGCCTATGTTTACGGAGGCAGTCCAGTAAATAGGCCACATTAAGGGGCTAGATAATGTAAGTACAATACACTTAATATTTAAACAAGCGATTACAAATGTGAAGGTAATTACCACCAGAAAAAAAATAATGCTTTATTGAATCTAATTATTTAAATTAAAATTAGGGGCCTAGTCTGTATTGCCGGAGTCAGAGATAATGCCGGCAAGCTAACATTTACTAAAGGTTTGCCGGCGGCAATCCATATCAACAGAGGGCGCTGTACTCGCGAATACTTGCCATGACGTCACAAATTAAATTCGCTTTCGCTTTCGCGCCAAGTATGAACCGGGCTTAAGAGTTTGTAGAAATGAGGGAAGATCATTATGATAAATAGACCAGTGCAGACAAATAGGCATGAGGTGAGAGAGTGTTGTTTTAGAATTGTTTTTCTTAAGTTTTAAATTCAATGGGATGCTGTTCTTTTAGAAGCAGAAAATCATATGATCTTAAGTTACTTACATTGACTATGAATTTCACATTTCTTGTTCTGCTCAGGTGGAGAAGATTTTGGCTACGAAACGGTTACGAGGGAAGACCTTGTACAAAGTTCGTTGGATATCATACGGCCCCGAAGACGATACGTGGGAACCTGCCAGTCATCTCAAGGGATGTCAAGAATTAATTGAAGAATTCATAGTAGAGGAGGAAGCTCGGAAGTCTTCCTCTCAGACAAAGCCGAAAGTCATGAAAAACACCAAAGTGGTAGTCAAAGAATCCACAAAGATTATTGATATGAACTCGACCAGAGGTGTCAACGTCGAAGATCTAAACAGCAGGGTGACTGTGAGTGAGAGAGGAGATTGGAGGGATGATGCGTTGCTACGGAGATCTACGCTGAGAGGACGGTACAGGGTGGATACCACACCCAAGATGATGCTTAACTCTCGGGTGCAGCCTGAGAAAGTGGAAACGGTGGAAGAAGTGAGTCTCTCTCTCTGCCTTTTTTTCTTTTCATACCAAGCAGTTGATGTAAAACGAAAATCGCAAGTTTCACCTGAGTAAGATTTTTAACCCTAACCCCTAGCTTTTTTAACCAATAACTGGACCAAGTCCATCAAAATCCATCAATCGCTGTGGTTCCAGTGCAAAATTGTACATGACATAATGGAATCCACCACTGACGCACTGGTTGACATTCATGGACTTGCTACACATGGCTTTTATCACAATAGCAGTACAGGAAGCTAGGCAAAATCAATCGGATACCCCTAGCACTGCTTCAGGCCATTAGGCCCAAGTCCATCATACTCCATCAATATTTAGTCACGCCAGGCCTTCTGGACCAAGTCCTCCAAAATCCACCCAAATGGGGGATAGATTTTGATGGTGTTGGGGTGGTTAGGGTTAAAGAAATACAGGAATCATCTGAATAAAGCATCAAAAGAATACTGGTGCACAAATAACCATGACTGTTTTACAAATGCATCATTCACTGATATGACATACAGAAAAATATGTGTTGCAATAGAAAAATGAGACTTTGAAATTGCTACGCTATTGTATTGGGAGATTTGAAGTAAAAAATCAAATCTTGCATGAATTTACACTACAAACAAAAACTATCAACACCAAAGTTCCTTCCTCTAAAGACATTACGTTCACACAGTACCTGTGTGCCGGCAAAAAAATGATTGTTCCTGAATAATGACTCTAATTTATTCATTGTTTTTTTTCTCCACAGGACACAGAAAGTGAGAATGAGGAAGCTGCAACATCGCCCTTCATTGCATTTATGTGCATCGTATTAATCATACTAGTCATCCTCTTTATTTACTTGACAACAAAATGAACAATTTTTTTTGGTAGAAAATCCCAAGGTGCTTAAATGAAAATATCCAGCAGTGCATTTGTCATTCTTGGCCCATAAAAACCAACACTATGCACTGGTAATGTAGTAACAAAGTCTTTCAAACAACATTGGGGGAACAGGCCGGCCCCTATTTCCTTATCTCGGGACTATGTTATTCTAGTCGTAAATCTATCAAAATCAACGTGGATTGGTGGCTTAGGAATTGGACAGGGTATATTGGTAATGGTTTACTATGGATATTTAAAAAAAACACTATTATTTGAACAGAAAGAATGTTCCATTTTAATTGGGCAAAAACATGTATGGAAATATTTGGGGGTATTGTGAGAAAGATATTTGGCTATAGGGCCATCGCATATTTGTCCTTTGAAAAAAATATAGGTAGAAAACAAGCAATTTTCAAAATTTTAAAAATGGCTGCCATTGCTTGTTATTCTACCTTTATTTTTTCAAAGGACACATCTGCGATGGCCCTATAGCCAAATATCATTCTCATGACATACTCGGACTGTGTGCCAAATGCCATGCTTGTATCATCAAAGGCACAATCCCATCACCTTACTGCCGTACTATTTATAATGTGTGCATAAATATTATCACAATTGGAAATGTTTTCATTGCATTTTTTTCAATTAGTGAAAGACAGGAATTTTATATTTCAGAAAGCTTGTCCATTTGGAAACAAGTTCGGTTTTTTACAGCCATAATTACGTTTCACTTCCTAATCACTGACAGAAATCAACAATCTTTTATGTGTTTTTGTATAACACCAATTTTTTTTTATAGAAAATGTATTTGTCATAGCTCAGGTATTAGTCTATGGACAAAGCAAGGGTCTATGATATGGGAACAGATTCAGCGATTAATTATGCAAAACAAGTCTGCGTCTTGACCTCGTGATTCTGACCATTCAGCGGGCGCCTTCTATCTGGACTTCCGTAACCCGTTGTTGTATTACAAAAACATGGCATCCAAATTGACCAATCCACAGCTTAGTCCACATTTCTGATCAAACTGACGTCACAGTCTCTAAAGACCACTCCAGTTGACTGACGCGCGGGGTTGCATGAAATTTACATGCTATGATACATGTATATGAGACGTTCAATCGTGGCTTTTCCCACATGAGTGTCTGATCCTCAAGGGTGCAACCCTGCAAATAAATTCCCATAGACACTAGTGCAAAATGCCCATACTTCAAAATTCTTTTAAAAATACTCGAAACTCTCACAGGTATTCAAGCTGCACAGAAAAATGATGATCAACATGTCATCTTTCGTTTTCTTTTCATTTTTGGGTGGGTTGACCATTGACTTTTCGAGATATTCTCACCCAAAGAAGACGACCCCTATTTCCCCCAAGGCGGAAAAGTAGCCATCTTGAAAAACGATCCCTCCACAACATGGCAAAATAGCGCCACTTTCGAGCCCAATAGCATCCAAAATGTTCAGAATTGGAAGCCCCAAGTCCGGGCCAGAGGTTCATTACCATATCTCTTCAATTCCCCAATTTTACGGCGCTCAGAACTCTCTAATATAGAATATTTTGAGGGTATAACTTTTATTCATGAGTTCGGCGGATGGATTTAGGCCTATTTACTGGTGTGCACCCTCGAGCAGTATGAAGCATTCATGCAAATTTACATTTTGGTGTTAATGATAGTCCTCTTCATTTTTACTTGTATTTTTTTTCAGATTTGTAAATAGTTTGACATGTCATTTTAAAAGAATTTTGTTTTTTAACAATACATTAAAATTTGTAAGTAGTCGTGAAGATTTTTAAGACGCATTACATCATTTGTGATTGTTATTTTACTGCATCAAAGCACATTTTTGGCTGGCAGGTTTTCCATAAATTGAAAATAAATCATTAAATTGAATCTTAATCCTTAAACCTAAGGTGTGTAAAAAATAATAAATTGCGCATCAATTGATTCATTGACTGCCATATCTTCCTGGTAATGTGCATAATGTGTACTCTTATATCATCTAAAGAATGGGTATGGGAATAGGGTTAGTGACGGTTACCAAATTTATCTCTTGCATTGTACAGTATTTTTAAAAATGTTTATAAAGTGATGAGAATTCTTAATGGTATTATAATAGAAAACAATATAACCTTTCGGTTGAAACTATGAAATATTATTGTACAGAAAAGTGAAATGGAGATTGTTTTTTATGCATGTCTTTTTTTAAACTCTAGAAGTAGTTGTAGCAATATGTTTTGAGTGTGCTTTTCGAAATTCGACAGTAGAAAGTTAAAATTTAACTATTTTCATTGTTGAGTATTTTTATATTCCCGTATTTCGGTATGTTCATTACATGAAGCATGCCAGAAGATCCAGGATAAAGGGTGTAAATGTTCTTTTTTTATTTGTCTTTCCCTCCTATGCAAACATACATTCTGTGCCAAGTTGTCCTTTCAGTCAAAATCAATCAAGTGACTGTTTTTAAGTGTTAAGAGCTCCCAGCTATAGGAGGATTGACTGGCTGTGACTGTTTATGTAACTTGGTACAGCCATTCTCTGACTGTAGGTGATTGATAAGCCAGCTGTGCCACTGCCTACCACTTGCCTGCCTTTGTCTGTTGACTGAATTTGACTAGTCACAGTGCTTGTTTGAAATATGATCTGACTGTTGTTGACTAGCCTGTGTAAAAGTCATGGCAGGGGAAGAGTATTGATTTTTTGACTGTTCAGATAGCAGGAAGGTTTTAACATTGAATGAGACTTCAGATTTTTAAAGGACCATGCAATGTAATTCTTTTAATGCAATCCTTGAAAATACACCATTGTTTTGGTTTTATGCTAATAAAAATTCCCATATTCATGAGCAAAAGTGTAATGTCATTTCAGACAGAAACCTAAAACTATTTTAGCAAAAAAAGTGCCAGAATTTTGGATATTTTGCTGTCATGAATTTTCTTTTCTTTGGTGATTCGTTGTTGTCTCAGTACACGGCAGTAAGCCAATGAGCAAACTTTCCAACAAATTAATGTTTTTAGTGAGTCTATTTTTGGGTACACAATTAATTTGAAAAGAAAACCCCTAAAATCTGGAGTCTTAACTTTCACTGGTACCGCTGCTTTAGTAGCCCTAGCAGTGAACCCGGTGACCAGCGTGGCCACTCGTCAGATTTGTGAAGGCTATGCCAGTGCCATGTAAAAAAAACCAAAAACATCAACTACACGTTCTAAATGAAGCATCAAGGACAGTTCCAACTGAAACATCAACTACCCGTTCCAAAATATCAGTAATAATATTTTCGAACGTGTAGGTAATGTTTTATTTAGAAAGTGTAGTTAATTTTTTATTTGGAATGTGTAGTTGGGGTTATTAGGACGTGTAGTTGATGTGAATCTCTCTATCTGTATTTTCTACAATGTTATTAAAAGTTTGAATAAATTTGTGTCCAACAACTTTGGCATTTACAACTTTTGTGTTTCTTAATGTACGTGACTTGTACTTTAAAGGGGCCCTGAGATGAAATTTCCTGAGGAACACATTTTGTGCAACTTTCTACTCCCCTTAAAATGTACGGAAACTATTTGATATCCCTTTTTTGGTTAATTTTATTGAAAAGTGCACTTCTTTAAACATTTAAAATTGTCCATGCTTTTCCTGACAACTGAGGGCATTGTTGTGATGTCATTTTAAGAAGGCACTGTTCAGTTTAGGGGTTTTCTGTTAAAAACTGTGAACCTTATCATTTGCTCATTGAAAACATTTGTGAGAAAAGACTGCTCATTTGCTTGTCATTTACTCAGTGATCAAAACTTCTGGCAGCTTTTGGTGCTGAAATAGTTGTAACATTGAGGTTTCTGCCGGAAATGACATCACACTTTTGCTCATAAATATGGAAATTTTCATTTTTAGCATAAAACCCCAAAAGGCACCAAAAACCCTGGGAAATGGTAAAAATGAAAGTTTGAAATAAGGTAAAATGGGACACAATCTCCATGCTTTTTTCCGGACAACTGAGGGCGCTGTTGAGGCAGACAGCTCCAGCACCAGATTTCGCGAAGAGGGCAGGTCCGTTTTCAACACCAGAATTGGTTTTAAAACGACCATTTTTAAGTTTATTTCAAGTGTTGTTCCGTTTGTATGGAGTGATTTGAGGGTCCAGGCAGCTGTTGCACTATAATTGTGCTCATTGTATGGAGGTTTTGCGTGAGTGGTTTTCCCTATCATCAACTTAACCTTCAATCATTGTGTGTTGCATTGCCATTGACCAGTTGCGATATTTGTTATGTTTTGCCAAACGTAGTGCCTAGTCTAGTCCAGGCTATCGTCAGGATCGTTACGACAGTAGTAACGCAATTTTCAAGTATTATCGGGGAAAGAATGTTGCAACCGGAAAAATTCTGCCAACCGGACACCACTTTTTTCAATTAATTTTCTAGCTCCAAAAGTTACCTCTTTTTATGGTTATTCCCTCCACTTTCCCTCCTCTACTCTCGCCCCCTCTTTCCTTAATTTCTATTTATCAATCAGTCGCTCACTTCATCGAGATTCGAACCTCGGACGCTTGCTTGATTCACGAGTCTCTTAACCGCTAGGCCGCGCACGATCGCTGTTGCAATGATCAATCTTTGGACGTATTTGAAGTATCCATTGAAATAAACTAAATATTCATGAGAAAATAAATATTCATAATGACGTATTGCACTATCATTGGCCGGCTCATGCGATGTCTCATGCGACGTCATGGTTATCAATGTCATGCGTATAACGTACCGCTGTTCCAGACACTTCAATCAGTTTTGACCGGCTGCTTCAACTCAGATCTGCACTTCATGTGCATGCAAAATGTGCTCCAAAAACACATTTTTACCAATTTTTTTTTCGCATGTCCACTCTTTCCTGGATTCCTCTTGGTTGAAATCACAAGGCAAGGTGAAAATTTTGATGTTTGGCGGCAGGTAAGTGGTGTCCGGTTGGCAGAATTTTTCCGTTCCCCTCGTATGTATTAGCGCTCCACCGAATAGGCATACTGAAATTTAGGGGTAAAATGACGATGACAACAACAATTCGCAACATGAAAATAAAGATGGTGATCACCGCGTGATGTACTGTGAACGCACAAGGCGCGCTGAATCGCACGGCATCAACTGTAAACCACGTAGGAAAATCGTAATTTCTGCCCCAAGAAACTGTTCATAAATTATGAAAAAGGTGTCATTATTTTGAGAAAAGTTTACTTTAGGTTGAAAAGGTCATGGTTGAGTAATAAAAAACACACTTGACTCTAATTTGATCGAAAACCAAACAGGTGCCCTACACTACACGATCGCTGAATTATGTGGTAAACAGAGCCATCAAATGGGGCCCAAAATCTTTCCAGTCCATCCCATCTAATTCAATCCAAACCCCAACAATTTTTCTAATCCTGTTACATTCAAATATGTACATTTTTTTTAAGCTCCAGCTTCTTCACTTCAAGGAGTAAACTAAAGCGTGATGAACCAGAAGAAGGTTCATGAGCCACCCAAGGTGACTGGGCTGTCACCCAAGGAGGGCCCACCAGGAACCAAAGTCACGATTCGAGGAGAGAATCTGGGAATTAATGCCAAAGACTTGTATGGTAAGTCCAAGCCATAAACAAACAAGAAAGGGGGGGGGGGATCAAATATAAACTTATCCAAGATTTCCAATATGGGAATATTTTTTGTCATGCATTCATGTTCAGTGTTCTAACAAATGCCAAGGGAAATATTGAAATAACCATTGCTGATTTTCTTGGGGGAGTGTGGCCTAGTGGTTAGGTTTTGTGACTCATGATCAGAGGGTCAGGGGTTCGAATCCAGCTGCTGGCCATATGTTGTGTCCTTGGGCAAGCCACTTCATCCCCACTTGCCCTTCTCTGACCAGGAGTATAAATGGGTACCGGCATTAGCTGGGGAGTAATCTGCGATGGACTAGCATCCCATCCAGGGGGAATTATATTCTCAGTCGTTTCATGCTATTGAAACCAGAGGTAAATGCCCGCCTGATGGGCCACATTGGCTCGTGACAGACTTTACTTTTGCTTTTTACTATTGTCTTGCAGCATTCAGTTCCAGAAACATTTGTAAACCATCAATAACAAAAGTGATACAATTCTAGTGTCATATGCTGTGATCAAATGTCACATCATTGAAAAAAAGTAGAGCAATTTAACTGTCCTGTTTCTGTAGATTGACTGTGTATGCAACATACCTGTTAATTTAACCATTACTATGGCAACACTCAGGTTTAACCATCTGTGGAGTGAACTGTTTGCTGCTGGCTGAGTGGATCTCTCCAAGTAAGATCACATGTCGCACGACAAACTGCAAGGGTATGGGGGAGGTCATCGTCACGACAAAGTCCGCTGGTGAGGGAACGTGTACGGTCAAGTTCCGTGGGGTGCAGTTTTTGCCAAGTAAGTTAAAAATCATCATTTTCCCGTTCGGCAAAGAAAGTTTCCCTCTCTGTTGGAAGTTGAAAATATAAAGAAGGGACCAACAACCAAACATTAACCCTAACCGAACTCAGCCCATCAAAGTCCAACAGCAGGTGTTGTTGAATTCTGTTGGGATATAGGTACAGTACCCCTAAACTGATGGTCTTTTACATTGGGTTTGGCATACCTCCAGAAACTAAGTCCACCAGTGTGTGTGTGTACGATTTCCCATGTGGGTGTTCGAATTTGCCTGGATGGGTATGGTTCCTAGTAAATTAGGCTGGGGAGTTAGGGTTAACGTTATCATATTGATTTCATCATTTTGATATTCAGATGCTCTTCAGGAATGTTCGATCTGGATGGACGAGTCGTCCATCTTTGAGCGTCACCTGACCACTATCCACAGACCCTCTTCACCCTTGCAAGGAGGTCGTGAAGACCCACTGGGATTGGCCGTAGAGAGCACATCGTGAGTAACAACCAGGATTTCTGTAGTAAAACTGATCTCACAAGCAGAACTTGCTCCTTATGTAACTTGTTTCCCCTGTGATAGGCATGAGTAGACGCTTTGAACTTTCGTTGTCTTGAATTCAAATACCAGAAACAGCTGTCAGCAGTACCAACTTCACAACTTGAAGGGGTTCATTTTCTTTTCTTTTTTCGGTTCCGATCAGGGTTCTATCAGATGAGGAGCTCACTTCTATGTTCCCTATGGGTGAGTGTCAAATAAGTCGTTCTAAATTTCGACGAGCAAAAATTCAGACTAACAGCTCAATAAATCATCTCTCTCCGTTAGTCGGTTAGATACCGTAGTTAGTAATAAACGTTGATATTGTCTATTGCTCCTACGTATTTTGACCGATTTCAACCAAACTTTGGCAAAAGTATCAGTAGCTTCCGAGATATTTCCGATTGAGCTGGTTTATCAATTAATAGTAAAACAATTCTTTAAAGTCAAGGCATAATTTCATCTTGTCTGTTTCATGTAATCATGAGTCATTTATAATCATACACAGAACTGAAGACCTATCTCTGAAACTTTGTTCTAGTCGAAATATAAATGATTGATGAACAAAATACTAAAGAAAGGACATACTTCTTTGTCCTTTCTCACAGGGAGCAGTAACCTTGCCCACAAGAACTTTGAACCAGTCTGGTTCCTGATAGAAAACCACAGTTCTACCAGGTAAGTTGTATTACTTGAACATTTCAAACTGTAAGGCTCCACACTCCCACCCTACCTCAAAAGTTGGACCAGAATCAAAGGTTTTCCATGTTTTGCTGTTTTTGTTCCTGCAAAATTTTCAGTGTTTCCTCCAAACCTCACTCAGTCATCTACTTTTCTTTAATTTACTGTTAGCCCCATACACTCTTATAACCAGAAATTTCCCAAATCCTCCAAAATCCTCTTTGCAAAATGGAGGATTTTGCAGGATTGTGGCTATATGACAAAAGTGTGTGGCTGATTTCGGAGAATGCACTGTGTCAAGGTATTGGGACGGACCTTGTGTTGATTATGCTCAGCCGTGCATAAATTTAGGCCTAGATTATACTTGCAATCCTCCGCACTGCTCCAGGACGTCACTGGCTCTGCCTCAACATATTGACAGTGATTGCCAGAGGATTTTGCAGGATTGAGGCAGCGGTCACCCCTCCAAGGACCACATTCAAGAAATAACGGAGGATTTGCAGGATTGAGGCTGTATGCAATTTTTAAATGGAGGCAGTTGGAGGATTTTGCAGGATTGAGGTTGCATCCTAACAAAAGTGCCTGGGGAGTTAGGGTTTAAGAGGGATTTTAAATACACTATCGGATAACTTCATCTGCTACCACTTCTAACACATCCTGTGACTGTTACATGTATCATTTTTTACAGCTTTGATGATCTCAAGAAGGGCCTGGTCCACGTCCAGAAACAGTCGTCTAGTCTGAAGACGGAAGGACCGCAGACATTCATCAAGTCCAACCTGGGAACGTTTATGAACTGTCAGGATATCTTAGCAGGTTAGTATAGGTTTCTCCTTAAAGATCAAGATAGTAAAATAGGAAAACAATTGACAAAAAGTACCCATCCAAATTGGAAATGTTGAGTGTAACACCGTTTGAAACCGGTGTTCCATAGTCGAACTTAACCAAATTATTTAAAAGATTTGAATTGAGTACATGAAACAGTAAGGATCGTCGAAAATCGAAAGACAGACAGCTATTGTCATTGGGAACAACTCCAGAGTCTACACAATGGAAAAATAATACATACAGTTTATCAATGTGTCTCAAAACAAAATTCACAACATGGTTTCGCAGGATGGGGTACTAAATGGAATGAAAAGTCTTGGGGAAAAAATGTTGCATCCTGACTCCACATTTTTCTTCAAATATCACCTCAATAAAGGTCACTCAATGCAAAAATGTTGAAAAGACATGAATCTGGGACTGATAAAACATTTTCAATTTTGTTAGGAAATACTTAAAAAAAATTCTTGACTCTCCTTAGACTTTGTACACAAACCACTGAAGTGGCGTCTGGATACGACATTCTTTCCAGACTTGGTGTTGCATGTTTTTCCTGAATGTCCTTTTTTTGTGCATGTGGAGTTGCTTGTGTAACATTTAACGCTCTGTGTCAGTTTTCCCTTTTCTTTATTGCACAGAGGTATCGAGTGTGTGTGCACATACATAAATACTATATAACTGTAATAACCTTCCATAACAAGGAGCACTGAGTACAACGTCTAACTCCTAATAATGACTGAATTAACATGTCGTCTTTGATTTCAATTTGTTCTTGTCTTTGTTTTACTACTAATCAGGCAGTCTTTGCAGTGGCTGGGCTCCGTTACTCTATCACTTCCCTGGTATCTGGCCATTATCTGGATTTTATTTTCCTATCATTTAACCGGTCAACTATCGTCGGTGCAAATTTTAATGAGAGTGTAGTGGACATCACCGCACTATCCACATGTGCAAACTGTACCACACAGTTCCAGAATGGAGTCCACAGAACTCAAAACGTTTAACAATGGCTCCATGCGCGAACAAGAGAGGGCGCTTTTTACCTCTTTTGAGAGCCCAGTGGAAGGTACACACCACGCGTGCGTACCGGTTTGCACGCGTATAGCGCCAAAAACGCACAACTTTAATACTTTATTCTGAATGTGCACAAAGCCATAGCGTCTTCGCATGAGCGTCAGGCGTCGTTGGCAGTGCGTTTGAATGTCCCTCCCGGTGGTCTCCCCCAACTCTCCCTTTCTCGCCGTTGAGGGGGTACTTATTCACGGAGCCTATTAAACTAATCTTTTAACAGATTTGAAGGTTTGCATGGTGAAGTCAGCAATAAGAAGTATGCCATTGCACCACGCGACAAGAAATCTCTTTTGTGAGTTAGTGAGATTCTGAAAAAAGCAGGGGAAACTGAACGTTTCTGGTGGCGGGCAGAGCATACTATTCAGACGTGGAGTTTCCACTGCTTCTCTTAAAAATACACAACCTCACGAAAGAGATTCCTTGTCATGTGGTTTAACAATTGACTTACTCATAACCTAAGTAACAGCACTAACTAACTATTAATCTAACCACTAACTATTAAACTAACAAGTTAGCAGCACCTCACTTGCATGAGTCCAGTAATTTACACTCCTCCGTTAGGTATTGCATGTTTAGTTTACCTCCTACTAATCCCACCCTCCACCCTAACCCCTTGTGTCAACTCCTACAGGCTTTGCTAACAACCTTTCAAATCGTGAACGTCACTCACGCCGTTGGAAGCCACGCTCGAATACCGAGGTCTGGATTAATACCTTACAAACCCCTGACGAATTCACGCCGGGTAGGACTGGAACACCTCGTACAAACACATGACCCATGACACCAGGCTTCACCCATGCACTCTGACCTTTGACACAGTCACATGGCATGCTTCTGTTGTGTTTGCTCTGCACTCTGTTTCGGTGTAAATTATCTACCATGGTCAAAACTTTTTTAATTGAAATGTTTAGATGGAAAGAAATGCCATTCTTAAACAAAAACACCGCAACAGATGTTATATTTTTCCCTTTTCCCAAGCTTACAGTGTCTTCAATATCGGGTTTGCCCTTGGCTGAGGTATCTTATAAGTACTGTGTACTCAGTGTTGTCCCAGACTTGCAAGAAAGAAATTCACAAGCTTAATCGGGTGGAACTCGAAAAGCAATTGAGTTTACAATATCCCAAACGTCAATTAAATATTATAAATACCTATCATTGTTATTATGTATTTCTGGTAATGAAACCAAGGATTCCTCAAAAGCACCCTAGGCACTGTAGCTCGCAAGCCTGAAGAAACCTGTAGAGAGAAGACAATGAGAAGAAATTACAGTTTTAGAGGTGGGAGGAAAACCACAGAATGATATTCTAGGGAAAACCCATGGAATCAGGTAGGGACTGAAAATCCACATGTTGGCCCAGCAGGCGGGATTCGAACCCGGGTCCCAGCAGTGGAAGGCGAGGAAAGTACCGCTACGCCAACCTGACTCCCCAACTATACTAGTGACAGTATCTAAACTTTTTTCAAGTTTACCATGTATGTTCATTGTTGGTCTTTTTCCTGTGACGTTGCTAGACTAGTGGTATTGATATATTTGATATATCAGTACCATCATATATCAACCTTGATATCTTTATTTCTATTCAACATTATTTTTGAATTATTATCAATTACTGTAATTATTCAGCATTACATATTCATGATGGGACATGGAGCGGGTGCTACATTGCCAGGGACTTCATTGCTTCTGCTTCAGTTTCTTGAAAATTTCCAAACAAAATCTACCCAGTTGCATCGGTATTGAATTCAAAGACAACTCGACGGGAGGACATAATAATGTTTTCAGTAATTGAAAGAAAAAGCGATATAATGCACAATTCATTTCAGGCTTTTCTTGCAGGGTGTCACACGCCGTCATTACACATGGTTGCACGTTTTTCACAGCGATCATTTTGCACAACTATTTATTATTGCGATTATGGTTGCTTTATAGGGCTGTCCCGAATTGATTGAATATTCAAATATTCAATCATCTGCTGAATATTTGAATAGCTTTTTACCGGTTCAAATACTCAAAAGAAAATAATTACGCACGTACACGACTGAATGTGTAAAGTTGCTGCTCTTTATTGTCAGATGCCACTGTTTGTCCTGGTGACCCAACTTTTTTTTCAACGGCAATTCATGTTCTCATCCTTTTAGCTGGCTAAAGCCCCTGACAGTTCTAAAATACTGCAGAATATTCCAGCAGCCCATAAAATTGATCGCTGGACGAAAATTTTACCAGGTGCACTTTGCGTGCAACAATTGACGGACGCTGCATGCAGTTGCAGCTGGCTTGCATGATTTTCATCGGCAAATTTCGAATATTTGAATATTCAGTCAAAGGCAGTTTCGAATAATTGAAAGCCATATTATTCAAAAATGGACAGCCCTAGTGCTTTAACATCCCCACAGATGTACACACACTTTGACATATTACAGTTCATCTGAGCAGTGCCTCCAGTACTTTTGATCGTCATGACCCCCTTAAGTTCTTGGACCTCACAAGGAACCTCAGATTCAAACCTCAAGACAGTGATATAGCCTGTCTCCGTTTAGAAACCTAAAGCCTCTCATGAAGCATGTTCCTCAAGCTCACAGTGGATAACAGATGCCACACCTTATGAGGAACAGGTGTTCAGAACCTCAAAATCCCGAGGCGTAAACCTCTAGACCAACAGTGCATCTGAATTTAGAAACCTCATGCATCTTGTGAGGCACACAATGAGTAACAGTTTGTACATTTTGATGTAAAAGTATTTGGGCCTCAGAACCTCACAGATTACCATGCCTCCAAACTATAACTTATGAGTTTCAGACCCAAACCTCATGCCTCATCTGAGGTTTCAGCCTCGAGGATTAGGCACCTCAAAATCCATACTTCACACACCTTGTGAGGCACAAACCTCAAGTGCTATTCCTCATTTACCATTCCTTAATAACATCTTCTACTCCTCAGCAATCCATGACAGCCTCATGAGGCATGAACCTCAAATACAGTCCCATGCCTCATTAACCATTCTTCATTAACCACACCTTTCACCCTTTCAGCCATCCATGACAGTCTGGTGAGGCACGAACCTCTCGGCGTGCCTCTTCCTGACGTCGCTGAGGAAGGTGAGGAAGGAGAGGAGGAGACACCTCGAGGTTACACCTTGGAGAAACTCGAAGAGTCTCTCATCCGTAAGTTCTTAATATTTGTTTCTTAATAAGTTCCTTTTCTTGGAGATCTGTAAGCTAATATGGTATATATGAGGCGGTCTGGAAAAAAATAAGACAAAACTGGGCACAGGCCCAGAAAAAGGCCAAAAAAAAAAAAATCCTGAATGGTGGTGACTTTTTTCCTGATTTTCCGATTTGTTGATATTTTCTAATCTTTGATATGTCAACTCTACATATTTTAAAGTAATAATATAAAATTGTGAAGTAAAAGTGTTTCTAAGGAAAAACGATTGGCATTTTTCATTTTCACAAATACAAAACTCGACATTTTAAAAGCCTTTTTCTCACTATTTTACCTACTTGACATGTCGATAAATGCGAACTTGAAACAGCCATAACTTGTCAATGGAATGTCCAATTAAAGTGCAACAAACAGTATTATCAGAAGAATTAAATTCTCTTTCCTAATACTCGAAAACCCCACATTTTGGCAACTCCTCATGTGTAGATGCTCATTTATTTCTTTCATCAGTGATTATGCCATGATGTTTAATTTTTCCATACAGAATGCAATGAGAATGCTCAGCGTATTTTCAAGAGCGTCTTGCATCGTAAGGACCGTGCGGACTCCACACGCAATGCCCTCAATGTCTTGAACCGATTCAAATTTCTTTTCCATCTGCCCATCACGATTGAACGCAACATCAAAAAGGTGTGATGATCTGACCTGACCTGACTTGACCCGACTTGACCCCACCTGACCTATCCAAAAATGGATCAAAAAATTTATCAACATTTTTTTTTGTCATGCCAAGAAGAGTCAAATTGTTTGGGTCCTTTTTCGTAAAATATATTTCGTTGAAGTCCTCTTGGAGGATTCAGTAGCGGATGGAAAGTAATTTTTTGTGCTAACTGACATTTTTAAAGGTGATGGTTTCAATTCTGTTTCTTCCTAAATCACTGCTTTCCTGGTTTTTTTTTTAGATTTCCGTTATCTGTAGCTTACAAGTTTAAATGTTTATGTTGCCAGGGCGACTATGAGGTTGTCATTAACGATTATGAGAGAGCAAGGCAATTGTTTGCTGACACGGAGGTCACCGCCTTCAAGAAAGGTACGACCTCTACACTAAAAAATGGAGAAATTTCAATTTTGATGTCTTGTTTTATTAAAGCAAATTCTACCTCTAATATTAGCGTGCACTTTTCTCTGCTTATTGCTTCTTGTCAATGAGAAATGGATAAGTGCTCCATATAGGCATTTCTTCTGTTTGTAAAATCTTAAGGCCATTTTTGTTTAGGTTGCCACTAGGATATACATTTAAGAAGTGGTTGGTAGCAGATTTTGCCAAAAATTTAACATTAACACCTTCATTATGTAAGAAAGAGGTGTTTTTATTTTGTCTTTGGTAGCGTAGTCGGTTATTTTGTATTCTCAACAATCTAATGATACATGTTTTAAAACATAAATAACTTTTCTGTTTTTTGGTTTTTTTGCGACGTTGATCTTCCAATGTTTGTCATTCTGTGGTTGGCTTTGGCAAAGAAAGGTCTATAATGTGAGACATTTGAAACCGTTTGTGTTTCGTCACAGTGTATGAAGAAGTGGAGAAGCGTATTGTCGACCTGAGAGTTCAACTCAAAAACAAATTGATGGAGCTACCTTCGACTCTGGATGATCAGAAGAAACTCATCAGGTAAGCGATCAAAATCTGCTGAAGAAGGATTCTGCTAAGCGTTATTACTTTGCTTAAGTGTAACACAATCTGTGTTGTCTTAACGGCTTTGGCACTTTCTTGGTTAGCAAAAAAGCAATTTAGGCTCTTCTCCATGGCAATCTGCTTATGGTTGATTGAAGATCTGTCTAAAAGAGACTTTTCAAACAAATGCAGAAATTTTGAACATGGACACTAAAAATTCAGAGAAATTTTAACCATCCTTCTGGCGCTGGCAAATTCAACAAAGCCATCCCAGCAGTCAAAATCAATCAAGCGACTGTTTTTAAAGGTTGAGAGCTCCCTGTTCACATAAAGCAGGATTGACTGGCTGTGACTGTTTATGTGACTTGATACAGCTATGCTTTGACTGTAGGTGATTGATAAACCAGCTGTGCCTACCAGTTACCCACTTTTATCTGTTGATGGAATTTGAAATGTGATCTGACTGTTGGTGACTAGCCTGTGTATAAAGGCCTGGCAGGGAAAAAGGATTGATTTTTTGACTGTTTGTGACTGTCATTGAGATGCATTTCACTATCGTTTGGTGTTTTTTGCAGATATTTGGTGGAGCTGGAGGCCCCTGGTGACCCAGCCTGGGAGTGCATCGTCAATCAACAACATTGGCTCCTGAAGTTGCTGCAAAAATGCAAGGATGACCATCTCCAAATGGGTATGCAGGCTTTTCAGATTTAGGAGTTCTCATCTTGGGAATTCCCTGTCAAATCTTATGACAATTTGAATTAAGCCTTGTTTCAATAACAACATTTTCCGTATGTTTGTGTGTTTTTGTAATTTTTTTAGGCCGAAATAAACAATGGACAACTAACCGGTGGACAATTTTAGTGTCGCCTCAGATTATAATTATCCCTTTAGTGACATGACATTAAACAACAAGATGGTCGGCAGTTTCAAGTTCAATAGTTGACAATCTGTAACTGGTTTCATTTTTTTGATGCAGATCAGCAGAACAACCCTGAGCCGACGAGCGTGACTTTACGAGCCAAGGTGCACCACTCCAGAAACAGATCAGGTTTGAAAGATTGAAGAAGAATGCTAACATTAAGTACTAATAATGAAACTGCATATTGACAGACAACTTCCCCACACCCACCTTCCACTTCAGTGGCCCTTCAACAAAACGAAAACAATTCACACACATCCCCATGTGATTTGTTTTCGTTTTGCTGAAAGAACACTTACCTTCTTGTGATCTGTGGATAAAACTTTAAAACGGTGGTTGTGTTTAAAATTCTGTAACTTGAAAAGTACACGAGTGATTTCAATGATTCTGGTACTAAAAGAAAGCTTATGAATTGGGCTTTCACATCCTAGATTTTGAAAGTGCTACATGCAGAACTTCACTAAAACAATGGTCCCGACATTTGGGTTTTGTTTTTTTTACTCACCCTGTATACATTGTATATATAATTTTTTTTACATTAAGTTACTTTTGCAAGAATTTCATACCAACAAATATTTAAATTCTGGTGAATGGAAACATTTTTCCCATTTTAATCTATTCGAGCTAGTCAATATTAGAGATTCAACACCCTAACCCTAATAAAAAGCATCAGAACAAAAGAAATTCACACTGAATCTTTTTTGACATAGTTTTCTCAGACCAAACCACATTCGAACGGAAAGATCTTTTATTAAAATTTTAAGTTTGCACAAATTTGCGTAAATATTAATTTCTTCTATATGGGATTTTTAGAGCTAATATTACATATTAACTTGATTTGAAGCTTGTAATTATTGATCCAACAACTGACACTTATAACGTAACAAAAATGGAGAATTAATGCTGAGAATAGATGGCATGAAGTAACTTTTCAAAAACATGCATTTGATTTCTTTAAATATTAATAACAGAATTGCTCCATGGACTAACTTGTATGATGTCTTAAGACAAGAATGGAATGACCATCATTTGCATTTTGTTGCTTGTCATTTACAAAACTAATTTTCCATCTAATTATATTGTAATTGGTTGCATCTTTATTTCTGAGTTGGAATGCCTACTTTTGTTTTTCCTTTTTATGTTTTCTTTGGTTACATTTCTGTGCTGTTTTTGTTTACATTTAGGCTCTTTCAATCAAATGAAATTCAACACTGCTGATTCAGGTGAGCATGGCATCGTGCGATCGGCTGAACTCACGTTTTGCCATTTTTTGTTTTCTTTAAAAGATCTTTTCTTTATTATATTTTACATCAACGCTTATAAAAGCACGTTTGTTTTCAATTAAATTTATTTTATGTCTCGGCAAATGAATTGTTAAAGGAGAAGCATTTTAAAAAAAAAAAAAAAAGGAGATGGACGCCTGCTGTGTGCAGGATTCATTGTCCAAAATCAGTTTAATGGGAGTATACAACATTTGCAAACATAAAAAAAACACCAAATTATCATGAAATACCTTACTGGACTATTAGTAAACGAAATGCTAAAGCATCCTGTGAAATCGTGGCACCCGGTGTGCTGGCATTTTCAAGAAAAGTGGTATTTTGTATCAATTTCCAACACTGGTCGGCCAACCAGCGTTAGAAGAAACTTCCTTTTTTTTTCAAATACTGCCTCCAATTTACCTTAATTTGATTGGTCCACATTTTGTTTGCAATCAGTTATGCACTTATGAATGGGTACAAGCCAGCTAGACTGGTTCCCTGGCCTTACAATTCCCCAACGTCTATAAATAAAATTGCTGTGTTTCGTCTTAAGCGGGTCGGGGAACCACACTACAAGATTATGATCGTTTTTTCTTGGTTTTTCCAGCATCTACGAATGCAAAAGTTCAAACAAGTGTAACAATATTTGCCGTAAAATACGAACCCCCCCCCCCCAAATCCATCCAGTTCTGAAAATTACAGCAAAAGCAAATGTTGTATATTCCCTGAAAAGTGCACTTGAAAGTTCATTTGTTTTCAAGTATGTACTCCATACACAAATACTCTCTAAAAATTAAAATGTGTTATATTGCTGTTAATGTAAGGAACCTCACTGTTCATTTATTTTATTTATTTATTCCTTTATTTACTCAGGGTGAACCCAAACAGTAATAAACTGATTTTTAGTGGGCCCTTAATTAAAACAATAAATAAACATAAGTTGTGAGCCTAGAAGACATAAGATTATAAAACAAGATTTTTTTCTAAATTTACTTGAAATTTTCGACCACATTATTGGGACACATGAAGTGCACTGATTTCAGACTGATATCAAGTGGTGATCCTTATTCTTGGTTTGGACTGTACCATTTTGATTTCAGAGGGGAAGTACAGCCCTCCCCAGCGTGTTCTCCTGTTAGAGGAATTAGTGGATGTCTTACAACTCACCCTACCAGACTTTGTCAAGTTGGGCCAGTCCTATTTCTCTGCGTCGATTGTGGCCGAGGTATGGTTTGGCATTTGAACAATTATTCAAGGAGAGTAAAGAACAAATGAATGACCAATAAATTTTTCTATCAGGAAGCTAATAGGGTCCACAAGAGATTGTAGTGTGGCATTCAATCATTATGGCATTTCTTTTTAATGCTTGTATGGTGGTACGTAATATGTGGGTGCAAAAGGGATATTGTAGCCAAATGATCAGTTAAGTGATATGTTTTATAGCACCATTTTATTACTTTCTAAAATTGATAAATATTCTAGGCAAAATGATAACCTCATTTGTTGTCAATCTGCAGTTTGTGTTTGATTAAACTGTTATATTGAAACCCATTGAAACATTCATGTTTTCATCTTGCTGGAATTATAATTGCGAATTCTCTTCTTTTTCCAGGCTGGAGGGAAGGACATGAATATCGACAGATCCAAAGAGAAGAACTTCAGGGTGAGTTGAAGATGGTCTTATTTCTGTCTACATGTTCTAGTACTACATGCATGCTCAGCTGTTAATTTTGACGACTTGTGACATAAGAAATTGATCCTGTCTTGTTTAATATTGTTTTTTGTATGACTTTTTTTGGAGTATGGAATCTGTCCAGCTATTCAATTAAGTGGACATCCCTTTCACATTTAGGGTGGCATGGGTGGCTTGTGCGTAAAGCGCTTGCCTCTCACCAAGGTGACCACGGTTCGAATCCTGACCTTGGATCGTATGTGAGTAGAGTTGTGCGTTGGTTCTCTCCTGTGGCACGAGGGTTTTTCTCCAGTCCCTCCAGTTTTCTTCCCTCCGGAAAAATCAAACACTTTCGATCTCAGGCTGTGCTCCGTGGTCATATATGGGTCGATGTGGCCGGCAGCCATAGGCGCCTTTACGTGCCAGCGGCCCGACCACGTTGTAGCCGCGTCCTTCGCAATTCAGCATACCAGCTGCGAGTAAGGATGATTAGCCTCCCAAATTATTATTATTATTATTATCTATTTTACAGCCTTTATTTATACTTTCTGGTTTTTAACCTAAAACAAATACAGCAAATGGTGACTGAGGTGACGGTGTTGTTTGCAAACCTCGTCCGTGCCGCTTTCCTGCCTGACTCACTGATCAAAATACGCAAAGAGGAGAGAGCCAAATATGGATTCTGGTCTGACACCAAGCAAGATGGGGCAGCAGGGGCGTGGCTACCTCCCTGCGTCAGGAGTGTCAGGTGAGTGAAGAGGGTGTGGTCATGTTGGTCAGACACCAAGCAAGATGGAGCAGCAGGGGCGTGGCTACCTCCCTGCGTCAGGAGTGTCAGGTGAGTGAAGAGGGTGTGGTCATTCTGGTTAGATACCAAGCAAGATGGAGCAGCAGGGGCGTGGCTACCTCCCTGCGTCAGGAGTGTCAGGTGAGTGAAGAGGGTGTGGTCATTCTGGTCAGCTATCAATCAAGATGGAGCAGCAGGGGCGTGGCTACCTCCCTGCGTCAGGAGTGTCAGGTGAGTGAAGAGGGTGTGGTCATTCTGGTTAGATACCAAGCAAGATGGGGCAGCAGGGGCGTGGCTACCTCCCTGCGTCAGGAGTGTCAGGTGAGTGAAGAGGGTGTGGTCATTCTGGTTAGATACCAAGCAAGATGGGGCAGCAGGGGCGTGGCTACCTCCCTGCGTCAGGAGTGTCAGGCGAGTGAAGAGGGTGTGGTCATTCTGGTCAGATACCAAGCAAGATGGGGCAGCAGGGGCGTGGCTACCTCCCTGCGTTGGGAATGTCAGGTGAGTAAGGAGGGTGTGGTCATTCTGGTTAGATACCAAGCGAGATGGAGCAGCAGGGGCGTGGCTACCTCCCTGCGTCAGGAATGTCAGGTGAGTAAAGAGGGTGTGGTCATTCTGGTTAGATACCAAGCAAGATGGGGCAGCAGGGGCGTGGCTACCTCCCTGTGTCAGGAGTGTCAGGTGAGTGAAGAGGGTGTGGTCATTCTGGTCTGACACCAAGCAAGATGGAGCAGCAGGGGCGTGGCTACCTCCCTGCGTCAGGAATGTCAGGTGAGTAAAGAGGGTGTGGTCATTCTGGTCTGACACCAAGCAAGATGGGGCAACAGGGGCGGGGCTACCTCCCTGCGTGAGGAGTGTCAGGTGAGTGAAGAGGGTGTGGTCATTCTGGTCAGATACCAAGCAAGATGGGGCAACAGGGGCGGGGCTACCTCCCTGCGTCAGGAGTGTCAGGTGAGTGAAGAGGGTGTGGTCATTCTGGTCAGACACCAAGCAAGATGGGGCAGCAGGGGCGTGGCTACCTCCCTGCGTCAGGAGTGTCAGGTGAGTGAAGAGGGTGTGGTCATTCTGGTCAGACACCAAGCAAGATGGAGCTGAAGGGGCGTGGCTACCTCCCTGCGTTAGGAGTGTCAGGTGAGTGAAGAGGGTGTGGTCATTCTGGTCAGATACCAAGCAAGATGGGGCAGCAGGGGCGTGGCTACCTCCCTGTGTCAGGAGTGTCAGGTGAGTGAAGAGGGTGTGGTCATTCTGGTCAGATACCAAGCAAGATGGGGCAGCAGGAGCGTGGCTACCTCCCTGCGTCAGGAGTGTCAGGTGAGTGAAGAGGGTGTGGTCATTCTGGTCAGATACCAAGCAGGGGTGTGGCTGCCTTCCTGCTGAGAAAAAATGGCTAAGTTGTTTCAGGAATTTAGACAATTTCACTTCAATGCTAAAAATATGCAGAAAAGTAAATGGATCTCATACTAATGAGGACATGAAGTACATATCAGGAAATGATCCATGTATCGTAATGAGAAAAGCTTTTTGTTTAATATTTGAGCTATTATTTGATTGTTTCAGGTCTGTTCTTGGCTCCATGGCAGCTCTGGATGTACCCTCTTCTGCCCTGGATCATGTCCACTCACTAGTTGCTGATCTGAGGGTTCATTGTATGGAGACACTCTTCATAGAAGCCAAGGAAGGTCAGTCGGATGTGGGTCAACACACCCAGGGACTCTTGGGGGGGGGGGGGGTTCGTGGGGGGGGGGATGTTTTGGGTTTGAGATGATCACTCGTTAGTAGCTGATCTGAGGGTTCATTGTATGGAGGCACTCTTCATAGAAGCTAAGGAAGGTCAGTCACATATGGTTCAACAGGTCTTGGAGCTGGGTGTGTTGAGGGGTGGAGATAGGGGTACATCCAGCAGGTGCCTAGGGGGAGTGATTGTTCCCTTATTAGTAGCTGATCCTGTGGTTGATTGTAAGGAAATCCTCTTTGAAGCGACTAAAGCAAATCGCTCATAGTTCAACATGACCATAAGCTTGGATGACACAAATCGTAATCATCTATGGATTTGCTTGCTCTAAATTGTGACTTGCAACTATTTCTCTACAAGGCACTGAATTTCTAGTAATTTGTGTCTTTCAGACATCAGGGGCCTTCATACTAGAGAGACCTGGGTTCTACAGATGGATGATCATGGAGGAATAACCTCGTTGGTGAGTCACCTTAAGATATCTGAAGAGAAATGTTTACCCTCTTCCAAGTCCTTGAACTTGTCTGTTTCTTCTTCCAATTTTGGGATAGATTTTTTATTTTGACAGTAGGGATACCTGGACCCTTTTAACAGAGACAATCCTGAATCATTTAATGTTAATACGATATTTCACAGCATAGGGAGTTAGGATTATTAGTTCTTATTGGCAACGACTCATATATCAACCCTAACCACCCCTAATCATCTGAGGTGTTACGCCTGGTTTTGCTTGATTTCTGAAAATTCAAGATTATTAGCCAAGCTTAAACTGTAGGCTGTGACTCCTCAATTTTTTTATTATTAAGTGTAAATATTTTGGCCATTGATAACATTGTGCAGTTATCAGGCCGCTCCTTAACAAAATTAAACAGATTTTATTGCACTTGTTGAATCTTAAGCCACTAAGCAATTTTTTTCAGTAATGAATTTGATCTTCGTTTATTTTGAGAATGTATTGTTGAGTTTTATATGCTCTATTTTGCAGCCTATGTTGTTTGAGAGCATGGTGGTGGACGTCGTGCAACATCTTCAAGAGGTGGTCAGCATAGCCAAAGCGGGCGAGAGAGACGTAAGAGATTTCTCCTCCATTCTTGCTTGAAATAGTGCCCTCGTGCAGTCATGCACAGAGAGGATAGTCGTAAGCCCTGATCACGCAAGGCGGTACTTACAAATTACATGTATTGTCGTGTTGCACTTCAGGTAAATTTTTGTTATTTGATCTTTCTAGATTTTCAGCGATTACGATGTTCAACGTAAGACGGTAACACTGACCTCAGATATCTTGAAGGTAAGTGTCAAGTGGATTTGATAGCGTAAATGGGGTCTTAACCACACTGGAAATCAGGGAAAACCTTGAAAATGAGTGTCCGTTTTTCCAGTCAGGAAAAACTCGGGAATTTGGGAAAAACACTAAAAAAGCAGGGAAAACTCAGGGAAAAGGATGAAGGGGAGGGCCATGACTAGTGAACATGCTTATGAAAAGATGTTTTCCTCTTGGATCAACTGTAAACAGGATGATGTCAATGATTTTACTTCTTGTGTCTTCAGGCCTTCGCTGGTTGCTTGGAGCAGTTGGCATTCATGGGTGAAACAGAAGCGGATACGCATCGTCTAAGGTCAGACAAATTAAAGTATTTTTTGAAAAACTGTACCATTAATTTTTGACATTTGATATGAAACGAGGAAAAAGAACCATGTTTTCAAGAAAAAAAATGCAGGGTCGAGGTTTTATATAATAGAATAGCACCTGCTTGAGATGGAGACAATATTGGCTGTAATCTACTTTTTTCAAAATAAATGAAGAAATTTAAATTATTTCTGTAAATTATTATTTTTATTCTTCCTCCTGTAGATTATCTGAAGCTCAAATGAGAATCCCTGTATCTTTATTCCAGTCCTCGGAGGACAGTCTTCCTTCCATGGTATGTTGATGATTCACTCGTGAAGCATGTCCAAGGTCTCAATCCTTGGTTTGAAGTCGAAATCCTTAGTCATCGAGGCAGATTTGAAGGCTATGACCGAATCACTTGGCTGTGGCTAACAGTAATGCACGTGTCTATGGGAAGTGGCTGCAGCCACATCCCATAGGCCCATGTGTAACTGTAAGCCGTAGCGGAATTATTCTGATATGGTCAAATATTGGATTTTTCCCTTCACTAACTGAAGTCATCCATTTACATTACATTACAAAAGGTGTGCGTTCTTTCAGCAAAATGAAAACAATTCACACACATCCTTATGTGATTTGTTTTCGTTTTGCTGAAAGAACACTGAACTTTTTGTGATCCATGGACAGAACCCTAAAACAGCGGTTGTGTTTAAAACTCCGTAACTTGAAAAGTACACGAGTGATTTGAATGATTCTTGTACTAAAAGAAAGCTCATGAATCGGGCTTTTATATCCTAGATTTTGAAAGTGCTACATGCAGAACTTCACTAAAACAATGGTCCCGACATTTGGGTTTCTTTTTTTTTTTACTCACCCTGTATACTCAGTATCCATCTTCTTATTCACACCTCTTCTGATATTACAGTTTTACTCTGTCAGTGATATCTAATTCCTTCTGCTGCCTCCAATTTTTTTTTTCAGGAGCAATGTCTTGTGATTGTCTTGAGCAACTGCAACCACGTGTCTCAGTTTGTCATTCCCAACCTCGTGGAGCAGTTCAAGAAGCAAGGCTACCCATGTATGCTGGAGATGGAAAGGGTAAGAGAAATAGGGAAAGAGTGGGAAGATCCAGTGGCTGTGAGGGGAGTTGGAGGCCATCTTGTAGATGGTAATGCACGCTGCATAGACCTTTATGGAAAGCCCTAAATTTGTCCTGGAAAACTCATGGAACTTTATTTTGAGACTTTGGGAACCCTGACCAAGTTAAAACTGGGCGCCGCAATTCTGTTCAGCCAATTTTGCATCAACTATTCTCAACTCCCTGCCCTCTGCCCCTTTCATGTCTTTCAATCAATCAATTCAAATGCGCCTTGAAACATTTGCTCTCCTGGTGAGTGACTTATGATTTCGAACTGACCCTTGTTCCCATGGCAACAGAATGCCCAAGAAGCCTACATTGAGTTGGATGAGAAGATTTTCGAGGCGTACTGTGAGCAGAAGACAGATCCGTTGGTTGGAGCGTTGGAACCCGGGATGTATGCGGGTCATTTTGACTGGGGAGATTGCCCCAAACCAACAGGTAAAAAGTAGGATTCTAAGATCATAGCGGGTTAACCCTTTGGCTGTTGTACCGCCCCAAACCGCTCTTCCTGTTACTCCTTATACCGGAGTGTCATGGCCTAGTGGTTAAGAGCACCGGACTCATGCTCTGGTGTTTCAGAGGCAACAGTGGCGTGGGTTCGAGCCCGGGCCCGGACACTTGTGCCCTTAAGCAAGGCACTTAACCATTATTGCTTCGTCCTTTGGATGGGACGTAAAGCCGGAGGTCCCGTGTGTTGTATAAGGCCTAACGCACGTAAAAGAACCCAGTAACACTTATCGCTAAGAGAAGGGGTTTGCCCCGGTGTTTCTGGCCTCCTAGTTATTCTCCCTTGCGGAAGTCCTTAGGAGAAGAACCAACCAAGTACCAAGTACCGCCCCAGCCCCCCTATGGTTTTATTGATACATTGAGGAATAATTGTAATTACTTGTGGGGACTTGCGATGGATTCGACTACAACGTTGATGATAAATGGACATTGTGTTTTATCTCATAGGAGTGAGGCCCTACATCAAGGAAGCGGTGATGTGTTCTGTGGGGATACACGCTGAGGTCCACGCCATCGCGCCGGCCTTCATGCCTCGTGTCATGGCGCGAGTCTTAGAAGCAATCTCGGACGAGATGGCTCGATTGATGGGGTGTATCGTGGAGTTTAGTCAGAACGGTGCGTTGCATGCGAGGCTGGAGCTTGCCGCTATGGAGGAGGCATTGACTGCATATAGGAATGCTGGAACTAGGTTGGTATTCTCGTGTGAACAAGATTTAGAGACTATCTCTCAAGAACTAAAGACCCATGAATTGTTAGAGCCCCCTTCTTCTCCCCTCCTGCCACCCTCACTCCCCATCCCTCAACCAGCCTACTCCCAACCAGCCACCCCAACTAGCCCACCCCCACCCCAAACCACTTTCAACCACCCCTGCCCCCACTCCTAATCCCCACACCCCCAATCCTGCTCGAGGAGAAAACTTATATTATTTTCCTTAGTAAAAGTTCCTGAGTAAAGAAGTGGGTATGTGTGGTCCAGCGGTGGAGCACAGGATTCATGATCGTAAGATTGTGGGTTCGAACCCCGCCGTGGCCATGCATGTTGTGCCCTTGAGTAAGGACTTTACCTCAATTACTCCTCTCAACCAGTCGTTAAATGGGTACCGGCATTGTTTAATGCTGGGAAGGTAACAGACAGCAGCATATGAGTCTGGCCCAATCGCTAATGAAAGAGAGATGGGCACTCCGTTCCTGTTAACACAGGTTCATCCACTTTTTAAAAAAGTGAAGTAAAGTCTGTCATGAGCCAATGTGGGTCATCAGGCCGGCGTTTATCTCTGGTTTCAGTAGCGTGAAATGACTGGGAATATTTCTACTCCCCCTGGATGGGATGCCAGTCCATCGCAGGTTACTCCCCAGCTAATGCTGGTACCCATTTATACTCCTGGGTTGAAAGAGGCAAGTGGGGTGAAGTGGCTTGCCCAAGGACACAACATATAACCAGCAGCAGGATTTGAACCCCTGACCCTCTGATCATGAGTCACAAACCCTAACCACTAGGCCGCACTTCCCCAAAAAGTTCAGAATTCAAGTAATATTGATATTTTGATGATCTTTTCCCTGAAGTGATTCCTTTAAGGAGGCGTTAGACAGTGTACCAGTTCTAGCACGCGAAGAAAGTAAAAGGTAAGATTCTAAGATTGTATTCTGTTGAAATTATTTTAAAATTAATAATTTAATGACATCATCTAGTGATTGAATTTCAAATCAGCCTCGAGTGTTTCACCTGAAAAGTTTGTCACAATTACAAAAATTTAATGTTTTGTTGTAGGTTGTATAACGAGCATCTGATTCAGTTCCGTAATGAGATGAGATTCCAGCTGTCCTGCTTCACCACAGACTCCATGGATTCTGACGCATACTATTAACCAAAATCCATCCTGTACCAGCACATCCCAGGTAAAGTTTGGCTATTTTGATGTGTACACAAGATGTGGGATCTGCAGGCCTGTGTGTAAAGTATGGACCTAGTTTTGTAGCGTCATATTTCAAGTGGCATTTAGCCTATGCTTGCGCACTAAGGCGCGATTGGTGGATTTGCGGGTTGTGGGTTCGAGTCCAGCCAGGGGTTATGGTGCGTGTGCCCTTGGGCAAGGCACTTTGTCACTCATTGCTTCTCTCCACCCAGGAGTAAATGGGTACCTGTGAGGGCAGAGATGGTTATGTGATTGAATTAGCTTGCTTGCGCCTAACAGGCAGCATCGAGCTGTATACTCCCCAGGGAGCTGAGATGGTATTTGGAATGTTTACTTGGCCCAGTGATCAGGGGTAATAATAATACAGTAAAAGCGCTGTGATTTAGTTTACTAATAAGAGCGGTCGATCCTGTGGGAAATCTCAGACTTTACTTACCTTTTTCAAAACAATCCTCCAGAGCCGTGAATTACAAAGAATGGTGATCGACTGATGGGGGCGCGATCGACCGATGGCAACACGATCGGCTAATAGTGCAACACGATCGACCGATGGTCAGATACAAAATCTGTGATTTAGATGGAATTATTGCAAAAATTATTGGAGCTTGATTTTGCAAGAAGGAAAATTGTGTTTTCATTCGGACTTCAGCAGACATTTTCCCACATAACCCAGACTTTGTGGCATTATTATTATTTTTAAAGTATTTACCGGACTATTGGAAAACATTTTCTTGAGAAATACAAAATTATGTTTGTAATAATATGTAAACATTTTTGTATATGCAGTTTTCACGTTTGGAGAAAAGCCGAGTAGTGTATAAGGAATTATGAAATAAGATGCATAAATGCTTAAACTTGTCTATTGGTAACATGTTCCTGAAATAAGCAGAGATCTAGTCTTCGCAACTACATGCTTTTCAAAAACATATTCCGGCACTGCAACTGGTGACAATGGTCTCTAGAATGAACAAGTTGCATTATATGCAAAAGTTGGAATATATTTTTACATCAAATTGCTGCTAAAAAAAATTGGAATAGTCACCAAATATGCATGCAGTAAAATGTGTAGTTTTTGTAAGTATGCTGTTTAGAATTTGTCAAATAAGGGGGGGGGGAGTGGTTACATGTAGCCTTGTTGAATGTTATTTGCGTCACAGAATTGCTGTAACATTGATTTTTGTTTTTTTCACTAAAATGTAAATGTTTTTAAAAAATGGAACAAAAGAAAAATCAGTGCAATGTAATAGAGTATATAACTTTACTTTGTAATGAAATGTAATAACTTGAGCTATGTATGTAAAATAAAACAATGAAAAACTGAAATTTTGGTTTTGTAGTTTTTGCTTGCAGAGAAGTACACATCGAGTCATGATTGGTTTAATTACTATATCTTTATTTGTCATATCCACAGCATACCTCGGTGGAATTAGGAGTTAAATTACAGGTTTTTATTTATTACAATGGTAAGCAATTTGTACGAAGCATTTTTTTTTCTCCATGAAATGACCTTTTTGGAAAAGATTACAAAAAGCTATGTTTAGGAAGCTATTTACAGCATACATTCAACAAACCACAAATGTCAATTTTAAACTTTAAAGCCCTTTCAAATGGAGTTAAAATCGTGTTTGTGGTAAACCATGGTTAAACACACCAAAAAATTTTAGAAATTATTATAATTTTGTGTTTAAATTTGACAAAAGTACAAGAAACGCCACCTAATACCTTTTGCAAAAGTTAGTTGATGCAGTGTACTGCTTTCCTGGACTTTAAACTTTGTTACCCCAGGTTCGAACTCCACCTAAGCTGTTGTAAGGTTCCGAGACCCTACCTGATTTTCTAGCTAAAATTATGTGAATTCTATTAATAGTTTTTCTTAGATGTCAAATATTTTAGCATGACCTGCAATTCACCGCAACAACCCGAGAGACTTTCTGAAAATCATCCGACTTGTTTCGTTATTAGATCTCGCTGAGCTATCTGCGGTGTAAAGGTTAACCCATTACCAATTTTAAAGCAAATTTATATTTTTATCAAATTGGTGAATGTTACCGTGGCAACAATTTTACAATCGGTTAATATTTACAAATGTAAACCAATGTAAATAAGCTGGCATGATGAAATTAATGTGAACAGCTTTTACTTTGGACTACATATTAATGGATGACTACGAAAGAAAAAGAAAAAAACAATCCCACCAACCCAAAATAAACATAAAATAAAACCAAAAAGAAAATATCTCAGAAAATATCCAAAAAAAAAAAAAAAAAAAAAAAAAAAAAAAATGAAATTCTGTAGGCTGAAATCAGTGGCAATTTCAATGGAACATTAAAGAAAAATAAACAAGATCAATTGTTCACTTATTTATATGTGAACATTCTAACTTCTCCACAAAAACTGACACATCTGCAATTAATTATTTGCAAAAACATAACAAAAACAGGTTTAAAACCTAAGCAAATCTTTTTAAACATTTTGTTCAGGGAACATATTTAGTTAAATTTTGTTGATGTCTCAATTCACAAAAATCCGTTCTTTCAAAAAGAAATAGATGAAGTTTAACTGCATGAATCTTATGTATATTTACATTTCGTGATATCACCAATCATTAAATGTATAGAACAAAGAACAACATAGTTGCAGATCTTATGATATACACTCGACATGCACATGTGACCAACATAGCAAGAGTTACCTGTGCGTCACTCAACAACCTTTCTTCCGATTGTTTTTTTTGGGCAGGAAAAAAAATTCAACTTCAAACTCTGTCAGACTGTTTTTAGAAAAGATAATATTTCTGACCAATACTTCACAAAAACAAAAAAAAACAGGTGCAAAATTTGCAGAATTATTACTTGGCAAATTCAAATGTACATTGCATCACATGACATTTTGGCCGCTAACCTTTTCTCAGCTTTTTAGCGTAAATTTTCTGAGCTTAAAAAGTTCCAGCTCCATAGCATAGGCCTCAGTCACACATCATCCCAAACACTGGTACAGGCCAAACTTTCAAGGTTTCTGATTGGTTACAGGTAATGACTTATGCATATCTCAACCAATCAGAATAATCCCCTTGTACCATTATGCACACCAAGATGGCATACTTCTTACATACAACAATTATCACCTTTCTTCATCACTTTTTCCCAAATTATACTACACTTAACGTTGTCTTTAACATGTTTAATTACATAATAATATACCTATATTAATTTTCTGTTTCTCTGTACAATTTTGCTGCCTAAATGGAGACAACTTAAAAAAAAAAAAAACCTCGAGAACACATGCGGTATTTTTACAGTAATATCTCATTGTTTATGCAGATCATGATGTGTTGACTCCATAGAGCTATATTAAATTAGTAGAGCGCTGACTCGTGTACAAAGTGATGCCTGCTGGGCGCATCCATGTTTGTGCACAAACCTATAGAAAACTGGAAATTGTGTACGTTTTTTGTACGGCTATTTGCATATCTGCGGTTATATTCTATACAGGTGCGTTATCGAAGCCGATACGCCCAAAACCGAAACGCACGATCAGCAAATGAGCGTTTCATTTTGCTTTACGCAAAAAGTGCAATGCACGTGCTTATTCCCTGCAGATGCTTTTTGCTGCGACGTTTTTTTAAACGTCATGACGCGCTTAAGTTATTTGCGTATGTTCTACTTGCGCGTTGCATTTAGAGTACACTTTTTAAATTCAATCCATCTAATTTGATTGTGTTCTACACACACACACATTAATTCAAAATGTCGGCGCCCAGAGCGGCTTCAAAGCGTCTCCGCGCGCAAGAATGAGGAGTAAGCGCTCTAGTAATTTAATATAGCTCTATGGTTGACTCGCACTTTGGCCCGTCAAAATAGCACTTTATATCACTGCACAGCCCACGTTCTGGGAGCTGGCTGACTTTTCCCTAAAACCCAGCACACACCTTTCCAATTTAAGGTTTTTTTTCCACCGTTGCGGTCTTACCCGCACACATGCCCGATTCTGTTCTATAATCGGTCACATGATTATCAGTCACATGATGACCAGTCACATGTCACAAAATGGCAGCCGTCAATTTAGAATCATGTGACTTCCTTTGTGAATCTGATTGGTTAACATAAATATCGCACACTTTTCTGGTGACATCGGATCCGGTGAAATCGGATGCAAAAAAAAAAAATCAAAGATGTTTGATTTCATCAGGTCGCCCTTAATACGATCAGATCGGTCCTAATTTTCAGCGCACACCTCGGTACGATGACCCGATGATTGGGTCACCCGGTAAAATCCGAAAGGTGTGCGCCGGGCTTAAGAAAGCAGCCCGCTCAGGATTGTTCCTCAAACTTAAAAAGGGAACCAAGGTGCCGTGTTACAGGCCAAAAAGTAAAGGTCAATTATCAAAGTAAATTTTTTAAACTCATAAACTGAAACTCTACAAAAATTTTGAGTTGAACGTCCATCAGAAGTAAAACTCAACAACTTATTATCAACAACTCATCAACTTAACGTAAATTTTGAAACGCACTGTACATTATTAATAGGCACTTATTATGCAAGCATATATTTATTATGTTTTTGTTTTTGTTTTCTGATCTTTACAAATAATGCTAAACTGTACAACAATCAAGGACTTACCCTGGTGAATCGACATACTTTATATTAAATGGAGCTTTTACATCCAGCTCCTCAAACCTAAACCCTTGATACAAAACTCCACCCATTAAATAAACCTTGTTTATACACATCCATGGTACTTGAATCAAAGTACGCTTTTTTTTACCACTAAGCTGGTTCCAACATCCTCCTTTTCAAGTTAATAATATACCAGCGGGACAGAATACCAGCCAACTTTGCTTTTGTTAAATTACATTTTAACAAATTGTAATTTAACGATTCTCAAATGGTAACAGATGACCAGCTCACGTGAACCAGTGACATATAAATGCCTAAAGGGCGCCCTCGGGAGTTCACGCGCAGAGCCAATAATCACCTAGCCCCATTAGATCAAGTCGCGTCGTCTGTAGAACAGGAGATACGGTGTGTAGGCAGCCAGTGGCTTAGTGACTTGATGTAACCGTATCGGCTTCACGATGCTGTCGTCGAGTCGCAGCCAGCTGTTACTACCAGCGTGGAAGACATCAGTGATGTAATGTCCACCAGAGGCTTCCTTACCTGTGTGGTACACCACTGCAATAATAAAAATCAGAAAAATAAAATTGAATTATATCATGGTCAACAGAGGCCACACCACTGCAAAAATAAAAAAGAAAACTAAATGAAATAATGTCCATCGTAGGCCTCCTTACCTGGTGAACCAATTGCCCCCCCCCAAAAAAAATAATAATAATAAAAATATTTGACTGCCAATGCAACATTTTAATATCAGAATGAATAATGAAATTGATTGGATTGTAACCTGCAAATACCAAAGTTTAAAGGTCAAATTCTATCCCAGTCGATTTTTCCTCCAACATAATTTTTCTATGAATGTGTACAAATTATGTAAGATTTGAAATATTGTCTGTAGTTAAGCAGTAAAGTCTGTCACGAGCCAATGTGGCTTATCAGGACGGTGTTTATCTCCGGTTTTGGTAGCATTAAATGACTGAGAATATTTCTATTCCCCCTGGATAGGATGCTAGTCCATCACAGGTTACTCCCCAGCTAATGCCAGTACCCATTTATACTCCTGGGTGGAGAGAGGCAAGTGGGGGTGAAGTGGCTTGCCCAAGGACACAACATGTGGCCAGCAGCTGGATTCGAACCCCGGACCCTCTGATCATGAGTCATGAACCCTAACCACTAGGCCACACTCCCCTAGAAACTTTGCTCGTAGGAGAAGTAAATTGAGAATTGTCCAGAAAAGGTTTCTGTGAAGAACAAATGGCTAAACACTGAACATTTCAAAAAGTGTGCTTTGGTCATTATTTTTTTAAGACTATGAAGATGATCAAGAATTTTCTATTTCATAAGTATCAAAAGGAATGGTTCGGTTAGAAGACTTTCTTACCGGCAAATAATTTGTAACTGCGCTGTGCGTACAAAGCCTTGGACTTGATGTTCGGCGACAGAAGGTCTGAAAAACAGAATAACACGTCTATTCTGAAATATGAGTATCAACGGGAAGTGTTACAGTCAATGATTACTGAACGAAAAATACATCAGGGTACTGAAAATTTGATGTCCGCTGGCCCACTAGCAGTATATTATATAGTGGATAGTAGCAGGCAGGAATCCGTGAGCAATTTCTGTTAAAAGTAAACAGTTAAGCAAAGTGCCTAGCATTTTTAACCCTGGTTTTGGTGGCAAAAACATATTTTTGTGTAGTTATTTCAGAAATTCTGTATTAGCAAAAAATTACAATTGCTTAAATGTTTGTTATGTGAATCACGGGAAGACAGTCACTGAAAACAATTCCATGTTACATTAAAACCAAAAAAAAAAAAAAAACCAATTGGTGAAAAAAAAAAAAGGAAAGGTCAGATCCCAATATCAAAAATTTACTGCATAGGTTTTATCTTAACATCTCAAATAAAAAAAATTAAAACATTAATTAAATTTAAAAAAATAAATAAAAAATAAACAAACAATTTAGTACCCACCTCTATTGATCTCTAGTTCCACTCCATACTCTAGTTTCTTCATGACTTTCTGACATCCACCAGATTTATCGTAGACGAATCGTTTCAGGTGAAGCGTCAACACGGGAGGTAGTTCCTCAAGAGTGATACGTCGAGAGGCTTCAACCTAAACAAAGACCAACAGAGTTGTACTTCAGTCAGTCACAAGTACTTACAAGTCATTGCAAGCTATTCAAATGAACTATGACAAAAGATTTCCTGTTTTTTATTTGGTTGCGGTACCTCCTGCAACATCGGACCCGAACCGGTCAGCCGACCCAGCAAGCTCAGTGGTTGAGTGGTAACACGTTGGCATTAGCAATCAGGAGGTTGTGGGTTCGAGTCCAACCCGAGTACGCTTGTGGATTTTTTCTCGCAAGCCCTCAGACAACATTGAGAGTAACTATATGGGTGCATGGCAAAACCCTTGATTTTTAGTGTTAAACTGAGTTGTGTTTTGACTTGTGATATGAGTTACGATTAAGGAAATAAATATGTGCTAGGCCAGTTTTCTACAAGTACGTTTATAACCGGCTTCGGGCCTGATTACCGATTAAGGCCCGAGCCAAAAACCACTAGGGACCTAGTCCTCGATTATCCGTGGCCAAGCCCATACCCAATTTTAAACATACTTGTTAAAACCAGCCAAGCAAGCGTTTATTCGCATTCATAAATACCTTTCGGTCAAAACTTCAAAACAAGTCGAAAATTCACAAATTTACAATGTTTTTGTTCAACAATTTACTTCATGTTTTGTGAAACCCCCCCTCTGACCATGTCTATGGTATGTGCCTCATGCGAATAGTGTTTAAAATCTCCTTATATGGAAATTGGCATGTGCTCGGCGCATACTGCACGATGTGATGGAGAACCCAGGAATTGTGTTTTAAACCAGCTGGTGATTTATCAGCAGTTCAAGACCACCCACGTGACGGGCTCTTGACCAATATGGGTAAACTGTCTGAGGTATTTGTGAATAACATTTACCAAGATGAGCTCATCTTGTGCATGCATGGAGATTTTAATTGCAGTGTCAATAAATACTGTAGCTAACTATGTTCTTTACTTAGCTTACTGCTCACAATCTCCATGAATTGCTCACAAAAATGTTTTGCACATTTACTTTATTGCTGTTGAATTTGGGGAATTAATATCCACAAAAATCTACCAACGGTTTTCCTAAACACTGAAAAACATAGGTTGAACAATTAGGTCGTACTGGCAGATTCATTTCAAGATCTTGAATCATTTGAAGGTCGACCGGAAAATGTCTTAGTAATGTGCGTGGTCTTGTTTCCTACCTCCTGCTTGGTCTTGTTGCATGTGAAACCATGGAGTGCCTCTCGGCTGCCCAGATTATTGATGGCATCAGACACTGACCAGATGTTATCAGACTACAAAGTGCAATAAACAAAGAAAACTCTAAATTACTCCAGTTGAATAAAAAATAACAAGTAACAAGAGAAAATTAAAACTGATTGTGTTCCTCTTAGGTCTTAAATCTATTGAGAAAAAAAGTGATAACTAGAATGACAGAAATAAAACATCTACATCAAAATGACAGTGAATCATGAACATTAATCCTAACCTTACCGAATCCATCAAAATCCATTCCCCCATTTTGGGGGATTTTGGCAGATAAGCCATGTGTACCAAGTTCATCAAAATCCACCAGCATCAGTGGTGGATTTCAACGGATTTGGTCCTGAAGCATTTTGTGAAGTCTTTTACTTAGTAAAACTAAGTAGGGAATCTCGATATAGGGTTAAAAATGAAATGGAAGTCTTCATAATTGTCACAAAATGATGAAATCTAATAATTCATAGCAATATTACTGCAAAATATGAAAACTAACTGTTTCGAAGAAACATTTGAGTTACAAAAACACTTGTGTTTACAACATTTCACTGAATGTATAGTACCCAGACACCTACCTGAATGTCCAGCTGCAATGTGAAGAACGGCTGGAGGGTGGCAGACTCTTTGGACCCTTGTTGATGGAGAGCTGACCTCATTTGACCTCCGAAGATGTCGTACAATGGCGAACGATTGAAGTAAGCCTGAAAAGATCAGAACAGAAAATGAGTCTGACTGCTTAATGGAGTCTGTGGGTGAACGGCAGAGGGCGCTATTTACTTTGAGATCTAAGTTGGGGAATGGATCTTCCTCCCTGTCCAAGTGCATTGACCAATTAGATAATGACTTTTGGTCAGGTGACCACAGTAGCTCATTCAAACTCAGTCACAACTTCTGTGAGAAATGAACACAAACCAAAGGTGGGCGGGGCCTTTGGCTGAATTCGGAACAAGTCCTTGAAGGTCCATCGCAAGTCCTCCAGTCCCAATTCAAATCAAAAGCTATTTAAATGAGCTTTGATAAAGGCATTCCTTTGTTATTGCTCATCCACTGTTACTTGTGACTGGACTTGTGATTAATTTGTGAATGGACATGTGATTAACCCTATCCCCCTAGGCCCTGTTGGCTAGGAACCATCCTCCAAAATCCCCCAATTGCCACCATGTCAAAATTGGATTCAGCCTCAATCCGCCAAAATCTTGAATTTGTTCAGTGGAGGGGTGACCACTGCCTCAATCCTTCCAAATCCTCCAACAATAATGAGGCAGTGCCGATGACATTCAGAAGCAGTGCGGAAGATATCGGCCATAATGCAGTCCTCCATTATGCATGGCTGAACATAACAGTACTGGGTACAGCCTACGAGCTCGACACAATACATCCTTCAAAATCAACTGACACTTTTCTGCCATTCAGCCTCAATCCTCCAAATCCTCCAAAACTGCCTGGAGGATTTTGGAGGATTTTGGAGGATTGAGGAGGGTTAGGGTTAACATGTGACTGGACTTTACTCTTGACAAAATGTTGATGGGCTTGTGTTGGACTCGACTACATCCCTGATCATGAGCAGTCCGTTCTTCACCTTCGCCATGTGATGCCTGTTGATTATGACTGATGCATATTACTTACGGCATAATGCGTAACGCCATTATTATAAGCAGTTTCCTTACCGATCGTGTGATACTGCTCTTGTTCCGTGGCCCGACCTGTTCCCACTCATCATCAGCGTCATCATCATCCTCATCGTCTGTCTTAGTGTGGTTAGCGACAGGCAGACCGTTAGTCTTGGCATTCAAGGAACTGCTGGCATCTCCTGGAGACACAAAGTTGAGACAAATGAAATGATGATGTAATTCAAATCCAAAATGAGAATTAAATACAAAGAAATTAAAATCCATTACATTAGAGTTGTGGGAAATGACAACAAGATGGTTCTCGAACCATGCGTCTCGCCTGCTTTCGCGGTTATCTTCAACCCTAACAGAACTCAACCCATCAAACCCCAACGGCATGTTTTGTTGGCATCTGTCAGGATGGGTACAGTACCCCTAAACTGACAGTCTTCTACATTTTCCCATATGGTGTTGGAATTTGCCAGGATGGGTATGGTTCCTAGTAAATCATGCTAGGGAGTTAGGGTTAAAGAGTGACTAATCAGTATGAAGGTTGCCATGCTGCATCTATGACCCAAGTTTGGTTCCCATTGGACTTTAGCTGTTTCAAATGAGACCAATTTTACATTTTCAGCCTATTTTATAACTTGACCTCAGATGACCTTTGACCTTGGTATGTGACCTCTGACATCAGTATCATATGAAGGTTGCCATGTTGCATCTATGACCCAAGTTTGGTTCCAATTGGGCTTCAACTTTTCAATTTAACATGTTCAGCCTAATGACGATGTTGAAGTCAAGGCCATCAAAAGTCCAGTCACAAAAAATAACAAGTCAATTCACAAGTCAAGTCACAAGTAACAGGAGATGAACAATAACAAAGGAATGTCTTTGTCGTCGTTCATTCCTGTCTTGACTTGAAACTGGAGGACTTACGAGTTTGCAAGTTAGCCACGCCCCTTAGACAACCCTATGGAATTTTTGTACGCTAAGTTTTGTTTGCCTCAGATGTTGCGCGTTCCGCGTCCATTTGTACATCATGTAAATGGACAATATTTCGCAAGCTGCGTTGACGCGATTCTACCGCGATTCTACTGCAATAGGTCAATACTTCTGCTTACCGTATTTTGACGGTGCGTAGTATTTCATGAGTGCCAGCATTTCCTCATGTAGACCGTTCAGGAGACAGCCAAGAAATTCCTCTGCATCCTCCTGATGTCCTTGCTGTGAAAAAGAAGAGTGTTGAGAACAGTCTTTTTCATTGAGAGTACGGAACATGTACACAGGCGTTAAGTATGAGCTTGGGCAAGTCCATCACCTAAGAGTATGACATTTCAGGGCCTGTTTTTATAGCTTTGCGAAACATGGAATTCTGTGCTTGTGATGTTCTTACGTCGTCCGTCCAGAAATTCTGCACTTAACTGTTCAGCACAGAAACCTTAGGTACATGTGGGCATTGCACAAACAACAATTCTTTGCTTAATTTTTTAGAAAAGATGGCACAATCATGAAATCACGTAATAAAGTCAATGACACTTGATAATTGTGGTAACTTGTCTTGCCCAAGGACATAAAACACTTATCTGTTACCTTGACAGACATGGAGGTGTTAGCCACAGCCATCATTTGATAAACCCCACTAGGCTCAAAGGCTGTTCACTTACCTTGACAGACATGGAGGTGTTAGCCACAGCCATCATTTGATAAACCCCACTAGGCTCAAAGGCTGTTCACTTACCTTGACAGACATGGAGGTGTTAGCCACAGCCATCATTTGATAAACTCCGCTAGACTCAAAGGCTGTTCACTATACCTTGACAGACATGCAGGTGTTAGCCACAGCCATCATTTGATAAATCCCGCTAGGCTCAAAGGCTGTTCACTTACCTTGACAGACATGGAGGTGTTAGCCACAGCCATCATCTGATAAACTACGCGAGGCTCAAAGGCTGTCCCTGCTTTGATGTCTATACTTCCCTTCTTGGGCATGGTGCGGCCGCTCTGCTCGGAAAACTGGCTAACCAGCTCAACCCTGGAAAACAAACGATTGAAGATCAAAAGTTTCAGGAGAATTTTGAAGGAATGCAAAAGGGCTCGCTCAATGACAGCCATCTCTGTAGGAGAACTGCACCTGCGTATTTTACACAATCAAGCACGCATTGCGCAGTGTTCAAAATGTTCCAAACATGTGCGCTTGTTGCTCGACAAGTGTTCGAAATACGATGCACGTTAGGCAAGTTGACGTTCAAAATGCCGATGCACGTGGCTGGTCTGTAGGAAATGACGTCATTTGAACGAGACCTATTGTCCACAGAATTGTACAATTTTTTTTTTCAGGAGAGAACTTAGCATTGAAAAATTTCAACTTTTAACCCAACTTCATAAGTTTAAGAAAATTATCCTAAACGAACGACAAATAAGGAATATCAGGACATCAAACCCATCAACATTAGCAAATAGATATTTGTGTTGTGTGATTATGAGTTGAGCCTATAAAATGTTCCTTCTTCCAAACTGTCGACAGTAGCCTGAAGGTCCAGCCCAGAGCTTGAATGAAGTAACTTACATGGCATCCATCATGGGTGTTGAACTTGGCCCTCGTTGCATAGGAAAGAATGGCACAAATTTCATCAGATGATAGAATGGTGGACAGGCTAGCAATGCTTGTAAGATCTGAAGCTCCAAGGTTAAGATTCATACTTATATACATTCTCATTTTCGTTACAATCATGTACATGTATATTTTTTTTGGGGGGGGGGGAAACAACATTGTACATGAATATAGGGAATACCCCATAACCAATGAAAATAAAACTGAAACTACATAAAGAGTGAGAAATGAAAAATATGACCAAAACAGAACCGTGCGCCTATATAAATAGACCAAAATGTATATAATTTATAGACCAACATGTTATCCCACAGCACATTCAAAGTAACTGTAAAGCAAAAGTAAACATTAGTAGGTTTTTGTATGAGTTGTTAATATTCAGTCACAGAAGTCAAAACTGTACAGAATAAAATTGTAGTTTTTGCAGGCACCAAGTTTTTTTTTGGGGGGGGGGGGTTGGGTGAGTGGGGTGGATTGAAGAAGGGGGACTAAGATTCGATTGCGTAAAAGGATACACTATTGACGTAGCACCAGTTGCCGATGTTCTTCAAGCCTCTTGGCAAGATGTACATAGCACGGTGGTTCAGGGCTACACGGCTCAGGACTCCTGCGGATCAGATTTCGAAAATACGCGAAGTTAAAAAACACTCATCACAGAAATAAGATTTATTGAAGAACCGGTGATTATTTTCCCCAAGACTCAATGTAGGATTCTTTGAAGGTCTCACCATTGTTAGCTTTATCAGAATCATTAAGTTCAGACCAGAGTCATTTGTCAACCGTAAGATTAAGTCGGGTGAAGAGATGAAACCAATGAAAATGCTGATATTTTGACAGTGTTAAAATAAGCCCAGGATTGATTTGTCAAATTGGACCAGTTTAGCACATTACTTATACTCGGTGACTCGGGGAGTTAGTCAGTCAGTCAGTGAAGCTGTCAGTCAGTCAGCGTCTCTTTCAGTCAGTCATTCGGTCTGTCAAAGGACAACAGGCTAGCTCTAGGGTCCAGCAATAATAAACCTGTGTCTCAGACAGCACCTTACCTCCCAATTCTTTAGCCCTCGGATCTTTTTCCGTCGACACTGGTGTCTTATCATCAGTGTCGGACTGTACTGCTACTTTGGTTTCGACTTGAGGCGATTCTGATGTATCAGGAGATGCAATGGTGGTAGGCAGGGCTTGAGCCGTTGAGGCACGGGATTTGAAGAGGCCTGCCCAACTTGTTGGCTTGGGTGCAGCTGGTGGTGAGGCAACCGTTGGAGTCTTGGCTCCTTCTTCTGGTTTCGGAGTTTGAGCTTCTTCGGTCGGAGCTGGAGTAACAGCAGCGACACTGACTTCGGGTTGGCATTCTTTAGGACTCAGTTGTTGTGCGTTGCTCACTACAGGTTCCTCTTTGGGTTTTGAGACACTCATGTTTGTTTTTTCCTGTTTGGACTCTTTGACAGTACTGGATTCGGTTGATCGACTCTGTGATGTACACTCTGCCTCTGTGGGTAAACTGGCTCCCAATCCAAAGGACAAGCCGTAAGGATTGACGGTTTCCTCCTTGGGACTCGCCTTAGTTCTTGGATATTCCACAACTTGTTGCTTCACTTTGGCGGGCACGGTTTGGGTTGGTATTGCACTAGGTTCCGTCGCTGGCGTGGGCTTCTGTGGCACCTGGAGTTGTGAGTTGACAGATTTTGGCATTTGTGCATCAGAGGGGTCATTACAGACCGTGTTTTGCTTCTCTTCGTTTGTACCGACTGCAGTGGGACTAGTTCTTTCTGGTGCATGGTGTGTGAACAATTCTGTATCTTTCTTATCAGGGGAGGGAGAGTTCAACTGTTGTACGTGTTGGTTTTGGAAGGGTTGGGCCCCATCTTGGGACTCCTTGCTCACATCCTTGGCAGCTATGTCCAAGTTGACTTGCATGTCTCCCAGTTCAATCCCACTTCTGACACCACTAGCTGCTTCACTGGAAGCCCCACTGCTACTCCCACTGCTCTCATTGTCAGCATAATAGGCAGTCTCTGTTCTCCCGTACTGCTTGGGATCATCATAGAGGTTAACGTAATAACTAGGATCACGCTTCTTTTTGTTCCGCCTTTTTTTGTCAGACAAATCGGTAGTTTGTCCATCAGAACTGCGGGATGCTTCGTCGGGCATTATCTGACCACCCGAAGCCTCAGAAGGAGGTTGTGCTGCCTGGGTCGTTAGTTGTGGCTGTTGATGAGTAGAGAAATGGCCCTGCATTAGCAAGTGTTGTGTTTGGGCCACTAATTGTGCATACATTTCCTGGTGCGGTTGTGCTCCCATGCCTAGGAGTCCGGGTGGTAAAATTGGAGAGTAGCCATGTATGGCCTGGGTAGACGTGACTGGAGGTGGGGCTTGAGTACTGCTAGGCTGTTGTTGTTGTTGTTGTTGCTGCTGCTGCTGCTGTTCATGTTGTTGTTGTTGCTGCTGATGTTGTTGTTGCTGTTGCTGCTGCTGCTGCTGCTGCTGATGCTCATGTTGATACTGCATCATCTGCTGTTGTTGGAAAAGCTGCTGTTGCATCTGTTGTTGTATTTGCATCTGCTGATGCTGTTGCTGCAGATGTAAGTTAAGCTGCTGCTGCTGCTGCAACATCTGCTGTTGCTCCTGCTGTTGCTCCTGCTGCTGCTGCTGTTGCTGAGAAAACCCTGGCACTGGAACATCCAAGCTTGCATCTGCAGCAACGTTGTCTAAACAAAAGAATAAGACAGGGTGAATCTTTGAACAATCATCAAAGTAACTTACCACAGATTTTTTAACTTGGATATTTGACTTTTATCTGAGACAATTTTGTTTACTTTGATGCCTTACCTTGCATTGACTTTGCAACTGCATCTTGTATGTAATCATCTTCATTCCATGGCAGCTGAGGAAGAAAAAAATATCTATACTTAGAATTGTTTTCTTTAAATCGATTTTTCGTCTGCCGGGCTTAGCTCAATTAAACCATCCAAAAATCAGTTGGTTTTTTTTTAATTGTACAGTTTCAAATTTTTCAATTTCAGACAATCATTATCTGAGATTCTCACCTCTAAGTAGCTATTATGTAAAGGCTTCTTGAGGGTGCCAAATAGATTCTCATACTCCTCCGCTTCGATATCTTGGAAGTCACCAAAACTTATTCCCTGTTCGTGAGAAAAAAAATTAAATAGTCAGCTTTGAATCCGATGTTGAGATCTGAGATTTAACCTACAAAGATACGCCTTCGATCATGTGCTGCTAACGGTTATTAAATTAAAATTTATCTTTCCCTGATATTTTTATAAGCATTTAAAATTTTGGGCCCTTGTGCTTGTATGTTTGACACAGTGGCTATCTTAACTAAAGCAGTAACACATTTTTCAATAGCTTTTAAATTATGGAATTGCCACATAACATTGTGTATGTATGTGGATTATGGGGTTTTACATTCCTTCAGCGATTGAAACGCTTCGGTAGTTCAATACAAGAGATGTGCATTTTGAGTGCCGAAAGTGCAGGGTTCGACATGTTCGAATCTTAGTGTGAACTTAATTTAGTTTCTCAAAAAAATGCTACTTTTTAATGTCTAAATAAAAAATGAATATCCTTTCTTTCAAGAAGATTATTTTTATCTCAGACTCAGTCAGTCATACTCAGTTTTGCGTAGGAATGGGATTTTTTAAAAGGGAAGTGAAGTCGGAGAACCATTCGGTTGCCAACTGACATGAATGAAGCATGCCATGCATGTGCAACAGTTGATTTCCGCAGTAATTTACATGAAAATTGCAACTTTTAAATAAATTTGATTCATCTTTTTTAGTTTTTAATTGTTGTGCACGAAAAGTAAAACTGCAAAAAAATAGTTAGTGGCCTAACATTTCGACCCTAGGAAAAGTAAAACTGTGTGCCTTAATTTCATTGTCCTCTTAGGCCAAAAAAAAAAATATTCGGTCCCTGGTCAGACCAAAGTTCCGGAATTGACGCGACGATGCGGCTTTTTTTTTTTTTTTTTTTTGCTTCTTTTTTTTTTTTATAAGCTTGGATTGTACAGACAAGGTGGGTATTATTTTGCTTTTTTGGTGTCCTCATGTACATTGGTGTCCTCCATAATTTGCCTTGGTGCTTTCGATCATTCGCCTTGGTGCAATTTCCCATTCCTTGGTGCTCTTTGGTAAAAAAAAATTGAGGAGGTGCGGAAATAGAGGGCGCTGTTGGAGCTACCGCGGAACATTTTGGGAAAAAAAAAGATCGACGCGCATGATTAAAATCGATGCGCGCGCTGACCAGAGACCGACTTATTTTTTTTTTGGCCTTATCCTGTTTCTTATTTTGGAGTAATTGCAGAATACCCCGCCACTCGGAAATACACCCCTAAAATCTCTGGCTACGTGGTTGGAATCACTGGAAAAGAAACAATTCAATTCCATCGCCAGCTACGCGGATACTGAGTGGGGGTCCATTATTTGAGAACGAAGCAACACAAAAGGAATGGGAGTTGCTGAAAAAATCTTAAGTCCAAACCAACTACCCTGTTGCCGACTACACGGATATGGAGTGGGAGTGCAGTGGAGCATGACGCATACAAGTAACGCTGCCTGAGAAGGTTTATTGAGGGCAATCAACCGTGACTCCGTAGCTGGCTACGAACTTTGAAGTACAAGGTGGATAGATATTAGATTGAGTGGCGGGGTATTCTGCAATTGTGCCCCTATTTTTATTTATTTTTTTTACAAAAATAGGCCTACTATATCAGCAGGACATGAATATATCAACTGTTCGTTTCTCCTCATAATTTATATGCCGCTTCTAACCCCCCCCCCCCCCAAAAAAAAAATTGTAAAAAATTCTCTACGCCATATTATTGGTCTGGTTTCCACCCAAGTCTAGATTCCCTGCTGTTCGCATAATACCTAGCCTGGATAGTCTGGAGTCCGCCACCACCAGGATGACGGGCATTGCACCATCGTGCGATCGCGCGTGTTCGATATTTTTTACCTCAATCGTTAAATTTGACAAGTCACCAAGCCAGCCACACTCAATCTGATTAGCAGCCGGAAAACGAACTTACATGGCTTGAAAGTGCCATCTTTGGCGCTGGCTGACCTGCTACTTTTACACGAAGTTTCGAACGGCCAAATCACGTTTCACAGCACTGAGTCGCCATCTTGGTTAAGGTTTTGGACCTCGGAAGGGAATGGGTACTTCGCATGCGCAGTGACCTGTTATTTGTAGCCTCTTACTCAAGCGTGCATATCGCAGCCCGCATAATCGAATCGTTTTGCAGCGAGTCATGGTTGAGTGGTTCCTGAATGTGAGAACCGTGATTGGACGAAAGTTAAGTTCAGCCGGGTTGGAGGGGGGCCTTACATCTTTATATAGTAATGACGATAAGAATTACTAAATATAATTACACGTTTCATTCAAATATAAATAATTTAATATTAATTGACACCTATTTCAATATTACATTGTATTTCAGTGTTGATCAACAGAATTTCAGATTTCGGAAAGAATGTAGTATCCAGACGCCACTTCAGCGGATGTCTGGAAAATATCTGGAAATGTCCCAGATGCACGTATCTTAAACATTTCTGAGTTTTTAAAGCAGATGCTGCCCTCTTTTCTATTCGATTTGATATATAAAGATTATACCATTTCTGATTTGTCACGGAACACAAAGCCAGAACGCATTGCCAGGTTATGTTATATGGCAAAGTAGGCCTATGTTGTATTTACTCTATAAACAAATTCTTTGTTTAAATCATCATCACATATACAAAGAATATATTACAAATTTATTTTGTATACAAAATGATTTAGCGGTTAAAATCTTACTTCACACAACATTTAAGTGTAGCGGGACGGCAAAAGGAGGCCGGCCCTCTATTTAAAAGAGGACGAGTGTTCCACTAAAAATATATGCCAGTAAAACTATGAACCTATGGCATGACGACGACAATGAGATGAGCTTACCGAACTTGTATTTACATTATTTCTACACAAGAGTCAAGATGATAATATTCTTTACACAAAGCAATAATCCATGATAAATGTAAGGCACAATAAAATAGAACAGCGATAAAGGTCAAATGTCAACACATGGCTGGCTACATATTAATTATTATGTTACAAATTACAGACGTGAATCAACCGGCCTCAAAATGAACACAATATTCCCACAAAAAGATCACATTATACACTAAAGTACTCACAGGGACGAATCTATAATACTAACCTTCCAAAAGGATATAAATTTGGAGCATGGCCGGAGCCATACTCCCTACAAAATAGAGAGAATATATGCCCCAAGTTTGTGGTGGTCTTTCCGGTTCAAGTCCCACAGAAGAAAACTTGTTACAAGTTGCCTTTGCGCGGGAAGCACCAAGGTCACACTATGCAAATCACCTTGCTAAACTTTTGGATGAACAACTGAGGCTGCATTTGGTCTCCCTACATAAGCAATGATAGATAATTTATAAAACCACATATCGGAATGTTATCTGAATAACTTGTAGTCAAACACTTAAATTGCATTTAAATTGACTTCAGAATAAATTTCAGAAAGTATGGTTAGATATTTTGGCACTTTCATAATACAGTCTAGAAAACCAAACTGTAGTGGAAAATTTTTACTATACACATTATCAGAAAATACAGTTGAATACAAAGAAATCCAACATAAATCTACTATCTAAAATCATTTCAGTATTTCTCATTGTACAACACATTGTTTGAATCATACATTTTTATAAATCAGAATGACATCTAGACCTAGGTCTTTGGTAAATTTTGCAACTAAAATGCTAAAAAGAGAAGTATCCTAAATATTCTTCATTATAGTCGTGTACACTTGGAGAGAAGGCTACAAAAATAAACTTCCTATAAACATGTACTTGTTACTGAGCAGTGTACATGTATGTGGCAAGTTCTTATAATTCACTGATATCTTTACATGCACAGCATCATTAATATTTGCAGTATTTGATCCATTCCACCGCAGTGAGTTTCATTTGATTTCATCATGGCTATATGTACAGCTGTATACTAATTTTATGACAAAATTAATTGAAATTTCAGAATATAGGATTCCTCCACATAATTGTTTTATTATACTGGACATTTGCAACCAGTTAAGTCTCAATATCAACCATAACAGGTATTTAATAATCGTCTGTTTACAAATTAAATTGTTGAGGAAGCCATGAACTGTGGAAAAAAATTGCAATCCCTCAGATTTCTTTAGAGTATAATCTCATTAAATAGCCAGGATAAATTGCGGACAACTTTATCAACAACAGGCCCATTCTACCTGGTTTTAGTTGCACAGTCTGTGATCAATGCTTATAACTAAGTTTCTTAATCTTAGGCCTGTATATACTTATGTAGTCTGAAACTTTGGGACTCTCAATACTGTGTACGAGAGTCCCGGTATTGAAAAGGTGTAAAACAAGAAAATAGACTGGCACCTGAAACAACCAGTCAAACAACCCTTCAGTATTGCATCAATCAACTGTGCCAAAAGAAACATCTGGCATATATCTGGTACTGATCTCTATTTCTACACATTTGTCCATAATCTGCCACCAGACTAATGGCGAGGTTTAAGCCTTTTCAAACAGTTGGCATGGTTGGACCATGGTGGGACATGTACCAGTCTAGTCTTTAAATCACTTGACTACCCTCTCATGTGCCTAAAATTGACCCAAAAAAAATCTTCTTTAAAAATTGAATTGAGACTTCAAACTTAGATAGCGGAATACTGCAGAGGACCTTGTCTTTGCTTTATGAACATTTTGGAGAATTTTGCTGGCTAATGTGAGTGGTGAACTGGTTTCGTTTTGCATGTTTTTCTCAGCACTCAAGGTCACAGTCAGATAGGCCTAATTACATAATCTATCCGTTCTTGGGTATTAATTATGGTGACTCCTTCATCCTCTTCACTCCACTTTCATTTTCTGCAGCTCTGATAACTGGCGAGGTGAGGGGAAATTACCAGGGACGATATTTTTGTTCCTCAGGTAATACGTGACTTGATCTGGAATCTTACGCAAGACTTCCTTGGCGAAACGCTCCTGCCTTATGGCATACGCAATGTCAATGTATCTTCCCTCACACTGTTTGACAGGAACAAACTGTATGGAAGAGAAAAGAAAGTTGTGAACTACATTCGTTTGAATTGGATCCTCTAATTTTATTTTTGCATCCCGACCTTTTTCAATTAAATTTTTCATCTTTATAAGTGACCTTCACTAACAAAACAAGTCAAAGGTTGGACATTCTATAATACACTATACAGGCAAAAATGGCCTGCCACTGTTGGTTTGACAATAACTTTTTATAGGCACCGGTATATAACTCAGGTAACAAGAAAACGATGTGGGAAATGAGTTTTAATATCCTGCATTTGTGCACTGAAGGAAAAACATTTGTTTGTGAGCCGGTAAGTCATAATTAAGTTATATACAAATAATCATAAAATATCAAGTGGGATATATTTCGGTGACTCAAGTTACAGTTTGTCCAGCCCTCTTTGGTACAACTTCAGTTAAACCACATAAGAAACTGATAATTGTTACTGCTAGCAAAGTCATTTAGTCATGGCTTTCATCGGCTACGGCTTGCAATCACACACGCTCCTATAGAAGCAGCTGAAGCCACTTCACATAGACAGGTATTTTACTGCTAGCCAAGTCATTTAGTCATGACTTTCATCGGCTACGGCTTGCAATCATGCACGCTCCTATAGAAGCAGCTGAAGCAACTTCACATAGACAGGTATTTTACTGCTAGCCAAGTGATTTAGTCACGGCTTTCATCGGCTACGGCTTGCAATCACACACGCTTCTATAGAAGCAGCTGAAGCCACTTCACATAGACAGGTATGTTACTGCTAGCCAAGTCATTTAGTCACGACTTTCATTGGCTACGGCTTGCAATCACACACGTTCCTAAAGAATTAAGCAGCTGAAGCCACTTCACATAGACAGGTATGTAATTGCTAGCCAAGTCATTTAGTCATGACTTTCATCGGCTACGGCTTGCAATCACACACGCTCCTATAGAAGCAGCTGAAGCCACTTCATATAGGTATGTTACTCTTAGCCGTAGCCACGCCATTTAGTCGCGGCCTCGGACTGACCTGTACGATGTCTCTCTCAGCAAAGCGCCCTCTTGAGGAAACTCGGACCTCCTTCCCAGCCAACTCTCCCATGCCTGTAACAAAATATGGACCAAACAAGTTAACGTGAACCTCAATTACTTCAATTATTTTGTCGAAATTAGTGTAGCTACATTGAAATAAATACACTTACTTGTGAATTTTCTGTCACCCACTCCAACAATTATGATTGACATGGGAAGCTGCGCTGCCTGAAAAGAAATCAATAAAGTAGGTGTCCGAAAGACTATAGTGTCAGAAAGTGAAATGCTTTTGAAAATTACTTCTAGCGTAAATTTAAATATTTTGATAATCCACAGAATCTTGAGAGAGTAATAATTTACAGTTTAAGGTTCAGTAGTGTGTAGTTAACTTCACAAAAATTCGAATGTTACCAAACTGCTTTAAAACCCTTTTCATTTTCATTTTGATTTTCATTCAAAACTTTGGAAATTCGGATTGAAATGCCGAGACGTACATTGACAATGGCTTCCTTTGTGTTGTCCATGTCACAGACGCATCCATCGGTTATGATGAGCAGGATGAGGTACTCGGAACCATCTTGCTTGGCTTCGGCAAAGCTAGGTGAATAAGGAACAATTGTAAGACAGACAGCACATTACACTTGTAATTCAGATGACTATTCTAGATTCAGGCTGGATCTCATTCATAAATACTGTTCGGTCAAAAAGTCAAAACAAGTAAACAGTATATAGACGTCCAACGGTTTTGTTCAACAATTTTACTTTATTTTTTGTGAAACACACCTGTAATTATGTGCCTCTCGCGAGTAGTACTAAGAATCCTTATAGCGATTGGTGCGCGCGTGGCGGTATACTGCTTGATGTGGCGCAGACCGCGGTGGAGTTGTTTTCAACTACTCGCGAGAAGCACTATAACATAGAGGGGTGTTTAAAAAGAATGGAGTAAATTGTTGCACACAATCGTGAATGGGAATAAATATGAGCTTGGCTGGTATTAAACACTATGTTTTAAGACCGGTTTGGAGTCTGGACGCTGAAAACGACCCTGGACTTCGGCTCTGGTCATTATCAGCGTCCAAACTCCAAGCCGGTCTAACATAGTGTTTAAAACCGGCCGATCACACATTTGTTCCCTTATTCAAAGGCACGTAGGAACATTTGCAGTTACCGGAAACGTAAAAACCCATTAAATACAAAAATCTGTGCTCAAAATGAAGATAGGACTGGTACCAAACCACTGTGAAATTATTACGCCTAAAAATGGTATAATTTGGAAGAAAACTATCATTGAAGGCAGGCACTTTTTTATGTGTTAACAACGGAATCCGGTTACGAAACCAAAATTGTGCAAACGTTTTTTTTTATTTACTAAAAAAGACAGTATCCACGGAGTTGAAACTTCCACAGGTTTGTTGATATGCATCCTTTATTTTTTTGAAGATTTTGATGAAATAATGTTAAATGCCATCTCCCTGGTTGACATAATACTCTCGCCGACTGTATTTCTCGTCTTCATGAGCCAGGCTAGTTATTAAGGTTATACAATCCCTGTTTCAACCTTGGTTTTCATGGGGGTTGAATCCATCCTGACTGTTCATATGTCTCTCCCCCTGCTGTCTATTTCTCCCCAGATGCACAGACTGCATGCAATTGAACAATTATACCTGGATAGCCAGGTTGCATACCGATTTGCTACATTCGCATCCTCCACCAAAGCCACGTACCTATCGATCGCTCTCACCTCCGCACTTATTTGAAATTTTGTTCAATGACGAGTTATTCGCCTGTTCCAGTTACTCCCACCATACTAAGCAGATATGTGGCCTATTTAGCAGGTCATCTTCAGTATTCCTTTATCGCGCAGTACATTAGTATCCAAAGAATACTTCATCGTGACTGTGGCCTCCCTAACCCGCTAGAAAATAATTGGCATCTACAGACAATTTTGCTAGGAATAAAGAGAACTAAAGGCCACATCGTTCAACACAAAGAGCCCATCACCCCTACCATTCTCTTATCCCTAAGATCCTTGTTAGATTTGTCATCCCCCTTTGATGCTGCATTTTGGGCAGCATGCTTAGTAGCCTTTTTTTGGATTGTTACGCAAATCCAACTTCCTCACCCCTTCTGCTGGGTCTTTTGATGTTGAACGGCACCTTACCCAATCAGATTTTTCTGTACATCCTTGGGGTGTTCTGCTCAACATTCGATGGTCCAAAACCATCCAGTTCAAACAACGCCAATTGTCTGTGCCCTTGCCCTTCTTACACGAGCATCCTCTCTGCCCAGTCACTGCCCTCATTGGATATTTTGTATTATGACCAGATGTACCCTGCAATAGCCCTGCCTTTTATGATACCACTAAGTTCAGGTTACAAGCCTCTGACTCCCTCCCAGTTCCAAGCAACTCTTACCAAGCTGCTGACTAAATTAAAGCTCCCTCCATCACAGTTTGGCACTCACAGTTGTCGCGGAGGAGGGGCGATTTGGGTTTAGCAATCTGGCCTTCCTTGTGAAATAGTCAAAATGATGGGGGACTGGAAGTCTGAGGCATTCCAAGCATATATTACCCTCTCCCCTGAGCAAAGGTTACAATTTGACACAGCCGTTTGCAAAAGCATTGCCAAGAACTTAATCGGTTTTCAAATACTATTCAAACTGTACCTATACTACATTTATATACATTGTATCGTTCTACCAGTAAGTAACTTTTTTTAATTTGTCATCAACTACCCACCATCTAGTTGTTTGGGATATACTTTTTGGAGGATTCTATTTTATTTCTTAGATGTAGTTACAATAAAGACTGTAGTATATGTGGTTTGGCCTTGTAGAATTTCTTAATTCAATTTGATCTGGCCTAGTAGCCTTAGAATAAATGATTCTCCATTAATGTACCTAAAACAGCTTGACTGTTTGGCTCCTTAATTTATGTGGTACATACAAAGAGCCCATCACCCCTACCATTCTCTTATCCCTAAGATCCTTGTTAGATTTGTCATCCCCCTTTGATGCTGCATTTTGGGCAGCATGCTTAGTAGCCTTTTTTTGGATTGTTACGCAAATCCAACTTCCTCACCCCTTCTGCTGGGTCTTTTGATGTTGAACGGCACCTTACCCAATCAGATTTTTCTGTACATCCTTGGGGTGTTCTGCTCAACATTCGATGGTCCAAAACCATCCAGTTCAAACAACGCCAATTGTCTGTGCCCTTGCCCTTCTTACACGAGCATCCTCTCTGCCCAGTCACTGCCCTCATTGGATATTTTGTATTATGACCAGATGTACCCTGCAATAGCCCTGCCTTTATGATACCACTAAGTTCAGGCTACAAGCCTCTGACTCCCTCCCAGTTCCAAGCAACTCTTACCAAGCTGCTGACTAAATTAAAGCTCCCTCCATCACAGTTTGGCACTCACAGTTGTCGCGGAGGAGGGGCGACTTGGGCTTTGCAATCTGGCCTTCCTTGTGAAATAGTCAAAATGATGGGGGACTGGAAGTCTGAGGCATTCCAAGCATATATTACCCTCTCCCCTGAGCAAAGGTTACAATTTGACACAGCCGTTTGCAAAAGCATTGCCAAGAACTTAATCGGTTTTCAAATACTATTCAAACTGTACCTATACTACATGTATGTATATACATTGTATTGTTCTACCAGTAAGTAACTTTTTTTAATTTGTCGTCAACTACCCACCATCTATTTTTTTGGGATATACTTTTTGGAGGATTCTATTTTATTTCTTAGATGTAGTTACAATAAAGACTCTAGTATATGTGGTTTGGCCTTGTAGAATTTCTTAATTCAATTTGATCTGGCCTAGTAGCCTTAGAATAAATGATTCTCCATTAATGTACCTAAAACAGCTTGACTGTTTGGCTCCTTATTTTATGTGGTACATTAAATAATTAGAATTACGTTTTGAAGGCAAAACCGACATGAAACTACATCTCCCTGATGCAAAATTCCTTCTTCATATGAGAAACAAGCAGCTAGCTCCACTGTTTGATTCCGAATAACACAAGTCGACAAATTGGTGGGCTTTGAGCTAATTTTTGAAGGCAGTTAGGCTTAATATCCGGGGGGAAAAAGACAAACCTTGCCACTTGGTTGATGATTGGAGCAAACTCTGTGGGGCCATCTAGCCTCACCTTAGGTAACATCTCTTTGTACGCTGTTACTACGCCCTCTACGCCAACACACACAGGGTCGTCTGGATTGCCGTTCTGATGAATAAAAATGAAATATTAAGTGTTACAACTTTCATTAAATCTAATCTTTAACTCATAGAACGCATAAGAATTTGTATAGCCAGAATACCATTGAGTGCTCATTGTGGCGGTACAGGGAGAAAAATGCAGGATGGTTTTGAATAAAAACGTACTAACAAGCAAAGAGAGAAAAACTAATAACTGTTAGAATAACAAACACTGAGAATGTCGAGGAGAAATTGTGAGGAAAACTGATACTATTTTACCAAGGAGAACTGCTGCTGGACTTGAGACCTGGGTGGGATTCTAGCACCGAAGCCGAAGGCTGGGAAGGTTTTATCATGAGAATAGTCCTGAACGACCTCACCAACTGCCTGCAACACCCTCAAGTAAGCGTTAGATTCAAATTGGTTGTGGACTGCATTGATGTAATGGAGAGATGAGCGCTGTTGAGGGTCACCTGAGGAAAATGAGGAACAAATTACAGGGTTGTAAACTCACATAGTAACACAAGGAATAAGACCAGTCCAGCTGGATCCGAAAGCTTGACAGCTGGTCAGCTGGCCAGTCAGTCAGTGTCAGGGATGGCCCTTCCGGTCTGGCAATTTATAAAAAAAATCCCTGAAAAAGGCTTGAAATCAATTGTCGTCAATTCTGGAAAATGTGAATGTTAACAATTTTCTACAAGTCCGGGAAATTGTTCAGCATTATAAAGTGATTAGCATATGAAGCCCAGGAAATGTTTAAACTTCAGCCTTATATATATAAAAGTGATTCTGAGGAAAATTTTATACACCTTTTGAATTTCTCATATTTGCCCAGGTGCAGCTAGCTATAGATGCACCCCCCCCCCAAAGAAATAAAAATGACATCCATGGAAACGAGACAGCTAGACTTGCAGATCACTTGACAAGCACTTGAATCATGTACTGGACTCAGACCACCGGACTAAGTGGTCTAGAGGGTAAGACTTTTTGTGAGAACTAAATGTGCCCTTCAATGAATCCTCCGCCAATACAGACATACCATTGGAGGCTGTGAAATCGATAGCGACAGTGAAGGCGAGTTGGCAACCTCCCCGGATGTAATCCAAGAAAGAGTACCGAGCGTGAGGTTCAATCTTGCAGCTGAAGAGTGTGATCAGACCAGAATTACGGTAGGATTTCTTCTTGGCTTGCTTCTTGGGATGGATCAGCTGGAGGGAAGAAGAAACAAGATTGTAATCAAATTGAAGAAACAAAATAAAATCTAAAATATCAAAAAAATATTGGTATAATGAACCGTCTAAAATATTTTTACCTAGTAGCATATTACTAACCTTGTCAACTCATTTGTTTTACCGTATTTAAAATTACTCAATTCTGACCTGGGGTAGTTCAACTCCTAAAATACAACAAACTGCTTACTCTACAGAAACGTGCAGTTCGAGTAATTTTTAAAACTGGCTATTGTGAACACTCTGGGCCTCTATTTGCAAATTTAAAATTGTTAAAATTTATTGACCTGTATCATCTCAACTTAGGAAAATGTATGTATAAATATATGAATCGTTCATTATCTGCTTGTTTTAACCCCTGTTTTACACTTACTTCAAACATTCATTCCTATAATACCCGAAGCACTACTAGGAAAAATCTGTATGTTAATTATAGTAGAACGACATTGTCCAAAAACAGTGTTGTCCAACGTGGCACTCTATATTGGAATAGTCTGGATAACTCTTTTAAATCATCACCCACTCTCTCTATTTTTGCTAGAAAACTGAAAAATAAATGTTTAATTGCATACTAAAACAGTGTAATAGGGATAAAAATGGCCTTGATTACTGTCTTACACCGGTGTTTGTGCTCTGTCTTTCCATGTATGTCTGCCACTTGTCTGTCTGTCCATAGGCTGGGGAACAAAAGCTTATGCTTCACCCCGGACCTAGATGCTGCCATTTAGTTAATGTTCACTATTGTAAATATATATATGTACATGTATTGCCAATTTGAATATACAACATTATGTATCGTTCTTTATGCAGCATCGCAATAAATGTATGTTATCACATATAAAAAAAACCAAGATATGTTCAAAAGGGTTGTTAGTATTTGTTACATAACTGCCTCCGGAATGATGCATCCTATTTGTTCTAAACTGGACTTACCGGATAAACATTAGGCAGACCAGGCCCCTTTACCAATTCAGTCACGCTGGTTTCAAACGCACCAATCAAATTGTGGCTGGAAAGACAAAAAACAAAAATCAAAAGCAGATTACAAAATGAGTCATGAAAGTAAGACATGTTTGTGATTACACAAAACTCAGAGCTGGCCTCTTGAGTTACATATCTCTTTAAAAAAGCTTCATGAACGGAATTCAAATTTCTTTCTATTTGAACTAGCCCTCTTAAAATTCTCTTGACATGTGATATCTTTACCCGAACCCTAGAAATCCTACCTCTTAAAGACTGACCAGTATTTGGAATTGCCTCCAAATGAGATCTCCAACTGACCGTAAAAGTATACAGGACATTTGCTTTTTGAGCTTTTTTTTTTATTAAACAACACAAACTTGTCAGCTCAGTGGATACTATACATTTTAAGAAAACAGAAAAAGGAACATTTTTTCCCCTTCTCGTTATCCGTTACTAATGCATGTAAAGAACTGTGCCCCGCGGGCACACTTTCTGAAAACCCCTTCAACAATAATTGGTTTTTGTTCCGAATGATATCATTTCAGGTGGAATAATTGTTCGTAGGGTATTTGGTACCAGTCCAATTTTCACTTTGAGCAAGGATTTTCTGATGAAAAATATCGGCATGTACATTTATGGGTACATGCAATTACAAATGTTATATCGAGTGGTAAGACATCTGCACTAGAAAGCAGGAGGTCGTGGGTTCGAGTCCCACCCGAGTGATTTTGTCCAACTTTCACTCGGGAGGTAACACACTGAGTATACAGTGTTTAAAAAACGTCGTTGAAGGGCAAAACCTCATTTGATTACAAATGTTCCTGTATTATATGTACCTTAAAAAATGGTACATGTATAAATCTGAACTTCTAGCAAGGCATATTGAAATTGGGACTAAATCTGGTGCAGAATCAAAACTCAGAATGAGTCATACTCTCATGATTTTCGATTTATTTCCGTACATTGCCATGACTCGAAAAACTAACCTGCCATTTTGGTTCCAATCAAAGCACTCCACCTTGATGGTCCTGTGTTTGTCTCCGTTGCACAGCGTTCTCAACATGATGTTAATTGACTTCCATCGTGGACTGAGCGTTCTCTTGATGTACTCCGTCTTATGACAGATTGTGAAGCTGAAAGGGAAGAAGACACAAAGTACAAATACTAATAGATAGTCTAGGCGATATATCACAAAATGTTACATGAAGAGGCATTTTCGAGTAGAGGTTGGTAAAATAGCTATTTTACCTAATATGGGGGGGGGGGGCTCGTGCATTATTTTCAATGGGGAGCCTCAATAAAATCGTACAATCAGGCACACTATAGTAACTACAAATGCACCCTTGTCACGACTATTTCTTTAGGGGGAGACCGTTCGCATGCACTTCACATTCCTTCTTTTTGCTAATGCAATTTTTTTATTGTTATGGATTGGGGGGGGGGGGGGCTAGACAATTTTTTTTTTGGGGGGGGGAGGCTAAAGCCCCCCTAGGCTCCCCCCACCCCCTCCCCCACAAAATTAAGTCCAGTGTACAAACAGATTCAAGTGTTTTGCACATGTTTTAAAATCTTTTGTAAAAGGGGAAAAAGAACAGAAAATCCAGCAATTGTTTGTTGTTATCAAACCTTCCATCCTCGTTGCATCTGTGGAAGACTAAGAAGGGATCTGATTTGCTGATGAAACCTTTCTTGTCCAACTTGTCCCCTTTGAACTGCAACGTTATCATATCCTAATGGAAGACAAGCAAAGTGCCTTGATATTGAATAAAAGAAAACTGAATCAAGATGGATAGGTTATAGTATGATATTATAAAAAGAAATCAGTCTATGAGACAGCCAGAACAAGAATCCAGTGTCGAGTCCATCCCGATCATTCACATGGCAAGACAATCACAAGTATCAGCCCGGCAGTCAATCACAAGTTGATCTCAAGTCAATTACAAGTCGATCTCAATAAGTCCTGTCATGAGTAAATAAAAGGTCCATTCACAAGTCGGTTCACAAGTAACAGGGGAGGAAATATAACATAGTTTTTCTGTGAATGTGAACAGCTTGTGATGACTTATTTGACGTTAACTGGCGGGCCTGTGACAGTGAGAACCTTTGAAGCAGTGTTTCCACTTTTAAGAAAATTTCTATGTCCTAAGGAAATTTCTGAGGAAATGAAAAATTTAAGGAAATTTTAAGGAAATTCAAAATCTGAAGGACAATTCAAAGATATTTCAAAAATATTAAGAAATTACTTCAAAGATAATATTTTTATGCCAAACAAATACTAAGGCTATTTTGGGGCCCGGCTTTTGGGGCCGCGTCCTAAAGCATGGTGTGGCTGGCAGACGCGAAAGAGCCGAATCCGCACCATTATAGAAGAAACAAGACCCCGGCCCCATGCACTCGGACAGCGTGTGCAGATGATGATGACACACAGTTTAATAGCTTCGAAGATACTTTTTTTGATGATGAGAAACTGAGAAACTAAACCTGTAAGAAATATCCATTTTTTTTATCATTATCATGGCGACTTTTAATTTAAAATTATTTAAGGACAAAAATCAGGAAATCCCAAAAAAAGTTTAAGGAAATCGCAGGGAAAACTATTCCAATCTAAGGAAATTCAAATTTGGAAAGTGGAAGCACTGTTTTGAAGGGCTTGACCAAAACACTGCAAATATCACACTAGCAGGAAAAAAGGCCTATTTCTGGAACATTTTCACAAAAATCAACGATAATTGGGAATAATCTCACCTGACAATCGCTCAGCTCTTCGCCTTGGATTGTAATTGACCCAGAGTCCTCATTTAATCTGTTAGCAGAAATCACAGATATTAAATTCTGGAGCCATTCTTACAGCAATTGCAAACCCTCTGGAAACTCACATCAAACTTGGACTGTTAACAGAAGTTCTAACTGTTTGCCTTCAGGAACCATCTCTTGTTATCATTTTTATTAAGAATGAATTCACGAGATACCCTGTGGAACTTAAGCATGTACCACAAACAAACTTGAGAAAATATATAGTGTGGTAAGGTATTCCACTGGTTGCACTTTTCGATTTGTAAAAGTATAAGAGAGAGTTAAATATCTTTTTTTGGTATAAATCAAACACAACTAACCTTAGATGTTTTGTGAATTTACAACCTTTTGATCCCATGATCTCACCAAGAGTACAATCAGCATCGCCAAGGCAACGCTGCAGAACGAAAATTGAAACAAAACCAGTTTTGTAAATAAAACCTTTATTTCAGATTTTCTTGATATGGAATTACAAAATACATAGTTACTGCAATTTCTTGACGTAGGATATTTAGTTGGAGCTTATCTAAACAAAGTGTGTGTGTTTTTTAATTTATTTATTTATTATTATTAGATACCATCCACGGAAGCAATGATTTATGCCAAATGCAGGTTTCTGAGTCGAGAAAAGCTTACATGTTTATCGAGGTTTGGGCTTGTGGAATCGTTATCGTACCTGAATAAAAATATATAAAACAAGAATTCGGAAATTAATCACTTCAAATCAATGCTAGCATTTCTTTCTGCAATCAATAAAAAGGGCTAGCTAGTCTTAATTCCAGATGACACATTTTTTTAAATCCCTAGCATCTTGCCTGAGAGTTTTATCAAATTTAGATGTAAGAAAATTTTATCCTCCAAAAGTAGCTTTCAAGTATTAATCACAAATTGATTGGAATGGAAATGAAATGAAATATCTTAATCTGAAATAACTGACTCTGTGTCTTGAGATGGAATAAGGGGGGGGGGCAGTGCAGTGACAGCTGGGTAGTAGTTCTTGAAGGAAGTCCACGTAGTACCTTTTACTACACTATCGGTCAATTTCTGTTACTGTACATTATCGGTTAGTGATACAGTATCGGTCAATTTGTGTGACTATATTATTGGTTGGTGATACATTATCCGTTGGTTAATTACTACATTATCAGTTGTAACACTATTAAGCATTCGGTCATTGAATACTCTAGTCATCTTGTTTTGCAAAGATATCCAGTGATGACTACACACCCCCACCTTCGCTCGCCAACTTCAGCAAAAGTTTCAGGAGGTACGTATACTTACAAGGTAAATCCGAGGAACTGTTTTTCCTCAAAGGTGTAATCAATCACAAACTTCTTGAAAAACTTTGGATTGAGATTGTTGCATATCACTTCTGTTCTTCCAAACTGCAAAAGAATGAAAGACCTATCATCGTAATATTTCCACAATAGCAATACGACAGGTAAACAGCTGCTTATTTTCAATTAACAGTAAACATAATTAATGTCGGAGTCTGCAACAATCAAAAACCCTTGATTTTTATAGCTGATCCTTTTTCATTTTTTAAAACTATATTCTATCTTAAGATGGAATTTTTGCGCCGGGGTGATATAAATCAAATTAGGTTTTGCCCTTCACCGACGTTTTAAACACTGCATGTATACTCAGTGTGTTACCTCCCGAGTGAAGGTTGGACAAATCACTCGGGTGGGACTCGAACCCACGACCTCCTGCTTTATAGTGCAGATGTCTTACCACTCGACCACCGAGCTAACGGTGAGTATACAGTGTTTAAAACGTCGGTGAAGGGCAAAACCTAATTTGATAACATCCGGGAAGCCAACACACTTCAGCTCTTCAAAAATAGACTCAAAACCCATTTATTTGTTTAATCATGCCATATGTTATTTTGCTTGTATAGTTTTTTGTATCCGTAGCAATGCATTTTTTGTTTGTATCTTTAATTAATTCGTCAGCTTTTGTAAAGTGCTCCGATCTTTGTGGGGCGCTATAAAAATGCCTATATGTATGTATGTATGTATGTATGTATGATATATTCTATCTGTTCCATTTTATTTGCCATGCCATGCCGACAAGAAATGTTCACACCTGGGAAGAATGTCATACAAGGCCTCCACTCAGACCTCCTGCACGAAGTCTATGGGCCATGACAGAAAATGATTAAGTATTATCAAAGATTGTTTGCACTCCTAGAATACTGTTTCTTCATGAGATTTACAACTTTTGGTATTTTTCAGGTCATATTAAGGAATATGAGTGGAGGCCGTGTATGGAATTCTTTCCACACCTACCTCTCGAAAAGGCCCTTCCTCTTCTCTTGTGCGCATGACACAAACTGCAAGTAAAAACACACAATCTCTTGCCCATGTAAATCAGAATTAGCTTTTAATCCAGCTTTTATCCAGTTATGTTTCGGTGAATTCAATTCAAACATTCATAAATGCATGATTGTCTTTATCTATGAACCCCAAAACACTGCAGCTTGCTGCTCATGGAGTAACAAGCATATCAAGGGATCAAGTTTAATACCATATAATGATCTGAAGAAATCATGGAAGAAACACTAAAACGAACAATGAATTAAATTACAATGAAATTAATTCGCTTTTCAATGTTCACCCATCTCCCCCCCCCCTCAATACCTTGTGTTGAGTTTTAGTTACATTTTTAAGGAACATGGGTGGACTTTCACATGAAAAGTCACACCTTGGGTGGCAAGTGGTGTGATAATAGTTTCAATGAAATTAACAATTCCAACTTCGGAATATAGGGTTGTCTGGGTTGGGGAAAAGTGAGGTGGGTTGGGAATCGAAACAGTTGAAAATTATTTTTTAATTTACACGTAGGCCTATGTGTGCAAGCACAAAATATAGTATTTTCCAATACTCACAAGTATCCGACGTGGAATATAGGCCCTTAGGCAAATTGCTGTAAACAAAAATCATTTAAATTTTCAGAGTCAATTAGCTAATTCATTACAAGAGTATAATTTACAATATTCAAGCTTATGTTTCACTCTCGAAAAATGTTTGACAAGTTCTGAGACTCTTCATATAATTACCTCCGATTATTATTTTTTTAAACAACTGCAATTGGAATTGAACAAGAAAACAATACCATTTCCATAACGATTTTTTGTTCTCGGAAATAAAACCAAACTTACCTGCAAGACACTGTTAACTCCACCTTCGTAGATGCATCTTCTTGAGCTTGACCGAGCGACATTGCCATTCTGGACTATTTCTGCAATTGAAGTTTTTTCTAAGAAAAAATATAAACTGAAAAAAACTAGCAAGTTACTATCGGCCAGTTGGGTTACATTTTGCAACCCTTTCTCGAGCACTTTCTAAAAAAATCTTTCAACAAAAAGCTAATCTTTTTTTTCTTCAACCTTTTGTCTTTTTTCAGGTGGCAGAAAAGCAGAAAAGTAGAAAAGTGCATTTTCACAAAACGTTCAATCTGCTTTTTTTCTTTTCTAATAGCAGAAAAGCAGATGTCCACTTTTCGTCCGCCAGGAAAAGGAAGAAAGGTAAAAATCTGCTTTTCTGGTAGCAGAAAAATAGAAAAGTAGAAAAATGCACTTTTACAAAATTTGCAGGTAGCAGAAAAGTACAAAAGTCGAAAAAATGCATTGGAAATAAAAAACAGTAAAATAGAGATTACCATAGGCTATAAACTTTCACTTCGATGGGCAGTGGCTTTCAGAAATACATGAGCTACGCGCACTTTGATGTGGAATAATAATCCGAATAGGGCCTATATCAACTCCGTATTCGTATAGTCTGCACGGTATGTGAATTAACAGCACACCGCAAATTCTCTTGCCATATGGTGTGAGTTAATAACGTATGCGCGGGTGTACGAATCGCCCAGAAATTTACTACTGTTGTAGCCTACATGAACTTTGTCTCGTCTCCTTGCCTGTGCATGTTCGATCAATTATTGTTGAAGAGAGGTTCAAGGTACGCTGCAATGTAAATAAATTCGCTATCGCCGTGGTTTCTGAGGACTATAACATTAACCCGTGAGGTCAAGTAAACATAAAACATGATATTTCATCATGGTGATAGGACCATGCATGTCCATATTTTATATGTGCATAATTGGCGCGGCGTTCCATAGATGTTATTCTATGCGGCGTTCATGCTGCGCTGAGGTCGACGATTGTACCTTGTACCTCCACCAGAGACTGCAGTGTGCGGCATATTGGTCAAAACACCAATGGGCGGGGCTATTGGAACGGTCGATCTGTTCACGCCCCTTCCCCTTTCCAAATTCGCTCGTACCGAAGCGCGAAGCCCCGCGAAGCCCGAAGCCCGATAAGCGCGAAGCCCGAAGCCCGAACGGCGTGGGGTAATTCGGGGCCCGCTTAAACTAAGGCCCCGAAAAAAATTGGATTCTAGATGCTCTGTGGTGTGATCTGAAGCAATTTCTTACCACTTTCCTCCATGCTTTAACTAATATTTTCTTAGCAAAAGATAATTATTTGAACATCGTTTTCGAGGTTGGAGTCATTGAATCAGCTATCGGTATTCTGAGCTATAGGCGTGGGGTTGGGGGCCCGCTTAAGGGCCCCGAAAAAAATGGATTCTCGATGCTCTGTGGTGTGATCTGAGGCAATTTCTGACCACTTCAATCAATATTTTCTAAGCAAAGATACATTGAAGTACATAGAAGGGCCCTGTAAATGAGACACGAGTTCAAAAATCGGGGGGGGGGGGGGGGGGACATGTCTAACTGTCCCCCCAGGATTGACGCCCATGGCTCTATGGGTCCAGTCCATCCAGCTGACTATACCTTAGGGGCCATTCAGAATTTTCAATGTTTTAAAATTTCGACTTTTTTTCCAAATTATTTTGACCCACCGACCCACCCCTAATTTCGATTAATAAAAAAACTGAACATGTACATGTACATGTACATGCACTTGCATGTACATGTACATGTACTTGAACACCATGTACATGTGTGTCTAGTTCAGTGACGGCGTGAAGTTGTCGGTCTTCCTCTTTTATGTGATAAAATATGTGATACCTCACCAACAAGTATCTTTTAACGAAATTCAATCAGAATATTTATCAATTTTTTTTTAAAATTATAGTTGTTGTGTTACTTGTTGGTGTCCCTGCCACACTGTATGATGGTGTAGCCGTGCGTTATGCACGTTATTGTTTACTTTCGTTTTGACGGGGACTTTACTGAATAGAGTCTGGTGACTGTACATAGAAATTTCTTTGAATAAAAGTCGAATCGTTCATTCATGTGCACTTGTTATGCAAAGCAGGGGCAGTGGTTCAAGGATATCTATGTCGACTTGCAGAAAGTGTGCAAGAACGCGACTTGAATGCTTTTATGTGTTCACAATACAACGACGCTGTTTAATTATTTCAATGTGTGACACAGTGAGAAATTTTGGAATCATAATGGCGTCAGCGATACTTGCTGGGGAGCTCTTGCGTACGACTTTCTGTACTTTGGTACTGTTGTTTCCAGGACAATTGTGTGTACGGTAACCCGACGTATCCAGATTTTTAAAGACGAAATTGCGGACCTCAAACTTGTTAGTGCCATATTTGGCAACTATATGTGCGTTATTAGTTTAATTAAACAAATGAACAGGTTAATTAAACATAGTACCATTGAAGGTACCTAAAAGTAAACATAACAGCATAGAAGACCGACAGACGAACATAAAATGTTACAAAATAAACATATTTGTCTGGATAATTTTTTAGGGAGTTACCGGCAGGTTAACACAAACTTGGTGTCAAATAGATTACTTTTCTTTGACTTTTCATACAAGTTTACATAAACTTTAACTGTATGACCTGCAGTGGCGTAGCCACGGGTGGGGGGGGGGGGGGGGGGGGGGGCCGTGGGGGGCGACAGCCCCCCCCCATGAAACCATGTCGCCCCCCCCCCCGTCGCCTCCCCCACTGAGATTTTGAGTTTCTAAAAAAATTATCATTGATCTACATGACGCCCCCCTCCCCATGAAATGTTCCAGCCCCCCCCCCCCCCCCCCCCCCAGCGCCCCCCACTGAAAAATTCCTGGCTACGCCACTGACAGTACATACAGGGGACGAAGTTGGAAAAGAAACACACATCGCGATATCGGAACGTTTGCGCGTAGTTCAGGCAAGTCAAAAGATCTATCTTTCTTTGTTTTTTTTATCTTTTTTTTCCATGGAAAGTGAATTTCGATTTTCAATTATTTAGCTTGACTTGACCCACCCACCCACAATTTGGAAAAAAGATCGAAATTTTAAAACATTGAAAATTCTGAATGGCCCCTTAGTAGTAATTACGCGCACTTCCCAAAATTGTTTAAAATGCTCACAACTCCCTAAAGTGATCAAGACACGCATCAAATTAAAGCTCATTTCATCATCTTTCATTTTCCGTTTCATTTTGGGGGTTTGATGACTTTTGGGAGAAAATTCCATCCAAAGATGATCACCCCTAAAACAGTCTTGAAGCCCATCGCCATACACGCGCCTCATTGCAAAATAGACCCATTTAGGGCCTAATTTCATCCAAATTTTACAGAAATACGAGCTCGCAGTCCTCTGCACGGCTTCCAACCTTATTTTTTACAAATCATATTCACGGCCTTCAAAATGCTCTTATACCGGAGAAGGAAAGATTTCATATATATAAGAAGTTCACTAATTTTCCTCTGTATTGACAAGCCCCCAGATAGCAATTTCATGTCATCAAAATCAATTTGAGCAGTGAGAAAATACAAGCAAATTCTTAGAAAACACTTAGAATTTTTCAGTCCACTCTCATAGGGTTTCATTTGTACACAGGGTGTTGAGTGAACTTCTTTATATGGAAATCTTTCCCCGGAGAATTTGAGGGCAGGTTTGGCCGGCGTACTACTACTACTAGGCAATTTCGGACCGATTTACTGGCCTGCAGCCCGAAGGGTATTGATTAAGGGATTAGAATCTGGACGTCAACTTCACTGACTCCTCTTATGTGTCATTATTTAAAAAAAATACTTTAAAAGACACTTCTTTGGCAAGCTGCAAATTTCGGCAGGATTTTTTTTGGTGGGGCCGGGGGCACGGGGAGGGGGCACTGGCCAGGGCAAAGGATGACTAATAGAATACCAAAATTTCTTATCACGGAATTGTCCGGGATTTTTAAAGATTGGATCATATGGAAAGTTCCACCTATGGCATCATGGAATATTCCACAAAGAACCGGAAACAGCCGTCGATCTTTGACTTTGAGCGTTGGCGTCGATCGCATACACGACGGCACTAGTAGTACGCGACGCACATAATTTTGTTCATGCATATAATATATTTTTATCAGCACCTTCCTGCGTGCTGCATGCTAGGCTAGGCCATAGGCTGCATGCATGCTACGCATACGTACGTCAGGGGTAAGTTTTATGCAATGACGCGTACCCTGAACCTCATTTCTAATAATAGGCCTATTTCCCAACATAGCTAAATTCACAGGCAAGGAGACGAGGCAACTGAACAAAGTACAACTATGACAACAGAACACTTTCGATTCGTGCTAGGCTGCATCAGTGCATGAGTTGTGCTCGAGTGATTTACGCAAATCTTCAGCGGAGCCGATATTGTTTCCAAGTTGGTAGGCCCATGTTCTACGACTCTAGCGCATGCTAGTCCGAGTAACTAGCAGAGTTGTAACGAGTCACTGATTTTTGTGACTCGAGTCGAGTCGAGTCATTTTAAAGAAGTGACTCGAGTCGAGTCGAGTCATTAGGTCAACAAGGTCGAGTCGAGTCGAGTCGAGTCACAGAGTGTGGTCGAGTCGAGTCGAGTCGAGTCGAGTCAAGTATTTAGCTCGAGTCAATTCGAGTCACAAATATTTGAACACTAAATTACAATAAAAAGCAACAAACACAAGAGAGAAAGAATACAAGGCACCAGTCTATTACGGAAATCCAAAGACATAAAGTATGCTGTATGGTACCCAACCAACAGTTTCCATTGCTAGCCACCTCACAGATAAGAAGATGTGAAACTTCGGTCTTATAACTGGTTTGGCTTCGGGTCTAGATTTTGTTGTTCGCTGATCGCTGACAATGTTAAAACCTAATTGCATTATACAAAACTGTTTCTGATTATTCAAAGGTGGGCCCGTCCGTATCCATTTTTTTGTGTGAAATTGGGACATGAATTTAGCCAGCGTTCCACCAAGAACTTCAAAATCGCCCGAAACCAATGATGAAACCACGGATTGAGAAATGCGTTTTAAGTCTGGTTCCAGGTTTAGCATTACATGCTATAGAACCACAAGGCGGGAGTCCGCGACACGGTGTATGTTTGTTGTTTCATTATGGAGGAAGGAAACAGACTGCCGCTGTATATAAACGTACATTATTCGCGAACATTAACGTGACGTGAACAAAAACTGGCAACGCGAACGGCGCAGCGTAAGTCATTGCAAATATTTTTCGAAATTAAGTTTTGCTTTTATTTTGGGACTCGAGTCTTATTAGCCTTCCTCGAGTCGAGTCGAGTCATTCTGATGAGGGACTCGAGTCGAGTCGAGTCATTTGCTCGCAGTGACTCGAGTCGAGTCGAGTCATTTACCCGTCGGGACTCGAGTCGAGTCGAGTCGCCAAAAAATGTGACTCGAGTCGGACTCGAGTCGAGTCATTGACTCGAGTCATTACAACTCTGGTAACTAGGACTCTACAGATCGCTTTTTTAACATTTGGACTAGTCCGAGTAACTTGGACCCAACTTATCGCCTTTTTAAAAATTTGGACATGGTCGAGCTGTCACCGCTGTCTTGATGAATGTTGTTATGCGATTCAAATTCAAGGTCAAACTGATGACTACCTCCATGCGCCGTCCAAGTGCGCGACTGCATTCACAGTCTAGTCTAGTCGGCCATCGTGTGTGCACGCGTACACCGGCCGGTAACTGTTTCCTGAATTGAACGGCGCAGCCTGCACACATCGCATTCAAGACAGCAGTGTGACAGCTCGACGAGGCTCGGTTTCCGAACTGAAGGTGAAATCTCTCTTTTCTTCCCCAAGGTATGTGAACCTAACCACCACCATTTGTATTTTGACTTCCCACTGAAGCCTACAGGGGCGCATAAGGTAGTTTGAAGACCAAATGTTAAAAAAAGCGATCTGTAGAGTCCTACTCTAGTTATGATTGTTTATTGTGCACCTGTTGTGCGTCTGATCGCTACGAAAGCCCGGGCATAGCGCCACTGCAAGTATATATGTTGCGGATTATTTAATTCGTTATTACGGATTATTAATTCGTTATTACGGATTACTAATTCGTTATAACGGATTATTAATTCGTTATTACGGACTATTTAATTCGTTATTACGGATTACTAATTCGTTATAACGGATTATTTAATTCGTTATTACTGATTATTAATTCGTTATTACGGATTATTTATTCGTTATTACGGATTATTAATTCGTTATTACGGATTATTTAATTCGTTATTACAGATTACTAATTCGTTATAACGGATTATTTAATTCGTTTTTACGGATTATTAATTCGTTATTACGGATTATTTAATTCGTTATTACGGATTACTAATTAGTTATAACGGATTATTTAATTCGTTATTACGAAATTATTAATTCCTTATTACGGATTATTAATTCGTTATTACGGATTATTTAATACTTGCCAAGTAATGACTCAGAACGTATGAGTAATTCGTAATAACGAATTAATAATCCGTAATAACGAATTAATAATCCGTAATAACGAATTAAATAATCCGTTATAATGAATTAATAATCCGTAATAACGAATTACATAATCTGTAACATATATACTTGCAGTGGCGCTAATGGGCTTTCGTAGAATGCTGTATCCCTTAATAATAATATCCGCACGTGCAATTTGGTTGGACCATGGAGCTGTGGGCATGGTTGGACCAAGGACTTTACCCATTGTCATGTCTTCCAAGTTATATACATTGCACATTTTAATGTCACGGCACAAATCCTACGCCCTAGGCCTATATGACTAATAATAACCATTTTTTTGTACAAAAAAAATTAATTTAAACAAAAATGTATGAAATGGTCCTTTTTTGTCGTAAGTTTTTTTACCATTTAATTACGTAGGCCTATATATGTCCATGCGGCATTCCCTTTATTTTTCGGAAAGCTGCAACCTGACGCTGCTTTTTTCTTAATATATATCATCTCAGTGAAGGTCAGTCATTGCAAAAATAATGATAAGACGTGAATCTGTGACTGAGAAATATTTCCAATTTTGTTGACTCTCCATAGACTTTGTACACAACCGCTGAAGTGGCGTCAGGTTGCAACATTCTTTCCTTTTTTCTGGGGCTTGCTGTTAATGTTTTGAGACAAACTGTTGTGGTTTAACGCTTTGTTCGATTTAAATTTTAATTTTTTTATTTCATTTTGAGAAACAAAATTTTAATGTCCTGAAACAAAGGGTTGAATATTTATGGCCTGTAGTTATTTGCCATTTAAAAAAGAAAAACTATTTCTCCTCCCCCCCCCCAAAAAAAATAATTACAATTTGCAGAACAAGACAACAATGGCCGCGCCAAGCGCTCTTAATGTTGATATGTTGTCTGGCCAAGATGTACCTGCTACGAGGGTGGAGCTAACAATTTCTTGCAGGTAAGTTGTAAATATATGATTTACCATTCCTAAAAAAAAATGTAATGGGAGTGGTCCTATTTTCTTGAAAAATTCTAATTGCAATTGTTTTTCTGAAACTTTTAATCAGAGGTAATTATTAAGAGTCAGGGAATTTAAATTTTGTCAGGGAATTTCAATCGTTTGGAAAGTGAAATATAGGGACTATTCCCTTGTAATTTAGTATTTTATTCTTTATTTTCAAAAATGTTCAGGTTATTTTGTCATAACCTTTTGGAAAGTGAAAGATAAGCTTGAATTATACACCCCAAATATACTCTTAAAAAATAATTCATCTTTCCGAGAAAAAAAAATTGTAATGGGAATATTCCTGTTTTCTCGTAAAATTCCAATTGCAATTGTTTTACTAACACTTTAAATCAGAGGTAATTATTTAGAGGCAGGGAATTTAATTTTTGTCAGGGAATTTTGTTTTTTTGAAAAGTGAAATATAGGGCCTAAAACCCTTGTAATTTATTTATATATTTTTTATTTTCAGAAATTTGCTGGATATGGACACATTTTCCAAGTCGGATCCTTGTGAGTATTGGAAAATTTTATATTCTGTGTTGTAATTGTACATGTAAATTAAAAATTTTTTCTCAAGTTCTGTTTCTTCAAGCCCACCTCACTTTTCCCCAACCTAGACAACCCTACATTCCAAAGTTGAAATGGTGAATTTCATTGAAAATAAATCCCACCCCAATCCACCTGAGGAGTGACTTTTCATATGTACTGAAATATGACCCAAAGTCCACCAGATTCCTTACAAATGTAACTATCACTCAACATAAGGGGTTGAGGTGGTAAAAGATGGAAGAACATTGAAAAGTGAATTAATTAAATTGTAATTTCATTGTTTGTTTTAGTGTTTCTTCCATGATTTCTTCAGATCATTATATGGTAACTTGATCCCTTGGTATGCTTGTTACTCGAATTGACAAGCAAGCTGCATTTTGTTTGGTGACTTTGGCCAACACTGACCATGTACTGATAACATCAATGAATCAGGCCCCCCAAAAAATAGTTCAGCTTCCGATTAAATGGCATTTGAAAAAAGGGTTAGGTAGGGAATGTATTTTTTGGGGGGCAAATTTTTTGTGTACGATAATGTGGAGGTGTCTGCGTGTAGTCCAGGGTAAAAGGTAGTAATTGATGATTTTCGGGGTTTTGTTTCTCATTTTTCCCAAAACAAAGTTAGGGTAGGGGCTGTCAAAATATGGTAGGTAGGGAAACCGGAAGCACAACTATTTTATTTTTTTGGCCGAAAGGGTCCATGCAATGAATTTGTCTGAGGAACACATTGAAGTATGCAACTTGCTACTCCTCTTAAATGTATGAAAATTATCTGACATCCCTTTTTTGTTTGATTTTATTGAAAAGTGCACTTCTTAAAAACATTAAACATTTTCCTTGCTTTTCCGGATAACTGTAGGCGCTGTTGCTGTGCTGTCATTTCAGGAAGACACTGTTCAGTTGAGGGGTTTTCTGTTCAAATTGCGAACCCAAAATTTGCTCACTGAAAACATTTGTGAGAAAGGTTTGCTCATTGGCTTACTTCCATTGACTGACACAACAACGAATTACCAAAGAAGAGACAATTTACGACTGCAAAATATCCAACGTTCTAGTAACTTTTTGTGCTGAAATAGCTGTAACATTGAGGTTTCTGCCCAGAACGACATCACAGTTTTGCTCATGAATATGGAAATTTGCATTAGCATAAAATCAATTCGCAATTTACAATCTCAAGAGCCCCATGGACGGGACACATCATGCGAAGTACTTACAACTTATTTAACTCTGAATGTGCACAAAGCCATATAGCGTCTTTGTGTGAGCGTCAGGCGTCGTCAGCACTGCGTTCGAATGTCTCTCCCAGTGGTCTCCCCCAACTCTCTTCCTTATCGGTATCGTTTCGGTTTGCGGTAACACCATGTGGTAATAACTACTGCTTAGAAGATATTAGTCTCCAGACAGTCTCCTGACGATGACTAGAGCAGGCTAGTCGAAACGTTGAGACCAAAGACAAGTTCGTTTAGAACTTACAGCAGGACTGTTCTTAACAGTCTCCTGACGATGACTAGAGCAGGCTAGTCGAAACGTTGAGACCAAAGACGAGTTCGTTTAGAACTTACAGCAGGACTGTTCTTAACAGAACAAAAAAAACTACTTAGCAAAGTTGATAATAAGCAGGACAAGTTCTTTTCAGAACTAATATCTTCTAAGCAGTGGTTATTACCACATGGTGCTACCGCAAACCGAAACGATACCAATACCCCACCATGCAAAGCCTCAAATCTTATATCTCTTCCTTATGGTTCCTTATCGTGTCTGTTTTTACTTTCAGTATGTGTCATGTTCACTCAAGAAGTGGGACAAAAAAGTTTTCGAGAGGTAAGTGTGAAAATTGTTTGCAAGGATATGGTCTAATAATTTCTTTTTCCATGATACAAAAGAATCAGCCAAATCAAGGGTTTATGATCATTGCAGACTCTGACATTAATCGATACATTTCCTCAAAAGCAAGCAGCTGTTCGCCTGTAGTATTGTATAAACATTTGTAGCAACTCTACAAATATTGGTATGGTACTTCTTTCATTTTTTTTCAGTTTGGAAGAACAGAGGTGATCTGGAACAATCTCAATCCAAAATTTGTCAAGAAGTTTGTGATTGATTACTTCTTTGAGGAAAAGCAAATCCTGAAATTCGAGTTGTAAGTATACGTACCTCCTGATACTTTTGCTTAAGTTGGTGAGCAAAAGGTGGTGGTTGTATTTATCACTGGATATGCAAAACGAGAAGACTAGAGAATTGATTGACCGACAGGCTAAACTGCTAGGATAAAAGTGACTGACCATGCTATGCAGTTCTGTCTATACTGTGTGTATAAAAAAAATGCAGACAAAATATAACGGAATGCCAGACATAGGTTTGAAAGATAAGCCTTTCAACTTTAAAATGAGACACACATCCAAATCTTTTTGACAGAGTTATGAGTAATTTTCCAAGAGAGGTCAAACTGACCATGGGACCAAGTTTTGAATTTTTACGCATTGGGACAAAGGTAGCCTAATTGCCTCTGTGTAGATGATTGCTTGGCTTACAAAAAATGTGTTTAGCGAGTAAACACAATTCTAAACACATCAAGTTGTAAGCATGTTTACTTGCTAAACATTTTTAGCATGAGGCGATTGCAAAAAAGTGTTTAGAATTGTGTTAACTCGCTAAACACATTTTGGTAGGCCAGGCAATCATCCACACAAGGCAATTAGGCTACCTTTATCCCGATGCCTAAAATTGAAAACTTGGTCCCAAGGCGTAGCTCAGCCTTGTTAAGAAAAAAAAAACTACATTGACTTTAATAAACTGATTTTTTTCTGATTTTTTAAAAATTTTTATTCAGGTACGATGTGGATTCCAAAAGCCCTGACCTCTCGAAACATGTACGTATTTCTGGACTCAAAAACCTGCATTTGACATTTAAATCATTGCATCTGCGAATGGTAACTAGTTGTTCACAACAAGTAGTAGACTCGAATGGAAAAACAACTCTCATTAAAGTTGATATGAAATAAAAAAAATAAAAAAAACACACACACAATCACTTTTTGTGTACCTAAGCTCAAACTAATACCCCGTTCCCACTTGATCCACCAATTGGGGGATCTGATCCACCTTTTGCCAAATTGCCGGATCAGATCCCCCAATTGGTGGATCAGATCCGGCAATTGTGTGTAGTGGGAACGCTAACCGTTATAAGGTGGATCAGGATCAGATCCACCTTTTCTGATCCACCTCTGGACCAGGATACAGATCCCCAAATTGGTGGATCAGATCCGGCAATTGGCGGATCACGATCAGATGGGAACGCAAAAGGTGGATCTGATCCGGCAATTTGACCTGTCAACATCCAAACGGTGCACGAGTGGCACGAAAATGTTGCGGTCTTAAGAACGAAGAAACACGTTTTCAGGCGCGTAGCTCATGTGAAAATTTCCAACATACACAATGCACAATGCACACATGCACAATAAACAACCGCTGAACTACGGGCTAGCACCGCGCATGCACGTGGTATATCCTGAAACTAGGCCTTTTACAATTTTCGTTGCGTAGTCTTCCATTTCTAAACCTTTTTTATTCATAAAATTTTACTTATTTTTCCATCCATAAATGACTCTGAGTCCGCACTCACCAAAACACTTCAATTTGGCACAGAATCATGGAAAAGCTTACGAATACGCAATGAGAATAGTGCCGATAACGCGGTGCGTCTGGAGGTGACAAATCTGTAGTATTGATTATAGAAAATTGGAAAATGATGTCGTAGTACATCATGTGACCATTTTTAACCAATGAGAAGCTTCAGAACCAGGGAATCCCTTATCGATGCATTGGTTTCTGCCGTGATGTCACACAATTAGCGGCGCTGTTCGATTTCACCAGTTAATTTATGCACGTGAGGATCCTCTACGTACAGATCCGTGATTTATGTCGGTGAATTCGCGTAATTCTTGTCGGTGAATTCATAGCGCTGTTAAAAGCTGACCCATCCTGGCCTAGCATGCAACACTACTGGCACTCCACAGAGCGCGCGTAATTCCGAACTCAATGACCTTTCGGACTCAACATTTCCGTTCGAAAAGGTGGATCAAGCATAAGTGGGAACGCGACTTGCGGTTTCATTGCGGTAAGATAACGATCACACCGAAATGCCGGATCTTGATCCACCTTTTCCAAATTCAAGTGGGAACGCGGTGTCAAAATAAGTCTGTTGTTAAATACTTGATACTCCTTCAAATACACGTCAAGAAATTGAAGTAAAATTTTAGTCTTTGTCAAACAAAATCTTAAAATACAGGTTTTGATTACAAAAGTGTTTTTGCTTTATTTTCCTTCTGCAGGATTACTTAGGCCATGCAGTCTGCACTCTTGGTGAGATCATGGGATCGAGAGGGTGCAAATTCACAAAGTTTCTCAGGTAAGTTGTGATTTGATTTAAACAAACCGAAAAGTGCAACTATATATATTTTTTCAAGTATGTATTTGGCCGACTCCAGAATAGACCCATTGCATTGCAGCCATCTTTGTGGTGCATGCTTCTGTTCCGCCGGGGTACACATGAGCAGACTTGTATAACTCGTGACTCGGACCCGGACTCGAGTCCGACTCGAGTCACATTTTTAATGTCTCGGACTCGGACTCGAGTCACTTTGACTTATGACTCGGACTCGGACTCGGGGCTATGGACTCGGACTTGGACTTGGACTCGAACTGACTTGTGACTCGACGGAAATTACCGCACTGCACACGCGTACATACGTAAGTCGATCGTTTTCTTTACTGTGCAATACATGTACAAGGCGCTCGATGTGGTGCATGCGTGGCCATGGCCTGTTACCGATATATTGATTAAAGAAATCAATGTACCGAAACTTGTACCCCGCCGTCCGCACGTAACACTGCATTGGTGCAAGATTGATAGGGTAAGGTACCAGACTTTTCTTGTCAGACGTCCTGTCGTTCACACGTGTATTGCTGTCGCATCGCGATAACGCAATATGAATAGTCTGCTGATCTGCCCGTTTCGGTAACGTTACATGCAAGTTGCAACGTAGATCATGATGGCATCCACTCAAAAAATTGTCAAATTTGGGTATCTTAACTTCAAGAGAAATGCCAATGGAAGATCAAGTGCAGAATGCAAGTTACTGCAAATTAGAAGAGAAAATTAGAGAAAGCTGTGGGGAAAAATGGAAATTTACAGCACCTGAAATGGACGTATTTCCAATACTATATCAAAGGTGACTCTGAATCTCTGAATTCCCTAAAATGTACGTTTTTCCAATACAATGTTAGAGGTGACTCGTGACTCGGACTTGGACTCAACCTTTGTGACTCGGACTCGGACTCGCCCTGGAGGACTCGGGACTCGGACTTGGACTCGAGAAATGTGACTCTGACTCGGACTTGGACTCGACGTTTTGTGACTCGAATACAAGTCTGCACATGAGTAGACCTCTTGTGCATTCATTGCTAATTAAAATGATACACAAAACCTCAAGGATGGCGGCTGAAGGCAAAAGTCTTCAGAACTTTTGTTTTACCATCTAAGTTTAACGTGAGCTCTTCTAGAGGATATTTGAGTTGTTGTAAGAATTGCTTTAGAATTAAAGTCACTTTTCTTCCTGTGATTCCTGCTCACAGTGGACCAGCTAAGGATTCTGGGTCAATTACCATCAAAGGCGAAGAGCTCAGCGATTGTCGGGTGAGATTCCTCTCGGTTATCATATATTTTAGAAATATTCATAGAAATATTCCCTATACCAGTGTGATATTTACAGTGTTTTGGTCAAGCCCTTCAAACATTCTCACAAGCACTCCAGTTCCAAGTCAAGGGCGGATCCAGAACACAATTCTTTTTTTTGGGGGGGGGGGGCCAAAAGTGTGTCCAAATTTTTTTTTAGATTCTAGCTGCTCTGTGGTGCGATCTGAGGCAATTTCTGATCACTTTAACCAATGTTTTTTGAGGAAAAGATAGTGGTGTACTCATTGCCTGCCTTTATTGTTAAAGTCACTTTAAAAAAAAATGGATTCATTTTTTTTGGGGGGGGAATGCCCCCCCCCCCCCCCACGATCCGCCCTTGTTCCAAGTCAAATAAGTCACAAGCTTCACATAAGACTCAGGGAGTTCAATATTCACATAAACTGTGACAATTAAAGACATTTCTTTGTTATTTTTTCTCCCATGTTAATTGTGACCAGACTTATGACAGGACTTGTGATAGATTTGTAATCAACTTGTGATTTGACTTGTGATTGACTTGTGATAGACATTGTGATTTGACTTGTGATTAACTTGTGATTGACTTGTGATTGACTTGTGATAGACTTGTAATTGACTTGTGATAGGCTAGGGATAGAGTTGTGATTGACTTGTGATTGACTTGTAATTGACTTTAGATTGAATTGGGATGGACTTGTGATTGACTTGGGATAGACTTGTGATAGACTTGTGATTTGACTTGTGATAGATTTGTGATAGACTTGTGATTTGACTTGTGATTGACTTGTGGTAGTCTCGGGATAGACTTGTGAATGACTTGTGATTGACTTGTGATTGACTTAAATTGTGATATACTTGTGATAATAGTGTGATAAACTTGTGATAGACTTGTGGTTGACGTGTGAACAACTTGTGATTGACTTGGGATAGGCTTGTAATTGACTTGTGATTGACTTGTGAACGACTTGTGATTGACTTTTGAGTGACTTTAATTGTGATATACATGTGCTTGTGATAAGAGTGTGATAAACTTGTGATAGACTTGGGGTTGACGTGTGAACGACTTGTAATTGACTTGTGATTGACTTGTGATAGACTTGTTATTGACTTGTGATTGACTTGTGATAGACTTGTTATTGACTTGTGATTGACTTGCAGTTTGATTGATTAGGATGGACTCGACACTGGATTCTTGTTCCAGCTGTTTCATAGACTGATTTTCTTTAAATCTTCAAGTAAACCAACAACATCAATCTTGATTCAGTCAGTTTTCTTTCATTCAATATCAAGATTTGTTTGCTTGTCTTCCATTAGGATCTGATAACGTTGCAGTTCAAAGGGGACAAGTTGGACAAGAAAGATTTCATCGGCAAATCAGATCCCTTCTTAGTCTTCCACAGATGCAACGAAGATTTGAGGTATGACGACTAGCTACCAACAATTTCTGTGAAATTCTGTTCTTTTCTTTTTTTACCCGGTTTTGTGTTTTTTTGGTTAGATTACAGGATTTTTCACAACATAAAACCTCGAATCATTGCCTTTTGATGTAATGTATTGGCCTCAGCGACATAACTTATTGTTATTACATGTCTTCTTCCCTTTCAGCTACACAATCTGTCATAAGACGGAGTACATCAAGAAAACGCTCAAGCCACGATGGAAGTCATTTAACATCATGTTGAGAACGCTGTGCAACGCAGATAAACACAGGACGATCAAGGTGGAGTGCTTTGATTGGAACCGAAATGGCAGGTTAGTCAATGGAGTAATTAAAGGGAATGTACATCATTGGCTTTTGCTGTAATTTTCAGAAATAAACTATTTGAGAGGTATAATAGATCAAATATTGTTACACTGACATTTTTGAAGTTTGGTGTTCGAAAAGGTTGGAAAAACCAAGAAAAACAAAAATGTTCAAGTAGTCTGGTTCCCTGACTCCACAAAAGATAAAATGGATCAATTTATAGATGATTGAAAATTGTAAGGCAAGGGAACCAGTCTAGCTGGCCTGCCCCCGTTCATGAACATGTAACCAATAGCAAACAAAATTTGGACTGAAAAAAAATGGTAAATTTGGAGCAGTAGTTGAAAAATAGTTAGGTTTTTCCAACGCTGGTCGGCCGACCACCGTTGGAAATGTTTACAAAAATACCATTTTCTTGAAAATGACTTCACACCAGGTGCCATAATTTTACAAGATGCTTGAGACTGTCATTTACCAACATCCTAGTAAGGTATTTCGTAAAAACTTGGTAGTTTAATTTTTCGATGTTTGCAAATGTGGTATATTCCCTTTAAATGTTCGGGAATAACAGAGTACGGAAGAGTGCTGCGTATTCTTGTTCACGCGCATATCTTAAGTGTGTGAAGACCATAGCGCGTGAACTGGCGCGTGAACCGGAACAAAGACAGCTGACGCCAGACTTGTACGGTACTCTATGAAACCAAAGTCGTGGGTGCATGGCCCATTGTGACAACTTGGATAGTGGTGGAAAAAGGGCACAAATTTGCATAGACCAGATTGGTTCTGATTCCGGTCCAATTTAGAATTCTTATTTATAAATGCGCATAATTTGCAAGGTGCCAGGTTTTTACAGTCTAGATTTCTCTACAGGTAACGTTTTTAAGTTCTGATGACATTTTTATGCCCCGCGGCGAAGCCGAAGGGGCAAACTGTTTCCGCCTTGTCCTTCCGTTGGTGGGTGGGTGGGGGGGGGGTGTGTGGGTGAGTTTGTGTTACATACCCTATGTGGACTTGTGAACAAGAGAGGTCCACATAATGCAGGTTGTGTTAACCTTATGTGGACTAAGCCGTGTCCACATAAGGTTTTGCCCTTTCTGGAAAACAGGTTTAGAGGCATTTTTGGGTTAGGTTTATCGTAGCAGAATGAAGAGAAACACTATAGGGAATCATAGAAAAAAAATTGGGTTGAAAGAGTTTTCACAGTTTAAGTAAAGTTATTTTTTGTACCGAGTTTTCTTAACTACACGAAAACAAAGCAATGTCCACACAAGGTATGTAACGTAAGTCGGGGTGTGTGTGTGTGTGTGTCCGGACAAATCTTGTCAGCGCGATAACTTGAGAAATACTTAACATATGAACTTCAAATTTGGTTTGTGTATTGTTCTTGGTAATCCTAAGAACCCTTTTGCATATGAGGTTTTTCCTAGAGAATCTGAGTTCCAGAGGCCAACTTGTGTAGTCACAAGTATGTCTTACTATTTAAACACATTTTGTAAACTTCTTTGGATTTTTGTCTTTCTAGCCACAGTTTGATTGGCACGTTTGAAACCAGCGTGAGTGAACTGGCAAAGGGGCCTGGTCAGTCCAATGTTTATCCGGTAAGTCCAGTAAAAAACACTATCCACACTTTTGTGTCGATAGAGAACAACTTGATTAGATCTAATGAAGAACTGGTGATTTTAGTGCTTGATATATATAAGGTGCAACATCAGGAAGGCAAGTAATTAATATGTGTAACAAAAAGTTCTTGATTTTGTTTCCTCAAGTTGACTGGTATCTTGTTTTTCCTTCCTTCAGTTGATCCATTCCAAGAAGCAAGCCAAGAAGAAAGGTTATCGTGACTCTGGTCTGATCACTCTCATGAGCTGTAAGATTGAACCACAGTTCACTTTCTTGGATTACATCCGGGGAGGTTGCCAACTTGCCTTCACTGTCGCTATAGATTTCACTGCCTCCAATGGTATGTTTGAGGATAAAACTGCACTTTAGTTCTTACAAAAAAACTCTTACCCTCTTGACCACAAAGTCCAGTGGTCTGAGTCCAGTACTTGAACTCAAGTGCTGGTCTAGTGACCTACAAGTCTAGTTGTCTTGTTTCCATGAAAAATATTTAAGGGGGGCTATATCTTTATTCAAAAGGAATAAAACGTTACATCAGAATCACTGTCATAGGCTTATGAGATTTTAAAATTTCCCTGGTCTTGTACTACATGTATATGGTAAAATTCAAACCTAATATGTAAAATATGAAAATATGATAAAATTAAACTACGCATCAAATTAACCTCAGAATCACTTTATATGCTCCAATTTTAACAATTTCCTGAACTGACTGACTCACTCCCCGACACCCCCGAGTCACTGACTGACTCCCCCGAGTCACTGACTGACTACCCCAAGTCACTGACTGACTCCCCCGAGTCACTGAAAACTCCCCCGAGTCACTGACTGACTCCCCGAGTCACTGACTATCTGAGTCACTGACAGACTCCCCCGAGTCACTGACTGACTCCCCCGAGTCACTGACTGACTCCCCCGAGTCACTGACTGACTCCCCGAGTCACTGACTGACTGAGTCACTGACAGACTCCCCCGAGTCACTGACTGACTGAGTCACTGACAGACTGACTGACTTACTCCCCGACTAAATCATGTCATAAACTGTCAAGCTGATTTGAGACTGTCCAACTAAGGCTGACCAACTGAAGCTGTAGACTGACCAGCTGACCAGCTAGACTGGTCCTATTCCCTATGTTACTGTGTTAGTTCAAAAATCTGTAATGAATTCCCCTTTACCAGGTGATCCTAGACAGCCTACCTCCCTTCATTACGTCAATCCTTACCAGCCGAACGCTTACTTGAGAGCATTGAGGGCAGTTGGTGAGGTCATTCAGGACTATGATCATGATAAACTCTTCCCAGCCCTCGGCTTTGGTGCTAGACTCCCACCAACCCGTCAAGTCCAACATGAGTTCTTCTTGGTAAGACGATATAATTTTTCCTCAAATTGTCTCCTCTACTTTCTCAGTGTTTGTAATTTTGGCATTTTATTAGTTTCTCTCTATTTGTTAGTGGCAGGTGTATTTTCGAATTAGTATGTGATATTGATTGTTAACCCATTGGTTCCCTTACTTCCCAAAACCGCCGAACTGCCCTGCCTGTTACTCCCTGTACTGCCCCAAACCACCCTGCCTGTTACTCCCTGTACTGCCCCAAACCACCCTGCCTGTTACTCCCTGTACTGCCCCAAACCACCCTGACTGTTACTCACTGTACTGCCCCAAACCGGCCTGCCTGTTACTCCCTGTACTGCCACAAGCTACCCTGCCTGTCACTCCCTGTACTGCCCCAAACCACCCTGACTGTTACTCCCTGTACTGCCCCAAACCACCCTGCTTGTTACTCCCTGTACTGCCCCAAACCGGCCTGCCTGTTACTCCCTGTACTGCCACAAGCTACCCTGCCTGTCACTCCCTGTACTGCCCCAAACCACCATGCTTGTTACTCCCTGTACTGCCCCAAACCACCCTGCTTGTTACTCCCTGTACTGCCCCAAACCACCCTGCTTGTTACTCCCTGTACTGCCCCAAACCACCCTGCTTGTTACTCCCTGTACTGCCCCAAACCACCCTGCTTGTTACTCCCTGTACTGCCCCAAACCGGCCTGCCTGTTACTCCCTGTACTGCCACAAGCTACCCTGCCTGTCACTCCCTGTACTGCCCCAAACCACCCTGCTTGTTACTCCCTGTACTGCCCCAAACCACCCTGACTGTTACTCCCTGTACTGCCCCAAACCACCCTGCTTGTTACTCCCTGTACTGCCCCAAACCGGCCTGCCTGTTACTCCCTGTACTGCCACAAGCTACCCTGCCTGTCACTCCCTGTACTGCCCCAAACCACCCTGCTTGTTACTCCCTGTACTGCCCCAAACCACCCTGCTTGTTACTCCCTGTACTGCCCCAAACTGGCCTGCCTGTTACTCCCTGTACTGACACAATTAAGCCACCCCGCTTGTTACTTCTTGTGTTGCCCCAAACCACCCTGCTTGTTACTCCCTGTACTGCCCCAAACTGCTCTGCCTGTTACTCCCTGTACTGCCCCAAACCACCCTGCTTGTTACTCCCTGTACTGCCCCAAACCACCTGAGCACTGGATTTAGAACAATCATCACAATTTTTCATTATTTCTGTTCAGAACGGCGATCCAGCTGATCCCATGTGTGTTGGCATAGAAGGCGTAGTGGCAGCTTACCAACAAGCTTTAGTAACTGTGGAGCTGTACGGCCCCACGCTGTTCGCACCAATCATCAACCACGTGGCAAGGTTTGTCTTTCTTCCCTATATAATGAGAGTCAAACCCACAAATTAAACAACCTGTTTGTCGGACTCGGGACAGTAGACTTGAGATACTTACTTTTCATGTGAAGGAATTTTGTATTAGGGAGCTGTAAATGTCATGTCGGTTTCGCCTTCAGAAGTAGTTCTTTTAAAAATTACATATGACCTACACTGGGGGGGGGGGGGCACAATCGTGCACACATAGCATAGTAAAAAGGTAAAGATCCCATAGCCATTACTGGCCGTAGGGGCAGTGGGACTTAGAGGTCCACTGTGTCTTGAGTGGCGGGGCCCAGTCCTCTCCTCTCCCCGTCTTACCTTCCCTGAACGAATCAGGTACCCATTTTACTGTTGGGTCGTCAGAGAGAGTTTTCCAGTTTTTGGTCCGAATGGGATTCGAACCGCCAACCTTCCACTCCGTAGCTCCACGCTCTAACCGCTCGGCTACGAGGCCCCTCTGGATCTGCTTGTCTGGGATATGTACATGCAGCGGCCGGTCCATAAAGAGAATGAGATACATTCAAATAACTTGATTACATGTTTCTTTCGGACCCCTCCATCCCCCACCCCTGACTGTCATAATTGTTTCCTTATTCACCTAGATTTGCCAATGCCAAGCAAGATGGTTCCGAGTACTTCATCCTGCTCATCATAACCGATGGATGCATCTGTGACATGGCCAACACAAAGGAAGCCATTGTCAATGTACGTCTCGGCATTTCAATCCGAATTTCCAAAGTTTTTAAAGCTATAGTCCATCATTTGCAGCCACCCGAAAAGTAACTGGCGTAATTACTGTTGAAAAACAAACTTGGTTGAAAGATAGCAAGGGAACTAAACGCCCTGTGAAATTATTCTTTCTGGGAAGCTGTCATTTTGAAGTAATCAACGAAAGAAGGCATTTCCAACGGTGATTCTTAAGAAGCACCGTAGGAAAATTTAAATTAGTAGTTCGTTTTGTTATTCAGCGCAGCGCGCACAAGTATTGGAACGATGCACATGCGCGCGCAGTTGCTATAATTCGTCGGATCAGTGCGCGACGCCGCGTATAGCTGCAATTCAAAACAATTCAAAACATGATTCAGTAACTTTTGATTTTAAATTGAGATCTTAGAATGCTGCTTTTCTCGGAATGTACAGCTGAAGCTTAGCTGAAACTTCATCAGGTTAGTTGCTCAGTATCCTTCATTAGATTTTGAACACTTTTGTTGCTTCAAACGAACAAAATGCACTAATTACAAATGATGGACTATAGCTTTAAATGAACGTCAAATACTTCAGTGCTTTGTAACATTTTTGCAGCCGCACAGAAATAGTCTCTTCTGACTAGCTCCCCTTGAACAAAGACATTGACAAAATGGGGAACCCACACCCATAGGACGGGATAACTCACTTGGCGACATTGAGCACCCGAATGGCAATCTGGATATCACCGGTTCAGATCCCACTCAATTCAATTTCTTTGTTTAACTTTTTAAAAATATTAAATAAATATTCTCATTAACTATGTAATACTGCACCTCACACTGTTAAAGGGAATATAAACAACATTTGCAAACACCAAAAAACTAAACTACCAAATTATCACGATACCTTACTGGACTATAGTGAATAACAGTCTAAAGCATCCTGTAAAATCATGACACCTGGTGTGCTGACATTTTCAAGAAAAGTGGTCTTTTTGTATCAATTTCCAACGCTGGTCAGCTGACCAGTGTTGGAAAAAAATGTTGGTGTTTTTTTCAAATACTGCTCCCAGTTTATCATATTTAGTTAGTCCGCATTTTCTTTGCAATCAATTACACACCTGTGAACGGGTACATGCCAGCTAGACTGATTCCCTGACCTTACAATTCCCTAACATCTACAAATTGCTCCGTTTCATCTTAAAGACTACAAGAACAGGATTGTTTTTCTTGGCTTTTCTAGCATCTACGAACCCAAAACGTCAGACAAGCTAATGTAACAATATTTGGTATAAAATACGAACCCCCCCCCCAAATCCATCCATTCTGAAAATTACAGCGAAAGCAAGTGTTGTGTATTCCCATTCAATACTTCTTCCTCATGCGTGGATTATAATGTTGGCTCTATCAATTAATCTTCTGAAACCATTTCACTTTCTGAAACCTACATTGTTTATTTCTTTTCAGGCAGCACAGCTTCCCATGTCTATCATAATAGTCGGCGTGGGTAAAGAAGACTTCTCAAGTAAGTGCATTCATTTCAATTTTGGAGCGCAGATCTGTGAATTTTTCTAATGCAGCTTTTTATACAAAATGTATCAAAGTAATTGAGGAAGACGTAAATGATAAGTTTGTTAGTCAATTTATTCGTTACAGATATGGAGGAGTTGGATGGGGATGAGGTCCGCGTTTCCTCTAGAGGGCGCTTTGCTGAGAGAGACATCGTACAGGTCAGTCCGAGGCCGCGACTAAATGGCGTGGCTACGGCTAAGAGTAACATACCTGTAGATATAAAGCGGCTCCAGCTGCTTCTATAGGTCTCGTTCGAATGACGCCATTTCCTTAGTACAGACCATCCACGTGCATCGGCATTTTGAGCGTCAACTTGCGTAACCAGCATCGTATTTCGAAAACATTTCGAGCAACAAGCATGTCTGTTTGGAACATTTTGAACACTGCGCAATGAATGCTTGATTGCGTAAAATACGCAGTTGCAGTTCTCCTACAGAGATGGCCGTCATTGAGCGAGCCTAATAAAAGCGTGTGTGATTGCAAGCTGTAGCTCATTAATTCAGCCCGCCCTAAATACCATTGGAGCCATTAAATTGTAAAAAGTTCTACAGGTTGTGTGCTGAATTATGATCCGGAATACATATTTTCCCCATAAATTTGGGGATTTCCTGAAGAATTTGTTAAGCTTAAACACATATGATCGTAAGACTCTACACATAAAGTTTGATTATACTGACTGACTTTCACACATTAAGACAAAAGGAAACGCCCCCTACCTCCTTCTACTCAACTCCCCCCCCCAAAAAAAAAAACCCCACAAAAATCCAGATGATTTGCCATAACAAAAACAACGATTCTGTCAAATGTTTGTACTCAAGAATTTATCAGACTGATGTTTTGCCTATTAACGATGACATCACAGTGTTGCTCATGAATATGGAAATGTTCATCTGCATAAAACCCCGGTGGACCCTTACAAATGGCATATTAAGATAATTGGGATGAAAAGATGAAGTTTGAGGATCAGATATACCGTCTTTTCTCCTCCGCACAGTTTGTTCCTTTCCGAGAGTTTGAGGGGGAAGGCAACCGCATCTTGAGCCAGGCCCGTCTCGCCAAGGAAGTCTTGTACGAGATTCCGGATCAGATTACGTCTTACATGAGGAGCAAAAATATTGTCCCTGGTAATCCACCCTCACCGAGCCTCACTAGTTATCAGAGCTTCAGAAATTGAAAAGTGGAGTGAACAGGATTGCCTTAAAGACATAAAGAATCATAAATTTGCATTTATCTCACTTGATAATTATTATCAAAAAGTTTACTTGGATCAAAGATCCTATTGGTGTTAAACTCCCTGAAAGTATTCTTGAAATTTATAAACTGGGAGAAAATTCTGGGGAAGTTGTTCGGAATCCTGCAACTAATACCCCGATACAATGGGTCCTTTGCAGATAATTTTGTCTGCAGTATACCTGTTAAACGGTGACTCCGAACCATTCTGAGCGATTGTTATTGGTTTTAGGATTATTAAATACTTGTTATGGTATATGTTGCGACTGGTTGAAAATGTCCAGTATAATGAAACCTTTATGTGAAGGGGAATCAGAATGATATCTCAATTAATTTTGCCAAAAAATTGAAATAAAGTGCAAAATGAAAATGGCAATAATTATGTACAGCTTTAATTAAATTTTGTTTTGATGAAAATTAATGAAACTCATTGTACAGGGTGAGTAAAAAAAAACTACCCAAATGTCGGGACCATTGTTTTAGTGAAGTTCTGCATGCAGCACATTGAAAATCTAGGATATGAAAGCCCAATTCATAAGCCTTCTTTTAGTACAAGAATCATTCAAATCAATCGTGTACTTTTCCAGTTATGAAGTTTTAAACACAACCGCCATTAAGGTTCTGTCCACGGATCACAAAAAGTTCAGTGTTCTTTCAGCAAAACGAAAACAAATGGTATAATGATGTGTGTGAATTGTTTTCGTTTCGTGAATTGTTTTGCTGAGAGAACGCACACCTTTTTTGTGATCCGTGGACAGAACGTTAAAACGGTGGTTGTGTTTAAAACTCCGTAACTTGAAAAGTACATGAGTGATTTGAATGATTCTTGTACTAACAGAAAGCTTATGAATGGGGCTTTTATATCCTAGATTTGGAAAGTGCTACATGCAGAACTTCACTAAAACAATGGCCCCGACATTTGGGTTTCGTTTTGTTTTTTTAACTCGCCCTGTAGTTGAGGGGATTAAATACTGCAATGTACTGAATGATACTGTGCGTGCAAATATATTAACATTGAATATAAATGAACTAACCACAATCTTAGTAACAAGAACATGAAGTTTATTTTTAGTTTTCCCTTCGGCTTGACATGACTAAAATGTAGAATTTTTGAGTCCTTATATCTTTAAAAGCATGTTGGAACATTTGCAATATAACCCGGAAAGGTACCTACTGATTTTAACGAGAAAATCCGAATTGCTCAGAGTGAAGATAGCTTTAGGACTGGTACCAAAAGTTAATACCCTGTGAAATTAATCCACCTGAAATGGTATCATTCGGAAGAAAACAATCATTGAAGTCGGTTTAGGAAAGTGTGCCCGGGGGCGCAGCGTTTTATGCGCGTTAGCAACATAATCCAGTTACGAGACCCCAAAATTGTGCGTACCTTTTCTCTGTTTTCTCAATGATGCACAGTATCCACTGACCTGAAGGTTTATAACCCCTTAAGCACGGGTTATAATGGGGACATTCCTCCACACATAGAGCAAGTGGCCCGCATGACTGCACAGCCTTTGTGTGGTAGCGGGACTGCACAAAAGCAGCAGCTAGCTGTGGAACTACCCACTAGCCGTGTGCCACGGCATACCACAGCTGGCAACTGCATTCCAATGACCGCTTCCCGTGGGGTTAAATAGTTAGTTGTTATGCAAAAAAAGATTATGAGTAATGTTGTTGCAACAATTCCTTCTGATTCACAACAAAATGTGATTGAAACGAGAAGTTGTACAATAGACCATTATCATGTTGCGGTCATTTGGATTTTTCCCATTCAAATCAACGTAACCAAAGCGAGGCTGGAAGGAAAAATTGTCTGGTTCCTTTTTGCACAAAAACCATCATCATTTGGTACTGTTGCAACATACAGGGAACATGACTGAAATGGTGGCAGTATGATAAAGGTCCATGAGAAATATTGAAATGATTCTAGACAGCAGACATGAAATGCAATTTAGTGGACTTGTGCAGGATCTGTTTGTATATAAAAGTAATTTTATTGTGTGTTTTTCAGAACATTTCACATTAAAGTCTGGTTTGCTGGACTGTATTACGAAAGTGCCAAAATATCTGAACATATCCTCTCTGAAATTTAGTTTAAACAAGTAAATGTACGTGTAATTTAAGTAGCCGATTACAAGTTACTTGCAGAATATAATGATGTGTGGTTTATATGCATCTATTTGCCTTTATTTTGTGTGCAGTAAGATTTATGTAATTGTTCAATCAGATTTTATATAAATGGAATGTTAATATATTATATAATATGTGATGATGTTAAACAATGCATGATTTTTTTTATAGAAAATTAAAGTATGCAACATTTGTTGTATTCCTGTGAATTTAATACTGGTTTTTCATAATATATATTTTTTTGCTGACAATGTGTTATCCATGTGAAAATCAGTATAAATAATATATGTCATGGCAAGAAAAGCCGTTAAATTTCAAATCAAATAAAAAGATACCAAGTAGACTTATTTGATGTGAATGTTGCTGGAAACTCAATTTGTTTAATTACGCGTTGTAGAACAAAGAAACTTTAAACGAGGGCAGCTTCTGAATGAAATAACACTGAAATAGTTGTATTTGCAATAGGTGTCAATGTAGCATTGTTTTTTATTACAATGAAATGTGTAATTTTACAGTAATTTTTATTGTTTAATAACTAGACTTCACAATATGAAGAAATATATTTTTTTGTTGCTACCCAGCCATGATATTGTGCCATCTTTTTTACGCAGCAATTAAGGTTTTGTTACTTGATTCTAGTATGTATACTTTGTATCAGCAGTGACTGAATGAAGCTAAATCTTTTGGAACAGAACATTGCATATGATGGCTCGATGACATAATTATTGCATTCCCCCCCCCCCCCCCCCCCCCCTCCCCGGATTTCTCCATGCCGTTTTGCATAAATTAAAGTTTGTCCGGTGACGTCATCTTTCCATACAATTTCCAAAACACATCGGCACGTAAACAGCCGTATATTTTTTGTCGTTTGACCTTTGAACCGGAACAACCATTAGTAAAATAAACTTGTTAATCACACCATGGAGCTATCACTGTGTTTTTCCACGGCAAGAAAATGAGAAAATCTCGAGGAGTTTGTGCCATTCAGTATTGCATGATCAAGTTCTCGACATTTAGAATTAAGAGTGGGTCGTTACAGTGTATAAGTGTTGTGATTTAGATTCATATCAGCAGCAGAAACAACTCGAAGTCGAACTTGGGAATGGGAGACGGTGCGGTGGACGGCTAGCTTGGCCTTGGCACAGTTGACTGTAGTGACAGGCCTACTGCACGGTCGTGTACGTGTGAAGGTGTGGCAACGAGGCGCGGGAGGTCGAGAAAATAAATAATTACAAGTTAGTTTCATTGTTTAGCCTGTAAAGCCTGAAGTAAAGTGAGTATTTTGGGAACGAATGTGGCATCCTGACGCCATTTTTAAAGGAAAGATTTCCATATACGAAGTTCACTCAACACTCTGTGTACAAACCCTATGAGAGTGGACTGAAAACTTCTAAGTGTTTTCTAAGAAAATGCTTGTATTTTCTCACTGCTCAAATTGACTTTGATGACATGAAATTGCTATCTGGGGGCTTGTTAGTCAATACAGAGGAAAATTAGTGAACTTCGCATATGGTAATCTTGCCTTTTTAAAATCATAATCCATATAAAAAATTATACAATTAAAAATTAGGAAAAAATGTTGCAACTTGATTCATAGACATGATAGACATTGATGCCACTTTTTTCGTCATATATCATCTCAATTAGTCCGAGTAACTTGGACCCAACTTATTGCCGTTTTAACATTCGGACATGGTCTGGTGATCAGGTGATGTCTGAATGTTAAAAATGATGAGAAGACATGAGGACTGAGGAACATCCATGACATCTGGGACTGAGAAACATTTCCAATTTTGTTAGGAAATACTTGAAGACTTTGTACACAAACGCTGAAGACGCTATCGCCAGACCATGTCCGATCTGAATGTTAAAAGGTGATAAGTTGGGTCCAAGTTACTCGGACTAGGTCATGGCCATGATGGCTGGGCAGTGGGGGATGAAATTAGACCCAGTAACCTATAACTGGGGTGCTAGAACTGTTACGCCCCAACTATCGCATCGGTCCCAACTATAGTTGGGACTGTCCCAACTATAGTGCGGCAGTTGGGTCGGCCCAACTATAGTTGGGACTGGAGTTGCGCCGGATGCTTCATGCTTGAGATAGATCTTGTTGGATTAAATGTTCCGCGGCGCTGGCACCGTGTATTCGTCGTGCATGCGTGCCGCAAGGCTGGCCGGTCACGTGGCACTGCCTAGTTGGATGAGTTGTCCAGCTGCTGGGTTTATTGTCCAGCAACATTTTCAAAGATTGCCATGGCCGGCCAACTATAGATGGGCCCCACCCATAGCTAGTGTCAAAGGTCCCAAGTAAAGTCCAACATGTAACAGAGCTGTAGGGAATGTTTTATAGTCGTACATCAATGTAAACTATAGTTGGGACCGCCAAATAAATATATTGCGGTGGCCCAACTACAGATGGTCCCCACCCATAGATAATTTCATTGGTCCCAAGTAAAGTCAGATGTGTATTAGAGTTGTAGGGAATGTTTTATAATCATACAACAATGTACACTATAGTTGGGACCGCAAAATAAAAAGATTGGGGTGGCCCAACTATAGATTCGCCCCATCAATAGCTAATTTCAGTGGTCCCCAGTAAAGTCGGACGTGTATCAGAGCTGTAGGGAACGTTTTATAGTTGTACATCAATTAAACTATAGTTGGGACACCGCAAAATAAAAAGATCGGGGTGGCCCAGCGGGAAAACTTACAGTTGGGACCGTCCCAACAATAGTTGGGACAGGCCCAACTATAGTTGGGCCAGCCCAACTGTGGAACTACAGTTGGGACAGGCCCAACTGTAGTTGGGACCGATGCGATAGTTGGGGCGTAACAGAACTAAGAAGTTGAACTCTCTTTTTTCCAAATTGTATCTTTGTCGTACTAGCTTGGAAAGTCCAGAGCTAGCCTGGGCAAAGACTCATTAGATTAGATTAGATTAGATTTCTTTATTGTCATGCTCAAAATTACATGAAACTTCATTTCCCAGTGTACAATTAAAAATATGTGTACATCCAATAATTTAAAAAATACACAAAACATGACAAGACCAAAATATATCATAGCATGTACATATATACAAAAACACAGTTACTACTATACAATCATAAAAACTCTAAGAGCAGTAAAGTAGGATTTCGGGCTGTGGGGTGATTAGGGAAGGAAATGAAGAAAAATAGGACGGGACAGGATGGAAACAGCTGGGTCTGGCAATGTGCAACATGTATAGGGCAGGGTATGATTGAGGGGTAGAGAGGGGTGAGAAGGGAAAACGGGAGGAGAGCATGGAAAGAGAGGGTAGGATAAGGGAAACATTGGAACAGGGTAGGGCAGTGTAGGGAGGGGCAGGGCTGAGTAGAGTTGGGTATGGAATAACTGAGTTATAAAACACAGCTAAAAGCAACTTATCTTAATCTAGGACATTTGAATGAAATAAAAACCACAAGCCGTAGGGATAAAAAACTATCTGGTGAATGTTGAGTTAAAAATCTGAATAGCCCATGGTAAAAATGAAGATTTGAACCTGTTTGTTTTGAGACTCAATTGACGTACTCTGCCAGATCGATTGCAAGTAATAAAAGGGTTGAGGGGGTGACTTGTATCCGAGAGAATGCTGTTAAATTTGGTGATAAGATGATTCATGACATTTCTAAATGTTCTTTCCCATGTGAGGATGAGCCTTAGAGCTGGATTTTCCAAGCTAGGGTCGGTTGCACTAGACTAGTACGACCAACCAAAGAAAGACAAAGTTCGAAAAATGAGAGTTGACAACTGACCAAAGACAAAAGGATGAAATAAATAAATAAGAACAATGCAAGGCTAGAAAAAAATACACATCAACTGTGCCCATTTTTTAGAAATAATTACAAACCTTAAAAGTTTACCGTCATTGATGCTCAATTTATAACTAGTCTTTGCAAATTAGTAGAAAAATGGGACCTGGAAACTTGTCAAAATTTGTTTGGATATTGTTCAAAAATATGCATTTTCACTGCTTTGTATACAAAGTTGCATTTGACTATGTATTTCACCAATCACGCGATCTGCTATTTAAGTTCAAAATTAATTTCCTAAATAATTCTCTCTTTACTTCCCGAAATGAACTACTGGATGCCCTATGTATTTTTTCCCCATTAAAAATGTATCAATAATGTGTATTTTGTTTGTAATTTCCTCTTGCAAGACTTTGATTTAAAGATGGCGGATGTCGGAGACGTTAACATGATGTTACTGGGTCAGTCAATTCCTGCTACGAAGGTGGAGCTTACTGTTTCATGCAGGTGGGTGAGGTTTAATTTCCTTAACCTAAAGGCAGGTTCATATTTCATGCGAACGCGATGGGAATTTGACGTCACGAAGCATTCGCTGCAAAATTCGCGAGAGTTGAAAAAAAACTTGCCCTGACATCACAAATTCACGTCACACTCACTTTTGTGCAGAGTTTGAACCTGCCTTTACTCCCCAGGCAAAAAATCCTCCAACTGCCTCCATGTAAAATAGCATAAGCCATTTCACAGATACCAACATCTTGCTTGAAATCGTGATTGCAAAATGGCTCGGGGAGGGGGGGGGACGCTCATGTGACCCAGACTGAAAATCCGTAACGTAAAAGGCATCATGAGGAGGTCAGAGCTGTTCTAAAAATCTTCTTTTTTTCAGTGAAAAGAACACAACTTTGGATATAGAGATTTAAAAATTGATAAATGGGAGATTGAGCTGTCCGTGGGTGCAACAGTTATTAGAAACATACCCCACATGCAACGGCACTAAGCTCGAAAAGGGAAAATCGATCGCGAAAAAGTAGTCACGTGACCGCACATGTAATTAACGCTGCCGAAAATTTGGTATCGCACTTCCGATCCGGACACTCTTCATGTACTGCTCATGTGTGCATTCTGTCGTGGGTTTTGAATAAATTGGATACAGGAATTTAATGACCACGACTCAAAACTTTTACTGCTGTTTTTTCGAAAAACTTCCGCTCAGACCTGAACAAGGTTAAACTCATCAAGGAAATGGCACGGTAATTACCAGAAGCGGAATTTTTTTTGGCAATTAAAGTAGTCAAGTCCATCACAAATCCATGCAAGTCCATCACAAGTCCTCCAGTCCCAATTCAACTCACAAGCTATTCAAATGAGCTTTAGACAAAGGCATTCCTTTGTTATTGTTCATACACTGTTACCTGTGGCCCATCAGGCTGGCGTTGATCTCCGGTTAAAGTAGCATGAAACGACTGAGAATATAATTCCCCCTGGATGGGATGCTAGTCCATCGCAGATTACTCCTCAGCTAATGCCGGTACCCATTTATACTCCTGGGTGGAGAGAGGCAACTGGGGGTGAAGTGGCTTGCCCAAGGACACAACATATGACCAGCAGCTGGATTCAAACCCCTGACCCTCTGATCACGAGTCACGAACCCTAACCACTAGGCCACACTCCCCACTTTGACATAGGTAACGCTAGAAGTAACACTAAATGTCAATTTTTCTTAGTTTAATTCTTACCAAATTTGATGAGACGTGCTTGTTTTCAGTCTTGAAAAGCGCTCCATATACCTTGATTGCTGAACTGTTAACATTTTTTTTTTTTTTCACTAACAAAAAATATGATTTTTGTACAGGGGCCTTTTGAATAAAGATGTTATTTCTGAGTCTGATCCCGGTAAGATTTCCTTGAACTTTTTTGCCCCCCTCAAACTTTCTACTGACGACTCTTCAACACTCCTAAACATAATGCGTGCTTCGCTTTTTTGCTTGCTATAGCAAAATCATTCATGAATAATGGCTTTTTTTAATTTTTATTTATTTTCTTGTTTTGGTGACAGAAAATTGCTGGACATGGATACATTTTCGAAATCAGATCCGTGTAAGTTATTTTAATTGTTTTTTTTTTATGTTTTTTTATTTTGTAAAGATAAGAAAACAAAGATAAATCTTTTTTTTTATATCAAAACTAACAAAATTAATGTAAAAAGTTTCAAAGTGAAGCTCATTATGTACTCAGGGGTGTTGAGTGTCGCTAATATTTTTTTTTAAATTTCTGTTAATTGCTGTGTTTAGATATTGAGAGAATATTGATATGCATCAAGTGATCTTAGATGATGTTATGTTTGAATTTTTCTTTTGAAAGTGAGCAAAATAGGGTTAAGTTATAAATACCATTGCAGTGTGTATTGAGAGTTTAAACTGTCCAGAACTGATTTTACACAAACTGTTGAAATAACCAATAACATTTGATTGTAAATGTACCGGTTTTCAAATTTCTGTTCTAGTTTGCCTCAAAATAAATCGTTCCAAGTGAGACTTATTATTTTTTACAAAATGACCTTCCAAACTAATTATATCTTGTTCTTTTGCTGGTTAATTCGATGTTGATTTATATTTTCTTGCAGTATGTGTGATGTACATTCAAACTACGGGAAGCGAAACTTACAAAGAGGTGCGTTCATATTTTGTACCGAGCATTTGGCATGAATCCCTGTACTACCCCAAACTGCCCTGCCATTTACTCTCTTTACCAGCCCAGACCCCAGTATCTGTTACTCCCTGTACTGTTCAAAAGTAAACACCAAGCACTCAGTGGTTGTGTGGAATCATCAGAGAATTCATGTAATGTATAACAATGTAAATACAATGTAGTACAATGTAGTACAATGTAGTACAAGGTTGATGAATGGGTGCCCCCCAGGTGTTATTGTTATACATGTCATTTATCACAACCAGATAAACTCCCTTGGGTTTTGTTTTTTTGTGAATCCAATGATGTTCATTAAAGGGAAGATACAACATTTGCAAACAGCAAAAAACGAAATGATCAGATTATCACGAAATAAATTACTGGATTGTTAGGGAACGACAGTCTAAAGCATCCTGTAAAATTGTGGCTCCTGGTGTGCTGACATTTTCAAGAAAATTTGTATTTTTCCCAATGCTGGTCGGCCGACAAGCATTGGAGAAAACTGGCTTTTTTTTCAAAAACTGCTCCTAATTTGTTGTATTTACATAAATGTAGTTATTCCGCACTGATTTTCTTTGCAATTGATTACACACCTGTGAAGGGGTACAAGCCTGCTAGACTGATTCTGTGACCTTACAATTCCCAAAGTCTATAACTTGCTCCGTTTCATCTTGAGTGGGGTCAGAGAACCTGACTACAAAACATGATTGGTTTTCTTGGTTTTTCTGGCATCTACTACCAGCCCAAAACGTGAAACAAGTCAGTTTAACAATATTTGCTAAAACATACTAATCCTCCAAATTTCTGAAAATTGCAGCAAAAGCAAATGTTGTACATTCCTTTTAAACTACAGGGAATGCCTAAAGATGATAACAGTTTACTGCCTGAAATGTAATATTGAAGCCAATGAAAAGTTTTGAATTAGTAGACTAATTAATGCCTCATCTATAAAATGTCTTGGCTACGGCTTATCATTACACATACATCTATGGGAGTGGCTTTTAGCCTCTTCCCATAAACATGTGCATTACTGTTAGCCATAGCCACATAATTTAGACTCGACCTTATCGTTTATTTTCTATTTCTTCCTGACAGTATGGGAGGTCGGAGGTCATCATGAACACGCTCAACCCAGACTTTGTCAAGAAGTTTGTCATTGATTACTTCTTTGAGGAAGTACAGAAATTAAAATTTGAATTGTAAGTATTTTTTGTTGATGTGGACATTGATGATAACCCTCCTGCTGTCTGAACAGTCACAGAGGGTAAAAAAAATCAATCCTCTTCCCCTGCCATACTTTTATACACAGTCTAGTCACCAACAGTCAGATCACGCATGCAATAAGCACTGCGACTAGTCAAATTCCATCAGCAGATAAAAGCAGGCAATCTGTAGCTGTTTTATCAATCTACTGTTATGTCAAGGCTACATACAGCTTGGTATGTAACAGCCGATCAATCTTGCTTTATGTAGCCAAGTAGCTCTTAGGCCAAAAAAAAAAAGTCTCCGGTTTCTGGTATGCGCGCGCGTCGCCGTAGCCATGCGCGTCGGCAAAATGAAAAAGTTTTTTTTTCAATGAAAGATGATGTCTCAAAACCGCCAAACTCACTGGTTTGACTGGAATCCTGCTGCTGCACAATTTTAACGTGTTTTTAGATTGGGTTATGGTCGAGAATAAGCTTTATGTGGCCTCTCTGGACTCCCATAATATTTGCAGTAAGTTTAGTCGGGCACCATTTGCAGTCATTAGCCGACATTTGAAGCAAAAAAATCAGGTAAAAAAAAAAAAGCCGCGTCGCCGCACCACTTTTTGGGCAAGCTCCATACCAGAAACCAGAGACTTTTTTTTTGGCCTTAGCTGTAAAAAAAAAAATTTGGATGGCTTTGTTGAATTTGCCAGCCAGAGAGGGGGGGGGGGGGTTATCGATTACGGCTTGTGAATTCAACATTATCTAACAGCTGGGATTTCTCTGATATCTGGACTGCAGCAGATACAGAAGTTTCTGAGCCGGCTTTACACTTTGCTGTGTTGTTGGATTCTGTTGGATTCAGTAAGCTTCAACCATTTCAATAAAAGATGCTTTGCTCCAATCCAATTAAAGTCAGTCTTGTTTCATTTCAGTTACAAGTGTTTTTTTATTTAATTTCCAGATACGACGTAGATTCCAAAAGCCAAAATTTAAAGAAACATGTAAGTTTTCAATTCCAAAATTCCCCTTTCATCTGAAAAAAAATATTTATGGATCTTCATAAAGTAAAGTAAAATTGGTGTTAAAGATGTATGTTAAAAGGGTACTGCGTCCTGAAATCCCCGATTGTTTACTTATACTATTTCAAACATCTGGTCGAAAGGAAACCAACCTAATGTCTTACCGTTCCCAAGAAAAGAACAAAAACCTGGCTGTTTACATCAGACACGACGGAGCACGCATACATTTTTCCTGTCGTTTTCATTCAATGTACGATACACGTTGTGTGTGTCACAAAAATATTACACACAGCACCAATGCACAAATGCGGTTTTTACACGTCCGCAAGAGGCAAACAATTTACGGCTGAATTCACAACTAGCACGAACAGCCCGATATTTAGGGGTCACAAAAGTAGACCCCGAAATTCATTTTCACATAGAACACAAAAACGTCCAGTTAAGTTTTTAAAGGATGGTTGTGTGCATGTTTATATCTTACTTTCAATTGTTCTTTCGTATTAACATCATTTCGTTCAAAGCGCATTTTGTAGCCCAATTGAGCATTTTCCACGATGCAGTATCCCTTTAAGACATTTCTGTGTTACTTATTTGAGACATCTTATTTGTTATCATTCAGGATTTCTTGGGTAAGTTATTCTGTACTCTGGGAGAGATCATGGGCTCATCTGGATGCAAACTCAAGAAACCACTGAGGTAAGTCAAAACGAAATCGATTTGATCAACAAGTCAATCATCAAAGGCCCACCTATGTTTGTCAAATTTAGATTTTGAGCACTTTTTTGCTTCAAACGAAAAAAAAATCACAAATGATATACACTACCTGTAACAAACTGCTTTTTAGGTGAAGCAAATTATAAGTATTTAATAAATATATCAGCTGTGGTAATAGTCAATCCATGTTATTACATTTTTATTAGAAAGAATAGTTACTTTTGAAAAAATAAGAAAGGAATTTTTTTCATATCTGAACTTATTTTTTTATACAGTGGGCCAGCCAAGAACAGTGGGTCTATCATCATCAAGGGAGAGGAGATGAGCGATTGTAGGGTGAGAAACACATTTCTTTAACATTACAAAACCCTCTTTTTTTTGTCAAAAGCTGCCGGCAAAGCTTTCATGAGTTGATATTCGGTGTCTCTTATACTTATTCTTCTTTTGTGTTCAACCCTAACTGCCCTGAATCCTTCAAAATCCTCTTTGCCAAAGTGGAGGAATTTGGAGGATTGAGGTTACATGGCAAAAATGCATTAATGATTTCGTAGGATGCACTTTGTCGAGGTCTTGGGCTGGATTTTTGCTCAGCCATGCATAAATACAGGCCTGGATTATGCTTGAAATCCTCCCTACTGCTCCAGGATGTCACTGGCCAAGCCTCAACATATTGACAGTCACTGCCGCAGGATTTTGCAGGATTCAGGCAGTGGTCACCCCTCCAAGTATCACATTCAAGAAATAATGGAGTAATTTGCAGGATTGAGGCTATATGCTTTTTTCCAGGAGGCCAATAGGAGGATTTTGCAGGATTGAAGCTACATTCTAGCAAAAAAGCCTAGGGAGTTGGGGTTAAAGGTTAAAAAAAATTATGTCGACTGCAGCCAAGCCAAAGCTTTCAGTAATTTTGTGGGAGAAATGGAAGTAAAGTTTTATGACCACTTTATCTGTGTCTACTAGTATTCTCGTTTGTCTTCTGTTGTTTCACTGTGATATTTCTGTGCTTTTTGTCACTTCGCCCGTAGGATTTGATGACCATGCAGTTCAAAGGAGAGCACTTGGATAAGAAGGATTTCCTGGGCAAGTCGGATCCTTTCCTGGTCTTCCACAGATGCAACGAAGATGGAACGTAAGTTTGTTTGCCGACTGATAAGTATTTCTAACAAAAGCTTCACCTCGCCTGGGCAGAAAAGGTTGATTATTTTGGAAGATATCTCTTCTAAACAACTTTCTGTATTGGGAGTTAGGCCGATTCCAAATTATTAGGCTGTGGCCGGCTATAGCACACTGGTCTATGGGAAGTGGTTTTAGCCACTTAATAATAATACTAATTGTGCTTATATAGCGCTTTCCATCGTATCAATAATCTCAAAGCGCTTTACAATTATTACCCCGTTCATCAGGCCATGGGACCACGCGGCAGCCGATATCAGCGCTCAATCGGTCCTTGACCCTCACAGGTACCCATTTATAATCCTGGGTGGAGAGAGGCAATTGTAGTTAAGTGTTTTGCCCAAGGGCACAAACGCCATGTTCCTGGCAGGGTTTGAACCCACGCACCTTCGTACAGGAGTCAAACACAGTAACCACTGGACCATGGTGTTCTACACTTGCCATAGGTGCATGGCCATAGCCATATAATATCGATGCAGCAAACTTATGACCCAAGGTCAATACCGTAAATGGTCCTTGGAGCACTTTTAAGCTTAAAGGGGGCCTCAGGTCGACCTTCGATTTGCTTGGGCTGTGACAGAACCATCGGCATCAAGCACTAAAAGAGGTAATGCTCATATCACAAAACTGAGAAATCATGTGATTCTCGTGGAACAAGCTACACCTCGACACAGAGTAATTGCACAAAATTGGCGACTGATTTGTTCCTGACGGTCGTGGCTCAAGCACAGCTTGATCCTGGAAAGTCAGTTGCTGACTGTTCTGTGTCGTCGCAAGCAAGGTCGACCTGAGGGCGGCCTAAAGATTTTAAATCATGTTAATTGTATGAAGGAATGTTTTTGCATCAGGGAGATGTTAATTCAATATTTGGTTTTGTCCTTCAGCGAAGTAATTTCATAAATTCTTAATACTCAGTGTTGTCCGATGGCCTGCAAGAAAAAGAACTCACAAGCTTACTCAGGTGGGACTGAACCCAGGACCTCCTGCTTACTAGTGCAAATGTTTTTATTGTTTCATCGTATTGTTCGGTTCCAGTTTCACCATCTGCCACAAGACTGAGGTCATTAAGAACACGCTCAACCCCAACTGGAAGCCGTTTAACATCATGTTGAGGGCGCTCTGTAACGCCGATCACGACAGAACCATCAAGGTGGAGTGCTTCGACTGGAATCGCGACGGCAGGTTAGTCAGTTTCGGCAGGTTCAAATCCTGCCTTGGGCATTTTTCTCCTCCTAATTTAAAGAAATCTCCACTTTACTTTAGACCCTGCTGAATCCAACAGGATCCAACTATGTCACATACCCGATGGAGCCTGTTGGATTGAGCAGTTAACCCCTTGTGTACATTCCTCATGCAAAATGTTGGATTCAGCAGGCAACTGAACCGCATTATAACGCATTGTTGGACTCCGTTGGATTCAGCAGACAACTGAAAATGAGGCACAGTGGATTGAACAGGAAAGGCCGGTTGGACTCTGTTGGATTTAGCAGTTGAGTCCTGGGGAAGTACTAGGGGGTTACGGTTAAAGAAATCATAAAGTTAAAAGTAAATTTTACTTAAAGTTGATGTAAACATTTTTTTTTTAGACATAGAAGCTTTAGTGACCAAATATTTTTTTGTTTAAATATTTAATTGTTGAAGTCAAACTTCAAGAATAGTCATTGGCACAATGAACAGGGGTAATAATGATGTCATTCAAATTGTGCCGTTATTGGTGAACACTGGTGTATGGTAAACACACATTGTAACCTTTTTGATTCTTCATTTGTTTTTAACATCAAATAATAGCTAGTTTTTTCCTCTAACTTTTGACAGTCATGACCTAATTGGAGTATTTGAAACCAACACGAGAGAGCTGTCTAGAGGGCCTTGTCTCACCAACAATTATCAGGTAAGGTCATCAAACTAGAAGTACATGCATGACAGGTCTCAACAAAATCAGAACTTGAGGGAAGGGGGGGGGGGGAGTGGGGATTGACATAAACTACTTAGATTTAAGGTGTATAGTAGACAGGCGGTATAATGAACTAAGCACCGTCATTATATCGATTTTACTCGATAATTCGATATTATTTTGATATCGATATCCCTGATAGCAATTTTTTAATCATACCAACATTTTGACATTTTAAATAACGAGGAATGATATAAAAAAAAATCGAAAATGTGTCAGATTATTGTCAAAATATATCTCCCGTCTGTGCTTTTACTTTGTGCTTAACCTTTGCTGTATAATGAAATAAAAGTAGGCAGCAACCTGTTCTCTTGACTCAAAATAAAAACATTGCGAAATGCCAAGCTTGTGCTCTGTGTTCGCTGGAATTCGTGGTCTCCCCAATGTAAACCCTCAAAAGAAACCGGCCGTTCTGGACAAACTCTCAGTGCTGAGATTTGTTTTAAAATTCTGATATCGACGGTGGTTATAATGAACGCTGCTATGCAGAGCATTGGATTAAACTAAAAATCTTGAAATGTAGATGCCAATTTCCTCTTGTCAGCTTTTGTGTTTTTAAATTTTCATGTAGGACATTAAAAATTATAGGAACACTGGAGAGAGTCTATAAAGTCTTGAATTTTTCTGCTTTTGTAACTTTCCAACATCATGGCTGAATCAGTGTGGTAAGGGATCAGAAACCTGTTTGTTTTTCTAGAAACTGACAAGTTTTCCCGTCAGTAATTTACAGTGTTGTAGTCAAAAGCCATCACATGTCCTTTCACAAGTCCAGTCACAAGTAACTGGGGATGAACAATAACAAAGCAATGCCATTGCCACAGTTCATTCTGAACTACTTTTGACTCGACTTGGGACTGGAGGACTTGTGATGGACGCGACTACAACGCTGGTAAGTTGTGCATTGGAACGGTCCGCTATAAAAGATTCAGTTGTTGATTTGCATCTTTTTCCTCTTTCCTCCAGTTGATCCATCCCAAGAAGCAAGCCAAGAAGAAAGGTTATCGCAACTCTGGTCTGATCACTCTCTTGAGCTGTAAGACTGAACCACAGTACACTTTCTTGGATTACATCCGGGGAGGTTGCCAGCTGAGTTTTACCGTCGCGATCGACTTCACCGCTTCAAACGGTATGCCTGTCATTACTGTTGAAATAGTTACTTATAAATACCTAAGACAATTTACACATTCCTATTGGTCGAGAGCCCGTCATGTGGCCGGTTTTAAACGGTTGATAAAGACATGGCTAGCTGGTCTTAAAACACTTTTCCAGTGTCACATGAAATTTGGACTCCCATGAAATCCGGTGCCTTTTAACGTTTCATTGGTTGAACGTTCACATTCCTCACGTGTGCATGCGCAATACTACCAGTGAATCAGTATTTCATGGTCCGAAATCCACACTACACCAGCCCAGCTGCATTTGGCGCGACAACGCGCAGTACGCGCGGCGCGCACGCCAATGTCCTTGTAAGGTAACGAGCTGTGTAAGCCTGGGCGACTAGTGTGACTAGTTGCAAAGTCGCCAATACCAAAAGGTATTGGTGGTCACGACTATCGATTTTCAGATAGTCGAGTAGTCGTCATGCGGCGACTATTGTCCTGCGAGTCGCGACTAGTGCGCCGCGGCAATAGTTTGCACCGCGACTATTGTGATGCGACTATTAACCTGCCCTGCAGTGCACTACGCAGCGCTCAAATTCTGAGCGACTAGTCACTATACTGTTCACCGGGCGCACGTACGTACGTAGAGAGACACACACACACAGTACTTACAGTTTCAACGAAACACCACACACACAACACGAAACACTCACAGAACGGTACATGTACATGTACATCGTTCCTGTACAATACATTGCGATCGATAGTGCGTGCACACAGCTCAGGTCATTGGGGCCGGGGTCACTCATGAACGATGACTGGCGCACGTGTTGAACGATACACACAGAGTCACATATAAACTCGGCGCACATGAATGCCGTACATGACGAAATGACGATTAACAGTACACACAAAACAATGTAGGCCTACACGTACGTACATACATGTAATGTCTCCTTGGTTGCATTGGAGCTCCATGATTCTATTCTACCCACGAGTCACATGGCATGGCACATCCGGAACTCAGGTATTCCCGCTCCGGTCAGCATTTCGACAAGTTGTTGGTGAAAAAGCTTTCTTCGTGTATTTCTTGAATTAAAATGAAATATCAGACAACTGCTTGTTTGCTTGCCTTGAGTCATTTATTGTGTTCTTTTCATTTTTCTTGCGTCTGATTTTTGTAATTATTTTAGAGATATTTGTGAGAATTTATGGAAGTTGGTAGAATAAATGTAAATGTTAAAGTAGCCTTCCTAAGTTGTGATGCAGTCAGTCAAGTTTATCGTAACAAGTTTATATGAGTTGAGAGTAAACGACCTATAGGCCCTTTCATTAGTCTTGAGTTCTTTTAAGTTTCGATGTTATTTTTGCAAAGTTTTAAATTGATTGAAAAGTAAGAAACGTGACACGATCAAGGCCTCCCCTCCATTGAATGTCCCGAAACGTAGTTCATGAGACCCAGCTTGCCCAGTAACTTTGCTTGTTTATTGATGCTTTTATTGATTTCTCAAACTTCTTACAGCAATGAACATTTTTAGCACTCAAAGACTCGGTCTAGCTTCAGATATGGTTTTATTACAAATAATGCACAACTTTCAGGATGTTGGTTACTGTCCGCATTTAAGTTGCCTCGAGCCCTTAGCGGTACGATCAAACACTCTCCATCTGGAGGATGAATAGATTTGCAGTGAAGGCCTAGCCATGCCCTACAATAGTGTTTGTTTACACAGGTGGTAAAGCTGTGGAGGGGCATTCATATTATAGTCAGAGGGGGGTTTCGAAAAACATGAAGTAAAATTGTTGAACAAAATGGTTGGCAACGTCTAGTTTTTGGCTTGTTTCGATTTTTTGACCAAAAAGGTATTTATGAATAGGAATAAATATGTGTTCGGTCGGTATAAACACTCTGTTTAAGACCGGTGGGAGTCTGGATGGGTGATAATTACCCATCCAGACTCACACCGGTCTTAAACAGAGTGTTATAATACCTCCCGAACACACATTTATTCCCTTACTCATAAATACCTAAGACAGTTTACCCATTCCTATTGGTCAAAGCCCGTCACGTGGCCGGTCTTAAACAGTGGTAAAGACATGGCTGGCTGGTCTTAAACACTTTTCCAGTGTCACATAAAATGTTGACTCCTATGAAATCCGGTGCCAGCACCGTTTTATTGGTTGAATGTTCACAATCCTCACGTAGGCATGCGCAATACTACCAGTGAGTTAGTATTTCATAGTCCTAAATTCACACTATACACTTGCACACCTGCATTGTGTGTGTCAATCTCCATATAGGAGCTGTTTACCAGAGGGCCTTACCATTGACCTATCGCCGTTTGAGAGTTAGCCACGCCCCTCAGACAACCCTATGGAATTTTGTACACTAAGTTTTGTTTGGCTCAGATTTTGCGCGTTCCGTGTCCATTTGTATATCATGTAATTGGACAATATTTCACTAGCTCTGTTGTCGCGATTCTACCGCGAAAAGTCAATTGTATAGCTAAAGGGGTACTTTGTTAATCGAAATCTTGGAAAATTTTAAATTTTGACTTGGGTAATTTTCAGCATCCAGACTCCAACCGGTCTTAAACAGTGTTTAAAACCTCCAAAGCACACATTTATTCCCTTAATAAAATTATTTGCATTGTTGGTTTGTATTAAATAATTAATTCTTGTACCCCCCCAAACTGCCCTGCCTCTTACCTCCTATACCTCACAAACTGCCCCAACACTGAATGGTTTCATGGATTAATCAGGAAATAAATAGGATGTAATACAATGTCGTACAATGTAATACAATGATATACAATGTAATACAATGATATACAATGTAATAAAATGATATACAATGTAATAAAATCTGCTCATATTGGCTTTACCCTTTCACAGGTGACCCCAGGCAACCCACATCCTTACACTACATGAACCCGTACACACCCAACGCATACTTGAGGGCGCTGTGGGCAGTCGGTGAGGTCATTCAGGATTACGATCACGACAAACTCTTCCCCGCCCTTGGATTCGGTGCCAGGGTCCCGCCCACCATGCAGACCAGCCACGAGTTCTTCTTGGTAAGAATTAATTTTGTTTTCGCGATGTCATTTTGAAACCTTAGCTTCAGCTCTGGGATGCTCCTAGTCGAGAGCCTTAAATCTGATTTTGAAATCTGAATTGCTATGTCTGCGACGCTGAAATTGCCCATATGTAACACAAGAGGGCGCTGTTTGGAAGACCATTGTATACCAAATTTGAAGTCTTGATTAACTAACCCTAACCACCCTTAATCCTTCAAAATCCTCTTTGCCAAAGTGGAGGAATTTGGAGGATTGAGGTTACATGGCAAAAGTGCATTACTGATTTTGTAGTATGCACTTTGTCAAGGTCTTGGGCCGAACCTTTTGTTGTTTTTGCTCAGCCATGCATAAATATAGGCCTGCATTATGCTTGAAATTTTCCGTGGTGCTCCAGGATATCATGGCTAAGCCTCAACATATTGACAGTCACTGCCGCAGGATTTTGCAGGATTCAGGCAGTGGTCACCCCTCCACGGACCATATTCAAGAAATAATGCAGGAATTTGCAGGATTGAGGCTATGTATGCTTTTTTTCCATGAGGCCAATTGGAGGATTTTGCAGGATTGAGGCTACATCCTAGCAAAAAGGCCAAGGGAGTTAGGGTTAAATCATGTACTTCATTTTATCCAAAAAGATTCTCCAACCAGCTATACTAGAAAGACTTTTCTGTCTTTATTGAAAACAAAAATGGAATAACAAAGATTACAGTCTGTTTTTTTAGTGGTAGTTGATGTGGCTGTAGACTGGAAACCTAAGCTCATTGAGGATGGCCCGAGTTCTGAGATTTCATTGCTTGCTTTATTTTTTGAAAAATCCTTTCTAGTTGGCCAGATTTACAATGTAGTAGTTAAGTATAGATGCAGCATGGCAGTCACTAGGCATTTGCGCATAAATATTACAAATCAGAAAAATTAACACGGCCTAATTTTTTTTATTTGTATCCAGTCGAAAGAAGTTTGCAGCAGTTTTATTCATTTTCATAAAACTTTCAAGTCAAATTGACCCAGTGTTGGAGTTCATTGACCTGACCATTATCTGAAAAGGTCAGATTGATACAGTGTTTGGACCTAGGTAGATGGAAAAGTAGATCATCTAGAATGGCGTGCGTCATACCTTTAATATGGTAAGACTTCCCATTGTGTAACGTTGCAAAGCAAATGGGCATTCTTACAGGTAAAGTATGACATACGTCATTCTTGATTGCCTCTTTTTCCCTCTACCTTGGACTGATGAGGCTGCAAGGTCACAAGCCAACAAGCGCTAGTAAATTGAACTGCTCAGTGACAATGGAAACCATTTCTGGAAAGTTGTATCCAGAAAGTTTGCCGTGTGTGCAGTCACCCATGCAGTCTTTGTGTCCAAATTTGTGGCTCTGAATAAAAAGCAAATATTTGAGATTTTTTTGTACCTAAAAAAAGGCACAGTGAACAATGAACAGTTGCAAGAGGCAAGCTGTAAAGATCTTGCCCCAGAATTGATCTTTGTGATTTTTCATGGACTTAATTTGACCTTTGTGAGTTGTGAAATATTTGCCCAAACTTGTGGCACCCAGTTGTGAATAAGAAAAGGAAAATGCCAGGAAAAATAGTTCAGCTTTTAGTACAGTGCTCTTGTCGCATGATTGCACGTCATGCAGCAGCACACCCTGGAATTAGGGGCGGTCTCGTGTGTGTGTATGAGGCGCCTGGGAGTCGGCCACCATACAGTGTCCCACTGGAAGAGCTTTTCAAATCATTGAGCCTTTCTATGCTTCAGTAGAGTTCACACTTGCTGACTTTCAAAGCAGCATTATCTCACACACACAAAATGAAAGTTTCTGGTAAAGAAATATCAGATGTACAGAATTGTGGTTTGCAGTCATAACTGTCAGGTCTGTTGGAGGTCTGCTTTGGCCCAATATAGTTTGACGAAAGTAAAAGTTTTTATGGGTTTTTTTTATTATCGCATCAGTTCACTGAATATTTCGACTTCTGGGGCTAAAAGCTGCGGTGTTATGCAATAGACGCTGGGAAGGGAGCGGGCTGGCCATTGTTGGCCATGGACGTGGCATTCTTTCATCTACGCGTTCTTGATAAATATGTGTGTTAGACTGCAACTGTTAAGCCCCCCAAAAAAGTCTCCGGTTTCTGGTATGGAGCTTGTCCAAAAAGTGGTGCGGCGACGCGGCTTTTTTTTTTTTTACCTGACTTTTTTGCTTCAAATGTCGACTGATGACTACAAATAATGCCCGACTAAACTTAGTGCAAATATATGTGAGTCCAGAGAGGCCACATAAAGCTTATTCTCGATCATAACCCCATCTAAAAATACGTTAAAATTGTGTAGCAGCAGGATTCCAGTCTAACCAGTGAGTTTAGCGGTTTTGAGACATCATCTTTCATTGAAAAAAAACTTTTTCATTTTGCCGACGCGCATGGCTACGGTGACGCGCGCGCATACCAGAAACCGGAGATTTTTTTTTTTGGCCTTAGTGAAATTTCTAAAAGTTTGAAAGGGAAGTGTATTAGAATTGTTTTGTTTTTTACCTGTATTAGTTTTTTTTCTTTCATTCTTCTAATAGGGCCTCAGTATATGTTTTTATTACCAGAAGAAAATAAAAAACTTACCTTCCTCCTTTCAAAATTCAGGATGTTGGTATGGCACTTCTCTCTCAAACCTAACAGCCATGTTGTATTGTTAAAACTTTTTATTTTTGAGTATACTTTTTTTTGTAAAGTGAACCTTAACTTTGTGGACATTTCTGCTTGTAATCTTCCTAAATCCTTCAAAATCCACCAACGTATAGGAAACTATTGCTTTATTCTCCAAGCCCAACTCAAATTAGCTTAGCTCTGCAGTACTACATCCATCAAAACCAAACAATTCCAAATGTTGGATTTTGTAGGATTGATTGTCACAGTTAAAGTAAAAAAAAAAAAAAATTGTCTGTAATGGACGGGATTTGTACAAAAGTTAAATCCTGTTGTCTGACGGAAAGACCATTTCCAAATATCATCATGTTTTCCTTCGTCTTCTAGGTTAGATTTGATCTTTTATACCTCTGTTTTGACCACTTGCCGGCCAATAAGTTCCAATCATTTTTGTTTTTTTTCCTTGAAGAATGGAAGTCCAACGGATCCATTTTGTGTCGGGGTTGAGGGTGTAGTAGCAGCCTACCAGAAGGCTTTATCAACGGTGCAACTCTACGGACCTACGCTGTTTGCTCCAATCATCAACCACGTCGCAAGGTGAGATATCATCTTCACATTGAACTCTGTAACCCTCCAAGAGCCTTCAAAATTCTCGGAACCACCATTACCTCGAGCCTGATGATTCTTTTAAGTTCATAAGAGTCATCCATAATTATCAACATTTTCAAAAAAGCGTGCCAAACGTACGCTTGGGGGGAGAAGGTTAACGACCCATGTACTCTTTTTCAAATTTTATAAAAATGTCGATCGATGCTTTCATTTCAGCATTTTTTGCAATGGGCTTTTATAAAAAAACCTTGATACCTCTACTTGGCGAACTCAGGACCAGCTCGCGATTCATGGGTGCAGCCATATTTGTCATTCAGCTTCGTGCTATGCGCCGGTAACGAACGTACCCGATGCAGCCATCAGCTGCCACTTTTGTAGTGATGAAATGCAAACACGTGCGCGTACAGCATGCGTCTTGTGTGCCTAGCCTATCTTCAGGACGTTAATATTAAATTTTCATCGCGGGGCTATGAATGGCTGGTTGTTCCAGTCGTACCGTATAAATGCGACCGCCTGATGCGCTGTTGCTACCTGTCACTTTTGTCTTGAGCCAAGTCTAAGCTGAAGTCTACTCGCGTGTGTGAAACTACAAACAGTGGCTGACACACTATTGAGACAATGTTACACAGTGCACAATAGTCCCAAGGATATCTTTGAAAATCATCCTTTTTGAAAGTACTCTTGGGGGGGGGGCGGGGTTTGCCAAAAAGAGTATATTTTGTACTCTTTTGAAAACGTTGATAATTTTGGAAGACCCCTACAGAGGATTGTCTCAGAAATCTCTCAGAGTCGGCATTTCCCTTTTTGGTCATGTGAGTGGCCTCCAAACCAGCCTCTAGCCCCGGGTCAGTTGGAAACTGGTCAAGCGTTTTCATAAAGCAATCCCAAGCCTGACCAGCTAGCCTCTTTCACACGCCTCTGATCCTTTGTAGTAACAAATATTTTATTTAATTGAAATGTACTTATTTTTAGATCAGTAAATATTTTCCATGATCTTTAGAGACGGAACTAAGCTGACCCAAAACCGAAAACGGTCAGGAGATATTTTTCTCAAAGCAGGAATTTGAATGGACAGCCAATTCAATAGTAAAACTGTTGTACTTTGTTAGTGGTGTTTTTCTGTGTTGCCGTAGGAATAGATGAAAACTGTGCACATGTACATGTACACATGCACCTGAGAATGTCATGATCAGTAGTGAAACCTGTGTTTTGGTTTAGTACATTTCAATAACACAATGAGTATGTGCACAAGTACTTGATCATGAGTGCAGTACAAAATCGTACAATTTTTGATGAGTCTGAGTGCAATTATGCAAAAATGTACTCGTGTCTAGTTGGGTGTGAGTATGGGTTGGAGTACAAGTATGAGGAAAACAATACGAGAATGAATACGAAAATAAAAACAAGTGCCCCAAAAAAAGTATTAGGGTGTGAGTATTGGTACATTTAGGAGTACATGTATGAGGGGAAAAACAGTATAAGTACGAGAACTACATGTAACAAAAAATGTACTCGGGTGCAAGTATACATGTAGGTAGGAGAATGAGTACGAAACAAATTGGTGAAACGATTGTAAATTGTCTTATAATGGAAATTGACATTACTTTCTGGAATGCGCCCAGTTGGGCTACAAAACACATTTTAAACGAAATGCTGTTAAGTAAGATTTTAGGCTTTGCATGGTGAAGATACTAAATAATGAAAGGTTTGCGGAAACACCATGTGCGAATAATTTCTCAACTAAGAGAATGGTTCTTAAAAGAACCAGAGGTATAAAATGCTGTTATTTGGAAAGAGCATTTAAAAGTAGGATATAAACGTCCACACAACCATCCTTTCAAAACTGGGTGTTTTTATGTTATTCTTGCGAGAACCATGCGAGAATGAATTCTGGGGGTTAAAATTTTGACTCTCAAAAATCGCGCTGTTGGGTGCTAGTTGTGAATCCTGCAGCACAGTGCACCGCATTCTGCAGACGTGCGACAAACAACATTTGTGCATTGGTGCTGTGTGTGTTATGTGAAACACACGCAAAGTGTACCATACATTGAATGGACGCGGCTGGAATATGTACATGCATATGCCACAAAATGTCCTCCGCGTCCGATGTAAACAACCAAGTTCTTTTTTCTTTTCTCAGGAACGGTAAGGCATTACATACAATGTAGGTTAGTTTCCTTTCAACCAGACCTTTGAATTAGGATAAGTAAGCAATCCAAAACATACAATTTGGGGGGGATTTCAGGTCGTAATATGGCTTTAAAGTTTAAGCTGCCCTTTCAAGCAGCCCTTTCATATACACTCAGTCTTAATTGTGTCAGTTGTTTTTTTAATGCCTAGATAAAAAAAAACCACGTGTTGCATGTAATTCCATCACTTAAGTTGCGTGACGTTACTAAGCAACGGAGACAAAACAGACTGAAAATTAGTTCATGGTGAGGCGGCTCTACTGTTAATCTTACACAACTGTCGCCATAATCACCATTACCATGGCAACCACCTCTGTCATTCCACCGTAGCAACTATTGTTTGTACATATTACTCAAATTATTGATCAATAAAAAAATATTGAGCTATTTAAATACGTGTCAGTGGAAGAATGTTAAGAAATTTCCCTCAACATTTTTTGAAGGATTTGATCTAATTTTTTTTTAACTGTGCCTTGGCACTTAGTTGTCAGTTCATATGCATGTATACAAACAAGCAAACATCATGTACATTGTAAATGTACTCTTAAAATTGTGGTTTAGCCGGATTTTATCATTGAGTGTCCAAGTTTGATGTCAGTCAAATTGTCTAAATTGTCCATTTGTACATCTCAGGGTGATAGCAAAAGCAATTTCACCTATTTCAGAATGTCAAAATAATGTGAGAAAAAAACTGTTAAGAAATGTTCGGAATTGGAATCAATGAATTATTACACACATGGGGCTTTCTTTAATGCCTTTTTTAATGGATTGCCAACCTGTTTCTAAAAATAGCCTGACCTTTAATAAGCATGATAGTGCAGTGTGTATTTTTATTGCTGGCCCAGATGACAAGACTTAACACAAGCAGGCATATCATATGCTGTTCCTGGTCCATAACCTTATAGACCGTTATCGTGCTGCCACCATTTTAGTCATGTTCCCTGTATCCAACAGTACTGAATGATAACTTTTGTGCAAAGAGGAACCAGACTATTTTTCTTCCGGCCTCGCTTTAGTTACATTGATTTGAATGGGAAAAAATCAAGATGGCCGCAACATGATAATGGTCTATATTCCTATCTCTTTGGCATCACCTGCCAACAAGGCTATTGTAGGGCCATGCATTTTTGAATAATTTAGTGTTCAATTTTTGTCAACTTGGACTTCATCGAATATTTGAATATTCGATTTTCGAAATGCACCGATCGACTTAAACCTGTGTCAGCCTAAACTAGCTGCCAATTGAACAGCTTGTTAATTAAAATAACATAAAGAACAGGTAGCCGAATGGCATATTTAACCGATTTTAAGGTGAAATTTGAGCTATTCTTCTCCATAGAAGCTCTCATAAGTCATGTGCGAAAGTGACCTTCAACAAAACATGTGGCGTTTGACAAACAATAACACCACACAGTTTATACATTTGTCATCGTCTCCTTGACACCGCTGGCGTTTTTTAATATTTGAATTGAAAAATGCTTTTGAGATATTCAGTTATTGATCAAATATGTGTTATGTTATATAGGCATATTCGGCATAGCCCTAGAGGCTATAGTATTGTATGTTTGCACAGTTGGGTGGAAACTAGAGGCACAACTGGTGAACCAGAAATTTCAAAAATGGACTCTCTCTTCTGTTTTTTTAAAGGTACATTGTAGATTGTATCATTTGCAGCTATCCAAAAAGTAACTGACAAAATTATTGTTGAAAAGTATGCTTCCGGGGCAAGTTGGTTTAAAGGGAAAATACAACATTTGCAAACATCAAAAAATAAAACTACCAAATCATTTTGAAATACCTTGCTGGACTGTTAGTGAATGACAGTGTAAAGCATCCTGTAAAATCATGGCACCTGGTATACTGTCATTTTCAAGAAAAGTGGTATTTTTAGTATCAATTTCCAACGCTGATCGGCCGATCAGCGTTGGAAACAACTGGCTTTTTTTTCAAATACTGGCCCCAATTGACCATCGCACTTGTTTGCAATCGATTACAAACCTATGAACGGGTACGAGCCAGCTAGACTGGTTCCCTGACCTTACAATTCCCCAATGTATGTAAACTGCTCTGTTTCTTCTTATATGGAGTCAGGGAACCAGACTACAGGAAAATGCTCGTTTTTCTTGGTTTTTATAGCATTTTCGAACCCAAAACCTTAAAAAAGTCATTGTAACTATATTTGCTATATATTTCCAACCCCCCAATTCCATCCATTTCTGAAAATTACAGCAAAGCAAATGATGTATATTCCCTTTAAAGATGACATCACATAGCTGCAATCGACTGAATGGGAAGGTGTCCTGGATGCTGATTTTAGGCGCAATTCAAAATATGACTCGGCAACTTTTGAATCGAAATCGAAATCCTAGAATATTGTTTTCTCGGAATATAACAGCATTCACTGAGCTAAAACATCATGATTCATCAGGTTAGCCCTTTAGATCTTTAGATTTTGAGCACTTTTGTTGCTTCAAATGAAACAAAAATGCACATATGATAATGATATCTACATGTTACATTTCTACAGACGTCTAGGGTACCTCCATATTGAGCAGTTGGGAGACTTTGATGGATTCAGGATCTCAACAGTTTATCTGTTCTTAACAGTTTATCTCCTTGGTGTGTACGAGGTACATGGTGGATTCTGATGGATTCTTTGGTGGATTCTGATGGACTCAGGACACCAACATTTTTTTGCATGACAAAATTGATGGATTTTAGAGTTTCAGGATACTTTCTAGTAGTTCAAGGGATAGGGTTAAAGCTAACAAATTAAGGTTCATGGACAAATCAAAATAACCTTGAATGCTTTTAATAAATCTGTGAAAAGAGGGCTTTTTGAGGTTGGTTTTTTTTCCGGGGACACCCTGTTTTTCTGTCCAACAAACTCTGCTACAGATGTTCAGAGTTTTGTACCCTAAGGGTACAAAAAAACCATCCGCTTCGAGGCGTACACCTGGCTGCATAAACTCTAATTAGTCTCAATTGGCAAAGTGACCCAATATGTTTAATGCATAGAAGTATTTTGCATGGATTATGATTAATATCTTGTCGAGAATCATATGTCACGCTTCCATGGGTATTTTAATAGAAATGAGGCAGTCATGCACGATGTTGCTCTCGTTCATGTAATCGTAGACCGTGTAGTCACGCATGAAGCCTCATCTGTGCCGAGGTGTCTGTCCAAACTCCCCCAAATAGCAGGAAATATAGCATAAATTACCAAAGCTTGTCCTGAACCTGCGCTACAGAGAGGCTGGCTATATTGGAGCCACAGTGAAAATTGTAGATTATACAAAAACTTTCCGATAAAAAACTGGGAGGATTTTTGTTGTTGGTACATTTGTATGGATTGGAAGGATTTCGTTATTAAGCACAGTGTTTTTACATCTGTGTAGTCTTGTTAAGGAGCAAGATTATAATCAACGAAAAACAAGATAGTTTACTCATACAATACTTCTAAGGCATGCCATCATGTGCAACTTTCCCTGTAAAAGTACATGACTTGACCTTAAAGATTGTATATTAAATTATTTATCCCTTTCACTCCCAACTGATTAGAAGCATGCTCGCTTATGTTACCACGGGACTTTGGACAAATTCTATCGCACAGAGCAGTCACACTACGTGATGCACAGTAGGCAGTTTATAACACAGCATCGTGACAGTATATGTGTACGTGTACTCTCAGGGCCAAAAAATATTGCTTTGAAAATGACAGATTATTTGTCATTTTCAAAGTAATTTTTTTTGGCCCTGAGTATCTCTGCACTTATTGTTTCCTCACAAATTGTGGGAAAATTAGGAAATAATAATCATGTTTTTTTTTGGGGGGGGGTGTTCTTTTTTGTTTGTATTTGTGTTTGTATTTATTTTTGTTGTTTTTCACCATTATTTCTTAGCTATGTTGTTTACTTCTTTTTCTTATCTTTCCTTATTGTCAAAAAGTAATCCGAAGGTCATAGGTTCCAATCACGCTCAAGATCATTTCTCCGCTCATATTAGATGTGTTTATTTTTTTGAGTAATTAGTTACTTGGACATGTGAACCATAAAGACAATAGGCGAAGTAATTATTAAATAAACTTTGCACCTCAGTTGTATTGTTACAAAATTGATGTTGCTCATGATGATCAACTGATGCTTTTATAGCACTTACTATATCGCAAATTTTTTTTAACAATGCTTCTTAAACACACAACTCCACCCAACCCCCCCCCCCCCCCTCCACCCCGGTTCAATGCAGGCCCATCGCCAAGGGGGGGGGGGCCTGGTGGGGCTGCCCCCCCCCCCCCCTTTGTGAACAATTGCCCCCCCCCAAAAAAAAAAGCAATACATGTGTATTTTTGAATTTTTAAGGTAGTGGGCCCCCCTAGTTGGTACTTTGGCCCCCCAAGTTGGTACTTTGGCCCCCCCTCCCCCATTGAAAGGGGAAAGGGAGGGGAGGGGAGAGAAGGGCAGATAAGGGGGGGGGGGAGAGTCCAAGTCGTGCCGAAGGGGGGGGGGAGGGGATCCGGGAATGTGGCCCTGAAAAATGCATGGACAGTCACGTTTGAGCCTGTTTTGCTCGTTGGGATTGAGAGGTTTACAAATTCCCAGGCCTCTGGCATAGATAGTACTAGTTGTGAGGTGTGTACGGGATAATTTAAGTTGACACGTCACTAATATTGTGTTTCGATGTCGCGCTACTGTTGTGAAGCCAAGAATTCATTGAGAAGGAAGACAGTATGCAGAAAATCTCATGTTAAGGCATTGAAGGAAAACCAAAGCATATAAGTGTGGAGTGACGAACTCATTTTCAGTGGTTTTACCTTGTATCTAATGGAGAAACAAATAGTGAAATTAGATATATGGTGTCAAATTGCCCAATTCCCAGTAAAACAAAACAAAACAACAACAACAAAAACTCAATAATTTCCTGTTATTTCCAGGGTTATTTTAATACGAAGTTTGGCAGGTTTCCCCCTGTTGTTCTTTATTTTTTTTTAATGAAATATGATGAAGGAAATATGTAGGATGTTTGGATTAACGGAACTATTAGTAATTTGATACAAATACCCACCGGTTTTTCCTTGTTTTCAAAGAACAAAATGAGTAAATATACACAATGCATACAAATAAATTCGGTCAGTGAACTAACTGAACCTTGCATTGATTTCCAACAAAAAGCAAAGAGTAATTTTTTATACAGATTTTGCGTTTTTGTTTTTTTTGTAAAAAGAAATGTTCTTTAAATTACGCACTTAACGCACTATGTTTGAAGTTCTTTAACCAGTTCGCGCCGGGATAATTTTGACATTGACCGAACCCAGGCGCGGGATTGTTTTGCACAAACCTCAATGTAAGATGGGTTCAGGCCGTCATCTGCGGGTAGCACACCCTGATATTTCCGGCCTCGCTCGCTGCGAGCGGGTCGCAGACAGATATTTCCAGCCTCGCTCATTGAATGTTTATCCGTCATCCGTTCCGAATACCGCAAAACCTCTTCGTGTACACACGTCATTCAACGACTGGAACTTGCTCTTTTCTTTATCAGATTCTGTACCTTAGGTGGTTATTTTTTAGCCCAAGATAAAAACATTTGGTGAAGTGGCACCCAAAAATTGTCAAAAAAGGGAAATGGTAAAAAGAATATTCGTAAAATCACACAAGACTTAAGAAGTTCATTAATTTTATTGACTGGAACTTATTTCTTTTCTTTTATCAGATTTCTTCAATCAGAAAAAAAATAATGAAAATAGATACAATGTATATGGTCGTCAAATTACCCAATTTCCAGTAAGAAAAAACAAACAAAAAACAGTAATTTCCAATTATTTCCAGGGTTATTTTAATACAAAGTTTGTCATGTTTTTCCCTGGTTTTCTTTTATCTTTTTTTAATGAAATATGATGAAGGAAATATGTCAGATGTTTGAATAAACAGAACTATTAGTAATTTGATACAAATTCCCTCCGGTTTTTCCTTGTTTCCAAAGAACAAAATGAGTAGAATGCACAATGCATCAAAATAAATTTGGTCTGTGAATTAACTGAACCCTGGATTGATTTCCAACAAAATACAACAGTAATTTTTTACACAGATTTTGTGGGGGGGGGTGTACAAAGATATATTTTCAAAATTACGCACAGTGTTTAGAGTTCATTAATCTTAGTGACTGGAATTTTTTCTTTTCTTTAATCATATTCTGTACCTCAGGTGGTTTTTTATTAACCCAAGATAAAAATTAATATGGAAACAAAGGGACACCCTAAAAATGTATTGATTCATACCCGTTACCTCAAGAAAAAAGGCTTTAATACCATTTTTTCTCTCTCCGTAGATTTGCGGCAGCGAAACGAGATGGATCTGAGTACTTCATACTTCTCATTATCACTGACGGTTGCATCTGCGATATGGATCACACTAAAGAAGCCATTGTCAATGTGAGTCACATGACTTTAGTAGAGCATCATAGGAAACATTTTACTTTTTCAGCAAGGGAAAAATGCCGTGTTGAAGTATCGTAGGCCTCATGTTTGCTCAACTTAACTTTCTCAAAATCTGATCACATGGTTTGAGTAATACAGGGTGAGTAAAAAAAAATACGAACCCAAATGTCGGGACTATTGTTTTAGTGTAGTTCTGCATGTAACACTTTCAAAATCTAGGATATGAAAGCCCAATTCATCAGCTTTCTTTTAGTACAAGAATCATTCAAATCACTCATGTACTTTTCAAGTTACGGATTTTAAACACAACCACCGTTTTAAAGTTCTGTCCACAGATCAGCAAAATAAAAACAATTCACACACATCCCTATGTGATTTGTTTTCGCTTTGCTGAACACCTGACTATTTGTGATCGGTGGACAGAACTTTAAAACGGTGCTACACATGCAGAACTTCACTAAAACAATGATCACAACATTTGGGTTTCAGGTTTTTTTACTCACCCTGTACAGCTTTAACATTGATACAAAGTTTGTTTGTTTATGTTGGTTTGTACAGTATTACCATAAATTTGCCTCCAGTCACAGACAGTCTAACATTTCTACCACTTCCTCTGCCATGTAATTGTATACAGACTAGTAAAAAAAACAGTCAGATCACATTCATGTAAACACTGTGACTAGTCAAATTCTATCAACAGACAAAAGAGGTAACTGGTATGTACAGCTGACATATATCAATCACCTCCAGTCAAATCATGGTTATCAAATTAACAAGGGGATTCTCAACTGTTAAAACTGTCACTTGATTGATTTTGACTGCTGTGATGGCTTAGCTGAATTAGTCAGCCAGAGAGGGAGGGTTAAAGGGAATGTACATCATTGGCTTTTGCTGTAATTTTCAGAAATGAACTATTTGAGGGGTTAGTATTATAGATCAAATATTGTTACACTTATATTTTTGAAGTTTGGAGTTCGAAAAGGTTGGAAAAACCAAGAAAAACAAAAATGTTCAAGTAGTCTGGTTCCCTGACTCCACAAAAGATAAAATGGATCAATTTATAGATGATGGAAAATTGTAATGCAATGGAACCAGTCTAGCTGGCCTGCACCCGTTCATGAACATGTAACCAATAGCAAACAAAATTTGGACTGAAAAAATGGTCAATTTGGAGCAGTAGTTGAAAAAGAGTTAGGTTTTTCCAACGCTGGTCGGCCGACCACCGTTGGAAATGTATACAAAAATACCATTTTCTTGAAAATGACTTCACACCAGGTGCCATAATTTTACAAGATGCTTGAGACTGTCATTAACCAATATCCTAGTGAGGTATTTCGTAAAAACTTGGTAGTTTTATTTTTCGATGTTTGCAAATGTTGTATATTCCTTTTAAGGAAAAGCTTGAGGCATACAGCATTGTATGTATGAGAAAAGTGTGTACGCTAAAGGGTTACACCCATGGGAATCTGCAACAAAATATATGTTCATCAATACATTTTGTTTTCCCAGGCCCACCCACACACTTTCGCTTTGCCTTGAACCTAACACATGCAGTATCCATAGAATTGCTTCAAACCACACATGAATGATTGTTGCCTACCCAAGGCCCCCCAACAACAAAAAGAAATATGTGTGTGCTTAATCTACCTTGAATATGTACATTGAAAATGACCTGGTTCACATGTAGCATGAGTTTCTCTCATGCTGTGTGATATACATGTTGACAAAGCACGTACATACATGTGATGCGATCAGGCTAAATGAGTCGTTTGTCGGGAAGTTTCATTTGGAGATTCAGGCCAAAATAGGACCACTTCATCGCAGCACTTCATCACATTTCTTGGTGTTCCGACTTCCATAATTGTTGAACTAAAGATGGTACCAGCTTGCGGTTTTCACAGCAGTAATACTGAGATTGTGCCCTTTTCAAGTCTGTAAAAAAAAATTAACCAGGGTCGACAAACGACTCATTTAGCTTGATCGCACCACATATGTGCAAGCAGGGAACAAAATTTACACATTTGATTTGGGATACGTTCAAAGATCAAGTGAAAATGTGAATGTTAAGGTAGTTTATAACATTTGGGGGGAAATTTTAATTTGTTTTACATTTGGTTATTAGAAAATATAATTCACCGAACTGAATGGGAAGCCATTTTTACGGTGTGCCAGGCCCATGCGCTTGCCACACGCGATCTTTATAGACGAGGTGCGCGCATTTTGGTAGGCCTATTTTTCTAAGGAGTAACAGAGTCCGATTTTGTCTATGGTTGCAGACCAGTAAATAAACTTCCATTGACCCCGATGATAAATGCTCCCACTTCAGAAATTTGGGGAAACTACTCATAAATCTCCAAGGTGTTTGAGACATACATCAAATTAAAGCTTATTTCATCATCTTTCATTTTCTTTTCAATTTTCGGGGTGTTAACTGATGACTTTTAGGAGAAATTTCCATTCAAAGTTGATCACCCCTTAAAATAGTCCTGCTGTTGACACTTTGAAACCCACTCTTTTTTTTGTGTGGGAAAAAAAGCAAATTTGTGTCAATCAGCCATTTCAGGCTGCTCTGATGGAGCCCCCTTCACAGGTATTTTTTGGCATATCCAGAAAAAAATTCCTTCCCCCCCCAAAAAAAAACACTGCTGAGTTTCAGTTTCCAAGGCGATATAGACCCTGGATCATCCTTGTTCTGCTTCTGCTTCTGCTGGTATACTCTACACAACGCCCTGTTGGCCTATCTGGGTACAGTGGTCAAATGTGGCATGCGAGCTTAGATTCTGAAGTTGGCGTGGCTAACCAGATTCCTAACATTGATGTCGTCCAAGGCTGACTTGAAGACATTCAGGTCTGGTGTGGAGCGGATATCTTCTGGGATAAGATTCCACTCTGGGATAGATCTTGGGTACAGTGAGAACTTCAGGCAATCTTTATTGAAGCTAGGTGTTCTATATGAGTACAGTCGACTCTCGTTAGTACAAACTCTGTTAATACAAAATTCTGGTTATAACAAACTAGAAGCCTTGGTCCCGACTGTGCATTTATGTGCACAATGAATAGGACTGATGTTCCTCTTAATACAAAATTCTGATACAACAAACAATTTGGCTAGGTCCGAATGAGTTTGTTATAATGAGACTCGACTGTACTTTCCATTCATACGGCGTGAGTGGTGCAAGTCATTGTGACAAAACTGTTCCACAGCAAGAGATGATAAAAGCAGCAGCAAGAGATGATAAAAGTATTAGGTAAAGATATTTACAACGCACTGAACTTATTTGTTTGTTTGTGTTTTAGGCTGCAAAACTACCCATGTCCATCATTATTGTCGGTGTCGGGAAAGAAGATTTCACCAGTAAGTAAACCAACTTTTTTTTTTCTTCAAAACTCAACATTTTTTTTCCTTTTAGAATTCCAGATCATTATTTCCTCGGCACTATTTCCTATTTCATCAGTCAGAAAAAAAAACCAAAAGCTCAAGAGGCAAGCATGGGTTTCCTTCTCGCTAAAATTCTTTCAAATTCCATTAAAAAATGCCCTTTTTTATAAAGATATTAAAGATTTATGAAACTACAGAAGCCCCGCAATATTCCAAAATCATGTTAAATTTATGACCTCCCCTAACATTTTATAATACCCTCCTTTGGGTCCAGAATTGCATTTTTGTTTTCTTTTTGTTTGTTTGTATTTTCACGTGTTAGTCTTCTTCAATCAGCAGAACACCTGTTTCTCATAAATAAACAATCTTAGCGAGAAAAATGCCGTCCTTTGCTTCCCATGCCATTGTTGTGACCCGTTAGAGCAAAAGTCTTCCTTCCTTTTTTCTTCTTTTTTTTCCCCGCTTAAATCAATGAGTTCAAGCTGTGATGACATTTGCTGTCTGTTCATAAACAGGCACAGGTGGTGGATGCCCTGTTTAAATTCCTGAAATCTGCCTGAAACCGGTTCAGCCTGGTTTCATGTTGTTTCCCGATCAATTTTGGTGACCCGACTTCAAATAGACGTGGAAATTATGAATCCTTAAATTTGACAACAAGAACGTGAAGGTATTTTTGTGACCACAGCTATACAATTTAGGGTTTTGTCAAAAATGTTCTTGACCAATTTTTTAGGGGTGAGGGACTTTTTTTTATACAACGCCTGAATAAATCCCTGTCATCTGAGTGGTGGGTCTTTCATTGAATTATTCATCCCAACTAACGGCCCGGCCGCACCACAAATTAGAAGTTATATTCCACGATAAATAGAAGTTACATTGCACAGACACCCGATTGATGGGTCTGACCAATCAGATGAAAAGAATTTATTGAAATGTTGTATAAAACAAATACTGAATGTTTCACATTTTTGCAATGGAAAGAATAATTTTCATTCGGTGACAGATGGAATGTTCCATTCCACGAGGCAAATCTGTCAGCTCATGAAATTATTCTTACTATTGCACTCATAAACATTCATTATTTGTATATTAGTTTACAAAGGAAACCTATTCAAGTGTAATTGATGTTTAACTACCATTTCAGAAGTTAAGGATTCAGGAGGTAAGGATTTCTTTTGCAAAAATATAAACAAATCTTTGGAAAGAGTAACATTTCACTAAAGGAATTTAAGGAAAGCAGGGACATAATTTTATCAGGGGCTAAAAGAAGGAATTTAAATATTAGGTAGTGCTCAAGACTTCAAATTGAAGATTTTTGTGATTTTTGAAACCATTTTTTTTGTCTGAAGATATCAAATCATGCCCCTATACTGAAAAATCTTGATTGTATTTAAAGTCTGATTTAATGTTTATTGCAAGTTGATATGAGTTCCTGGCCTGTTGCCAACTTTCCACAGACGAATGTTGTTTACGCTGTGAACATTTGACCTTAAATGTAACTGGCTCTACAAAAAAGGGTATTAAGTCGCCCTTAGCATTATTGTGTAACGGCCCGCTCAACATTGAGAGGGTGAAAAAAATTTCAAAACGTGATTTTCATTTTATGTCTCGAATGACATCTTTAATACCTACAGTTTCAGATTTCCTTCCCAAAAATGTTGATTTTGATGAACAAAGTGGAAAAAACAACCGTTTGTGTGCATCGTTCTGTTGTTCTTCAACAAAGCCAGCTATTTCAAAGCCTGTTTTCTCAGTTGTGTAATTTGAACTCTAAGGAAGTAATTAATATGCAAATACGTCATATCTCCAGAACGGGAGGGGCTATGGAGCTCAATTATATACCAAATGAAAGCTTACATTGTGGGCTTTCCAACCATGTATATAACTCCATTTCTCTTTTTTGCGACATAATACCCTTTTTTGTGGAGCCGCTCACAAATGTCGTCAACAGTTTTCTGAAACTATTGAAGAACACACCATTATGTCCATGCAGCTCCTCATGTGTGGCCATACTGCACAGTAACTTGACCCATTGTTTAAACGGGAATTAAATTGCCATTTTCAATTACTTATCAACGAGTTGAACTGCCCAATACATCATGGTATTCTGAGTGGTGGACTGAGGCTTATGTCGCCCAAACCATACCTGAATTGTGTTGATAAACATGGAACACAAAAGACCACACAGATATATTGTTTTAAGCAGTTGTCCAAAATTTTGCCAAGGATTGGGAAATGATTGCTTGGAAAAACTTTTCCCCCAGTGCACTTTAAGACGTGTTATAAACTTAAAGATGTTTTATAATCACAGACAGTCAAAAATCAGTCCTCTTCCCTGCCACGCCTTTTACACAGTCTAGTCATCAACAGTCAGATCATATTTCTAGCAAGCACTGTAACTAGTCAAATGCAGTCACAAAGACAGGCAAGTTTTAAGCACAGCTGTTTAATATTAATCACCTAGAGTCAAAGCATAGCTGCATCAAGGTACATGTACATGAACAGTCCCAGCCAGTCAATCATGCTTTATGTAGGCTGGGAACTCTTAACTTTTGAAAACAGTCACTTGATTGATTTTGACTGAAAGGACAACTTGGCACAGAATGTATGTTTCCATAGGAGGGTTAATGCTCTTATTACAAATGTGACTTACTGCTTCAGCAAATCTGAGCCACAAGGAAGCTGAGATGTATTTTGGAATGTTTTCATTGGCCCGGTGAGCAGAGGTAATAATTAGAGCCTTTTTGGTTGATATGTGCACTACATGTATAAATCCATGTTATTGTTATTATTATTATGATTATTACTTCTCTAAACAAAGCATCAAAACTACTTCCTTGTGGGAACTAATGCGTCTCATTCTGCAACACCGATACTGATACTCCAGTGGTGTTTGCACTTAGCAAGTCTCATTTCCGCGCAAATTAATTCATTGAAGGTGTTCCGTAAAGTCACACAGATTGGCCATTCTGTGCTATTAGACACTTTCGGCATCCAGAAAAAAAATGTTACATGTATATCTGTATACATACTGTATGAATGCGGCCGGTGTTAGCAGACGTGAGGTCATGTTCAAATTTCAGTTTCGGCAATGCGCCTCTGCATACCGGTACATATTGCTGCTGAGTTAGTACTGAGGAAATTAAGTCACAATTTTATGTTACAAAAATGCTCAAAATTTACTATGTGTCGTAAAAAAAAAACGCTCTTGAATGAATTTATGAGAGAGACTAAAATTCTATGTTGTAAGGGGTAAACAAAACCCTGGTTACGCGACTGCTGCCAAAACTCACTATTCAATGCAATCCTGGCAATGCTTGGATTGTTTTATGGGAATGAGAAAAAGTCTTGGTTATTTATCGGCAGTTGTGATTTTCTGTTGAAAGAAAAGTTTGGGAAAAACAATGTTATTGACAGTTTGTTATTTGTATTACAAGCAAGGGCATGAAGTCGTAGAGCCTTGTTGCTTTTCTAATTCTCTTCAAGAAAGCTCAGCTGTTCGTCAGAAAAACAGGTGTATTTATTTGATCGCAGAATCTGAAACACCCCCCCCCACCAAAAAAGACCCATATTATAGGAAAACTTCTTTTTAGCACATAAAGTAGGCTTAGCCAGGCACACAGCTGATGCAGATACAACACCATGTCAGGTTAATTTTGGTCCCTTGTTTTTATTCCTTAAATTTTAAACCTGCTGAATCCAACAAAAGAACCCCCCCCCCAAAAAAAAAAAAATATGATAAACATTGTGATATCGGTCGTTTTGGCGAACATGAATACTCCACTCTGATTGGTTGATCCATAGCAACATCATTGTGACATCACCATCATGGTCAAGATCCATTGCATGATTCTCTCTCCCTCTCTAATTCTGCCCGATATTCTTTTTGAAAAACAGAAGTGGCCCTAAATTTTGATTCAAACAGAAATGGTTTTTTTATGATGCCACTGTGTGGACAGATATATGTATTATAATTGCCTGATCAACCCTTGAAACTTTGACCACATATCTAGATTTATTTCCCAAGCAAATAAACAGCCCTACATATGGTGTTCAGGCATTTGTCGGCTATCAATCATTCTGTAGGAGTATGACTCCCAGAAATGTTAAGGATTTCTGGCATCTAAGGTCCCCCCCATGAAAAATATAGTTTGGTTTACAGTCTGAAAATAAACATTTGGAAAGGTGCCAGAGAAATGCTAATTGATCTCCATGGATATTTTTTTTTCTTCTTGTGAAAAGTGGAAATTTCTGGTTTACTTGCATCATCTTTATTCCGTAAATTCAGACGTACATGTCAGACACATTAATGAGCTGCTGTTGGAAAAGTGAATGTGATACGTCACTAATAATGTGACATCTAATGAGTAGAAAACAATTACAGACCAATCTAAGGTACCACCGCCTTAACGACCTTGTACATGTACATCATGTGGTCGGACACTATACAGAATTGTCCTTTATTGACATGATGCCCTTAAAGCTATAGTCCATCATTTGCAGCCATCCGAAAAAGTAACTGGCATATTATTGTTGGAAAACATACTTGGTTGAAAGATAGTAAGTGGACTAAACTCCCTGTGAAATTAATCTTTCTGGCAAGCTATCATTTTGAAGTAATCAATGAAAGAAGGCCTTTCCAACGGTGCGTCTTAAGACGCACCGTAGGAAAATTTAAATTAGTAGTTCGTTTTGTTATTCGGCGCAGCGCGCGCAAGCATTGGCACGAGGCACACACGCGCGCGGTTGCTATAATTCGTCGGATCAGTGCGCGACATCGTTTAAAGCTGCAATTCAAAACAATTCAAAACATGATTCAGCAACTTTTGATTTGAAATTGAGATCCTAGAATGCTGTTTTTCTCGGAACGTACAGCTGAAGCTGAGCTGAAACTTCATCAGGTTACTTGTTCAGTATCCTTCATTAGATTTTGAACACTTTTGTTGCTTCAAACGAACAAAATGCACAAATTACAAATGATGAACTGTAGCTTTAAAGAATATAAAAACTATTTTGTCATAGTCCACACACAAAAAGTAAAATAGTTTAGGGCTTGAAATTTTCCATCAATTCAGCAATAATAACTTACTACTCCATCCATAATGTAAAAGATCTATGCCTTTGTGTTCTATGCACAATTTTTTTCCCCAGATCAGTACGAATGTAAGCAACAAGGCACATTCCTGATGGTTATAATGAACATAAGAGCCAGCAAGTTTATCATGTTTTCGCTGTCGAGGCAGTAATCTTTTTCTAAATTTGCCGTGCTGTTCTCATCATCCGTTGCCCAGCTATTTTGAGCCGACGGTCTTGCCGAGACGCACGCAAGACGGATCTGCTAGCTAATGAATGAGCGTCATTAGGACAAGCATCCTTGAGACTTCCATTATAGTTAGGAAGGAAATTAAAGGTTTCAGGTTACGCTAGGCAAGGTAGAATGAAGTTTAAGTTTTTAATATTCGCAGTAAGCATGACAGAGGAATCATTCATGTTTTTTTGGCTTGGTTTAGGTTTAGAAATTTGTCCTTTTTTTATTTCAGAAGGGTTGATTGGATTTGTTGCTTCCTGTGCGACTTCTGTCTTTCAACATTTTATTCTCTGAAAACCAGGTTGAGCGGAATAATGCTGTGCTATTTTGAAACCTTTTCATTGCTTTTCCGTTGAGTCTCGCGATTCAATTCCATCGTGCATGACATGGCGTATTTTGTGTCCCGGCCTTCAAAATATACAATGGTGTTTGTCCGTAAACTTGGCCCCAGTTGTCTCCAGGAAACCTTCGATATCTGGGTGGAATTTTTCTGAAAAGATTGTTGACTGACACGTACTATAATTGAGATTTCAATTCATCGACCTGTTGACCTGGGAAGTTTAGTCAACTCATCAGATCTGCTTTCCAACCAATATTCTGAGTAAAACACAAAGGTCACTAAATTCAAGACATCAATTGGGGTCAGGAATTGTTTCCTTACTGGACTCGAAATCCAGAATTGCAGAATTATATCTCAATCTAGCAAAGCTCATTTGGTTTGCTATCGTTTTACACACAGTAGGAGTAGGACAACAAACAAAATACGGACAACGGAAATCTTACCACTCATGCTAGAGGTTAGGATGTGAAAAGGTGTTGGGAATACATGAAAGACAAAATGTGTCATCAGGGTCGCGGACCGGCATAAAACAATTGGGTCGGTGTGGTTACCGCGAGCACTCCCAAAGCAGAAGTAATACATGTATATGTATGGCATTATTGCTGGGCATATTTACCAGCTTCTTTTAAGGTTTGTTTTGCAAGACCTTGAAATTAACTTTGAGAATGCACTTTTGTTATTAAAAATAGTTTTTTTCTATTGCATATAGAAAAATATATCATATTCAAAAAGAAATATTCAATAAAAAGATTATAACAATTTTTTGCCGTGCCAGCTTTTGGCTGCACTGTAAAAAGTGCAAAACATACATTTGGCTTCCTATTTGTTGTGATGTGATCCATGATAATACTGGGAATATAGTTTTGTTAATCACGAGGGAAAAATATATATATTGTACTGTATTTCCTGGGTTTTTGAAGTCTTGGCCCCAAGACTGGATTTGGATAATTTGTGTCTACGTGCAGTCTGTATATCGCGCGCTGGCAAGCACAGCCAAACGATATCAACGGTGGAGGGTGCTATCGATGAGGCGAACCGTCGACGAGGCTTAATGTAAATCCAGTCTTGGGCCAAGACTAGGTTTTTTGTAGTGTGTGGAATAGACGCATGCGTGGCACACGTCTATTACATGCATGCAGATTATGCAGAACAACACTGCATCTTGACCTCCTGATTCTGACTCATCATTCAGCAGGCGTCTTCTATCAGGTCTTCAGTAACCCAATGTTGTCTGAGAAAAACTAGGTAGCTATACATCGACAAATCAACAGCCTTGGCAAAATTTCTGCTCTAAATGACGTCACAATTTCTAAGTCAGCGCCAAATGGCTGGCGCGCTGAGTCACATAAAATTTACGGATATATCAGACGAAATATCTATAAATTGCTCCGTTTCACCTTACGTGGGGTCAGGGATCCATTCCAGACCACAGGAACATGATTGTTTTTCTTGGTTTTTCAAGCATATACAAACACAAAACTTCCAACAAGTCAGTGTAACAATATTTGCTATAAAATACTACCCCCCCCCAATCCATCAATTTCTGTAAATTACAGCAAAAACAAATGTTGTATATCCCCTTTAAGAACGAATTCTTTTTTTTTTACTGTGAGGAAGTGTCTTCAAGATTCAAATGTCACGGTGTCTACTTTTTTCCAAATTTAATCTACCTCTAGAAATGGAAGAGTTGGATGGTGATGACGTTAGAGTGTCTTCCAAAGGACAGTTTGCTGAACGGGACATCGTACAGGTGAGTACAAGAAACCAAAGCTGCTTAGCGAACAAATCCTGCTCAGCAGAATTATGAAATCTTAGGATTATGATTTTCAAAGAAGGGCAGGGGGCACTATAACTTTCCTTTTTTCCCCCTTTAATTACAGTATAAGCACATGTATGAATTATACACCTTAAACAACTGTTTTCCATCACAGTGAAACATTATAATCCCTCGTTTTCTTTTTGGTTTTGGGTGGTCCAAAAATGAAAGAAAAAAAATATGGAGTAGTGGGAATATCCCATAGAACCAGTCTAGCGTCTTTTACTAGGAACTGGACCAATTCCATCAAAATCCATCAATCACTGTGCTTCTGTAACGTGGAAAAATAGCACACTGTCTTAATGGGAAAATACAACATTTGCAAACATCGAAAAATAAAATGACCAAGTTTTTATGAAATACCTTACAGGATGTTGGTAAATGACAGTCTAAAGCATCCTGTAAAATTATGGCACCTGGTGTGCAGTAATTTTCAAGAAAATTGTATTTTTGTTTACATTTCCAACGGTGGAACTATTTTTCACTACTGCTCCAAATTTACCATTTTTTCAGTCCAATTTTGTTTGCTAATTGGTTTTATGTTCATGAATGGGTGCAGGTCAGCTAGACTGGTTCCCTTAGCGTACAATTTTCCGGCATCTGTAAATTGATCCATTTCATCTTCAGTGGAGTCAGGGAACCAGACTACTTGAAGATTTTTGTTTTTCTTGGTTTTTCCAGCATTTTCGAAAACAAAACTTCAAACATGTCAGTGTAACAATAATTTGATCTATTATACTAACCCCTCAAATAGTTCATTTCTGAAAATTAAAGCATAAGTCAATGATGTACATTCCCTTTAAACACACGTGGGAGAGCACATTGTCCTGGTTCAAATGACTGGGCGTGAAATACTTTTAAGAAGCTGGGACAGAAGCAGGAATTGATTTCCAAACAACAAAAAATATATTTTATTCACATGAAACTCAACAAATTTTGGCTAAGTATCAAACTTACCAAAAAAAGGAGATTTCAGTTTCTCAAACAAATTATTTTAAAAGGGGAACACTTACTTATCCAAAACTCAAAACCTATCTTCAAATTTCACTTCAACTGGTTTCCAAAAGCAAGAAACATAAATTTGGTATTAAGAAGAGGAACAGAAAGAGAAAAGTATAGATAATAGATAACACCAACACAACACCAATAGAGAGTCACTCTAGCGGCACGAAATGACAACACCTCTTAAGTTCTGCAAAATTAAAGAAACAAGGAAAATACAATTAAAAATATGAAGTTGCTACTTTCTAACCATTGATGAATCCTTAAAAAAAACCTTAAAACACATGAATTTAACTTATAATACACCCTGCCAGGAAGCTTAAACAAACAAACCCTGGCCAGTGAACAAGGGAATAAGTAGCAATAAATGCAATAAACAACAGAAACTGCAAGGGTCTATGGAACTCATTAAGTATCTCCTCACAGGCCTAATCTGTGGCCATGACCCATGTTCAGACACGGTGTTAGCTAAAACGGTAAAAGTTAAAACGGTCGCTCACCACGGGAGGCCCGTCGTAAAAATAAAACTTCCGAGTGTCCAGACATCGTTTTAAGTATAGCAAGTTCAACTCGAAGTAGTTTATCTCAGTTTATAAGGTCACGTATGTATGACTAAGCAGCATGGTGTCTCAGAAATGATGCAACACAATGTACGGTACAATACTCTACACAAAACTTGTTGAAAAAGGCAAAAAATAAGTTTAAACAAAATGCAGGAATAAGAAACCTATAAAAACATAAAAACACAGAGAAACCAGGAAACCTTAAGTCCTTCAAGTCTCTTTTACACAATACTCAAACTGGCCAAAAAACAAAAACAATAGTCAAAGGAAAGCTTAAAACTTTTAGAAAACTAAGATCAGGAATCAGTATATTGGTTTTAACTACATTGTACTCATGAAGCAAAACTTACTCTAGAACTTAAACTTTATCTTTAAATCAAGTGAAGTTACATAAACTTTGGCTTAAGTGAAACTAAAGTCATCATGATGTAGCAAAGTTACCATGATGTGGCAAAGTTAGGCAAACTTCAGGACATCCTCCAGGACATCCTCATACCACATAGGAAATAAAAAAAAAACATTTCAACAGGATCATCTTTCAATAGTTGACATAGAAACATTTTAAAATAGGACTCACCAGTGAATGGGTAAGCAGGAGGTGAAATCTGGCATCAGCTTTGTACAAGTGGCAAGGGAGCTAGTGAATAAAGGTGTCCACTTCATCATGCCTTGCTGCTCGGTCCTACTAAAGCGCGTCAACAAGCGTCAACAAGCATCAACAAGCCTCAACGGTCGTCAACGAGCATCAACAAATTTTGTACATGCTTTTGAACATTAAAAGTAGCTTTATATGGTAGAAAAAGCAATAAAGAACATCTTCTGCATATCAATTAAAGTTAAAATTATTTTAAAACTTGTTTTTTGAACGCGAAATGTACGACGAATTTGTCGATAAAAGTTGGCCGCCATCTTGTTTATGTGTAGCTAACCATACTACGCATGCGTGAAGTGTACAGAGCCATACTACGCATGCGCGAAGTCCACAGCGCCATCCAAACAAGATGGCGGCCAACTTTTATCGTCAATAAGAAGATGTTCTTTATCGCTTTTTCTACCATATAAAGCTGTTTTTAATGTTCAAAATCCTATACAAAATTTGTTGATGCTCGTTGACGACCGTTGAGGCTTGTTGACGCTTGTTGACGCACTTTAGTAGGACCCTTGCTGCTCAATGATCACATAACTCGTAACAAAGGAAGGTCAGTGACCCTCTCTAAAGTAAACAGTGTAAGGGGCAAGAGGAGTCGGGATACTAACCTAGAGGGGAAGGGGTGCTACTCCTATTTAGAAAACAGACTAGGAATAAAGTAAAAAGTACAAAGAAAACTAATACTCCTCCACACTTCCAATGCAAAAATGTACACGACATAATGGAATCCACCACTGATGCACTGGTTGACATTCTTGGACTTGCTACACATGGCTTTTATCACAATAGCAGTACAGGAAGCTAGGCAAAATCAATCGGATACCCCTAGCACTGCTTTAGGCCATTAGGCCCAAGTCCATCATACTCCATCAATATTTAGCCACGGCAGGCCTTCTGGACCAAGTCCACCAAAATCTACCAAAATGGGGAGGATGGATTTTAATGGAGTTGGGGTGGTTAGGGTTAAAGGGGCAGTGTGTGATGTTCTACATTATTTAATTATTTAAATAAGAAGAAATTGTTATTCTCCATTTATTTGTTAATATTTTTCAACAGTACAGAAATTAATGATTGTTTGTTGTGCCAACAGTTTGTCCCGTTCAGAGATTTTGAGGGTGGAGACAATGTGGTTGTGAGCCAGGCTCGCCTCGCCAAGGAAGTTCTCGCCGAGATTCCTGAACAAATCACGTCCCATATGAAGATGCGTAATATTAAGCCCCGCCCACCCCCCTCGCCGAGTCTTACAAGTCGCCAGAGCTTCAGTACAGGCGTCCTCCGCTGAAAACTGCCCCCCTCCCCCCCCCCCAAAAAAAAAGCGCAGAATTTTTTGTCTTTTTAACCGAAAATTGTTCAGTCTTTTCTTTGAAAGAGGTGAGTACTGCGAGTCAGGGAACAAGATTTATCTGATTGCGCATTATACAGTGAGGTAACCAAGTGAGAAAGGTATCAGTCAGCCTGGTGCCTGAACACTCATCCAAGAGGTGTGTTGAAGTACTTCTTGGATACAACAGTGTTTAGAGTAAACAACATAATGTAAATGGCATCTGGGTGAAGGAGGAACATGTCGATTCTTGTACATTTTTATTACTTGTATGTGAACAAAACTATTCTGCAATGTTTTCAACACGAAATGTGTGAGCTCGGATTTAGATTTCAGTTTCTTATGAATACAGAGTATTTTCTAACTTAGAATTCTTCCATCTAGTAAGTTCAGAGAAAACTGCATAATAGTAGATATTGCCTAGGATGTATCAAATAGTACCTTATAGCCATGTCAAATTGGGTATTATGTGGCTATGACTTTGGTTTTTGGCATTGGCATAGTGCAGTGAGAGCCATAGTCCTTGACAATGTTTGGACATGGCTTACATCGCTAGTTTGGCAAGAAGATGTTTGGATAAAATGTTATGCAGATTTGTGAGTTAATTTTAGATGACAGGTCCTCAGAGTTAATTCCTTCTGACAATAACATCAATTTGAAACTCAGCTTGTACAAAAATGCTCGACCTATTCCATCTGTCAAGTGTCGCCATTCAAATTCTAGATGTGGATATCACCAAAAATCACCTAATTGATAATAAGGCCAAAAAAAAAAAGTCTCCGGTTTCTGGTATGCGCGCGCGTCGCCGTAGCCATGCGCGTCGGCAAAATGAAAAAGTTTTTTTTTCAATGAAAGATGATGTCTCACAACCGCCAAACTCACTGGTTTGACTGGAATCCTGCTGCTGCAAAATTTTAACGTGTTTTTAGATTGGGTTATGGTCGAGAATAAGCTTTATGTGGCCTCTCTGGACTCCCATATATTTGCACTAAGTTTAGTCGGGCACCATTTGCAGTCATTAGCCGACATTTGAAGCAAAAAAATCAGGTTAAAAAAAAAAAAGCCGCATCGCCGCACCACCTTTTTGAGCAAGCTCCATACCAGAAACCGGAGACTTTTTGGGGGGCCTAAACTAAGGTTCTTTTAAGTATGTACTGTACTGTTTTCACCTCAACTCCGGGCCAACAAATATCAACAACAATTGAGGTTATATTACTGTGTCTGTCACCCTATGCAGTGTCCTTTTTGACATTAAAACAATCCTGGCTGATGGTACAATAATAACAATTAAAGTGGTATTACTACATACATCACCCTTTTGTGTCCTCACTTTCGACCTTGACATAACAATCCTAGCCAAACCCACATTAATAACCGTTAAAGCGCTATGACCATGTGTGTCACCTTTTGTGTTGCCCCTTTTGACATCAACTGCTAAAATCCTCATCAGTGCAAGGACATTTTCTGAATTACAATGGATATCACACATGGCATGTTAATATCCGACGGCCTTTTTGACGGCCTTACTGACGGCATGATGAGAATAATGAGGGTCATTCTTAATCTGGACGTGGGAGGGTATATTCTATCCGTGTTTGCATTCCAGAGCAGTTCAGTGTTCAAATATTTTTGTAATATAGATGTCGGTTATGAATGTTTATTTTTTGATTTGATGTATTTTGCAGTCTCTTCTTATTTGGTATTGCATCCGAAAAGGAATCACATTCAATAACAAAATCTTTCCGGTGTATGTTATGTAGTGAAATTATATTTTTATTTCTTTATGTACTGCCAGAGGCATTTTTTTAGGGGAAAATTTTGGGGGAGAATTTTGTGAATGAAACACTGGAATCTCTGTTAAAATTGCTTTTATTATGCAAGTGCATTAAAGTTTAATTATAAAAAATAATGCAATTATGAATACTGGGGTAAATTGAGCAACTTTTATGCAGGTTTTTTGTTTAATACAAGTAATGGTTGTTTCTTTTGAAAATATTCTTTGGTTTTTTGCACATCTTTAAGGCACTGCTTTCCCACACTGCTATTCCAAGTGCTCGCAAGAACAGTCTTTAGAATTATATTTGTAGTCTCAGATACTCGTGGAAAATATTTCGCCTTCAGTCAGTTGACCTTGAAGCACCCTTTAGCAACTTGGAAAATGTTCTGTTTTTAATGAAGTATTATTAGTAATACAGGAAATACAACTTAAGACAGTCAGGATACAAGACACTGATAAGCAGTCTAGACTTGTTTTCTTAAAAGCTAGTCACATCCTTTCCATTTTTGACATGTCACTGTGGTCAGTATTTGATACAGCATTAGCATTGTTCACATGGCGTTGTAAAAAAATTCTACCAATCACTACGTCATTTTCCCCTCCCCCTTGTATTTGAGTGACAAGATTGTCTCACACTTTTCATTTTAACCAATAACCGGTTATCAATATCAGTTTACCAATAACATAACCATTATGGCCACGGAGGTGAAAATATTGACCACTGTGGTGTGATACCGTGGCCATACTACCTGATATTATGGCTATTGTCATGGCCGAAAGTAATGACTATAGTCACAGTAATTAATTGGTACAGTGGAAATATATAATGTCCACAGAAATATAACTTGTGGCCACAGTAATATTCATGGTGGCCACAGTAGTATTCATAGTGGCCACAGGAGTATTTATACGACCACACCGATACATTTTTTGCGGAACGTTTTGTACAAATATTATTAAAATCAGTTAGCCTTAATTTGCTCAATTGGTTTATTGATCATTTACGTTTTGTAATCTTTGTTTTTATAATGTATAATTAAATTTTCATGTGTAGTTTTTTTTCAAGGGGTATTTTTCTTTTTAAGTTGGATGTGGAAAATTTGAAGTTCATGTTTCGTTTCTTCCGCACAATGTATGCTAAAACCCCATTTCAAGACTAAAAAGCTTCAGAACAATGCATAGTGCATCATTGATTATTCTGTATCAAATTCACAGACTTGTACATATCCGACAATAATTTGTAAATAATTGTTTATTTTCTAATGTCTGGGTTAAAAAAATAATAATATTGTCTCTGGTCATTTATAAAAGTCGTTTTTTTTATAAGTAAGAGGCTAGATATGCTTAAATCATTTATTCCAATATTTTTATCAGACGTTAAAAGTATTTTCAGATTGAATTTGTAATTGTACAATTTTATATCTTTGTTGTAAATACATTACTTTTTACTTATCAAATGGCTTCAAGTTTCATTGACAAAAGTTCGATCACAGAACACACGTTTCTTGTGTTATGTCTGTTTCTGTACTTTTAATATCCATTTTTCTTTCCATTTTGAAATAATTCCTGGATACAACATACAAGATGTTAAGTCTTAACCCCTTAAGCACGGGTTATAATGGGGACATTCCTCCACACATAGAGCAAGTGGCCCGCATGACTGCACAGCCTTTGTGTGGTAGCGGGACTGCACAAAAGCAGCAGCTGTGGAACTACCCACTAGCCGTGTGCCACGGCATACCACAGCTGGCAACTGCATTCCAATGAGGATTAGCGGCCGCGGCCATGACCGCTTCCCGTGCGCATGGGGTCAAGAGACAACATTATATGGAAAGTCTTATATAAAGCTGCCTTATTACTTTGAATCGGTATTTAAAAAATGGTTTAATATTCTCTCATCTTGTTAATCATAATAGTTATGTAAATTTGAAGGACTGTTTATATAGAATCGTGGAAATAAAAGTAATGGTCGGGACGGATATTTTGGAAGCAGTGTGCCTGTTTTGTGAAAAAAATAACCGCTATTATCAGTTTTGTAACACTGCAACCCTCGGGGTTTTTTCGATACGGATTACTGGCGGAAAATTGTCGATTGTCAAGCTGTATATTCCCGCCATTTTCAATTGAGGCATGATGCGTATCATAATTTGACATTTTTGGAAATAATTTAGGTCCTTTTTTTGGGGGGGGGGGCAGTTTCGACCAGTCGGGGACCCAGTTGTTAAAAGGCGTATACTTAGAGGATCAATTGTTTTTTCATGCATTTTGTACGTTTCCAATAAAACAACCACTCAAAATCAAACGAAAACTGTTCGAAGCTAAACCGTTGAACTTTCAGCTCGATGGATATTACTCTTTTTGAAAAAACAGTGAAAATCATGCACAACCTTTTGAATTTGATCACGATTCACGCTTTCATCAATAGCACTCTTTATTTCCAAAAATCAGTTAATTTTTGACTGATGGTTGGAAATCACCTACATTTCTTGATTTCTTCTAAATGACAGCAAGCCAGATGGAATATTTGCACAGGTGTTTAGTACCAGTACTATCTTTAATCCAAGTCAGCTTTTTGATAATAATTCGGTAGGGTACTTTTATTGGAATAAATGCAAGTGATCCTCTATGCCTTTAAAAATAGCCAAGTCATCGGCTGTAAGTCCCCCTTGCCGGAAATGGAATTGGGCCAAGTTCGAGGATAAATAATTATATGCCATTCGGTACGGGTTGATGACGTATCTGTCATTGACACTGTACTAGTCCTGTCAAAACAAGATCGTAACCATTATTGCGCGACGTACCGGTCTGTGACGTGATGCAATATTATACTTATAGACCATATTATATTTGTTTACTGTTTCGGGATGATTGTATCTCAAGTTACAATGGATTACAAGTACAACTGAAAGGTTACAATAAGTAAGAAAGTAGGGCCTACAGAAGGGAACGTGAATTATTTAGAGAAGGTTAAACAAGTACTACTACACCAGGGGCCTCATCTTCTCGATGGGAGGGTTTATTAATGATAAATTCAAACAATGCAATGTTCTTTTTGTCCTAACAATGGGGAGGGGGGGGGGGTGTTAAAGGGTGAAGACCTCTGACGAAGGTTCATGCCTCCGCCAGTTACGGTTTTAAACGATACCAACATTCCATAATTCGGGTCTTACCGTTTTCCTTTATAATTTTTAATTCACCCATCCACACTATTTATTTTTAATCTGGAATTTTGTTAGGCCTTCGAGCAGGATATGCTGTTAGCGCGTTTCGGATATTGATAACGATAGAAGTGGTCATTCATTCAACGAGTTGACTTAATCAGCGCAAAGGACGTGGAGGCATCCGGATTGTCAACGGTCAGAGATTACGAAATTAACTTGGCGAGTTATAGTGAGTGATGCTATATACGTATACCCATTTACCAAACGTGTACTGCCGACAGGATACTACAGCTTGTCCAGCGTTTAAGTTTAAGTGATCAGGGCAAATTCGATCGTATTCCTCGTACAAGATTAGTCCAACTTAATGAGGCCTTCCTCACGGGAAACTTCCTCACGGGTGTAGTCTTTTCCTAAGGCGTGTACCATCTTCATTTCAACAGTCGCGGTAGAATCACGTGAACGGAGCTTATGATATATTGTCCAATTACATGATATACAGTATGGACGCGGAACGCGCAAAATCTGAGACAAACAAAACTTAACTTGGAAAACTTCATAGGCTTGTGTAAGAGGTGTGGCTATCTCGCAAACGGCGATAGGTCAATATAGCACCATTGCAAGCTATAGATAAAATTAGAGCAGCTTTTGCTCAGCGTCGAGACATTTTTGGTGTTTAAGGAGCGTGGCACCCCGAAAATGCCATTGATTTAACATATTAGCTGGTCCACAATATGCATCAAAGGACATCGCTAATGAAAAGATGAGTTACAACGGATCAATTGTGTTTTAAAATGTTGTTCAATCGAAAGTTCACAATGAAAACCAACTGGTTTTCTTTAATATTAATTTGGTTTTGTAAAACTGCTTAGTTACTCTTTGTAAACCTTTCCTTTTATAGGATGTTCTTGTGAGCAAGCTCACTTAAAAATGGTGTAGTAAAATTGTTGATTACTCATAAAAGATCAAGGCTTGGGTGGATCTGTCCGAACGACCCTGAATGAAACCCGGTGCGCAAGCAATGATCGAGCAACTTTCTTTAGAATTTTTTTGGCGACAATTTACAACAGGTAACACCTGTGACAGAGTACTCGGTAGGAATTGGGGGCCAAGTTCAAGTTTGTAGACTTGTTCCTAGTATGCGCTGATGATTGATCCAAACTGCATGTTGTGGGTGACTCTAGCTCTGTGCATGTGGTTGGTTGATCGAGTTTTCAAATTAAAAAAAATATCGTTCACCAAACTTTGGTGTCAATACTGTTTTAATTTAGTCGTGCTCTTTGTTTGAGATGAAACAATGATTCGTTGTCGATAGCTCGGATTAAGATGGTTCTGTTTTTGGCGTGGATGGTATCCCAAAGCGCACGGTTATTTCTTGTCACTGGTGCGGAAAGGAGCCCGGCGTCGCATTTTTGGGCGTCGCATTCATGATTTATGCAAGACCTTCACGCAAGACGGCCAGAGCATATTGTGCACTCGCACTTGTTTTTGTTTGAATCAACAAAAGTGCTCAAAAGTGCTCAGAAGGGGGCTTAACAACTAACCTGGTGAAGTTTTAGCTCAGTGAATGCTGAATATTCCGAGAAAACAATATTAGGATCTCGATTTCAATTCAAGAGTTGCCGAGTCATGTATTGAATTGCGCCCGAAATCAGCGTCCGGGACACATTGTCATTCGGCCGATTGCAGCTGCGCGATGAACCGACGAATTATAGCAACTGCAAGCGCGCGTGTGCGTCGCGTCAACACTTGCGCGCACCCATTCACGGCTTCGTCTAATTAAAAACGAACAACTAACGAACATTTCTTAAAATGTGTCTTTAGACGCATCTTTGGAAGTGACCTTCTGTTATTGTTTTCTTCCAAATGACAGCATGCCAGAAAGAATAATTTCACAGGGAGTTTAGTGCCATTACTATTTTTAAACTGAGTATGCACTAAAACAATAATTTTGTCAGTTATACTTTTTGGATAACTGCAAATAATCTAGTCTGCCTTTAACCTTTCTTATTCCTAATGAACTTATACCCAGCACGATATGTGACAGAGGGGTACCCCCAATCTCCCCGTATACCCTATACACACCGTACCCTAGACTATTGTTACCTAACTCGGCCCCGCCCCCTAGATATTTCAAAAGAATTCCTGCGATTCTGGTAACACAATGACCATGTACAACACAAAAAAGGGGAGGTTCCCTCTGTCACATATCGTGCTGCATAAAATTATGAATGAACTTGCCCGGGATTCAAATCAAATTTCCACCTGTTTTACACGGGCTTGATCAATGAACAAAGCTCACGTACTATATACGAATAATAACGCCACAAGCGCGCCCTACTGTACTGACGTCACCGATTCGAAAGAAGGTTATGTTGTGTACGCCCACCAAAATGCGTGAACGGTGAAACGCTTCCGATTATTGAGCACAGCGCGCTGTGATGTGTCGGTGACACAAGTGATTCACACTGACTGCACTGTCCACCGAGCTCTTCAGTCTTGACCCAACAGTCTAGTATAAAGTAGTAAACCGACGTGAATCGTGTGCCAGAGGAACACAAATACCTCTTCCTCAGGACTGCACAGTCATTTTCTTTTGCCGATCCGATCGCATCAGCGACATCGCACGCCTTTTTCAAAATGCCGCAAGTTGTGGATAAAATGAGCAAGGAGATTCGCACGGCGGCCTTCTGGCGTGCGTGCCTGGCGGAGTTCATCGGTACACTGTTCTTCGTTTTCCTGGGACTGGGTTCGACCGTCACTACGGCCGCCGACCTTGTACGGATCTCCCTTGCCTTTGGCTTGGCCATCGCGACAATGGTCCACTGTACGGCGCACATTAGCGGTGGTCACCTCAACCCGGCAGTAACGATCGGCTTTTGGGTCACTCATGCCATTACTCCCTTACGGGCCATCCTCTACATCGTCGCCCAGGTTCTTGGAGGAATTGCCGGGGCTGGCATCCTCTCTGGCTTAGCCGCGCCTGGTTGGAATGGAGGTCCCACGAAGCCTGGTCCAGGCGTGATGAACTACCAGGCCTTCATCCTTGAAATCTTCCTGACTTTCCAGTTGGTCTTTACCGTGTTTTCCACGGTGGATCCAGACCGTAAAGGCTTCACCGGCTCCGGTCCACTTGCCATCGGGCTTGCGGTAGCTCTAGGCCATTTCGCTGGGGTGAGTACAGCGTCATCCACATTGCTGAGTACTACTATACTAGCGTAGATGTAGATCTAATTTCTTGGAGCTGTTCAGCAGAAAAAGACTGCTTAGCATATTTTGTGTTGAGCAAAAATCAGCTGAGAACCAAAAACATGTACAAGCAATACACATCCCATGCAGTTTTGGCTCCTAAGTAATCGCTTTTTGCAAAGCAAATAATGTGCTAGCATGCAGCTCTGGAGCTTCGGCATGAAACGTACACCTCATGCACGTCTTATCCAAATATTAACTTTTAGTTTGCGCTCAAAAATCTCGACCCTAAAGAGGGATCAGTATTCTTCTAAACATTTATTATTCCTTTGTGGGCGGATCTATCTCTCAGGCAAACACTATAGTTATAATAATTTCCACCAATATAGGTGCTTAACTTAAGCGCTACATCATTATTACGCCTGCTCATTTGGGCCAATGAAACACTCCAAAGACAATCTCAGCTCCCTGGGGAGTATACAGCTCGATGCTGCCGTTTTGGTGCAAAGCAGCTAAAGCCAACCATCTCTACCCTCACAGGTACCCTTTTACTCCTGGGTGGGGACAGGCAATAAGTGACAGAGTACCCAAGGGCACACGCATCACAATCCCAGGCTGGACTCGAACCCACAACCTGCAGACTTTAATATTTGCAGATCACAAATTCAAGGCTTCAGACCACGAGGCCACGGCACTTCACTCCACTTGGTTGAAAACGCTTAATTTGTTTGTTTGTTTGTTTTCTTGGTTTGTCTGTCCGCGTGCTTGGTTGAAGTTTGGAAGATTCTCCTGAAAATACTCTGAGTTGTGATGCTGTTGTAGGAGGTAGTCAAAAATACGCACACAGAAATTCCTTCGACGTGTTTGTACATGTTGTACATTGGCTTATATACCTACAATCCTGGCCAAATCTCGCTGGCCCAATCTCAGCTTGAGAGAACAACATTGACCGGGGAGCAGGGGAGTGGGTGACCGTGGCAGGCTCAGGAAGTGTCCCAACCATTTTGGCCGGGATTGTAGCTCCCAAGCCATTGCTCTTGAAACTCAACGGTTCTGGAGTCTGGAGTGCTGAATGATAACGCTAGCAACTGATGAAAACTGCTGTGCAAATGAAAAGATGTTTGCATGGGGATAAAGTCAGCCATCCCCACATAATACGGGACGCCATTGTGTTTCTTAACAAAACATGAATTGGTTCAATGCCCGGACCTCTGTGTTTTACATAGTTGCAATTGTGCATAAATAATAAGTTATACATATTGCTAAAAAGTGGAGGTTTTCTAAGTCCTGCTTTACTTCAAACTGCTTTACTTCAGACACAGAACCCTTTTCACTGACTCGAATTGGTTTTCAGAATGTGCGTCAGAATTGTCCCACTTTTTATACATATTGCTAAAAAGTGGAGGTTTTCTAAGTCCTGCTTTACTTCAAACTGCTTTACTTCAGACACAGAACCCTTTTCACTGACTCGAATTGGTTTTCAGAATGTGCGTCAGAATTGTCGCACTTAACTTAAACTTAAACTTAAGTTCGTTCCAGTGAATGCTTTTTGATCAGTTCTAAACAGGCAAAACTTGCTTGGACATTCCACCCATATATTACTGCCTAACATTTATGTGCTAAAAATGACAATCGTCAATCGCTTACTGAGATTGAGAGCAGTATTTACTTTTGGTCACCGTCTATGAAAATCTCAAATTACTGAACCAGCTTATTTATAGAGGAATCGAAAAATACAAATGGCGCGTATTATCATTGTGATAACACGCGCCATTATTATATTCTCAAAAACAGTGGAAAATGTTCAGGGGTAGTGTTGTACCACGTAATATTTAGCCTTTGGGTCGTAAAGTTGTTCCAGCAGCTCAAGTTAGTCCCATATTTAGGGCTATTTAGGCTTATCATTTTACAAATATACTTCGATCGTTGACAAATAATACGGGGCCATTATGCATGAACCCACTTGACTTGTGATCGCTAAACAAGACAGGATTATCAGAAAAAAGTGGCAAACTTTGTTGAACAGACTGGAAATAGAATTGTAAGGTCCAACTTAGGATCGTTTGACACGCCGACATGCAGTACCGTATACAAACAAAATCTACTTTAGTTTGTTCACTTTTATTGGAAGATTTGTATGGCCAAACTGCAAATGCAAGACAGTCACAAAACATTATTTCGCTATACATGACAGATGTATATTCAAGACAAATTTCATTTCAAATTTGAAAAACACTTTATCAGTCCTCAGTTCGTGGTTCCATTCTGAGCATTAGACAAAATTTGTAAGAAACATTTCCTTTTCATATTAAAAAGTGAACAGATTGACAAAAACATCACTTTTTCCACAAGCAGGATTGACTGGGACCACACGACAATCTTAATACATGTATGGAAAATTCGCCCGAAACTCCATGGAATATCTTGTTCATGACACCGCATTCGAAACATAAATTTACTGTTTTTTTTGTCGACATTGGCATTTGTGGTTAAATGTACGCTATAATCCCCCACTCCGCACCTTGTTTCTTTTTGTCTGAAGATTTGTTTGCGTTCTCGGAACAGTTAAGCTACTTCTTTTGTTATTCACATTTTCCATTCTTGTCGATATGCCACTTTGAATTGAACTTAAAACCCCGGTGTGTTTTTATTCAGATGTGGGAGTATGTTGTGTGCATTGGACAGTTACGCACGACTTATTTTGTTAATCATGTTTTCTATTCTTCTCGATATGCCTCTTTGAACTTCAAACCTGTTTTTCTTTTTTTTGTTTTGCCCCAGCTAGCTGTGGTGCTTGTGTGATTTGAAGTGTAAACGACAGCGTTTGTACTTTACACCAGATTAATCATGCAGTAGCACTGGCTAGCATGGAAGGGACAGCGCTTTGCATTTTGCTCTCGATCTGGCGAATTTAACTCAATTTCCTTGACAAATAGGCGAATGAAATCATTAAAATTCCCAAGGAAAGGTGCGCCTATACCACAGTAATTGTCCAGGCTACTTTTATCAATAAGAAACTGTATTTTCTGAGTGCGTTAGTTATTTAACACGGTTTCACTGGCCTATGAACTTCTTCCTGTGCAAAAAATAAAATACAATTTGGAACTTCAGTGCCCTTGGCGTGCAAAAAAAAAGGTGGGTTTCAAACATATATGGCCTAGCCTCTCGCGCGGAAAAAAAGAGGTTCGGTGCGATAGTAATGTGTGACTTGATTGAACCTTTTAAGCCATGTGCCCATCTGGGTCACGCATTTTTGCTATACGTATACCTCGATAACTTGAATGTTCAGTACATTTTAATCCGTAAAATTGTGATTGGTCCGCTAACACTATATCGGGTTCTTGATTTTAGGCCCTTTTGGTCGAAGGAGGGCGCGCGTACCACCTTCGCTTCGCACGAGAAAGACTACTGATCTCTCCATGTTAAAACAAAAAAATCTGCTTAGCTTTGGGTACTAGTTCTAGCCATTCCAAACTTATGTGACAAAAGGTGAGGCTAGCGCCACTGGTTCCCGATCCCTCCACTCGAATGAGGGAGGGAACTGGGAACCATAACTAACATATAGACGTCAAGAAGTATACGAAACTCTTTTTTGTAAAACATCAGTTATACACAAAATATATTTTGTTGCCATTTTAAAAGATTTTTAAAACAAAAACTAATAATTGAGTGAGTGAAAAGTGTAATATCTTTCTTCAGGAATCTATATGTTTCTCGAGTGGTAATATGGCGGACGGTGACTTCTGTAACAGTCATTGGGCTATCCAGTTTTTTTTACATGGAGATCAATGAGAATAGCATCTATGAAAATAACGACCTTGTGTGTTATGTGTTTGTGTTTAGATCGAGCTCAGCGGTGCTAGTATGAACCCTGCCAGATCCATTGCGTCGGGGTTCGTGTCCGGAGACTGGACCGCACACTGGGTAAGAATGAAGTGCATCTGTTCAAAGATCAATAGCAGTTTGTTTCGGAAATGTCTTCAATTAATTAAGAGCTGCAAATGCGGTTAATAATAATAAGAAATACCCATAACGAGTCGTGTGTCTAATAAAAGTGCTTATTTTTTTTCGGTCGTGGCCGCTCTGTCATGTATAATTTCCATCCACCATTGATGTGGAGGACAGCTCAACCATTCCAAATTGGCTGTTCTTATCCTGCTGCTTTATTCTTTCTTAAGCGAATTCTGCAACGAAAATGGAGTGAGAAGCCAATGCTCTGCCCAATTAATTATGAAGAGATCTCTGGCAATGTCTTTACTGACGCATGAGAAAGAAATTGAGGAGTTTCATTTGTGATACGGGTTTTGTTGGTAATTGTGCGTTCGTCTCTGTCTTGAAGATCATGTAAAAGGAAAAAATAAAAGAATGACATATACTCTCAACAGTGACCTGTGCAAATGTTAAAAGGACAAAACAGCGCGCCCGAATTATAAGCCTACGAAAAATGTTACCATAATCATAAATGCCTAGTTTAGATTGTTTGGACAGTTGAAACTTGAAAGAGACGTATAACAGGACCACTGGCAAACGTCTACGACTTAAGTGAATTCTTATCATCAATACATTAACCCTATAATGTCCTAGCCGTTGCTTTGGGATAAAGAACTGAGTACTACAGAATACTGTGAGTGTTGTGCACACTTATATGCTGAAGTATTTGATACTACAGTTTACTAGTAGTAGTATTTTGTAGCTTTATGTTATAGCTTAGCTTCCATTACGTATTAACAATGCAAATGGACCTTAATTAACGAGGTAGCCATTTTTGTCGTGTTCCCTGAATGTATGTCACAAATTGTTAACTGTTGAGTGGGATGGCGCCAGACTATTTATGCAGCCTTATATTACTTTCGTGGTTTTTTTTAAATCTGGCTTGAAACATTAGGGACTGTTTAATTACAAATTTTAAATTATTCATTTTAAAGCAGACTTGAATTATTTGGTAATGCGCTTGCTTTCACTTCTCTTCGCAAGTTCCAAAAATGAAGATTTTACCCCACTTTCAATTCAAAATGGCCGACTCGTGAGTAAGGCCCATTGTTCTTGTTTAAAAGTTGTGAATGCAGCCATGTTTTCTTTTTCCAATATGGCGGATATGTGCCTCGGAATATTTCGCCCCGTGGAAGTCACGGATTGACCGAAAGTCACTCAAGGTAAAGGGCTAGAGACTAAGGAGTATACCGCAAAGAAAGGACAGAACTTCGCCCAGCAGAAAAGATTCCTTTTAATTTCCTTTCTTTTTGTGTGGCTTTCTTTTAGGTCTACTGGGTCGGGCCGCTTCTGGGTGGGATCTTGGCCGCTGGAATTTACGACATCATCCTCGCTCCCACGGCCAACGCCAGTCGCCTGCGGAAATGTGTCACGTGTAAGTACGACGCCAGCGAAGAAGAAGAACCAAGGGGAGATATCGACTTGAGCATCGTGAACCACGCTCACGTGGCAGACGAACCCAAACTCTAGGACACCGGGGCTATATGTATAGCAGTGATCTTGAGTTCATGAAAGATCACGTATTGTTAAAAAAAAAATGGTTTGGTTTTTTTTAGGGGGGGGGGGTGCAACAGTTCTGTTTGAGGCGTTACAGATTTATGCTAGCCATGATCTCGTAATTTGGATTTCTTCCTATTGACGAATTATTAATGAAAACTTTATTTTGAAAGTTAGCCACGTTTACTCCATTTCGACTTTTTCTTTTATGCGTCATTGACACAGATTTGACCTTTTCTATGTACTTGGGGAACCGTCAGTGAGTTGAAGGTGAATTATAATTATGTAAATTTTATTCTGACGCTTCTGCAACAGTCACTATAGATGTGATTGGCCGGCCGGCTGTCGCGCATTATAGCGACTCACGGTGAACATGCGCATCAAGCCATATGCATAATTAGCAATGTCTTCAACCGAAACTTTATACTGAAAAGAAAACCTTAAGCATTGCGAAAAGAAGTTAAATGTTTGATTTTGCGATATCGCTCATACTAGTTAGTCCACGACCAAATTTAACGAATCTCTCTCCAAGTTGTGAAAACATTTCAGGCATTACTTAAATTGTATATATTAAATGAATTGTTACATAATTATCGAATTAACAGACCCTATTTTATACAAGTCGATAATCGACATGCAATGTTCATCTGTATGTATTAAATGAGGTACGGAAAATGCAATCGCCATATTGCAGCCCATTCCAGTTCATCTGATGACGCTTTAGCATCGTTTTGTACCTAAATTGCCCAATGAACTAATTTTTGACAGACATTAAATTTGGTTTTATAGTGAAGAGCACATGTTTAGACGGATAGAGGGTGGGTTGGGAACAATATTATCCAGACAAAATAAGACTTCCTTTTCCCATTTAGGGACCTTAACACGTAAACTAACTTTGTATGTGATTGTTGTATTACTGCGAAGGAACTCAGTGTTGCAATTACCTCAAACCAAACCAAATCGTTCATATATTTGAATTCTCACACGAATGTTAGTTCTCAAGCTTGGGGCATAAAGACAATAGGGCCTAATTACCAAATCCTCATACGACATCGATGTGTGTATATATCCATGTATCCTGGGTGATTGAATATGGAATTAATTTATCAGTTAAAGCATGGAAGCGTGTTTTGATGTATAGGCTTGCTAACGAAGTTAGAAGATTTTTGTAATTGAACAAGACCGTCATGCTTTGGGGAAAAAGTACAAGTTACACTAAGTGAATTTTGAGCTATGCAAACTGACATCGGGTTGAAGAAGGATTGGTTTTCATGACTTTTCCTTGTTTTGTTTTCTTAAAAAAATAAATTTTGTTGTTCATTGTTTAAGCCTATGTGAAACGAAAAGCCAGTTTTTGTATACTCTGTAAGAATATTTATGTATATTGTATAACTGTTACAGGTGTTTATTTTTTGTTTAAGCTGCTTCGCTTTGGAACTATAACATTGGAAGTAAAACCAGCAGAAATGGTTGCATATGATGACGTCTTGCTATGTGGAGGATTGAAGTTGGTATGAAATAATCTCCAAGTGGATTGAATAAATTTTGTACAATTAAAATTGAATGTATGTTTTCTTGATCTAAAGCTGTAAACAAAGAGCATTAAATTCGGTTAAAAATTTACAGGGGTTGTACAGGGGGTTAACGTTAGATTTTCAATAAATTTGGACGGAACAATGATTATATTGTGAAAGTCTAAAATGTGTAATACAGTTTGGTAAAGGGGGTTTAAAAAGGGGATAGCCTAAATCCAATAACAAATGGACCAATTTTCTATTAAAAAAAAATCAAAATTGTAACGGGGTTACCCTTGCATTACTATTAAAATTGGTCAAGATTCGATTTTTATTTTAAAAAAAAATCGAAATTGTAAGACGTAACACCTAGCATTTTGCTTAAATTTGAGCAAAAAGTTCATTTTTCTTTAAATATTTATATTGTAAGGGGTTTACATTGGATTTTTGAAATTTAATCGGGCAAAATTCGATTTTCTCGAAAATTCAAATTATAAGGGGTTACCCTAGCATTCTTATAAAAATTGGGCAAAATATGATCTATTTTTTCCCCGAAATTCAAATTTTGACCAATTCAGTTTATAAGGGTTAACCTTGCATTCTTATAAAAATTGGACAAAATGTTTATTTTTCCAAAATTGAAAACTTCAAAATGGGTGGACTGTGCATTTTCAAAATGGATTATCATAATCCATTTTGAATATTTGAGGAAATCACTTATCTATGAAATTCCACCCCCCATGAAAAGTGTTAAACTTAGATTCAATTAACCTGAGTCAGTTCTTAACATGCCTATTTTTTGACACGTACAAAATAATACTAAAATTAAAGAAATTGTCAAAATTAATGTAAACAGGAAAAGTATTCCTTCTCAATGAAATATTTTTAATACAATTCTCAGTTAATTGATACAAAAATATATTGCCAAGAGAAATACAGTTCAGTTTGTGTTACTGATAAAAAAAGATTGATTTATCTGAGGAACACTAACACCATATTATTTTACATCAATTTGGTGTCAAGATTAGGGTCTCTAGTACTTACACAATTCTGTTGATATTTTAAATAACCATGAAAATCGGTTTGTATTCATGTATCCACACTAGAGGGCGTAATACATGCTCCACTTTATACTCAATATAAATTCACAAATTTTAATCATTTCATGACATGATAATAAGCAAGTTCAATGATTTTATCACATCGCGTGCTTGGATACTGTAATTCTATTGGTCGAAAATGGCCACGTGTCCAGGCTGTAAAAACGCACACAATGGTTAACCTCATATACAAAATGCGTTGCACGGGTGCGTGTAGAACCTGAATCAAACTTCCTCAGTGCTGCAATAGACCATTATCATGTTGCGGCCATCTTGATTTTTTTCCCATTCAAATCAACGTAACCAAAGCGAGGCTGGAAGGAAAAATAGTCTGGTTCCTTTCTGCACAAAAAACATTATCATTCAGTACTGTTATTGGATACAGGGAACATGACTGAAATGGTGGCAGCATGATAAAGGTGTATTATGGTAACCCTTAATGAAACATATCTCTAGCAGCCTCTTTTTCCCAAAAGTTATACAGATAAAACAATGAAAGTTAGAAAGGTAAAAACAATAGAAAGCAACAGAATGTTTAAGCACCTTCAGGAATGGTTTGGTCAATTTACAAAAAAGTCTGAAAATCACAAGAAAAGATCGTTCTATGCTGATAATGTTTTCTCTCAGATTCAAAAAGTCTGCTTCCAGACTAGAGTCTGAAAACTCTCATGCCTGCTCCACATGAGGGCTTGCATGATGTACATCTCTGGGAATAACAAATTAAAGTATTCCCAGAAATAATCGGGGCACAATTTCACGGCTCTGCCAAACACAGAAACCCGTGTTTACGATCACCATTTTGTGCTTACTGCGCTAGCAGAAATATTCTGTGCTAACCCTGTAAGCACAGAATCCTTAGTTACGGGATGTACGCATGCGCACAAGCCAAAATGCCTTGCTAACCCAGGAATTACGCTTACCGCAAGCACAGAATATTCTGCTACAGTAAGCGGGGATTTTTCGCTAACGGTAAGCAGAGCCAGTGAAATTGAGCCCAGGCACTTGTTAGGCTCATTACATCAGCTCCTTCAAACATTTACTCTTTAATATTTGCCCCGCCCTCACTTCGTACCAATCCCTCCACCAAATAAAAAATAAGCTGCTTAAAAAAAGCTCAAATTTTATCCATCATGATTTCCTATGATTTAAAACCCTACAAAATGTGTTACAAATTCACCACTACAGTAGATTGATTTTTTTAGGAAATGGATCTATGATACATAGTCATCAAAATCAATTGACCTATCGCCGTTTGCGAGTTAGCCACGCCCCTTAGACAACCCTATGGAATATTGTATGTTCACTTTTGTTTGTCTCAGATTTTGGGCGTCCGCGTCCAGTTGTATATCATGTAATTGGACAATATTTCACTGCGTTGACGCGATTCTACCGCGATAGGTTAATTATAACCAAGTGTTGGATTTTGAAAGAAACAGGAATCACAGATTCAACATGAATGGCGGACCAGGCAACTCGTTTTCCACCCTGTAAACGGGGCAATTCTTGAAAGTACACGGCATGTCCCTCCACAAATACCGAACAGCTGTGGCACGTCGGTGGTAGCAGTAGTATGATAAGCTGATGGACGATGGAGTCGGTTGACCGGTGATCTTAGCTGGTACCCATGTATCGTAGTATTTGCATGGAGGCGAGCCACCGCAGCAGATCTGGAGATGGAGTAAGGAACAGTTCTTTGTCAACTGATCAATCCATAAGTCCCATCTCATTATGCTCTGACTAATCACAGATGTTTATTAAAGGTGGGGTAAATAATTTGCCATTTGTGCACTTCTTTCGTTTGAGGCAACAAAAGTGCTCAAAATCTAAAGACGGGTGCTCAACAACTAACCTGATGAAGCTTTAGCTCAGTAAATGCTGTTTATTCCGAGAAAACAATGTTCTAGCATCTCGATTTCAATTCAAAAGTGGCAGATTCATGTTTTGAATTGCGCCCCAAATCAGCATCCGGGACACGTTCTCATTCAGCCAATCGCAGCCACGCGATGTCACCCACTGAACTGACGAACAATAGCAACCGTGCGCACATGGGTGTCATGTCAACGCTTGCGCCCACCGGTTCATGAATTTGCCGGATAACAAACCAACTACTGACGAAAATGTCCAAACATGCATCACTTCAAGTTGACGCATCTTTGGAAATTGCCTTCTTTTCTCTTCTGACAGCATGCTAGCAAGAATATTTTATTATAAAACAATAGTTTTGTCAGTTACTTTTTAGAAAGCTGCAAATGATCTACTCTACCTTTAATTAATGTCTGACATGCATGCACTCAGCTGTCACATGGCAGTAAAAAAAAAACAACATAGCAGTTAAACGGAAACCATTTTGCCCACATCTTCACGTTTTATCCAGGAACCCTGCTGAATCCTACAAAATCCACTGGTAACTACAAAAAGTCTTTCGTTCATGCTCCGGAGTCGCCCTACTTGTAGATTTAGCAACAATACTTTATAGTTGTTTTACTCTCTAGTTAAAGGTATACTGGGTCATTTGCATTTATACCAAAAGTAACCTACCAAATTAAAAGCTTACTTGGATTAAAGATCCTACTGGTGCTAATCACCCCCTTAAATTGTTCTGTCTGGCTTACTGTCATTTAGAAGAATCAAGAAGTGTAGGTGATTTCCAATGATCAGTCAATTGACTGATTTTTGGAAATACAGAGTGTTATGTACGAAATCATGTTTCGTGATCGAAAGGTTGCGCAGGGTTTTTCACTGTTTTCCCTAAAACTGTAATATCCACTGAGCTGAAACTTCAACAAGTTAGGTTTTCAACATTCTTCTTTGGATTTTGAGTGGTGTTACTATTGGAAACGAACAAAATGCATGAACAGCAAATGATACCTTTAAACTAAAGTGCATATACTTAAATTGCTTCAATAAATGTGATTGGTACTATTTGTAGCCAAAAAAATGACATCACGACCTCACCCTCATTCTTTCAAATACCCCAAAACTTCTTACCTCAAATCCCGTTTGTCCGACCAGTTTAATGTTAGCTTGTCCTTTGTCATACTCAATGTCCAACGCCAGGGTTGTTGTGTTGACTGTGAAAGATGTTGGGAACGGTCCAGCGTAGGGGATGTTTTGTCTGTAAGCTACGGCTCGGCCAGCTAGTGACAATCTCACTCCCATGTCCTCCTTGTCACGTGGATGGATCCTGTCAAAGATGAGCAAATTGCCACTAAGACTTAGATTTTTTTCAAGTTTTTTTAGACACCCTCCCGAATCCCACAGAATCCAACAACTGCAAATGTGTGATTGAAGCCAAACGCACCCATCAGACATCTGAAAGTGTTTTACTTAAGCGCTGTTCCCACCAGAATCCAATGACTGAAATGTGTCATTCAAGCCTGTGCAAGTGATGAAATGCAATGAAGAGTTCAAATGAAACCCCTGAAACCAACAGAAACCAACAGAATCCAACAGGATCCTACAGAATTCAACAGAGTTCAACGGAATCCTACAGAATTCAACAACATCCAATGGAATCCAACATAATCCAATGGAATCCTACAGAATCCAATGGAAACCAATGGAATCCAACAGAATTCAACAGAATTCAACAACTAGACAAGTGTTATTTGAGCCTGGTTGGAGAAAGATCAACAAAATCCAACATAGTTTCTTGTTAGATCTTATTGGATTTTCAGTCATATAGTTATTTCTTAGAGACTGTCCAAAACAAAATTTCCAGACCCCCCCCCAAACAAAAAAGACAGCTTATAGTTAGGAATAACTTACGGTCCATACGGTGACGTCAGATCAGGAAGATCGATACCAACTGCCATGAAGACGTTCTGCATGACGTCATTAGGAACATAGCCATAGTCGTAAGTCTGGTGCCATCTTAGCGTTGTGTATGGGCCAATGATCTCTGATGAGGGAACATTAGAGGTACATAACTGGAATAAAGAAAAAGAATGATACAAATGAATATCTTGTATGAAGGAATTTTGCACCAGGGAGATGTCAATTCAATATTGTTTTTTGCCCTTCACTGATGTACCTTCATAAGCACGGTATATGCCCATCAATTCCATTATACCAAACTGTGATTGGTTGCAGTGCCCGCTGCTATATCAGACTCCAACCAACCAGCCTTCAGCACAAGCTCGGTGGTCGAGTGGTAAGATGTCTGTACCATTCAGCAGGAGGTTGTGGGTTCAAGTCCAACACGAGTAAGCTTGTAACTAAACACCGCAAAAAAAGAAAGTCCACACTCATTTTTAGGGTCCTAATTTTGAATCTGATTGTCTTATGATGAAGTCATTTATAATTATATAGACCTTTGGGAAATTTTGCTAGCTACATTTTGATGCCCCATTTGCTACCAAAGACTGTAAATTATCCAACATTGACAACGGTTTATGAAAAAATGATGCAGTTGTAAAAGTTGCAAATTTAAAAGATTACGCGAGGAGAACACACATGCCCGTAATTGGCCCCTATCGTTTGCACAATGCCTGAACAAAGTGTGGGTCATTCGAATAGCCCGCATGCTCCCATGCATACAAGCACTGTGCGATCGATAGTCCCTGGCTTCCGTTTCGGGCAGTGTAACATTGTCACACCGCAATTTCCACTCGCGTAAACCTTTAAATTTGCAACATTTCCAACTGCATCATATTTCATAAACCATTGTCAATTTAGAACGATTTACAGTCTTTGGTAGCAAACGGGGTATCAACATGTAGCCAACAAAATTCCCCAAAGGTCTATATCATTGACGTCATCATAAGACGATCAGATTCAAAATTATGACCCCTCCAAAATGAGTGTGGACTTTCTTTTTTTTTTGCTGTTTTCACAATAAATGGGGGTAAAGCTATCCAGAAACAAACTGACCAGTTTCGAAAGTCTTGAAACTTGTTAAATGTTCCAATGTTCCACTGTACTTATTTGAAACAATCTGGGAACACCAACAGCCAATTTCACAAAGCTTCTAAGCTCAGAAATCTACTTTTCTCAGGAAATAGAGCCAACATGGCCGACATGGACCGATGACACTACCTGCATGAATCCAAATGGGAACTTGATGTCCGTGCTGTTCAGCGTTCCTTCGTACCATTTCTCCCGCCAGTCGGTAATCATGGCGTTGAACAGACATTTGTAGGGGTCTGGATCTACTGTGTTGGCTTCGCCTAGAATGAAGAAACAATGACAATTTACTACCCTGGCATTAGGGTTAGGAAATGACATCGTTTTGCAGTGTGATATTTTGATCATCCACTGTGAAAATTTGTGAGAAAACCTCGAGTTGTATGTTGGTCATTCTATAAAGTTGGGGTCCGCTTTCTTTCTGTCACTGTTACATCTGACCGGGGGCGGTTCTACGGGGGGGGGGGGGGGGGGGGGGGGGGGGGGGGCTAGGGGGGGCTGTAGCCCCCCCAAAATAAATTCCGTAAAAAAAAAATTGCATTAGCAAAAAGAAGGATTGTGATGTACATGCGAACGGTCTCCCCTAAAGAAATAGTCGTGACAAGGGTGCATTAGTTAATATAGTGTGAATGATTTTAGGATTTTATTGGCGCTCCCCATTGAAAATATGGCATGTGTCATATGGCATATGGCATGTATGGCATGTGTCTTGATGCTGGGCCTTGGCCTTAAGACTGCCTTAAGGCTGGACTTTAGGGCCTTGGCCTTGGCCTCGAGGCTTGAGGGCAAACGCCTTGGCCTTGAGGGTCAAAGCCTTGGCCTTGGCCTTGAGGGTAAAAGCCTTTGCTCCAGCACTGTATTCAAGTCAACTCCGTGATTCTTAATTTCTGATGCTCTATTCTTTGTCTTCAATTATGATATTAAATTTACCTTGATACCATATAGCTCCTTTGATGGTGAAATTTAACAGTGGGTGGATCATTGAATTCCACAACCCGCTGGCAACATGAGGACCTCTGATTGTGCCAGTGAGTCTATCGTCCGACTCTGGTAATGGCCTGGACAAACAAAAATCAAAAATCAAATAAATTAAACAAAAAGTAAGAATTCGAGATAAGATTATTTTTATGTCATTGTAGTGTGAAATCTGGACTCCATTAAAGGGAAAATATACATTTACAAACATCAAAAAACGAAATGATCAAATTATCACGAAATATCTCACTGGATTGTTAGGGAATGACAGCCTAAAGCATCCGTAAAAGTTGCGGCTTCTGGTGTGCTGACATTTTCAAGAAAAAAGTTATTTTTCCAACGCTGGTCGGCCGACCAGCGTTGGAGAAAACTGGCTTTTTTCATATTTCGCTCCTCCTAATTTTTCATATATAGTTCGTCTACGTTTTCTTTGCAATTGATTACACACCAGTGAAGACTACAAGCCTGCTAGACTGATTCTCATGATCTTACAATTCCCCAAAGTCTATAAATTGCTCCGGTTCATCTTAAGTGGCGTCAGGGAACCAGACTACAAGAACATGATTGGTTTTCTTGGTTTTTCCAGCATCTACGAACCCAAAACGCGAAACAAGTCAGTGTAACAATATTTGCTATAACATGCTGATCCTCCAAATCCATTTATTTCTGAAAATTGCAGAAAAAACAAATGTTGTACATTCCCTTTAAGTAAGGAATCAGACAGTGACAAGTCAGAGTTCGCAGCACTTTATGAAAACAAAATCCCCCCCCCCCCCCCGAGAAAATTCCATGAGAAATTCTTTTGACTTTAATGAGGTTGCCGGGAAGTCAAGAGGTGGTGTAGATCAGCCAATTTTTATCGTTGAGAGAGGTTTGTAATATTCACACTGCATAAACACAAAAAAACACACCCATACTGGAATTTGCATCCTTGTGGAGATATTTCTTTGCTCTCGTGTACTAAAGTTTTCATGTTTGAAAGTGTAGCTTAAATATGTTTTTATTTTAACCAGAATTAATTTCCTTGGCTGAAATTTGGACTTAATATCCCTTTTCTAAAACTCTACCATTTGCGACGGATCAACATACCTTGGAAATTCCTAGTTTTTGAGTAAAATCCATATATCTATTTCATGAAAACCTTGTGGAGACGTATTCATCTATAGCAATTGCCCTGTGGAGATGTATACAATCTTTTGCTCCCTATTGTGTGCATGTCTCCAGAGGGCACGGTGTATCAGACCACCATAGCCAGTCACTCAATGGACACGACTTGGACACACGGCAGAAGACGTTTAGGGACTAAGTTATATCATAAATATTTACCCTACATTAATATCTGGAGTCTGCGCTCTAAACTTGCAGCGGCTTCTTCTGGACTCCTGGTTGTTCGTCAAACTTCTCTTGGTTTGGTCGATGATAATTATTTACATATACTGGTGAAAACCTTTCCCTTCTGGGTCAATGCCAAATTTCCTAGTTTCCCTGGCTTGAAAAATGGAACTTCACTTTCAAGATTTTCCTGATTTCCAGAGTGGCTGGAAAACTGATAAACTGATTTTTTAAAGGATTCAAAATTTCTTACGACACCACACTAATTAGATCAGGACTTTTGGTCACAACTTTATGTGAAATGAACATTAACCAAAGCTGGACAGGGGTTATGGCCAGTTCCACAACGGTCTATTGTCAGACTGTAGAGCTGAATCCTTGAATTCTATGAACTTACCGATGCGTTGCGCTGCATTTCTTCAAGACATCAGGAGAAGACCAGTCCTCAATCGGTGTTCCTCCCCAATTGGTTGAGATCAGACCAATAGGATACTGCATACTGTCGTACAAGTCGCGACCGAAGAACCAACACAAGGCGGAAAAGTAGTTGAAAATCTGGGCCTTACTGCCCAAAGTTTCTGAAGTGGGGGAAAGAAGCCAAACACTAGGTAGTTGGGATCAGGTTGAAATGAAGAAAAAATACTGCAGTTATTGGGTGATTTTACATGTATATCAATAAATACATCAGCTCATTCAAATAAGCCTGTCTGTAAAATTGGTCTTGACATTTTGAAAGCAGCCATTTTCATTGGTTATGGTCTTGACCGCTAGAGGGCGCTGTCACAACGGGGATAGCGGTGAAGGCATTTAAAGGCATGTAGGATCGCTTTTCCTGCATTTTCTTTAGTTTTCAATAATAACACCACTCAAAATCCAAAGGAAAATGATTAAAGCCTAACCTGTTGAAGTTTCAGTTTAGTGTATTTACAATTTTCGAGAAAACAGTGAAAAAAATGCACAACCTTTCGATCAGTAAACATGATTTCGTCCATAGCCCTCTTCATTTCCAACGATGGGTCAATTGACTGATCGTTGGAAATATCCTACATTTCTTGATTTCTTCTAAATGACAGCAAGCCAGACGGAATTATTTCACGAGGTGTTTAACAATCTTTACTCCAAATAAGCTTTTTGGTAATATTTCCCTAGCTTACTTTTGGGATAAATGCAAATGATCCTGTTTAGCAACCGCTCTACAATAAAATAATTTCACAGAATATAAACTTTTGACAGACCATTTCAAGCTACATGTCTAATAAGGTGTGATTAAATCTGTGTCTTTTTGAAAGTTACTTCAACAGCGCCCTCTATCGGGTGTGCATGGATGTACTATACCTGGTGATGGTTTAGACCAAGGTTCATACAATCCATGCAGATCATCGTACGGTGTCTCTGACAGGACCTGCTTGACGGCTAGCAATCGGATGTTGGGATAGTTGACTGATTCATTCAACTCTTTGGATCCGTTAAAACTCTGAGACAACAAAAGAAAGCATCCATTCACCTCTCGACTTTTAAACATGAATGAAAGAAAACCTTGAAAAAAAATCACACACTCAGATATGGACTGAAACCCAATAGAATGATCCTTCTGGGAATTGAACCCGGAACATAAAAGAACCGCAGTTACCTGGTCAACGGCAAACGCCATGTTGCTCTGACCACTACAGACCCACACATCCCCAAACATGACATCTTCCAAGATGACCGAGTTGACCACTGTAAAGGCTTCACAGAAGACGACAATGTCGTAAGGTCCGCCGGCCAGCATGGGGTCTAGTTTGACCTTCCACACTCCAACTCGACTGGGCACCTCTGAAAGATTGCAAACAGATCAGAAACAGAGTTACTGGACAAAAAAATATTAAAATCATGAACATTTAAGGAGGATTCCAACTTTATTTCAAAAAATTCAAGATTCATAATTTGCACATTGCAAAATCTAAAGTATGCCACTGCGTCAGAAACGAATTTTGTCTCATAAAATAACTGTAGATATTAAAGATTTTGAGGTCTGCATGGTCAAGTCAGCAATACGAGTAAGTCTGAGACTGCATCAATGTGACAAGAAACCTGGTGGAAACTGAACTTTCGCAAAGTATGCTCTACCCATCGTTAGAAGTCCGCACGATAATACTACCACATCAGTGCGTCGATACAGCAAGATTATGCTGCACAGTGCATCTTCTAGCTTTACGGCGTAAACTGCAACTTTCGCGAGCGTCATAATCATGAAATATTTTTAGGCTTTTATTTTCCCATGTAGCCTGGTTTTCATTTTGAAAAACCTCCACATATGACATTCAAAACCTTTTTTTTTCATTGTCTGAGAAATTACTAAGTAATTTGTAAAGTTGGTCACGGGTAACCGATCACATAATCTGGAACCGGTTCCTATCATTCACAGTCACGTACTCGGGTACCCGGTTCTGATGCACAGCCCTACAAATTACAGATCCTACACAGAGTAAAGAGTCACCCTCAAAACTACTGTTTTCGTGATCAAATGATTACGAAACTCACCAGCTTCAACTGAAGTTTTGTACATCTTATCGCGAACTTTGACCTCAATGGTAGCCTTGATATCAGCATAGCCCCATATGACAGCACTGTGTGGTTGCTGCTGAAGAACCATATGACTGCTGTAGTAGGAGGCCAGCATGCAGGTTTCTGAAAAAAAAATGTTAAATCTGGAAATAAAAGTTTGCTGTACATGAAACATGGTTGAGAAAGTTTGGTTCAATCAATACTATTATGGATTAAAAAAATCACGGATTAAATGTTATAAATTGTTAACCACAACAAAGTTCGAGTCAAAACAGGAAGGTTAATTTTATTTGCATCAATTCTGAAGAATTCAGAATCTAAATATTTGGTTAGAGTAAAAAAAAATTGTTTGACACGAAACTGTTCGTCAATTTTATGTCTTAGAAGAAACACTGTATATTTTAGCAAAACATACATGGGCTATTTGAAACATTGATTTTCGTTAAAAAAAATAATAACTTCGCTAGTACCTGCATGTGCACCTCCAGGGAAAATGTAGATCAATGCTGCAAGTTGCCATAGCAATAAGACAATCCATGAACGCAGTGTCATCCTTGATAGTGTTGTAGCAAACTGCACTTGTTTACACAAAACAATTACGGGAAGAAAGTCACTCATCAAAGTTTAAACCAAAACACTTTTTTCTACATGTGAACTGTCTTCATTGTGATTATAATTACTAGTAAAAAGAATACACCAGGCCTGTTACTTATGTCAACTTACGGGCCCCTCTTTCATTTTAGTCCTTAGATACGAAAGAATGTAGTATCCAGACGCCACTTCTTTGGTTGCGTACAAACTCTATGGCGAGTCGAGTGCATTTCAAAGTATTTTTCAACAAAATCGGAAATGTGTCTCAGTCCCAGATTCATGTATTTTCAATCTTTTTGCAATGACTGACGTATGATGAAAAAAGTGGCGTCAGGATGCAACATTCTTTCCCTTAGATAGACCAGGAAACTTTTTCGAAATTTTGGCTCAAGCCAACTTCTTACTTGAAATTTTGGCTTGGATTGGTCGTACAAGCTAGTACGTCCAATCCAAGGCAAAATTTCAAAAAAAGGAGTTCTAGCACTCAATGGGCAAAAAAATAGAGTGTTTATCTTTTTATCATACCAAAATGACTTCTGCAATTAGGGGGCCTACTAAAATATTCTTTTAATAACCCTATATTTGTAATATTTTGGTAGTTGGTAGAAAATACAATTTTCTTTCATGTTTTAGCATAGCATCACAGTGATCAATTCTTTATTTTTTGTGTTGCGTTTTGTCATCTCCATCGTAGTTTTCCACAAAATTTCCCTTCAAAAAAATTAAAAACTTGGCGTCTATCCACAACATTCCTCTTGGTCAAGCTGGCTTTTAAATATCACTAACTATACTACATGTAGTTGGGTGAGCCAATACACTGAAACTAGTGGATGGATAGGAAGGGGGCCCGTATACACAATTGCATAGGCGTACGTATTAAACCGTATATGATGTATGCGTAATTCATAAAGATTCCCATATCTGGCCATCACTCATTTTTCCGGAAAGATTCCCATATATCTGGCCCTGTGCACAAACCCTATGGGACTGGTCTGGACATTTTTAAAGTATTTTCTCAGTAAAAAATCAAAATTTGTCCCTGCTAATTTTGACTTTTTAGGACATATTATCACTTTCTGATGGCTGATACTAGTGATAGGTCATTCAAGAGAAAAATTACTGATGGCCAGTTATGGGTATCTTTCCGTTCTTCCCTTAAGCGACCTATCAGCCATCAGAAACTGATAATATGTCAAAAAAGTCAAATTTAGCAGGGAAATCATCATGTTACTGACAGTCATTACTAAGAAAACACTTAGAAATATCAGACCAGTCTCATCATGATATAGGGTTTGTGCACAGGGACCAGGGTGACAAGTGATGGCCAGATACGGGTATCGGTAATCCTTACTTTTAGGACCCCTTTCCTATATAAGGTTAAAAGACTCACCAAAACAGCTGACTAAATGACACTCAAAAGTGACATTCTGATATTTCATGACACATTCGAACATTTGGCAATGACACCTCTTGAATATCAGCAGGTTTGATTTTGTAGAAAGAGGGCAAGGTTTTGATTTATGAGGGGTTAAAGACGACGATGACAAACAGAAAATAAATTTAAAAAGCAAGATGGCGAACTGCAAAAAAAGGTAGGAAAGTCACATTTTCTTTGAAAGTGCTTTCAAAATTATAACTAACATGAGTTTGTCTGACGAAAAAAAAGACTTCTTTAGCCTGCAAAAGTCACTTTGGTATTGGACAGTCATCTGCAAAAGTAAGTTTTGAACAGAACTCGTACAAAATAGAGGTGTCCTAAAAGTAAGGATTACCCGGGTATCGATATCTTTCCTGTCGTGTCGTAGCAAAACTTCCAGTTATCCGTTTTCCTCACCAAGCAGGTACTAGGAATAGGTAGGTACAAAGCCGTCCCCCAAACTTCGGTCGACTACCACTGCAACAGTCAAAAAATAGATAGCTCTCATTCTAGTTCTCAACACTTCCTATGCATGTGATCAAGCTATAAAAAGGACCGTACCGTCTGCTGCAAGAATGGGAAAGCGCCCTCTATCGCTAGCTGGCGTTTTCTCATGAGCGAGTTCGCTCGTACCCCCCCCCCCCCCCCCCCCCCCCCCCCCCCCCCCCCCCCCCTGCTGTTTACAGGGCGGGGGTACGAGCGAAATGAGCGAGCTGGCTAGCTCGCCAGATCAAAATTAATTTCCCTCAAATTACACAGACAGTGAATTTCTAGCAAAATCTGGATAATTTGTCTATTCTTGTTCATAAATCTGGAGTTTATCATCTCGTTAAAGAGTTACGAAAGAAAATCTGCACTGCATTGCCTATACATTAAGTTTCCGGTGGATTTGTGAGGGGAATTATATCATACCTTAACAACTTTTAAAAAAATGTTATTTTCAATTGGGCGTTTCTGCGATCTTTGTTGAGTGTGCCACATAAAAAAAAAACCTGTCCCCCCCCCCCCCGTCTGACTTTGTGGCATCAGATTTTTTTTTTTTTAAACTTCGGGACTTATTTCATGGAAACTAAATCGATTCGGTTGAAGATTTGGAATCGATTTAGGTACTATTGCCAATAATTAACTGGATGATTTGAAACTCGGTACACAGAAGTTCATCCACACTGGGCTTTTGTACGAGGCCAATAGTACTCCCAAGATTTCCTAAGTTAAATAATATCACGATTTGTTTGTATTTGCCCGTTTTTGTGGCCAGTACACATGTGGTTTGTATAGCCGGCGATGACATAAGAAGGGTTCCAGCCCAAAGATCGCCGTTGTACATCAGGCCTAGCTCTGGTGGAACCGAATTTTGCATATACATTTGTACACCTCGACTTAATGATTCAAGATAGTCAGGACTGACGAGCATGGCCCGACTAGACTACCGCCAAAATATCAGTCACAACTCAAATGTGTCAATGAACACGTGTTCGGAAACTCCGGAGAACTTCGGCCCGTTTTTTGGCCATACACGTGATATTGGCACCTACCCATAACCTAGGCTGCGTCCTCCATGGTCTGCCTCAATCTCATATTTGTTACAGACGGTCTAGCCCCATAAATGTGGCCTATTTACTGGACTGCCTCCGTAAACATAGGCCACACATCCACATGTACAAAAATCGTGTCGACTTTGCCAAATTTTGATTTTCACATTTAGGCTTAGTTTGTACGTTTTTTTTGCTTTAGAAGCATACTCACCCTCTTTATAGGCTAATCAGAAAGTGCTGCCTTTTTCAGATGTATATTTTTCGTGAAATTTCCAGATTCATTTTTACACGTTTGCGTATCAAAATTTCAACCTGAAATTTCACAAAAATTAGACATCTGAAAAAGGCAGCACTTTCTGACTAGCCTATAAAGAGGGTGAGTATGCTTCTAAAGCAAAAAAATCCTACAAACTAAGCCTAAATGTGAAAATCAAAATTTGGCAAAGTCGACACGATTTTTGTACATGTGGATGTGTGGCCTATGTTTACGGAGGCAGTCCAGTAAATAGGCCACATTTATGGGGCTACAGACGGTCCAGCTTCAGCAAATTTGAAAACATCGATCTAGGCTTAGTCCAAAATAGCCAAAGGTGACACCACTGATCCTCTTGGTTGACACGTGTTGTGCGCAAGGTTCCGTGTACAATAATGTTTACTTTTTTTATACTAGTGCAGTGCCCGTCCAAAATGTGAATGTCGGGAAACCGCGCAAATTGCTTTGCCGCTGGTATGGGTTGCATGCCTGTTGTGATTGTTACGGCAATAAGACATTGCGGAAAGAATGTTGCAACCTGACGCCACTTTTTTCTTCATATATTATCTCAATAAAGATCAGTCAGTGCAAATAGTCAGGTTGCATACGGTTGGAATCGTGACCGACTGGTCCAAAGCACTAAACTTGGCAGATAGATTCTTATGGCCCCAGAGAAGATATTTAGAAGGGGTGACACCTGAAATTCGTTTGGGAAGGGTGCCTAATTTGCATAAAGCGTTAATCCCTGCCGTGTAATATATTTATTCCCATATTTGGTTAGATGTTAATTTTTTTATTTTTTGAAAAGTATATTTTGGGGATTTTACTTACATATCCTTACTTAAATAACATTTTCTAAAGCATATCAGAGACTTGAAGATTTTGAGGACATAATAAAGATCCAAAATGGCTGCCATTATACCCTAATGTTGCGCGCATTTCCTTTTCTCTCTTATATCACCAAGTAGTCTTGCCAAACCTCAGTATTGATGAGCTTCAAATTCACAAAGATACTTACTGGCACAGTTACCCCAACAAAAATAAATGGGAAATCATGTGAAAATTATATCATCTTAATATTTAGCCCACAAAAGCAAAGAGAGGGGAAATGAGGTGTCCGTAAATAGGGCTAAACATTAGGCGAAGCCTGCCTAACGTGAGGGACTTGATCAAGTTCCCCGTTTTTGTTTTCTGGGCTAAATATCACAATTTTATCATTGTTCACATGAAGTTTTAATCGAGTTAATGTGCCAGTAAGCAACTTGGTGAATTTGAAGCTCATCAATACTAAGGTTTGGTAAGACAACTTGATGATATCTGGAGACAAGATAAATGCGCGCAACTTTATGGTACAATAGTAGCCATTTTGGATCGTTACTTTGTCCTCATAATTATTCAGTCAGTCTTATATGCTTTAGAAAATGTTAGTGAAGTAAGGATGTGTAAGTGGAATCACCCAAAAAAAAAATTCAAAAAAAAAAAATATATATATATACTCAAATATGGGAGTAAATAATACACGGAAGGGATTAATGATTTATACAAATTAGGAACCCTTCCCAAAAGAATTTCATGTGTCACCCCTTCTAAATATCTTCTCCAAGGCTATAACAATATATCTGCCAAGTTTGGTGCTTTGGACCAGTCGGTCACGATCTTGTCAAAAATTGGGCCTAAGCCACCTGACTAAAAGGAAATGTTGAAAAGACATGAATCTGGGACTGAGAAACATTTCCAATTTTGTTAGGAAATACTTAGAAAATTTTCTTGACACTCCACTTTCTACACAACCGCTGAAGTGGCGTCTGGATTCATTATTTCCGCCCTATAGTAATCTTGTCCAATATAATTTTGTGTGTGTGATGAAAATAATTGACATGACCAAAATTGTAGATTTTTGGAATAATTTGTATTATGCTGTCTTGAGCAAGCGTTTTTTATACTGACATCTACAATTTTTTCCCAAAGCCTTTTGCCTGAGGAAGTCGCTTCCTTAAGTCAAAGTACATTGTACTACATGTATAATGGTGGAAGGCACAACGAAAAGATTGTTCGCCACGCAAACATCTATCACAAAGGCATCAAGCACAATCGATTGGTGACCTATACTCGCCCAATTTATCTTTCTATAATACCTCCAACCCGTTCCGCACGGCCGAATTTCAGACCCCCCAGTATTAAAAGAACACCACTCCTGGCCGAAATAAGCCAAATGTCGACGGTCTTTTCTCTTTTGCACACAAAATTAATTCCGACAAATCCCTGAAATGAAAGGTAACGCTTGATTACTGTTGTCAAATACATGTATCTAAAGTCAGGTATCAGAATTATTTGGAAGAAATATAATGCATGTATACAACATAGTCATCAATAAAACCAACAAAACTACTTTTTGATTGGTACTCTGAAAGCGAGTTTCTTTTTATTAAAATCTATAGGCACTGAAAAAATTAATTAAACAAATTACAGGAATGACGACATATTTCTCCAAAGGCACTACATCTCGAAGAAAGTCAGTTTCGTGCATAGATTAAATCTGACCAACCATTAACTTAAGAATCCGCGAATATGGCGACTAGGTTGATTTACAAGCAAATAAGAAAAATAAGAGGAACGTTTAGGCCATACCAAAAATATATACTTAAAATAACTCCAACAATAGGAATCAACATGATTTAGTTACACATTTTCACTTTGATAATTATCAGCCGGTTTCATATGCCTGTACTAAAGGCCGCTATTAAATCTGCGAAATACGACTTTTTGAGTTTAAAAAAGAAATGAAGTTAGGTTCCCTGTCTCCAACAACGATTCTCACAGTTATCTCATTAAACGTACCAGCCTAACTGTCAGCCGTTTTGTTTGCCAACTTGACAAAAACCCTGCGTCAGTGCAGTAGGAAGAAAAAGCAAACCAGAAAATTCCCAAAGTTTTCGATTCGTGCACAAAATGTACAAAAGTACGATAGACAAAAGAGCTTTGCTAGTATACTAGTTCACAATAAACCGGTTTCAAAAAGAAGGCTGAAAATTGCGGTATTAATTTGAAAGCCAAAACGGGGTTTACTAATTTGTGGGTCTAACAAATAACTTCCACTTTCTAGCAATAACCTCTAAAAATGATTGAAATTGAATGCAGCACACCATGTCATGGTGGATCTATACATGTTTCAACTGATGAAGGAGACATCAGTATAGACCAAGATTACGAAAAAGAGACAAAAAGAATATTTCTTTAAGAAATCTCAAGGCTTCTGAAGGTGCAACTTGGGCACTGGAGAATTATTTCGATGTCATCATCTTCACGAACTCTGAAACAAGATAAACAAAAAACAAATCCAGTCATCACACACGCATTCTTTAAATGGTGTTTTTTTTTCTCAAGCTGAGAAGAATTTACTCTTGACTCAAAAATCTAATACATTTGGTTCGGGAAATCAAGATTCTTAAAACTGAGAATCTATCAAGTCATCTTCTCTTCGAGTCTTAAAATATTCCCACCTTCGTAGTTGACCTGTCCATCTCCATCAATGTCTGCCTCTCTGATCATCTCATCGACCTCCTCATCTGTCAACTTCTCACCGAGATTGGTCATCACGTGACGAAGCTCAGCAGCACTGAAAAAATGAAAATTATTTAAAAAAATGCAAAACTTTCTTTTTATAATTTACATGTAACATTTGACAAGATGCAAACAACTCCAAGTTATGCACACATAGAATAAATGGAATTATTTCATTAACAACAGTGACAATCTTATCAAATAATCAGAAAGGATATGCAAATGTTCATCGGATTATTTGATCACTGAGCTAATATGGATTAAATCAGTCTTAACCAACGCCTGTTTGTTCATCGATCGGATTAGAATTGTTTTACTATGATTGAAAATTACCACCGACAATCTTTGTGTGGCATCTACCAGTGTGGTTCAAACTTGTGTTAATCTCATGAGGTATGTACCTGATGAAACCGTTTCCGTCCTTGTCGAATACTCTGAAGGCTTCTCTGATCTCTTCCTCTGAATCTGTGTCTTTCATCTTCCGCGCCATCATCGTCAAGAACTCGGGGAAGTCAATTGTTCCATTTCCTTTTAAAGCAAGATAAAATTTTATTCAAACTTTCATGACCATCCACTTGAAAGTGCTGTAAATTTATTTGCCTGGGTAAATTTACTGATTTTTTTTTTTTTTTTTGCAGGCATTATTTTTGATAACAAATTTTATTGCCAGGGAAAATATTTATGATAAATATCTGAAAAAGTACATGTGTGTTCTAGTGTATTTCTTTCACATTTTCGACCACTGAATCTGAAACATTCTGTCTTTTTTAATTTTTACAATTTTTTTTTTACCATCAGCATCGACCTCGTTGATCATATCCTGCAGCTCAGCCTCAGTTGGGTTCTGACCCAGTGACCTCATGACTGTTCCCAACTCCTTGGTGGTGATGGTGCCGTCGCCATCCTTGTCAAACAGGGAGAACGCCTCCTTGAATTCTAGAATACAATTGAAAAATTAACTTCTTAAAAATGAACTTCTTCATTTTTTTGTACATTCAGCACAAAAAGCTGCCTGTATTTATGTACATTTTGTGTGAATACCAGTATCGTAATAACCATGCATGACTTTCAATATACCTGTAATTCAAACCGAGGAATTATCCACATTTTTTGGTCAATCTAGAAAAGTGGCCTTAGGGCCTATATAATTTATGTACATTCTGGGCCTTGATTCCAGTATAGCGATATGTATGATCCTAATTAGCAGGTAGATAGTATTAAGGTCTCAATGGCAGTAAATTATACTATCAGACTTATTTTATTAAAATAATCATTTTTTCCAAACCAAAATCCACACCAGTGGCTTAGATCTATGAAATAAAGAGAGGTTTGAGTTTGAAATTATACAAGGGTAAAATTATGAAATTTTGTTGAATTCCTTATGTTTTTTTAGGTTTAACTTTAAAGGTTAGAGAACAGTCTCATTCACTACATGTATATGCAAATACAATTTTAATGATGGGCTAAAGAAAAAAAAAGAAACTTGGAATAAAATCTTACCAGCAATTTGCTCTTCAGTCAGTTGGTCAGCCTGAGAAGTTCAAACAAAATGAAACATTCAATTCAATGCAATATAACATTTATTATAATCATGGAGGAATAAGAACGTTCTTATTCCTCCATGTTATAATCCATGATCAGAAAATATTAGAGTCATTAAATGGTATTAAATCACCGCACATTGGTTTTTCCCTGATAGTTAACTCTAAGTACTTTTTTATTTTTTAGCACTTTAATTTATATTGGGGCGATGAATTTTGGACAGATTGATGACTTTTTGTTTTAGTATAATTATGTGCGAAAAAATAATAATAATTGGAGTTTAATACTGGAGGAAAGGATGGTTATGAAGAAATTTACAAATTCAAGGTAATTTATTCACAGTTTCAGCCATTGAATATGCTATAACTTTAAGGCCTATGCCTTCTACATTTTTCCCCATCACATAAAACTCCCTTTCCATGATCGATAATTGATGTTATAAAATATTATTCTCCACACCTATGTATAATTCTTACCATCTAATTCTACCTCCATGTTCTAACTAATCCAGGTACTGGTGAGTGGTGGTGTGTGCTCAGTAAAAAAAATGCTGGTATATTTTATGGAAAGACAAAGATTTACGGTAGCACCATCATCATGTGACACATCTCGGAAAGATTCCCATATCTGGCAATCACTTGACACCCTGTGCACTAAACGAACATTTCTAAGTGTTTTCTCAGTAAATAGTTCAATATTTTCCTGGCCAAATTAAACTTTTTAGGACATTTTTTTATCACTTTCTGGGGAATGCTGATACTATTACTAGGTCATTGAATGGAAAAAATAGTGATGGCCAGATATGGGAATCTTTCCCATGTCACCATTTTGAAGAATATATGCTCTGCCCGTCGTCAGGAGACTCAATTTGAAAAGACTGTTGGCCACTCTTTTCATCATATATTATGTCAACGAAGGTACAAACATGTTGAAAAGACATGAATCTGGGACTGAGAGTGAGAAACATTTCCAATTTTGTTACTAAAATACTTTGAAAATTCACTTGAATCTCCAAAGACTTAGTACACAACCAACAAAAAGTGGCGCCTGGATATACTACATTCTTTCCCTCAATGTATTTATCATGATGTTTATGGGGATGTGTCTTGTATTTAATATAGCTCTATGCTTGTAATACCATGACTACATGTACATGTACCTAGTTGCCGCTCTCCGTACTATGTACTACTACATGTACTTCGTGTTGCTTTACACGCTGCATGCTATGCACGGAGCATGCGATAAATCGGCGTCGCAATATGATACACTTCATGGGGCGGTACGTGTTGCAGGTGCATTTTAAGAATTGACGGGGTTTGGCGCTAACCATGTACATGTATGCTTTTCTGAACCGGTTATTTTGCGAGTTTAAGAAGCCGACAATAATCACAAATTGTTATAATCTACCGAGTAAAACGTACCAAGCAAAGTTAGCAAACTTTAAATGAGAAATTGATAAAACTGCGATTCTTTGTACTTACCATTTCGAAACTGTGGAATGTGGTTGTAGTGGATAGTCAACAGGTTTCTGTGTGTGGTAACTTGATGCGCCGTGTATGCAGTGCCGGTAGTGAAGTATAAGTGCACTCCTTAAGAATTTCCCTCCTTAATAGCTTTGAATAAACACGCATAATGTGTGTGCACGGAAGCATGCAGAAAAGACGCACTGCGCATTTTCTGATTACATTTACAAGCCCGGTGCCCGCCTCGTAGAAGGCATAAAAATGCGGGACCTAAGCGAAGGTACCAGACCAAGTACTGAATATTCATAGATGGAATAATATAAGGAATTGTGCATGGTTGATTGATTTGTTGCTGGGATGGCGCCGATGATAAAGGAGCGGGGGGGGGGGGGGGGGGGGGGGGGGGGGGGGGGGGGGCGGGCACTAGACGCCCGTTGCAGACTGGCCATCAAAAGTCGCCCTGCATTGTACATGTATTCAGAAAAATACCGGGGGACGACCACTGAAGACCAAAGATATTCAAGTTGCATATCCGGTGCTCTTCAAAAGGGATATTTTTTTCACAACGAATTTTCAATTTTGGGCGTCTGCAATCTTCTTAAAAAGGGCTTTCATTTTGTTCCACAAAATACGCCCGTCCTGCGAGAGCCGAATTATTGTCCGGCAGGTAATAATTCGAATTTTGCAAACAGAATAATTCAAACGTCGGTGTTTTCTTTTTTGTATGATGCCTAACTCAAAAGTGAATAACTTTTATATTGCTATATGTAATTAGCAATTGAAAACAAATCCAATTTTCGAGTTGGAACTCGAAAAGAGGAATATTTTAAAGTGACGCGGGTGGAAATGAGTTCACCAGGAATAGGCAATTTACTCCTCAGGCTATAATATCAAATTATCATCCCGAATATTTTCCCCTTGTTTTAAGTGGGATAGGAAAGTGGTCCCATGCATCTACACTCTCCAGCTCAATCTGAATTTCAAATGACTACACTTGTACTAGTTAGTTCCGGCGCCATGGCAAAATTTAATGAATTTATAATTGAACAGCTCATTTCATTACAAACCCGGTTTCTAAGCGAAAAACGTGTGTTGGATTTATCACAAGTGATCAGTATTTCCAATGTCGGTTAACTTGTTCTGTGTGGGGGTTTTTTCGGTCAATTTTGCGAAAGTATTTGGCATTTGCCATTTGTTTCTAACAAATGAAATCAACTTATTAAAAATTTAAAAAAAGTGTAAACGGCCAAGTTGATATATTTTAATATTTTTTTTAGTAAAAGATTCTCATTTTTTCAACTAAAACTAGAGCGAGAGGGAAATGTGTGATACGAAAAACTGCAGCAATTTAGTCTTTGTAAAAGTCTTTGAAAAAGTATCGCTTGAATGATATATAGCGCTGCTGCCAGACGGTGCTGATGTTCGTCATGTGATACTCCATCGTGGTGACTAAGATAACAATTGATCAGGTTGATCAGGCTGATGGAGATAGAAAGCTCAACTACGGAGGATTCTATTTTTTTAATTTAAAAAAAACCACTGATTGATTCTTTTGCAATATTGGATTTTTGTTTGCATAGAGTCCCCGTACTTGCGTCTTTTCTGTCATTCTATGCAAGTAAATGATGAAGCTATTCGTTTATCAGTTAAATTCTAGACCTTAAAGCACTAAAAGGAAATTTACAAACAGTAGTTCCTTTAAATTGGATTGGCTTTTGAATATAGTTCCTATAGTATATAGACTGGGATGTCCTTTAGTTCCCAACAAAATGAAAATATATAAATTGTTAACGTTGACCCCATCGTCTCTTATGTAGCTCGTTCCGAATGTCTTCTTATGCATGGTAATCTGTTTTCGTGTCTGTGAAGATAATCACTTCTCAATTAATGAGGGCAATGCATCCTCAAAAAAATCACTGCTATAAGACAAGTCTAAATATTATTTATTTGTATTTTATTATACAGACGGATTTCGTTGAACTACTAAAATAAATTCCTGCGGCAATTTAAAATTAAAACAAAATACGGTTTGCCTCACTTTAATGAGATTTTTCTGATTGAAAATTTAAAATGAGTTGATAAAATTTCACGAATGCAAAAAAATAACGAGTAAAACTGAAAGGTTAATATTAGCTGCTTATAAGAATGCTGAAAAAAGGAAATACATTCCAAGGTTAACTTAATACTGTCTTTTGAATAGGCATGTCCTCTCCTGTTGTTATTTTTTTCTTTTTACCATCCCTGTTGGTTTTGCCAGAAACGACAACCATGTTTTATTAATGGCTCGCCAATCAGGTGCTCAGGTTATTTGGCTCAGGTTGTTTGTTTTTTTAGTGATTGTCAATCACAATAATTACATGCATGATCGGTATAAGGTATGCCCCCGGTCTCAGTTATTGCTTATTATTAGTGTTTCTTCAAGGTATGGGGTGCCCCTCTTTATAATCTTATTAAACGCTGCCGGCTGATGTAAAACTAAAAGTAAAGTCTTTCGCGAGATTATATAGCCCCAATCAGACTAGCGTTCATCTCCAGTTTCCTTGACGTGCAACGACAGAAAATTAATCTTCCTACTCCCCTGAGCTAATGCCGGTATCCATTTATACGCCTGGGTGGAGACAGGCAAGTGGGTGAAGTGGCTTGCCCAAGGACATCACATATGGCCAGCAGCTGGATTCGAACCCCTGACCCTCTGATCATGAACCCTAACCCTAACCACACCGGGCCACACTCCCTCACAAATTGCAAGTGAAGAGAACGTTAACTTAAACGAACTCTATAAAAAAAAAATGTTGGGTAAAACAAGTTGGGCATTGATTATTCTCCCAACATTGGTATGATGTATGCCTCGTTGTTGGTTAATTCCAAAATTGACCACATACTATTGGGAAGAATTTTTTGACCAACATTTTGCAAAACACCAACGCATTTGCCCAACTTTATTTTTAAATATAATTTGTTTTTGCAGTGAAAACATTGCATAAGATAGTTCCACGTCATTTCGTCTCAGCCTTCTACGGGATGGTTCTTGAAAAAGGGCAATTTACATGATAAAATAAACATCATCCTCACTCCAGTAAAAACATATTTCACACAATCATTTGTATTACAAAATTACAGAAAATGATATTCCAACTTGCATTACTTAAAAAAAAGCCTGAGGAAATATATGAAATACTTATGTAAACTTGTCAACTATTTCAAAGCTGCATTGATCGTCAAACTGATTTGACTTCTCGTGAGTATAAGAGGTAATGATATGCTTTAATGATAATTTGATGACGTCATGATACAATTGATGACGTCACAAGATGACGTCACGCTACAATTTCGCCATTGGTACATGTATCTATAGGTTGTGGGGTTTTGCATCGGTTGGAATATTCGGGATGGAATTGAAGGTTTGGTTGCTAAGGGTGGAATGGTTTGCATCACAGTATGATGGAGGACGTTATGGCTTGCCCGTGCTCTGCATCATACTAACAAATTCTGAAAAGAAAAGGAAAAAACAGGTGGACATTGAAAAGATAATATAGGCCTATGCATTGCAAGGGCGGATCCAGAACACAATTTTGGAGGGGGCCAAAAAAAATTTGGTCCCCCAAAAAGTGGGTCACAAAAATTACGGCGTGGGGTTCGGGGCCCGCTTAAGGGCCCCGAAAATTTTTTGGATTCTAGATGCTCTGTGGTGCGATCTGAGGCAATTTCTGACCACTTTAACCAATGTTTTTTGAGGAAAAGATGGTGGTGTACTCATTGCCTGCCTTTATTGCGATGTCACATAAAAAATTTAAAAAAATTGTTTCGTTTTTTTTTGGGGGGGGGGGGGCATGGCCCCCTTTGGCCCCCCCCCCTGGATCCGCCCTTGATGCATTGTGTGTGAATTTGTCAATCAGTCTGTATTGCGAGTAATTAAAAAAACACACAATTACCCACCTTCGTAGTTGACCTGTCCATCTCCATCAATGTCGGCCTCTCTGATCATCTCATCGACCTCCTCATCTGTCAACTTCTCACCAAGATTGGTCATCACGTGACGAAGCTCTGCAGCACTGAAAAAAAACATGGAAGAAGAGATTATGAACACCAGTTCAATTACCATTAAAGAGCGCGCGGCGCGCGAATGATTTGCAAACCCTATTGGTGGAAGGTGCGCGTGAGCTGGTATATCACCGTATACGGCTTCTATAATTTTTGCCGTTTGATAAAATCTAATACTGCCATTTCTTGCGAAAGTTTGTGATGAGTTACTCGTTTCAAGTCCACTGACGATTACAGATTTTACCCGAGATATAGTTAATGCCACATATCATAGAAAATGTTATGGGAAGTTTGTGGTCTTATCATACAGATCAAGGTCAGAGACAGTCACAAAAAATAATTTGTGGTCTAACTGAACTTACCTGATGAAACCGTTTCCGTCCTTGTCAAAGACTCTGAAGGCTTCCCTGATCTCTTCTTCTGAATCTGTGTCTTTCATTTTTCGCGCCATCATCGTCAAAAACTCGGGAAAATCAATGGTCCCATTGCCTGCATGCAGTGAGAAGAGATATTTGAAGATAGATGTATTAGGGGCCTTTACAGGAGGGTTTTCCAAACCTCGGATTCGTTCCGGTCCATTGCCAAATAACATGGATGTAGTAGCCGGTTACGGAGACCTGGCCTGGGTTTGAGAAACGGCCTGCTGTTTCGTTTTATGAATAGTGCAAGAGGAAAATGCAATTGGAAAGTTCCTGAATATAATACAGCTCTATGGCAGCCACGCTTAATTAATGGTTAGCAGTTTAGCATGGTTTTAAATTCTATCCAAAATAAAAACAGTTCTCTCCAAAATACAAACAGTTGTCTTCAAGTTATCAATTGCAAAATGATTTTTCTTACCATCAGCATCGACCTCGTTGATCATATCCTGCAGCTCAGCCTCAGTGGGGTTCTGACCCAGTGACCTCATGACTGTTCCCAGCTCCTTGGTGGTGATAGTGCCATCACCATCCTTGTCAAACAGCGAAAAAGCCTCCTTGAATTCTAGAGAACGAAATATTGAGAAATCCCTGAAAGTGTCGATTACTATAGTTACATTCATACTTGTCCTTGATTTCGACGAAGTAGTTTGTACTAACCACCTGTTTGAACATTTCGAATAGGCCTATTCTGTATGTTCACTCGTAGTATACGATAAAAATGTAAACAATGTAAAAAAATAAAATAACAGAGCTCATCGAAAGTGGTTGGTTAATAAAAATCGAAAAAATTATCTTGTCGAGATTATTGTTTGAAGGCATCCCATCCCATCCTTAAGATTGTGTTTCACTATCAGCTATAATGAGCAGTGTACTTCAACACGTGCGGCATGCATCAGATGATTTTCTCGAGTTATTTCGTGATCAAGGTCTGCATAATATCTTGTCCTACTTGCTCACCCTACCTGCAATTTGCTCTTCTGTGAGATGGTCAGCCTGTCGAAATAAAAGGGAGAAGGGATATAGTTGGCATTTTGGGAAATTTATGTGCCAGAATGACGCGAGATTTGGGAAATTACAGTCAAAATAAGACTAAGAGGGTAAAAGAAAAATCGAATGGTTACGGGAAGATTACAATTATTGGGAAGATCAAATGCAAACCGCCACTTATAAATGAATTGGAGGTTAGTTCGCGTGAATTCTTATTTCAATGCATTCTCTCTCTTTTCTCTTTTTGCAAGCTTTCCTCAATGGTGGTCCGCCCCTTGCCTCAATGTCAATCAGATACCTGTAGCGTACTTGTACCAAAGTCATTCGGCTTCAACTTCCCACAACTGAAAATTTCAAACCAAACTAAACTGACAATTTCCATAAATTACAAAGCCAATCAACGACAGGAAATTAAACTGAAAGCTGTACAAAAAGGAGCTTCGTAAAAAAAAACACAATTGTACATACCATATTTGTGTAATGAGTGATGATGAGCCGTTTGGCGTGAAAGACTAGGCTTATACACAATTCAAGTCGATACCGCCCAACCAAGTCCAGTCAATTTCAGGTTGTTGAAGAAAAATGCGCACTGCGCATTGATAGATCCGTCTGGTTCCCTTGTAACACCCCCTTGGATGTGTACACAAACCACCAGATAGGCTGGTACTATTTATTTATGAGCAGGTATCAAAGAGTATCAAAGATTAAGTAGATAATTCGTGGTCAACGCGATATCCTTGCGGTAATAAGACACGTTGTATAGTGATATAATAATAGGATGTGGACCTGATAACCTATTTAATTGCCGTGGGATGTTATTGCGAATGACACTTATAGTGCCGGGCAGATTGGTGATTGGATTGTGCCTCAAGTTGATGAGACAAGCATGATACAAGCATGACATTTGGCACATGGCCAGAGTATGTCATGAGAAAGATAGTTGGCTATAGGGCCATTGCAGATTTTTCCTTTGAAAAAAAATTTAGGTAGAATAAGTGGCAGCTATTTTGAAAATTTTAAAAATTGCTTGTTATTCTACCTTTTTTTTCTCAAAGGACAAATCTGCGATGGCCCTATAGCCAAATAGCATTCTCATGACATGTGTGCCAAATGACATGCTTGTATCATCAAAGGCACACTCCCCTAAATATTTTCCCCATCTGCACCATTAATAAATACAATCCACGGCTCTTAAACACACTGCCCGTAGCAGATAGCATAACACGAGGCATTTCTTGTGTCAAGAAGTAATTCGTGATTTCTTTTCAAACATTTTTTATTTTTTTTATTTTAGTATAAATTAAACAATTTTTCCTTCGGGAACTGAGGGCCGGGGGTTGGTTGAAGGCGACCTTCCGACAAAACGTTCGTGACATAAAAAATGTAATATTTTAATATTTTAAAAGTCGGATTTTATCAGGACAAGAGCGACGATAGTTTTTTTTTAATGAGCAATTAACGTTATCGCTAACAAGAATTACTATCCGTCATACATAAAGGACACCAACAATTAATCTGACCGTACCTATAACGTCGCAGTATCGAAATAAATGTTGTTCCCTCTGTGTACTTCTACAATAAAGCCGGGCTGATTAATCGCAGACGCTCTTTACTCCATTTTAACTTTTCTGTCCCTTCTCTGCTTTCCCATTGAATTTTAAGTTCGATTTTCACCGCTTTTTCACAATTAACATAACGCTGAAATCACAAATAACGAATTTATAGAAAATGGAAAACAATGCAAGTAGTTTATCCAGGACATCATTGATGCATTCATCAAAAAGTATATCTCTTGACAGATATATAATCTGATCATAATTTCGTCGATTGATTTGGATCGTTGACATTATATTTATTAATTAATAAAATACTCCATTTTTTAATGCACAGAATATATTTAAGCAACTAGATGGATAGTATCCCTTGTTTACACTTTTTGCCTCTAAGGAACCCGGTTCAATTCCCGCCAGTAATTTTACCCGAACTATATTACTGGGTTTTTTTCTGCCGCTTTTATAAAACTTCTTTCGTTCACTCAATTCCCGAGCTGAGATCTGAGGGAAATCATGACTGGCAAGGATGATGGGGGTCCCATACTTCAGTATCCCTCGGTCAACTAGGGACTGCAACCTGCACGCGGAGAACTTAGGCAGGATTCGAACCCAGCTCATTAGAACTGGAAGCGCAGATTGCAATGTAGTCGACCGTCGCTGAGACTGTAGCTGAGACCACTGCGTAGAGGACCCTTCAAACATTTCCAATAAATAAAATCCGGTAAAATCGTCAAAAATATTACTCTTCGTCCTACAACGAACAGAAAAATATGTAAAGCAACAAAAACGAATAATAATAATAATGCATCTCACAACCATTCATGATATTATTTTCAAATGCTAAGTTTTTGAATAATCGTACAGTCACAAGAAAACTATTCAGTTATTCCCGGTTTATAAGCAATGTGTCTGAAACGCGGAGACCATTTTGGTCTCCTTTCCAAATCGGTGCACATGACAAAATTGTCAAGATAATGACGCGAGTGCGAGTAGCAGCGTCAGCCCCATTTCATCCGTTTCCTGGGCAACGCCTGTCTGCATCCTACCCAGCCAGCCGAGACTCTTAATTATGTCCCGGACGGACCGTCGTGCAGTCATATATCCTTGGATACCGGATTCGTATCGTGTACACAACGGTGAATCCACGTGACATGCTCGTCGCCTTGACAACCGTCGCGGAAGGAAACCAACTCTCGTCATAGCTCGAGGATGTTTCCATATACACGAAGCCAACATCCAGGGTCCTTATATCCGCCATTATGCGAGCTGCGCTACCGGTATACCAGGCATTTGGAGAATAAAAGTCAGCATTTTATATTTCCAAACTTAAACCACCCTCAACTTCATGTTTTCTGTTTCAGTAAAAACAAATGCCAAAATCTTATAGTTTTTGGCTGTTTTCAGCCACTCAGACCCTGGTCTAATAACTGTTTTTTTTTCGGGTCAGGTTGTATAATTTATGGATTTTTACTGAAAAAGACACTATGCACATGTCTATGCATGAAGGAATGGTCCATGGTTAGTCGATTATATCTCACTGAATAGACACTTCCTCATGAATAATGCACATCAAGAGATAAAAAGTAATCTCTTCATTGGTTATTATCCCGCGTGATGAGAGATCGCGCGTCATGCATAATGCATAAAGTCCTTATGCCGCAACCCTATCCCAGAATCCTTTGTTGTAATTCGGCGGGAAAGAAGCTAATTGACAAAAAAGGTCAGCGCATCTCCCGTGCCCCGGGCGCGCTTGTGGACAGGTGAGACGACACACAATGCATCGTAACGAACTCAACGCACTGGGCCTGGGAATCGATAGTGCTTAGGTCTATTTTAATTTACGGGTACATAATAATTGGCTTACATTTAAACACAGGAATATTTTAAGTTGAGTCTATTGCTGTATAGGCCAATATGTGCTTAGTTTTTAGTTTATATCAATGAGGCTACTATAATGTGTTTTTATGGTTTCAAACATTGATCATTGTTGTAACCCTTTTTCTGTTGTTACTTTTTTTTCGGAGCACAAACTCGATACGCATATACCGCCTCGCAAGTCTGGAACAAAAATCGATGGAAGACGATTACAAAATGTTCAGTTTTAGAGGCGAAATGATACCCGTACTGTTTGGAATTATAGAAGCAGTACAGTGGGCTTGGGTGGGGATTCGAACCCGGGTAACACCGAGGTGGAAGACAAGAAAAGTACCACGACGGTGACTTGGCTTTGGCTCCAGATATTCATCATCAGCAGGTTTCAGAACTAATCTCGTGAATTCTCGTGGCCGACATGAGACTGCCTACGCCTGCCTACGCCTGCAGGGCGATTACTATATGGTGACATCATCTCCTTTTGGAAAATTAAGAATATTAAATGTGCAGCTGCATTCCTACAAACTCCACACTAATGCAAACCATTTTGAGTTATTAAAATAAGGATTGTAGACTTAATTATTTCAGATAATGATGCGACGGGATGCAGGAATCAGTGTTCATACATATTAACATAATTTATTACAAAACATTTCAAATATGATCGTAATACACAATTTACATTTATAATCATGTCTGCACCATATCAAATATTCCTAACCGTTAAAAAGATTACAATAATAGTTAATACAAATCAAACAAATGAAACTTTGCTTGTTCGTCTTGAAAAAAAATAAAAATAATGTAGATCAAATTCGTATAACTTTTGCAGCACACGTGTTAAAACATTCACGTGTTGCACCTTTCTTGTAAATTCTCATACGGGTGAACACACAAAAAAGTAAAAACATAAATATATCTAATATTATAAATATTTAACGTTTAATATATGCTTAAAAAATGTCCATCATTAAACTTAACATGTAGTTTTATATGTCCCCTTTTTTATCATTATCTTTTAATCACCATGTTCAATTTAAGGACTGTGATAGCGGAAAATTGGTTGTGGGTTCGAATCCTAACAAAACGAAAAGAAACAATGAACAATATAGATCGCTTGCACTGCGGCCATCTTTGAGGTGTGTGCTTTTGTTCAACAGGGGCACGCATGAGCAGACCTCGTGCGCATTCATTGACAGTGAATTAACATAACAAAACACACATCGAAGATGGCCGCTAAATGCAATCCATCTAATGAATTATGTACCAATCTAATGAGTGGTATAACACTGCATGTATCACATGGTTTATAACTCTTTGACAAAGGGCTCTATTTTTAAACCTAATACATTTCATAGACATTATTTTATTTAGATTTGTGTCCGATAAAATGATACCACATTCTGAAGGAAACACGTAAACCTTGGCAATATTACATGGATTCTTTGAGAAACGAAATGTTTAGTTGGAATGGCTGCGATTTATACCGGTAACGTAGACACAAGAAACTTGAAAAATATGTAAAAAACCTTATTCACATAAAAAGTAGGAATAAATAGACGATTCTTGAAAATAATATACAGACACGGGTGACCCACTAAATACACATGGTTACAATACACTGCAAAATACACTTTGGGCCGTACTAAAATCACTTAATTGTGATTTTTGTGTTTTTTTATTGGGCTCGTAAAACTTTGATCATTCCGGCATTTTCATGATGAACTCAACCCGTACATTGTGATACATAAATGGCATTGTCTCGATAATGCAAATTTTGAACCGAGGGGTGGGCATGTGGAGTTTTGTTGTCAATCTCACTTGTAAGGAAAGTTGTGTTTGACTGACATTCAAAATGGCTGCTTTGTATCACACACTCCGTGATTTGATTCAACCATCACATTTATTTCAAACTCTTTTGCAGCTGGAAATCGTTAATCTCTGTTGGTCAATGGGCGGCAAGTTTGTTTGAAACTCGTGTCAGTGTCGCATGAAAGGTCCCTCGCTATTGGCTGTGGTCTACCTTGACGTCATCATGGCCACGAATTCTGTAAAAAAAAAAAAAAAGGGGAATCAAAGCAAGTTAAAAAAGCTGGTCGAAAAAAATCTGTATGAGGGAGAAGAGAACATTTTGTTAAGTAAAGCATCTCAATGCTGTTGCAATTTTCACATTTTTCAATTTTTTTAAATTTTAATTTTAAGAATGACCCAAACCCTTCCAATAAACTCACCTTCATAATTGACCTGTCCGTCTCCATCAATGTCTGCCTCTCTGATCATCTCATCGACCTCCTCATCTGTCAACTTTTCACCGAGATTGGTCATCACGTGACGAAGCTCAGCAGCACTGAAAAAAAAAATATTTAAGTCGTCATAACCCTGACATGAATTCAGGGTCGTATACTGCATCAAGATACCGTATAAAGACTTGCAGCTGCATCAATCAAGTAATTGCCTCTTACCTGATAAAACCATTTCCATCTTTGTCAAATACTCTGAAAGCTTCTTTGATTTCTTCCTCGCTATCCGTTTCCTTCATCTTCCTCGCCATCATCGTCAAAAACTCGGGGAAATCAATCGTCCCGTTACCTAAAACAGAAACAATTAGCAAAGAAAATTAATAGTGTTGACCAAATAATTTGTAAAATGGCACTAACAGAGGATCAGCCGTTTTGTCTAGCTCCCTGACTATGTAATGTAAAGTGCTTGATTATAAAATGAAGAAGGGTTTTTCTTTAAAATCCAAAATATTTACTGGATCATAACAATGATCACAGAAAAACACAATCTGACCAAGGAGAACAAGTAGCAAAACCATTTGGAGAAAACAGAAATTAATTTGATATTTTTAGTGGTTTCGTAGTTTACGGAGTCCTAAGAGGTTTCTTACCATCAGCATCGACTTCATTGATCATATCCTGCAGCTCAGCCTCGGTGGGGTTCTGACCCAGTGACCTCATGACTGTTCCCAGCTCCTTGGTGGTGATAGTGCCATCACCATCCTTGTCAAACAGCGAAAAAGCCTCCTTGAATTCTGGAGCAAAAACAAAGTAGGGTGATCATCTTTTAGCATCATTTTTCAAACAGTAATGTCGAAAATCTTGTTGAGATATGAAGGCCAGCAGAGATGGCAAAACCTAGTAGAAAGCTTGTATCAGGCATGGCATATTTGTATTACACAAAACAGATAAATAACTTAAAGGGAATGTACATCATTGGCTTTTGCTGTAATTTTCAGAAATGAACTATTTGAGAGGTTAGTATAATAGATCAAATATTATTACACTGACATTTTTTAAGTTTGGTGTTCGAAAAGGTTGGAAAAACCAAGAAAAACAAAAATGTTCAAGTAGTCTGGTTCCCTGACTCCACAAAAGATAAAATGGATCAATTCATAGATGATGGAAAATTGTAAGGCAAGGGAACCAGTCTAGCTGGCCTGCACCCGTTCATCATGAACATGTAACCAATAGCAAACAAAATTTTGACTGAAAAAATGGTAAATTTGGAGCAGTAGTTGAAAAATAGTTAGGTTTTTGCAACGCTGGTCGGCCGACCACAATTGGAAATGTTTACAAAAATACAATTTTCTTGAAAATGACTTCACACCAAGTGCCATAATTTTACAAGATGCTTGAGACTGTCATTTACCAACATCCTAGTAAGGTATTTCGTAAAAACTTGGTAGTTTTATTTTTCGATGTTTGCAAATGTTGTATATTCCCTTTAATTATATGATGTTCTTGGGCAAGACACTTTACAACAATTCCCTTTCCTCCATCCTACAGCACAATAAACGGTTCCCGTGAGGGTATAGAGACGATATAATTTGCAGCTGCTGCAGAAAACCGCTCTAACGGCATAAGTCGTTAGCTATTATTATTGTGAAGGGCTTTGAGAATTGGTATGATGCACGGATGCACTATATAAGCACCTCATTATTAATATCATTACCATTATTTGGTCTTGCCGCAATAGATCCATCCGGCTCTCAACTCATTACCGGTAATCGTTAATGAGTAAGCCAGTGGAGCCGTCACTAATTACTTTTTCCAGATCTTGGGACAATTATTAGAACGGCGACCTATACGCAGCTGGGTCGAACTCCATAATGCTCTTATAATTATTACAAGGAGCTTTTGTATATGAAGAATGCCCGCATATAAATTTATAGTCAGGATAAACAGCGCGTGAGTGATGATGCTATATTAAATAAGTACACAATGTTGGATTGAATTTTTTATAAGGCAAGTGAATCAAAAACAGTAGACGTGATTAAAGAGAGCATTTTAAAGACATTTTGAAATTAATCCATGTTTTACTAAAAGAACCTAGTATTTTTTTTGTTATAGCTGTCCATGGAATGCCATTGGAAGCTATTGAGCTGACTGATAATTACAGATCATACACACACACATTCAAATACAAATGAGATTTTAATGATTTGAGTCAAGACTAAAGCATTATTTTTACTGTCAGATTTTGTGTTTTGAATATGAGGAACAAGTCAACTTTTTTTTCCTGAAATATTGACGGCGATTTTTGTCTGTTTTCCTTTGCAAGTTTTCGTTCATTCATGGAGGTGGGAAAACGTTTATCTTTCATTGTATTTAATGGGTATTCATCAGTTCGTTGAACCGTAAATGATCAGTGTGGACAGCTGAATTGTGTGATCTTTTTATTAAAATTGTCATAACTTGGGAATAGAATATGCAAATTAAGTAGACTTTTCACAGTTACTAGTCAATAACATGTACTTCAACCCTATCTTATTTTTATGAAATAGAGTGAGCAACATATGATTTAAAATATTTTTTTTTTCTAATTCGGTCATTTCTTTTAGACTCACCATGTAGTATACTAAAGAAAATGTACCGGCTATATCCTCCTTTCAATTATGTCCACCACACATTTCACTGTAAATTCCCGTGTTTCATTTTTTTTTTATTTGAAGCAACCTTGAAATTCTGTTATGACTAACAAAATTTATAAACTATAATTATACATGCAAAGCATCTAACTAATTCATGTCACTCAGTCCGAGAAAAGTCATTTCATTCTTATGCAAATTAATTAAATTAACAAACTTACCACTGATTTGTTCTTCTGACAACTGTTCGGTCGACTGTTGGAAAAATGAAGATCAAGAAATAGTATTCACAAAAAGGGAAACTAAAGTGAAAGTGTTTGAATGCTTTTATATGTCATACAGATCCGTTACATGATTTATTACAATATCTATGACAGTCCACATCGATATTTGAAGATATGGTTTATGGGGGGAAAAGGGCAGTACATGTACTTCTAAAGTCAAGTCTTATGGCCCCCCCCCCCCCCCAAAAGGGTAAAAAATATGACTTATTGAATTGCTGACTTTTGTTGGATGTTTGATAATGAAATATACGGGTATTGAAAAGAGCTAATAAACATTACAAAAACAAATGTGCTGTTTGTTTTCATGTTGGTCGATTTCGTCACCATGCATGTTTTGCAAATGCGGTCCTAATTTACAATTCCGTGATAACTAATCGAGTTCTCGTCTTATTTAAACATGAGGATAAAAAAATATTATATTTGAAATAAAAACCTCAACAGATCCCAAATAAATCCACCAGCCAGCAACTTGTATCATTATATAGCAACGATTCAGACAAGAGGTTAATTTGGTCTCCAAATTCAGCTAGGTTTTGACTAGATAAAATATTCGAGGTAGCGTTTTTAGTAATCCCATAGTAGCGTAATGAGGTTCAACGTGGTCCACTTAACATCAGATTAACAACAATTATCTTCAATTTTCTAGCAGCGACATTCTGGATGAATAAAACATTATACAGTTTGGCCGTTGAATAGAACTGGCTGCTTGGCTTTCAAATCGAATTATTCACGCAGGCAACTTATCACAACAACAGACACCTAACCTGTAATTGAGGCGCATAAATGTTTAATGAGAAAAACCCTATCTGTGTTTACTAACAGAGAAAAAAACCATCGAATCGACCTCAATCATTAAGATGAAATATCTCAATCCGTCAGGCAAAAAATGACGAGTGTGGATTAAAAAAACCCAGATTAAAATACAGTGAAACACATACCATGTTGGAGCTGCTTGATGCTGTGTGCTTCAGGTAAAATGCAGGCAACGGTATCAACTCGTATAGTGAATTGCTAATGTTGAAATTGATTTCAAGAAGCGGGCACTAGTAGTAGAAGCAGGCTGATTTGATTGTACATGTACTATAGTACTAGCTGACGGGGAAACTAGATGCGCACTGCGCATTTCTCTCTATTTGTTCATTCATAATGCATGATGACGATGATTTGTGCACACAATTGAGTAGCGTGGGGCTTTCAGTTTGCTATAAATATTACGTAATGTTATGTCATCGGGTGAAAGTGACAGATGGGCTGAAACACTATGAAAAAAATGTAGTGGGTTGAAAATATCATATTTTTTTATCCTGGTATCATAGGAAGAGGGTGGGTAAAAATGGAGTTCAATAGAGTGCGGGCGAGTAGTAACAATTTACACTGACAAAACAATCAAGATTTTATGCCCTTAAAAGTGCAATAAAAACCGAAAACGTGAACGACATTTCCGCAGGATGAGAGGTGTGTGTTTGCGAAACTGATATAAATTTTAATTTAAAGCTAAAATGACGCAACAAGAAGATAGATAAATCATTTTGTTTTAAGTCCACCCTCCCAATAATATAAAAATCGTTATTGCGCGTCATTTTCGTTAGAATCATTTACGTAAACTCTTTGGATCTCTGGACGTTTTCGTATTGGGTTAAATTATCTTTTATACACCTCTTTTTTTTTTGGAAGAGACGATTTCTATAGTTAAAGAAAAAAGCGAAATGGATGTCTCAATTAAATGCATAAATAAATCACTCAGATTAGCAAGATTTTCACCTGTTTTTGAATCTAAAATGCGTTCTATCTCATTTATTATTTTTTATTAAGTAGTAAAACGATCGTCTTACAAATTGATGCTACAATAAAAAGGTAGTGGCGTAGTTGTATGACGTTTACAGCATAATATTACTTTTTGTGATATTTTCCTAATTAGGTCTCGTGCATCAGCGGTCAAAGCTATAGGTTCCTTCGATCTTTTTTTTTTGTTTTCAGTGCATGGACGTTATAGGACTCAGAAAAAAGCGAAATGGATGTCTCAATTAAATGCATAAATAAATCACCAGATACCAGATTCCGTACGCGTAGGTTACTTTTCAGCCACGCCACCACATTTTCAATTCCGTATTCTAAAATATTAAAAAAATTCAATAAATTAAGATCTCAAATTTTAAATAGTTAAAAAAGACTTCACCCCAAAATGAGTCGGGGTTCAAATTTCATGAATGAAGGTGCTTGTTTGATACCATGTCAATACTCCCATAACCCCGTATTGCTTTTTTTTTTAGAGGGGCATTAATTTTCCTCTTTGTGAAATGAGGGTTTCTCAAACCCCCCTCAACTCCTTCTTAGCCACACCCATACATCTTACATCACAAATCTGACAAAAAAGTGGGTATATAAAGCAGCAATAATTAAGTACTATGCAAAAAAAGAGACATTAATTAAGATTTAAACAGATACGAGTTTCGGGAACATCGCAAGTTGGTTTTCGACAACCTTGTTCTAAATTGATGAATTAATGATGACGTAAACATTGGGCTACCAATGAATCGTTCCATCTCTAACCTCTTGATTCAAATCATTGCAAAGTTGCAGAAATTCGTATCGTCCACGAAATCTCCGTTTTAAATCTAAATTCTCGACAAAATAACTTCCCCGTTAAAATGATCAGAAAAATTCAGCATATATGAATTGACATGTTAAAAAGACCTTGGAATAAAATGCAAAGGCCTATTATAACTATATTCTACAAGCCATGGATTATATACAACAATATTGCCAAGAAATATCACTGCATAAATAGACTATAAAAGGCGGCCTTTATAATAGGCCGCTGAAAGAAACTACCTCGTATTGCTTGCTAAGACTACAATGTTTGTCGGTTTGTGACACTGACATCTTCACTCACTGGACTGGCTGACAATGCCCACGCATTGAAGCTGAGTCCGCCATCTTGTGTCACCCACGACACCTGTGGATAGTACGCGAGTTCTTTTTTTTACGGTATTGGATTTCTTACTTCACTAAATTGGCGAATATAACTGCATTTTCTGACCAGCTTTTGAGATGTAAACAATCCTATTTATAGGGCTGGCCAACATCCATCGAACAATTTATTATTAGTATTTTCAATTGGAAAAAAATTTCACTGCAGAACGTACGTTGGGGATCCAAGATGGCGGGTCAGTGGCTTCAAGGTGTAATACAGCAAGTCCAGTTAGTATATAGAAGTCAGTTTCTATGCCTCGATTGGATGCGAGGTAACCATGACAATGTTGAGGAATGATAACGAAGAGGAAATGCTTAGTAGCGTAACGTGACGAATCATGTGATGAATTTGGTTGGCAAGCGTATTTTTCCCTCTTCAGGAGCCTCGACGTCAATTTCATGAGATTGTCTATTTTGACGTCATCATGCTCACGAACTCTGCAAAGAATTAATTCCAAATCAATTATCATTTTGGTACATTGTTGTTACAATGTAGAAGCAAATCTTGTTCGTCATTTTCTAATGAGTAGATTACTTTTTTACCTTCATAATTGACCTGTCCATCTCCATCTACATCAGCCTCTCTGATCATCTCATCGACCTCCTCATCTGTCAACTTCTCACCAAGATTGGTCATCACGTGACGAAGCTCGGCAGCGCTGCCATGGAAACATGGACAGAGAAAATGATAACATCCCCCACACAACAAAGGCAACTCATCGTTCTCCTGTTATTCTTCACTGACATGTAGATGAATACTTCAATCTTACCTGATGAAACCGTTTCCATCCTTGTCAAAAACCCTGAAAGCTTCTCTGATCTCCTCTTCTGAATCCGTTTCTTTCATTTTCCTCGCCATCATCGTCAAGAACTCGGGAAAGTCGATAGTTCCGTTGCCTATAATATGTACAAGAAAGAGAGCAATTGGAATATTGGAACCTGACTTCGTAAATGTGGTTTGTGTTGTTCACAAAAAAAATGATCAGTTGCACCTTCACCAAAGAGTTGCCCAGAAAGTAAAGTTTAGAGTATTGTCAATATTATGTTTATTTTCCCCTTAATATTCGTTTGAGTTTTTAAAAGACAGTTTGACTTATTTTACCATCAGCATCGACTTCGTTGATCATATCCTGCAGCTCAGCCTCAGTGGGGTTCTGACCCAGTGACCTCATGACTGTTCCCAGCTCCTTGGTGGTGATGGTGCCATCACCATCCTTGTCAAAGAGCGAAAAAGCCTCCTTGAATTCTGTAAAAGGACATTAAACAGCACTAGAATAGCAACCATGTTTTTTTTGGCAGAGATTTTAGTTTCATTTGACCACATTATGTACGACCAAAGTAATCTTGTTTGTTAGTCTATGACCCGTGTTGTCATTTTTTTTCAAAAGCCAATAAATGAAACATACAATTATTCTTTTCTTAAAAAGAATAAAAATATTATTAGGTGTCTTGATCGATGACTTTTCAAGTTACACCATATCTTAACTTTAAAACAATAAAATAACAATCATAATTGTATCCCCTTTTCTCATAAATGCTGCATTTAAGTTAGGAACTGAGGTAAGTGTAATAGCACTTCCGCAAATTACCAAAAGTTACGCGTTTGTGAAAAAAAGACTTTCCCATGCCAACACTACAGATGAAAATTAAGATGTACACAAAATAAAATCCAGCCAGAATTTTTGACCAAACATCGATAAAACTGAATGGCTTACCACCAATTTGTTCTTCACTTAATGTTTCGGCGCTCTGCAACGATAAACAAAATATCACACATTATAGTCAGGGCCATATGGCTTAAATAATAATAATATTGCATAGGTAATTTCAAGGACCTAGTTCTAGTTTTGGCAAAATATTCACATGTCCCTCAGAAATGTCATGCACTATTAGTTTTACCGACGCTATATAACCATAAGGAAAGGCCCCTATCTATAATCAATCAGTGGCACTATAATTTTTAATAACTCATGATGACATTGACGTTGCAATCCATGCGTTCCGTTAATGCCGGTTCGCACTCCAGCTTTTCACACTCCCCGCAGTAAAAACACAACATTCCAGCACACACAATGATACCCCTTCCGTCCTCCGATCCTCCAACTTATCGACAATAAGGAACATCACAAATTTTATCAGCAAACAGTAAGAAGTGTCCACCTACCATGTTTGGTTTTTGGCGACTTAATCAGGGAGATATCCGACGGACGATAGAAGATGAAATGATGATGCCTTCACAAACCTCCTTCGAAATTTCACCCGCGGTACATGAGTGAATCGATGAGAGTGAAAGGTGCACAGTAACTATCACACAACCTTGACAATATGCGCATTGCGCAGGTTGTTTCACACCACATGCGCACGGCTCGCTTTCACGTGGCGGTAAGGACTTGTAAAATGAATTATGCACAGAACGTTGGAGCGCGTAGTAGTCAATGTGATGGGGGGGGGGGGGGTTCAAAACCGCCCCAGCTCTGTCAAAATTTGTTGTTTTTTAAAGAAATGCATAAACAATAATGCTACTCCCCCCGCTATGACACCCAAAACAATTACACAGGTATTAATATACGCCTGTGCCCAAAATACGGACAGAGCCTAGCTGCTGGGTAAGGGGGTATTTGTACACTACTACATGTACAATGTATTTCATTTTCATTATCATTTATTTCATTTTTTGGGGATACATTCGTTACAACAAACAATACCAATAACTTTGTCGCATTTGAACAGCGCCCCCATTGGAAGTATGGTATGATCGAGCCCCCCCCCCCGACCAAAAACCCTGTCTACATTTAAGCATTGAGGCTAGCTGATGACCCCTCCCCCCTGCCAAAAATGCATGGATCCGCCCCTGAAAGCGGATGGTTATTGTCGTTAATTCATTCAGCCACATCTGTCACAAATGATTGGTACAATGACACTGCACGTGCTAGGTCTGCAATAGAATCACGGAAATAGAATCAACAACATCACTGCATGATACAGAACATGGACGTACATGTAGTAGAACGCAGGCTTGAAAGTTCTTTGTAATATAAAGGGGTACGTGCATGGAATAGAACTACAGGGAGTACAGGTGCATTGACTTGCACATTGCCACCATCATGCACGTTTTTGTTTTACTACATTAAAATGCAGTACATTTACATCTTGTGTTGTAGTAAGTTACCAACCCAAAGTTGAATTAAATTTGAACGAAAGATGAATAAATGAAAAGTTGTCCCTACAGTCTTCTTAATATTGGCATCACATTTGTTTATTCTGTAACTGAAATATCGTTTATGTCACAACATGAAAATTAAAAAATATTCATGAGCAACTTTTATTATGCTCGTTTTGTAAAATAGAATTAGTTTTCATAACAGTATCTAAAAAATGAATTGTAATTATTAATGTTGCACCAAATCGTGGATTTTTTTTGCATAAATTATGTTCACATATGATACATACACAACCATTCAGGCATGTACTGGGAAGTCAACCTCCCCCCCCCCCCCAGCAAAATTCAAATCTTTCCAAGACCGGGCTTTTTCTATTTTTATTGACACACAAGTAAAAAAAAGAGGAAATTAGCTGATCCGATGAAAAGTTGCATGCCTGAACCATTTCAGAACCGGGTTAAAAATAATTAGTTATCAACCCAATCCCTCATGTGTGGGGACTTTTCGTTTATTAAAAAAAATTAAATGCTGACGCCAGCCTCTAAAACCTGGACAAGTTATACCACCTCCCCATGCATCCTAGCCCCGCCTACCACAATATGACAAGCACGGTACGTCGTATCCTTTCCTACGTTCATACGGAAACCACTATTGACACCTCTCGGCAGCCACATGTCCCACATAACATTACCCAGGTCAAGGAATATTATCATAGGGTCTGGTAAGTTGTTCAACGTGGCAGGGTGAAATATGAGTCGCCAGCCAGGCCAACTAGACTGCCACGTTTACACATTCTGAACCTGTACTCGGCTCAGCTTGTGTGTGTCATCATAACTTCACTCTGTGCTCAAGACGTACGGGTCGGGAAAAGGAAAATCTCTCAGTTTTCTCGCGCAGACTTGCTTCAAAATGAATCATTTACTTGCTACTTTGGTTGCCTGCATCTTGGTTGCTTACACCAGTGCTAAGGTGAGTAGTTTTTTTTGTTTACGGTGCAACATTTGCAGCTTCAAGAACGATTAAGAAGTTTGAAAATTACAAAACTTTTGTTTTTGATACTACTTGTCTTAATCTTCTGAAACTAAAGACTTGTATTTTTGACGGGGCACAACCGATATAAAAAATTGTTTATTCATGATCTGAAGTGAAAACCATTTTTTTCAAACTATTCAAACATGGTACACGTGCGGCTACATTTAGTTACCGTTCCTGAAGTCAATTGGGGGGGGGGGGGGGATCAACTTCTTTTGGAAGAGGGAGTGGGTGTAGAGTACCCCTAGAACTCTAGGGCCCCAGAGTTCCATGGGGTAGGTGTAGAGCCCCCACCCACCCCCACACAAATTTACAAATCAGCAAAATTCTTGAGAAACAGTTGTTTGAAAAATCAATTGAAACAATAATGATTAATTACATGAGCTTTTGAATTGTAATTGTGAACATGATAAAAATACTCATTGCTAAATCAATAACAAGAAATTGTCATTTGATTTTTTTCTTCAGCCAAACTCTGACTCCTCGGGTAAAGATGTCAAAGCCATTGTCACTGACAAGGTGTACTTTGACATCCAGATTGACAATAAGGACAAAGGACGCATTGTCATCGGTCTGTTTGGGGAGGCCACGCCATTGACTGTCAAGAATTTCCTCAATTATGCCAAAACTGCCAAGGAAAACACCTACAAGGGAACACATTTCCATAGAGTTATCAAAGACTTCTTGATTCAAGGTAGGCGTAGTAGGCCCCCCCCCCCCTCGGACCCTAACCCCGCCCCAGGAAATGGTTTTTCAAAGCAATATCACTTTTTTTAAAAAAGATGTCTACCAAAGTGTGTCCACATTAATATTTCCATCACAGTCATCAAGTACGTCACAAATTTCCTCAAGTATTTTTTTTCCAAATTTAGATGGTGAAATTCTCCACCCTTGACCTTATTTAAAAAAAAAAACCTCCACTGGTCACCTGTTTGTAACATCCAAATTTATAGACCAATTGCACAGAGCAGAAAGCGGACAGATTTTGTTATTTAATTGAACTCGGTGGCATATAAACTATAGTGTCTCATCATACAAATCACAGAAGACCTGTCCCCAAGTGAGGGCGCTCTATATGCAAAGGCTCTATTTCTCATCATTTCTTTCCAGGTGGCGATGTGGCAATGCATGATGGGAGCGGATCCATCAGTATCTACGGAAAATATTTCAACGACGAGAACTTTGACTTGCAACACTACGGCCCGGGATGGCTCAGCATGGCTAACGCTGGTAAGAGTCCGTGTTACTATGACAACGTTTATCCATATGTAGGAGACAAGAGAAAAGCATGATCGAAAGACTTTTCAGGAGGGGTTAAATAACGGGAGTATTAAATACCATATCATAATGGACACCAATTATTAGCAACAAAGATTTACAATGTTTTTTTTGGGGGGGGGTGCCCTTTGAATTACCCTTAGACACTGAATTATTTTTTTAATATGTATTTTACCCATCTTAGGCCAAAAAAAAAAATAAGTCGGTCTCTGGTCAGCGCGCGCGTCGATTTTAATCATGCGCGTCGATCTTTTTTTCTCTCCAAAATGCTCCGCGGTAGCTCCAACAGCGCCCTCTATTTCCGCACCTCCTCAATTGTTTTCACCAAAGAGCACCAAGAAATGGAAAATTGCACCAAGGCAAATGATCGAAAGCACCAAGGCAAATTATGGAGGACACCAATGTACATGAGGACACCAAAAAAGCAACATAGTACCCACCTTGTCTGTACAATCCAAGCTTGAAGAAAAAAAAAAAAAGCCAAAAAAAAAAAAAAAAAGCCACGTGGCCGCGTCAATTCCGGAACTTTGGTCTGACCAGAGACCGAATATTTTTTTTTTTTGGCCTTAGAACAAACTGTTCCTGAATGTTATATTGATTTTAATGTCTTTTGGGATGGTTAATTTGTTCAATGTAAATTTTGTTGGGTGGGGGGGGGGGGGGGGGGTAATTGTTTGGTAGGGTTTTTTTTGGGGGGGGGGGTAATTTTTACTCGGTAGATGTGCAAGCTACAAGTGGAGAAAATATCCATCTAATGACATTTGTTACAGTGATAACGGATTCCTCTTCTGGGTTGTTTTTTCCTTTTTTACCAACAGGGATAAAAAATTGCCCATTCATTTGAAATGCTTTACAATCATCAGCGTATGCGTAAGGTGGATTCGTATGAGCTCTTATGGTTCTGCGGGTAGTTTACACCGTAAGTTGCTGCTTAAAGTGCTAAACGTTCAAGTAAAATTATTATGGCAAAATTTTATTCCAAAGGATCAAGTTTGTTTTCTTTGATTGTATGTCTGTTTGGTTTGGTGATTTTTTTTCGCCCAAGATCATGATATGTAAAGACAGAAGACTAATTAAAGTAATTTTTGCAATAATAAACAAACATACTGAATGGATATAACATGATGAAATGACCAACTAACCAACCCAATCAAAGAAGCTGTCAAAGAGGAGATATTTAGAGTTAGTTAGATTTGTCCACGTGGTTAGAGTGGATTAAATTGCCACAGATAGTACAAGTTCAGGGTGACCCAAAAACAGTTTTGCAAGCAGACATCTTTAAATTACTCAAAACGTATCCAACATCAGCATTTCATGTTGATGGAGTATATTATTCTCTTGTCTATAATCACAGTGAAAATTTGATGAAAATCCAATTCATGCAAACCAGAGATACAACAGATTATAAATGGCAATGTGTTTTTCACCCGTTTCAATGTGACTTACACAGCTAATGAAAAGACCCATTGCAGAGTGCTGGTTGAGCGATTTCCAATGCAGTGCGTAATTCCCATTGGAATGATTAAAAAACAAATATCTTTTATAATCTGTTAGAGCTCTGGTTTGCATGAATGGGTTTCCATGACATTTTCACTGATTACACACAAGAGTATAATTAATATGCGCCAGCAAAATGAAGTACTCATGTTATCATTGTTATGTACTTTTTGAGAAATTTAACGATATCTGCTTGCACAACTTTTTTTATTTCACCCTGTATACCTAGAGATGGAAATCACGTTTAGCTTATCATGATCAAAAGTCAACGTCTAGTCTTCCAGTCAAGTGACACAAAAGTGACAAAACTCAAATAAACTGTGACAAACGCATTCCCCTTTCATTCAGTATTCATCTCCTGTTACTAGACTGATGCTTTGATTTTATGCCTGGCTTGTGATGATGAACTTACATCTTACAGTCACCTACTGAAACCCTAAGCTCACAACACCAACTCCAACAGACTTTGCAAATTGCCGTTTTTTTACGAAGGTCCTGACACCAACGGATGCCAGTTCTTCATCACAACTGTCAAGACGCCGTGGCTGGACGGTAAACACACCGTCTTCGCTAAAGTCTTAGAAGGTATGGATGTAGTCAAAGCGATTGAGGAAGTAGCGACGGACGATCAAGATCGTCCTCTCAAGCCGGCCGTCATCTGGGAGTGTGGGATCTTGGACGTTGATGCTCCTTTTGAAGTGGAAAAAGCAGGTGTGGAGGTGGAAGGCGTAGCAGGTCCACCGGTGGTGTAAATTATTCGAATTTTTTTTGGTTTCGTGCCTTGACTTAAGTAAAAATAAAGCCTGTCTGATTTGTTTAGCTCTACAGGGGTGTCAAAAAGAAAGTGACCGAACAAGGTAAAACTATTTAATAAAAATATAAAGTACATGTGTAATTTTTTTTTTTTTTGGGCCCTTCACCGATGTATTGTATAAACGCTGTATACTCAGTGTTGCCCCTGAGTGATTTTGAGGAAAAAAAATCACTAGGGTGGGACGACCTCCTGTTTACTAGTGCAGTCGTCCTATCACTCGACCACCGAGCTTACATGTACCAGGGTCGGCTGGCAAGTTCGAATCTGAAATAGCAGCAGGTACCCCAATCACTCGGGTGCAACACTGAGTATACAGTGTTTATAAAAATATGTCGGTGAAGGGCAAAAACAAACCAATTTTGAATTTACATCAGCCAGACGCAAATTCCATCTTATGAAAAGTACATGTTATTACCAGTAACTGTGAAAGTTTCACCACAACACTCAGTTGTCCACATTGGTGTCTCCAATTTACCGATATATGAAATAATTAACACCCTTTAAATATGATGAACAAAAAGTTGCAAAGGCAAACAGCCAAAAATGACCATTCCCATTTCATAATTAAAAAAAAAATGTATTCCTTGGGCCAAAAAAATAATAAGTCGGTCTCTGGTCAGCGTGCGCGTCAATTTTAATCATGCGCGTCAATCTTTTTTTTTCCCAAAAAGTTCCGCTGTAGCTCCAACAGCGCCCTCTATTTCCGCACCTCCTCAATTTTTTTTACCAAAGAGCACCAAGGAATGGGAAATTGCACCAAGGCAAATGATCGAAAGCAACAAGGCAAATTATGGAGGACACCAATGTACATGAGGACACCAAAAAAGCAAAATAGTATTCACCTTGTCTGTACAATCCGAGCTCTTAGTTTTTTTTCAGACAAGTGGAAAAACACGCTTCCATTAGTGTATTTAATACGTGCTTCGTTGGTGTATCCAATTTAGTGGCTTTTTAAGGGGAAAAAATACATTAATCTCCATCACTTTCTTTTTGACTCGCCCTATAGAGCTAACTGTCTAGATCTATGTCAGTTACAACTACATAGGAACATGCTGACAATAGACGTAGCTATAGCTCTGGAAGCCAGTTTTGGGCATGACCTTAAACTGAAGACAAAGATCATGCTAGTTTAAACCAGTGGTTAAGTCAGGACCATCACAAGTCTGGTCACATGTAAATCAAGAGTCAATTCACAAGTCCAGTCACAAGTAATGGGTGAATAACAACGGAAGGCCTTTTGTAGTATTCAGTTTGAACAGCGTTTACCCTAACTTGAGACTGAGGACTTGTGATGGACTTATGAAAGCTGTGAGGACTTATCAGGTTTGTGAGGACAACCTGGTCCCAACACTGTCTGAATAGCCGATTGAGATATGAAGAGTCAGACAACGTCTTTATATGACCTCTGACATCGGGTCAAGTTAAATGTCGGCATGCACACAAATCAGCACTGTGTTCCATGTGCTGGCATACTTGAAATTTAGGCCGATTTAACTACAGGAAAGTAGAACCACAATGACAAATACCAAACAAATATTAACTGCTTGCAGTGGTGTGGTAAAACTAGCCTCCAGAGGTGATCCATAGTGCATTCTGTTTTCCCAAGGCGTATAGCCGAGAAAAATGGAACACTCGATGGATCTCTGAGGGAGACTAGTTTTATCACACCACACGTTAAACCAATCAGTATTTGTTTTATAACGCCCTTGCCCACAGAATCTGCTTGATTTTTTACAGATAATTTAACCAATATTCAATTAATTAAATTCTATTTCAATTTGAACTTAATTCAAAATTTACTTGCACTTTTCCAAACGGTTCATGACATGTTTGGACCTAACTGTGTAGCGCGTGAGAAAAGTACACCAAAAATGTTCTTTCATGATTGCTGTGTGGGTTGCTACTAACTTTTTCAGCCATTTATAGTCTTTTTAGCTGTGCACAGCAAGATCGTAAAAATAGCGAATGCCATGTGACTCGCTCTTGGCCAATCAAGATACAGAATCTCTGGGTGAGGTGTTATAGCAACCAGTACAGAATTAGAAGCTTTGAATGTGTTGCTTGTCCTTATATACATGTATGAGGACGAGTCTTCAGTCTAAGATAATGCATGCAAGTTTGGGTGCTTATTTACGTCTTTTTATGCACTGCCTGTTTTGGGCACATTGTGTACAGTTTTATGTGGAAACTGTCTCACAATGACGTGAAACACATCTATGCAAATGAGTTTTGTAGTTTCAGATTTTATCTTTGTATTGAAATTGTCTTGCCATTTTGTAAGTTTTTATGTTTTGACATCTTGTAATATATTGATTTTTTTGATAATATAATTGAAAAAATTAAACGTCAAGTTATTTGAACATACAACTAACTTTTGCAATGGTAGACTTCAGTTTGTTTAAAAGAACAGTATTAATGAAAAAAAATTAGAAACCTAAAGATAATTTTACTGTTTGCATTTATTTTTAGATTATGCATGGGTGGGATGGGCCTTGGGAATTTGACAATTTAATAGAAATGAAAAAATCTGACCAATTTACATACCATGAATAATGTATGAATATTTTATTCCAAAGATACCCGCTCAGGTTTTTATTCAGTCAGTTCAACAATTCAAATCTTTACAATACCTTGTACCAACGTAATTACAACATCTTGCTGAATTTTATTATAAAGTTGAAAACCCACTTCAATTGGAAAAAAAAAACGTCCACATCATTTAAAAATTGATTATTCTACTCCCAAAAAACTGAAGGGTTTTTAAATTCCTACACCATATAACTACCTTGATTTTTTTTTAAAGAGTGACTAAAAACTCGAAACACTTCAAACATGTCAATTAGAAACGTTCTAACTGGGAACACAAAGTGCTCTTTAATGGAGTGCCATGGCCTCTTGGTCTGGAGCATTGAATTAGTGGTCTGTGGGTAATTCTGTAGGTTGTGGGTTCGAGTCCAGCCTGCGGCTATGGTGCGTGTGCCCTTGGGCAAGGCGCTTTGTCACTCATTGCTTCTCTCCACCCAGGAGTAAATGGGTACCTGTGAGGGCAGAGATGGTTACTGTGATTGATTTTAGCTGCTTTGTGCCGAAATGGCAGCACAGAGCTGTATACTCCCTAGGGAGCTGAGATGGTATTTGGAATGTTTTGTTGGCCCAATGAGCAGGGGTAATAATGATGTAGCACCTTGAGTACCAATACTGGTGGAAACGTGCGTTTTAAAATACACATTATTATTATATGAAAGTGTTCTTCCATGCACAAATATTTCATGTTTCAGCTGGAAACAAAATTGTTATGGAAGGATTCTTTTCCTCCAAATCCAGAAAATACAGATTGAAAAAGTGCATTCCAAATTGAACATGTTTTTAGATGTTTCCTAAAGTTTTCTCCTCTTTAAAAACACCAGTTTTTAAACAACGCAAAAAAAGAGGTTTTTTTTAGAGGGAAGATTTACCTTCCCAAATCTGACATAAGAACCAATAAGCCATTTGTGAATAACCTATACCCTTTGCGAGTTAAACTTGAATAACATTGTGAACACTGACTTGCTCATAATGATTGGCACATTTTAACTTTGAATTCTCCAGACCAAAGACACTGTTGCTATATCACATGATTCGGGGCAAGCTCTTGCATAGTTACGTAAGAGATGCTCAGCACCAATACATTGCTCACAACGGGTGAGAATGGCACAAAGACACCAGACCATGCTGGAGCTGGGGGTTGCTAGCGTAAGGTTTGCCCCGAATCATGTGATATAGCAACAGTCTCTTTGGTCTGGAGAATTCGAAGTTAAAATGTGCCAAGCATTCGAGCAAGTCGGGGAACAAGATGTTACTTGAGTTTAATTTGCAAATGGCTTATTCAAAGATAGAAAACTTTGTCTGTCCCTTAAGTTAACTTTCCATCCTTGCTCCTAGAATAATTACAACGATGGTATTTATACAAGGAAGGTAATATACACATTTGCAATTGCAGACTATTTGCTTCTTTTTATCCTACATTCTATACAAATTCTCTGTTAATTATTCCTCCCAGAAATATGCAATCATAGATGATGAAGTCCATTAGATGACCTTGGCTGTATACAGCCATTTGTATCGGTGGTAAATTAAGATGAAATTACATAAACAATTTCTGAGGTAATTTTATTTCGTGAGGAATGCATGAACAAAAAAAAATTCAAGAATCAAGAAAAAGAAAACGCTATGTTAAGATACCACAGCAAAAAACTTTCTTGGGAAAACTGTGGGTCAAGTTTAGAATTTTTGTTAATGCTTGAAATACTTGAGACATTTTCTACCTTAAAACTCATAAATGTAATGCACAAAGCAGGCTTCATGTGCCTGACCACGTTAGCGTGGTTCTTAAATTAATTTGGCATGTGGGCTCAGTGCGTGACATTTAGGATTCTAATTTTTTTAGGATCACAAAGTTACGTCTGTCCTGTGACATTCTGCATTGAGGCAATGTTTTGTTTTCTAAAACATCAAACATGTTAAATACATTACCGTCTCGGTCTACTTCTGCCATGGATCCTTACTCCGCGCAGCTTTGCTGGGGGTCCCGGGACTGAAGACCCCCTGCGGTGATTGGGAGACACTGTTGAAGGTTGCCATGGTACCGATGGGAAGTGGGCGGGACTGAGGCGGCTTGAGGTACGGAATCAGTTGCTGTTTCTTGACCATCTGCAGTGCCATCTGGTGATTCCCTGTCAATCAGTTACCATGGAAACAATTAGTTGCTATGGAAATTATCAGTTACCATGAACATTAACAATCATTCAGAAAGTCTAACTAAATTGAAAAAAAAAAATTTAAAGATGAGGTATGAAAATCTAACTACTTTGGGACTTGAAAATGAGTCGACTCAACTGATTGAGTCTACAACTGAAATTAGGTACATGGTTCGAATCTCCACTTTTTCATTTTTAAGATTTTTTTCTCTGGGTTCACTTCAACAAAATCTCGCATTTCCTTCATTGTCTGAACTTGCTGTCTAAATTTGGCCAAATTTTAGCAATAAGAATCCATTTCCAAGAAGTCCTTGTAACAGTGTCATCAATTAAAGGGAATATACAACATTTGCAAACATCGAAAAATAAAACTACCAAGTTTTTGCGAAATACCTTAATAGGACGTTGGTAAATGACAGTCTAAAGCATCCTGTAAAATTATGGCACCTGGTATACTGTCATTTTCAAGAAAAGTGGTATTTTTGTATCAATTTCCAACGCTGATCGGCCGATCAGCGTTGGAAACAACTGGCTTTTTTTCAAATACTGGCCCCAATTGACTATTGCACTTGTTTGCAATCGATTACAAACCTATGAACGGGTACGAGCCAGCTAGACTGGTTCCCTGACCTTACAATTCCCCAATGTATGTAAACTGCTCTGTTTCTTCTTATATGGAGTCAGGGAACCAGACTACAGGTAAATGATCGTTTTTCTTGGTTTTTATAGCATTTTCGAACCCAAAACCTCCAAAAAGTCAGTGTAACTATATTTGCTTTATATTTCCAATCCCCCAATTCCATCCATTTCTGAAAATTACAGCAAAAGCAAATGATGTATATTCCCTTTAAGTAATTAACTGAGTAAAATGAACCCAAGCTGTCTAAGAAATAAAATCCCTTTTCTTTTTCTCTCGATTCCAAGCTGGGACCGGAGGAAAAAGTGCGTAAACATTGATCAGATTACCAAGGATAAATAAAAGGAGTAAATACCTGTCTGTAACTCAATGTATATGCCTAGGAATAGAGCTTGTTCCGGTATCTCGTTAGGAGGCAACATGGTGCACATCTGTCAGGGAAGAAATAAGCAAAAATGCAAATTATTTGATTGTCGCAAATTTGTATGCAAATTTGGAGACAAATTGCATGACTGCCCAGCACAGCTTTTTAGAGCAGTATTTGTGAGCACAAGTTGAATATCCACTAAGGAGTATATTCCGTACTTGTACAGTCCAATGAAAAAGAAAAGAAAAAGAAAATCGAATTTTTGATAAAAAAGGACAAAGACAAGAATATAATACAAGAATAAAATATTTGAACCATAAAAGCAATACGATATTCTAAGTTATCCCACAAGCGCGAGCAGAACACGGAATAATGTAGTGCATCTGTGTCTCACATGCCACGAGGCCGAAGACCAAGTGGTATGTGGGACACAGACAAACAACATTTTCCGTGTTCCACGAGCGTGAGTGGAAGAACAATTTTTTTCAGCGGTTATCCTATTACACGTGCGTGTAGCAGGAATGGCGTATGCATCTAATATAGAATATCGCGACATGCGGAGTGTGATAGTGACCACACTGTTTAGGCCTAAAAAATACTTCTGCTTCTGATTACATGGCATTTGAAAATAGGGTAGGTAGGTAGGGACATTTTTTTGGGGGGCAAATTGTTTGTGTATGATCACATGGAGGTGTCTGCGTGTAGTCAAGGGTAAAAGGCAGTAATTGATGATTTTCTGGTTTTTTTCCTCATTTTTCCTGAAAAAAAATAGGGTAGGGGCTGTCAAAATTGGGTAGGTAGGGTAACCGGAAGCAGAACTATTTTTTTTTTTTGGCTTTATGCCATCGACCAATCAGGATCGAGGATGCAAGTTTGCTTGAAGATAAACAAAATGATCTCAAGTCTGTTCCTACCTGTTTGAGGCATTTCTTAGCTTTATCCCATTCACTCCGCAATGAATGCGCACAGGCCAAGTTGAGCAGCATGGTTGCCCTAGCCACCTGCACAGACGCTGGGTAGTACTTGGACACTGCGACGTGACCCTCCATGTTGTCCTGGTTGTCGCCCGGTACAGCTTCAGATTTCTCCACTTGTTTCTCACCTAGGTCAAAGGTAAGCATGGTGAGAATTATCTCATTATGATTTTAAAATGGTCCAAAACAATAATCACCGACAAATTCTAGTATTTATCACTGGAAATTATCCTGAAGGGACTAAAACAAGAGGTACTTTACGATTTTACTAAACATGGAAGTGGAGAGAAACAAAATATAGTTTTTACTTTGGGAAAAAATGAGGAGATTGGTAACAGTGCTAACAACTGATACTTTCAACACAATGGACCATTCCGGATTATAATAATGTTATGTTATGTTATGTTTTATTCCACAAATAGGAACAAACCCCATGACCCTGAGGAAGGATTACAACAGTGAAATTAAACACTGAATTATTTGGCAGGTGGGTTTACAAAGAATATGCTTTGAAATTACGTCATGCTTTGCCTCTCCTTTAGTTTTGCACATTGGAAAATATATTTAGCTACACATATAATAGTATGTTTATCTGCCGACGACATTAGGAATATGAATTGGTCCTTTTTTGTTGAACAATTTTTTGTTAAATAACCATGATATTTATAATAATAATTTTTGGGGGGGGGGGGGGGGGGCTAATCATCTTTACTCGCAGCTGAGAAGCTGAATTGCAAAGGACGCAGCTACAACCTGGTTGAGCTGAAGGCATGTAAAGGCGCCTTAGGCTGCCACCATACAACCCATGTCTGATCGGAGCACAGCCAGAGATTGAAAGTGTTGATTTTTGCAGAGGGAGGGAGGAAAACCGGAGGGTCCGGAGAAAAGCCCTCGTGGCACAGAAGAGAATCAATGCACAACTCTACTCCCATATGGTCCGAGCTGGGAATCGAACCTGGGCCACAGTGGTGAAAGGCAAGCGCTTTACACACTAGCCACCCATGCAACTAATGTCACACCGCACACAATTCAAACAGTCTGTCATGTGTATGTGCACACATGACCGACTTATGTCAAACATTTGATGCATGCTGACCTTGTTCAGGAAGAACTGGAAGCACTACGGACACATCACACACAGATTCCGGGGCCAGATGTTGGATTGCTTCAACTATCTGGTCCATGTTGATTAAAGCTTCAGCAGCATACAGGTGGCCCAGGAACCTGGATAAATGAAAACCCCAAAACAAAGACATCATTTTAATTTATGTAAGAATCAGATGGCCCAGGAACATGGATAATAATATTTAAACCAGGTTCTGGGGCCAGTTGTTGGATTGCTTCAACTATCTGGTCCATGTTGATTAAAGCTTCAGCAGCATATAAGTGGCCCGGGAACCTGGATTAATAATAAACCAACAAGCAACACTTTGCAGTGAAACAGTTGGACAAGGAACCCGGAAAAGTAAAACCCAAGAACCAATACATCATTTCAAATTTCTGTATAAAAATCAGGTGAGCGAGTAAAACCCAAAAGGCATCTCACATTGCACAGAATCAGGTGGTCCAGGAACCTGGGTGAATAATAAAAACCATGACCCAATCAATGCACAGAACCAGGGGACCCTCATATTTGGGTAAACACAAACCAAGAGGCTTATTTATTCTTTGAATGGAATCAGGTGGCTCAGGAACATGTATAAATAAAAAAAAAATCCAACAAGCAATGCATATGTCACTCACAAAAGTCACATGGTGTTTGAAACAGGTGTCCAGGGCTACGGCTATGTCAATCCTTCAGCCCATGTGGTAGTAATTGTTGAAGACCTAGCCAATAGCCCTAGACAAGAGATTGAGATGCAGCCTAAGTCAAGCTGCAAAAGGTTCTCACCTGAGGGAGCCAGGCAGTCTGTTTTGCTCCAGCAGCAACTTGGCGTACTCCAAGGCATTGACGTTATCACCCAACGATATCGAGACGTAGCTACTACAAGCTAAGATGGAGCAACGTAGGCAGGAGATATCCGAAGGTTTGATGGCCTGGCCTGGTGGAGCAGTGAGGTTACTGGGGCCGGTCTGCTTGCCACTGATAGAAAAGAAATATCGAAGATTAGGAAGCGTAGCGCAACTTGGAATGCTCAGACGGTTCCACTGGGAATACTGTCTATTCTAATGCACCAATTAATAAACAGTAGATGGAGGTTTGAAGAGAAGTTTGTGTGTGGGATATCCCATGTGTGCATACAGGGTTTAGTGCTCTGTAGTTTCGGACAATTTAGTATTCGATTATGGGGGCTTGGATTGGATCGAATATTCGAATATTTGACCATTGATGCTGAGGTAAAAACTTTTATCAATATCATGTATGCATCGATAACATTTTTTTTCGAGATAGCCGACGAGTTTTTGCACTTGCCCACTCGTATCTGCGACTTCTGACGAATCGCTACTGACGCTGCCTCGAGAAGTGATTCGACTGGTCGCCGAGAGTGCCGTCTCGTCAGGGAGCAGAGACAGAGCGTTGGAGAGACACAGTGAGGCAAATTCTAACGTCGCTGCTGGAAAGGCAGCTGATTGGCCGTCACCACTGGATTAAGGAACACAATAGAGGGCGGTGTGACAACCTGATCAGTCACGGTCATAGACATCTTAAAAAAACCCATAGACCTGACATTTCTATGCTTTTACTTTGTGTTTCTGTCCCTAAAACACCTCGTCGGGGAGTCAGGTTGGCGTACAGTACTTTTCTCGCCTTCCACCGCTGTGACCCAAGTTCGAATCCCGCCTGGGCCAACAAGTGGATTGGGTTTTCAGTCCCTGCCTGATTCCGTGGGTTTTCCCCAGAGCATTCTTCTAGGGTTTTCCTCCCACCTCTAAAACTGTAATTTCTTCTCGTTGCCTTCTCTCTACAGGTTTCTTCAGGCTTGCCAGCTTCAGTGCCTGGGGCATTTTTGAGGAATCCTTGGTTTCATTACCAGAAATAAATAATAATAATAACGTTACGTTAACGCTCATCCTGATTGTAAATAATGCACGCACATCATGCGGCTGTCCTCTTGCGCGCTTATCCGCCCACGAAGAGCGTTCGCGTAACATTGCAGTTTTAGGATGCAGCGTTTTGGAACCAGAAAATTCAGGCAAATGCAGGTCTAGGTTATTTAAGGTGCACATGGCCATAGTACTACTGTCACTTGAATGTTCTATATTTGGATATACTTTATTCGCAATGCCTGGACAAGAATGATTACACCAGTGTTTCCAAAGTTAATACTTTTTAAGGATTATTTGAAAAGTTTGACAGAATGAAGGATCAGTTTCCAGTGCAAAAAGCACATCAGAAGATATACAGATAATTTGGTGATATATTCTAGAAACACATTTCCATTGTGATTACTGATTCCTAAAGGTGAACATTCACTTTGAACTTTTGCTAATTACAAACAGTTTAATCTATCACTTGCATCAGAACTTATCTTCCTGGGAAATAACAAAAATGTATGTGGGGTGAAATTGCACCAGGGCGAATGGGAACGCCCGAGTACATTGGATATCCACAAAAGATTTATCTTGCATTCTAACAGCGTCACACAACAATGGATGCAATGCTTGTGTGGGTACTGAAAGAATGCTTCAAATGCAGTCAGCTTTCCTACTTAATAGCAGAAAATGAAAAAAATTCAAACTATGCGTTAGGCCAAAAATAAAAAAAATTCTGCTTCCGGTTTATCTACCTACCCTATTTTGACAGCCCCTACTCTAATTTTTATGGAAAAATGAGGAAAAAACCCCAAACCATCAATTATTACCTTTTACCCTTTACTACACACAGAGACCTCCATATGATCGTACAAAAAAAAAAAAACACCCTCTTACGAAAGAAAGTATATTAAAAATTGTTACTAGTATATCAAAAAACAAAATCTGAAATATATCTGAAATACTGTTACTTCAATTTTCATTAACTCATTAATTTTGACATACAACTTGAGAAATTATTGAAACTGTGTAAGTTTGAAAAAAAACCCGGAGGTGCCTATTTTATTTCTTACCTGTATTTATACTCCGAGGAGCCGGGAGACAAGATGACTTTACGATGCGGACCAGAACCAATCACGTTGCGTACAATGCCTCGTTTAGTAGAGTCCCCTAGACCCTTCCCTTCTGCCTCTGAGTTCTGAAGAACAAATAAATCACAAGATTTAAAGAGCAAGGCCGAAACCAATTGATTTCCTTGTTCAATACTGGATTTTACACTTCACCAATTTAATTTCATGAGCATTTCATGATAATTTCTTGGTGTTGTCCGAGGGCTTGCTAAAAAAAATCCACAAGCTTACTCGGGTGGGGCTTGAACCCACAACCTCCTGATTACAAGTGCAGACGTCTCACCACTCAACCACCGAGCTTGCTTGGGTCCGCTGGCTGATTCGAATCTCATTCCAAAATTCCACTCAATGAGATGGTGCAGCACAGCCAATTGTTATTGTTTGGAGAGGTGTGTAAACTTATTAGAGAACGGTGACTTTGATACTAACGTTAACCTGTTGGTGTTATTTTGTATTTCTTTGTTGCAGACGCTGTTGTCATTGCTTGAGAGCGAATAAACAAACGTTGAACTCAAAGAGTACATAGTGTCATACTTATTTACTTATATTCACACTGCATAAACACTAAAAAGCCACCATAGCCAGTCAGTCAATGGACATAACTTGGACGCATGGCTCAAGACGCACATTATGCCAAACTGGCGAAAAACCAGTAAATTCTCTGAATATTCCCTGATTTTCGGTGCTTTTCCCAAAATTCCCCGTCTAAAAAAAAGTAGAAACTCGTTTTCCCCAGAGTGGCTAGGAACCTGGAATACGCAGATCTGAATGCAAAGATATGAAGGGCTTGGTTACCGTTGCCAAACCAACAACTAACCTGAGGCGATACGTTGGCCGCTATGCAACACTCAGCTAGTCTCAGCCACAGCCGTGGGTTGGTGGGATAGACCTGGATGGCTTCGGTGAGGCACTCGAAGGCCGCTAGAGGGCGCCCTGCATGCAGCAGCTGTATGCCAGTGTTGTACAGCAGCTCGTAACGACGGTTCATACCGAGCGTCTTGATGTGGCGGTTATTCAGAGACTGGCCTGGTGAGGAAAGGGAAAAACATTAACAAAATAAAATGAAGAAAAATCTAATTTCATTATTCCCGATCCATAACCAAAGTTTACAACAACTTTATCACAAGGTTATGACAAGACCAGTCACAATCACAGGTCAATGCTTAAGTCTTGTCACAAGTAAATCATAAGTCAAATCACAAGTCAAGTCACAAGTACCTAAGGATGAATAATGACAAAGGAATGCTTTTGTCATAGTTCATTTGAATAGCTTGTGACTTGACTTGGGACTGGAGGACTTGTGATGGACTCGTTAGGACTTATGATGGACTCGTGAGGACTTGTGATGGAAAAACCCACTCAGATCCCTCAAATTTCACTAGAAGATTCATTTCAGAGGATTTTGTAGGATTCAAAAAGGTCCAAGCAAAATGGGAGGTGAGGTTATGGTAAATATTCTGTATTCTATAAACTGGCTTATAAAAGAAATGAATATGAAAATCTCTCCCGACTCTTTCTCTTATGAAGCTCCGCAATAAGTCTGGGGGCAATAGTTTTTCAGCCTTCTGATTTGCCTAAAGAAATTAATATGCACATAACTCTTGACCTATTCTCTTTAATAGCTTAGCCATAGCAAATATGGGAAGTCTAGGGACAATACTTGTTCAGCCTCCTGATTGGCCTAAAGAAATGAATATGCAAATAACTCCTGACCTCTTCTCTTTGGTAGCTTAGCCATAGCAAATATGGGAAGTCTAGGGACAATACTTTTTCAGCCATCTGATTGGCCTAAAGAAATGAATATGCAAATCACTCCTGACCTTTTCTCTTTGGAAGCTCAGCCATGGCGTTAGCGTTCTCCTGCAAGGCACGCCGTCCGTAGTAAGCCGCCAGATGATACTTGCCCATGTAGAAGTGAATGATGGCCAAGTTATTGAAGTACATGACTGGAATGACCTGACCAGTCTTGAGGGGATCTCCCATGGGCTGGACGCTGTTCAGTAACTTGATGGCCTTGCGGTAGTTCTGTCGGATGTACTCAAAATTGCTTTTGAGGAACAATGAGGCCGGGCACTGACGAATGGAATAGAAATAAATCAATGAAAGTTAATGACTTTGCTTTGAGGGAAGTAAGAAGGGGAAGGGGGAGGGGGTGGGGTGGTGGCGGGAAGATAGTGGCAAGGGGAAGGTTGGGGGGAAGCGGAGGTTGACAAAGGGCAAAATTAGGTTGCAAAACTTCAGGGCTTTTGTTAAAGGGAAGATACAACATTTGCAAACATCACAAAACGAAATGATCAAATGATCACAAAATACCTCACTGGATTGTTAGGGAATGACGCATCCTGTTAAATCATGGCTCCTGGTGTCCTGACCTTTTCAAGAAAAATGGTATTTTTGCATGAATTTCCAACGCTGGTCGGCTGACCAGCGTTGGAGAAACTGTTTTTTCCCCCAAAAAAACTGCTTCTAATTTTTCATAATTAGTTATTCTGCGTTTTGGTTGCAATTGATTATACACCTGGGAATGGGTACAAGCCTGCTAGACTGATTCTCTGGCCTTCCAATTTCCCAAAGTTTATAAATTGCTCCGTTTCATCTTAAGTGGGGTTAGGGAACCAGAGTTCAAGAACATGATTAGTTTCTTGTTTTTTTCCCCAGCATTTACAAGCCAAAAACCTGAAACAAGTCACTTTAACAATATTTGCTATAACATACTAATCCTCCGAATCCATTTATTTCTGAAAATTGCAGCAAAAGCTAATGTACATTCCCTTTAAATGTGGCTAATTCTATTTCTACTTACTGGTCCAGCTGAATTCATGACTGTCTTGATCTCACGTTTGCAGACTTTCACGTGCTTCATCTGAAGATAACACCTCGTTTTCAACTACGATAAAATAAGAGGGAAAACAGGGGGATAAAATCAGGCAACTTTATGAAAGTTAAAATATGATGTTGCAAGAACGTATTGCATAATAACTAATCAATCTTTACGAATTTCAAACAAATAAAACTGATTGAAACTGGATTTCACCCTTGGCCACTTAAATAGGAAACAAGACTGTACTGTCCACCTGTTTCAATATGACCATTACAGCACCAAACTAATTTGTTTACTTAAAGAAAAAGAAGTAGTAACAGCAAAGTTTTACTCACCAGGTGAAGAATTGGCCTGTATTTTTCAGGGTCGACGCTTGATTCTTCCGTGTTGGAATCCTTGTTGTCTTTATTCTGAATTAAGTAAGACCGATAGTTACAAGAAAGTAATCAATATCTTCTGTAAAATAACGTTCAAGATCCGATGCAAAACAGTCGTAGTTTTAGGGCAAATATGTTACAATTTGAATTATCTTAACCCTACGAGTCTATGACTGTACAAACCCCAAATTCTTAAAAACAAAAAAATAGTGTGTCTGTTGCAGGATTTTGAATGATTCAGCACCCAAAAAAAGTGGTTCTTGATAGAGGGGTATTTTGACACCAGTCTGGTAAAATAGAAATTTAAGAGAAGACCTCTCTTTTAAATTATGTATTTACTATTTTGCCAAATTACAAAAATAGTTTTGTGCAGTGCTGAAGTCCTTCTAGTTGCTACAACATTTCAACTCCCCAAACTTACGCTTGATTCTGATCCTCCTTTGTTGCCGCTAGTTTCGGGGGAGAAGAGAAGTTTCTCCAAGTAGGCTAACATAGCCAAGGCTTTCTCTGGTTGATAGGTACACAGGTAGGTCTCAATGAGTAACAAGAGGGTCTTGTGAGCCAGGTTTTCTTCTGCAAATGGTTGAAAAGGAACCATGATTAGCCAATCCTAACCATGCTCAATCCAACAGGATCCAACTATCTTACATTTCCATTGGATCCTGTTGGATTGAGCAGTAAAGACCTTGTATATATATACATGTACATGCATCTCTGTTGAAATCTGTTGGATTTGGCAGGCAAAGTAAAAAAACATTCATAATCGGATTCTGTTGGGTACTGGTAAATAACGCCAAGTTGGACTCTGTTGGATCCAGCAGGAAACAGAAATATAAGGCACAGTTGGATTCTGTTGGATTGAGCATGCCAGTCATTTTAGATTTTCAGGTACCCAGCAACTTGGCAGGTTGGGTTGTGTGGGACTGTGTTGGATTGAGCAGGAAACTCATATGAGTAACCGTCGGACTCTGTTGGATTTAGCAGGGTAGTCCTGGGGAACTATTAGGGGATTAAGGCTTTAGATAAGAAGACAAGAATTCGTGTCCTAGCAAATTGAAAGGGGATTTTTTTTCTCTAAAATGAACAAGAATTTTTTCTCCTGGCTAAAACAAGTTTTAAAACTTAAGATGACTCAATCTTACAAGCGCAACGAAAAAGTAAAATAAATCATTGTTGACCCTAACTCCCTCTTAATCAATTAAGAAGGTTCTTAAATACACACAAATTAGCACTATGCAGTAATACAGTGGAACACTTTTTGTACTTTACATAATTTGGTCATCAAAGCCTGTTCTAATTTAACTAAGCTTTGCAAAATGGTACACAACCAAGTTGGATTTAGGAGAATACATGGAATACTTTTCTATTAGAATTTTCTATTAGAACTTTTAGAATTTTCTAGCATTCCATACAAAACAATCGATAAGAAAATTCGTGATAGAATTTCCTAGGAATACAAAGGATTTAATAGCCCAAACTCCCTAGGGGGTGTGCAAAATCATATTGAAATTGGAGGATTCAGGACTGAGACAATAACTCACCGAGGGGCTCAATGATTTGGAAGAGTTTCTCCAGTATTCGGATGGCTTCGTGATGCTGTCTCATGTGGTACAAGATAATAGCATGGTTGAAGAAGAGTATAGCGTGATCGGTGTCCTCCAAGGAATCCACTCCGCTCAGACTAACTTGTGCCTGGGTACAGACCTGACCCACAGCCTTACGCATGTCGTCGTTCCGGGTGCAACCCGACTGGTAGAACTTAGCCACTGTTAGATTGTGGCTGACTTTGACATCGTTGCCTCTCAGTTTGGACAAAGCGTGGAGCTTTTCTAAGCACGAGCTATACTGTCCGGCCTCGAAGTCAGTGCTAGCGGCAGACGCCATTTCTTTCTCTTCTTCGGTGATGATTGGGATTGGGGAGGGGGCCGGGGACTCGGCTGGTCCCTCCTTCTCCTTGCCGCTGTCCTTGTCAGCCATAGTCAGCTAAGTCCGTGATTGGTTGCTGTGTTTGTAGCACACTACATGCCAGAGTCACACTATTTACGTTCGTACTTGAAAGTGGATGCACAGCTCAATTGAACATTTGTCATGTGACCAACACTGAGCGACAAAGTTAGCTGGTTGTTTTATGTCATTTTCGAGTTGGATTATACATTCATGGAATTTGAACAATAATGTCCAGCCTATCCAGTGCGTATGATTTTGTTCCCGTGTATGTCCTTCTCATGGCAGTAAGTCTCAGCTTTGCATTTCTTTAAACCTGGGAAAATTAAAATTGAATTTGGTAAATGCCATGAATGTTATCACACACACAAAAATAAGCCTGCAAAGTTACAAAACACACATCTGTATCTGTATGTGTGTCTGTATGTGTATATGTACCTGTACGTAGCTATGTTGCAGGCCTCAATTGGCATTAACTTTAATTTAACTTTTTTACGAATCTGTTTAACTTTTTATACTTTTTTTGATTAACTTTCCCCCCCCGTGGAACATCATAGTCGAACATACAGGCAGCTACCTGTAAGTCCTTGAAGGATAATCTTCCCAGAGCTCCAATACTCCTTTTTGATGATTGACATTTCATCTTTTTGTAGGGTATTTAATAAGTTGATCTTTTTTTTAGTTCACATGCTGGCTTTCAATTTTGTGGGTTTTTTTACGAATCTGTGTGACTTTTTATACTTTTTTGATTAACCTTTTTTGTTCAATATGAAACCTTCTTTTTTCTTGCATTGTATGCAATGGTGTTTATGTGTGTGGTTTTTTTTTTAAATACATGTACATGTAGAGATTAGAATAGACTTCGTTTTATACCTTATTTATTTTATTTAATGACTTATAATGTTTACTTATATTTATTGAATATTTAATGTCATGTTTGAAAGTTTTTATGTTTCAATGTCATACTTTCCAATTTTATTTTTCTATGAAGATCTGTTCTGAATTTATGTGGTTTGAATTAAAAATGAAATAAATTGCTGTTAAATTGAGCAAGATGGCGTGAACGATGTCAAATATGAAAATGAATAATTGGTTAAACTTTAATTTTAATTACTTTTGGTTAAAGCGCAATATGTTTCAATGGAAACAAATAATAAAAATAAATAATTAATTACACTTTTAAAGCGCATTTCAAAATAGCATTTCAATGCGCTTTACAACGACAAACTGCTGCAATACAGATATTTTAGGCAAAATAAAAAAAAAAACATGTTTAGCGTCCTGCCTCTGACAAAAAGGAAGGAGGAGGCCCTTTTTTTTTTTTTTTTTTCTTTTCAAAATTTGCTAGTCCTGAGTTCTGAGACGTAGAGAACCAGTTAATATTTCACACGGGGTGAATGTATGATAGACTCTCGTGCAGACGCACGTGCTAATTGACTATTTCCACAGCTTTATACACAGTATAAAGTCTAAAAATACGATTTCTTTCGTCAGAGATCGTTAAAATTTATCATCAATTTTTGTCTTTTAAAAAAAAAAAAAAAAAAAAAGGAGGCGGCCTCTAAAAAGGAAGCGGGCGGGGACGCTAAACATGATTTTTTTTTACTTCGCCTTACCTGACAACTACAATGAAAATTTATACTTCACTGTATTAACAGATGATAAGTGGACAAACTTTATGAAATTGTCGAATGATTGAAAATGCTGTCAAATGATTGTAAACGATGGGTCTGAGTTGGTCTAGCCCCATAAATGTGGCCTATTTACTGGACTGCCTCCGTAAACATAGGCCACACATCCACATGCACAAAAAACATGTCGCACTTTGCCAAATTTTGATTTTCACATTTAGGCTTAGTTTGTAGGAATTTTTTGCTTTAGAAGCATACTCACCCTCTTTATAGGCTAGTCAGAAAATGCTGCCTTTTTCAGATGTCTAATTTTTGTGAAATTTCATGTTGAAATTTTGATACGCAAACGTGTAAAAATGAATCTGGAAATTTCACGAAAAATATACATCTGAAAAAGGCAGCACTTTCTGATTAGCCTATAAAGAGGGTGAGTACGCTTCTAAAGCAAAAAAACCCTACAAACTAAGCCTAAATGCGAAAATCAAAATTTGGCAGAGTGCGACACGTTTTTGTACATGTGGATGTGTGGCCTATGTTTACGGAGGCAGTCCAGTAAATAGGCCACATTAAATGGGCTAGAGTTGGTCATGCATGGGTCCGAGTTGGTAGTGGGTCTAAGTTGGTTGTGGGTCCGAGTTGGTAGTTGGTCCGAGTTGGTAGTGGGTCCGAGTTGGCGTGGGTCCGAGTTGGTAGTGGGTCCGACTTGGTTTGGGTCCGAGTTGGATCGAAACCCGGCGAACTGCACAAACTATAACATGCTTGAGTCACTTGCACTTTGCAGTTCCATTTCGATTACCGAGTTACAGCGATTTCAAAATTGCCAGAAATCAACTTAACAGAGTAAGCAACGCTATAACATAAAATCTGAATCCCATTTATGTCAAAATTGAACTTACCAACAGAAAAATGTGTAATTTTTATAGATCGTGAGTGAAGTTCAGGCGCCAAAGGACTAGCACCACATGCAATTTGGCAAAATGACGAATCTTAAAGGGCGCCCTCATTTGCACGTTCTAAATCAAAACATTAACTACAAGTTCCAAATCAAACCAAAATGAAGTTCACGACGTGTAGTTGATGGTTTTATTTGAAACGTGTAGTTGATGCTTGCTTTTATTGCACCAGTAGTTGTTGAAGGTTGCAGATATATTCATGTATTCAAAAGAAACACCCCCCCCCCCGACTCAAAATAGTAAAGAGTAAAGAATAGAGAGGAAAGTACAAAACAAACTAGACAAAAGTTCATGAGTTCTTTTGGTGGTTTAATTTCATATAAATTGTAAACTATACTGTACGAGTCTGATTACATGTGAAGAGATTAGTTCCAAAATGCGATAAAACACCATTTTGTAACATGTGCCTTTTAGAATCCTACTCTCTCCTGGCTGATCGCATTTTTGAAACAAAGTCTTCATGTGTAATTCATTTGGTGCTGATAGCTGCTATCAAATATACACAAGCATGTAATAGCACTGAGTAAATGCTATTATAAACGGACATTGAAAAAACATCATTCTTTATCAGTTTTAATACAGCATATTGATTTATAGATATACCTGTTCACAAAGATTTCAAAAGTTGAAAATTCAGGTACACTTAAAGCCTTTTCACATTAAAGTTTCACCTACGTGTGTTGAAATAACCACAGGTCCACATTCAGTGGAACTGGGTCCCTATGAACATGGGTGACAGTGCATACCATTCACATTTAAACAGAGTTGTACATGTACATGGGTCGGCTGTAGATTTTGGATTTTTCTACCCGGGTAGAGCTTCTCAACCCTGGTCCTGACCAGGGTCAGATTTCACCCGAGTAGAGTGCTGGACCCGTGTAGAAGCCGTGTTGGTTTCTTGCTAGTGTGAAAGGCCTTCGTGAATCCTCCGTGTTGGACACAAGTCCAACACCGAGATTTTGGATAGTGTGAAAGGCTTTTCTAACCTCCCCAACCCATCAAACCCCAACGGCTGCATGATTTGTTGGAATCCGTCAGGATGGGTACAATACCCTTAAGGCCAAAAAAAAAAAAATCTCCGGTTTCTGGTATGTGCGCACGTCGCCGTATCCATGCGCGTCAGCAAAACTTTTTTCAATGTAAGATGATGTCTCAAAACTGCCAAACTCACTGGTTTGACTGGAATCCTGCTGCTGCACAATTTTAATGTGTTTTTAGATGGGGTTATGATCGAGTATAAGCTTTATGTGGCCTCTCTGGGCTCCAACACATTTTGCACTAAATTTAGTCGGGCACTATTTGCAGTCATCAGCCGACATTTGAAGGGAAAAAAAGTTTAAAAAAAAAAAAAAAAAAAGCCGCGTCGCCGCACCACTTTTGGGGCAAGCTCCATACCAGAAACCAGAAACCAGAGACTTTTTTTTGGCCTAAACTGACAGTATTTTACATTGGGTTGGGCACACCTCCAGAAACATAAAGAAATATGTGTGTGCAGTTTCCCGTATGGTGTTTGAATTTGCCAGGATGGGTATGGTTCCTAGCAAATCATGGAGTTAGGGTTAAGACTTGATAATCAAAATACTACATGCAGTTAGCATGTAACCAACACAGGTTAGGTCTGTGTGATATATTATACGAACTCATTAGGGAGTCCCCATAACTCTCTGCATAAATGGTTACCCATTAAAATAAGCTACTGCAGCACATCTATTCATATGTTCTACTTGTCTCTCTGCTGTTGGTTATTAGCTTGTTAACAAAAACTGTAACAATTAACTAACCTTAACTGTAACAATTAACTAACATTGGATTTCCTTCATCTCTTTTCTGCAATATTGTCACTTGTTTCACTACATACCATTGCCAACATTATTCATTTTGACAAATGTCTAATAAATTATATTACAAAATTATTAGAATCTATTCTGAAAAACAATATCACTGAAGTCATGAAACTTAAAAATAGAAATCTAATGAAAATGTCAAATAACATTTAGGCGTAAAAAAGTTCACAAGGGACACAGTTCCACTTCCACAGGAACGTGTATTTGTGCCATAATTTGGCAAACTAAAAACCATAAAAAATAATGGAAAAAAACCCAGACAGTTTTAAGTTTTAAATTAACAAATGCAACCAAAAATTACATTAATAAATTTTCCAGAGCAGATATTGCACAATTTAAATTTTATTGGTGGATTCAGGCTTAGCACGTTACATTACAAATTCCACATATGTAACATAGTACATGTAGTAAGGCAACCGCACTGATGGAATTTGAGAGATTGATGAAAAATGCCTTGAGTTATTATAAGTGCTAGATGCTTCAGATTTCTACACTAGGAATATATGAATGGGTACCTGTATATGCTTAGGCAAAAAAAATAGTTCTGCTTCTGATTACATGGCATTTGAAAATAGGGTAGATAGGTAGAGAAATTTTTTTGGGGGGCATTTTTTTTGTGTATGATCATATGGCGGTGTCTGCGTGTAGTCAAGGGTAAACAGTAATAACTGATGACTTTTTCCCCCCTCATTTCCCCCCCCCCCAAAAAAAAAATTAGAGTAGGGGCTGTCAAAATAGGGTTGGGTAGGGTAACCGGAAGCAGAACTATTTTTCTGGGGGGCCTTAATACACACGACACTTGTCTCAGATTTCAGAAGATAAAAAAAATGTGCTTCTCAAGGGAAGAATTTGTACGAGTCTCCATCATTGGACAAATTAACGGGTTCCCATGCACCAGAGCGATTCGATTCACGGATCGCATCCAACACGGCTTGAACATACTCCGCATCTTCAAAGTTTGCTGCCAGGGCGACGGGTTCCTGCTCCCAGCTCAACCGCTCCTTCTTCCTCTCAAAGGATTCCTTCAAGGCGTCGATGAGCTTCAGCATGCCTTTGAGATACGGCAACGGGACCTGATTGGTGGGGATGCCTTGCTTCTGTCGCTCCGTGATGTGCTGGATGTCTGCCATTAGTAGCTGTTCCCGACTCATCCCACCTACTTGGCCGTAAAGATCTGCCTCTCGGAGGGTCAGACGACCTTCTGACCCCACCACGAGGATCTCTTGCTTGAACTGGCCTGGGACGTGGGTGTTGAGGGTCACAGAGACGCAGACTTGGCGGCTGAGCTCCATCTGAAAGGAGCAGAAGTCATCGCTTGTGATGTGTCGGATTCCGTTGATCTTATCCGTCTGTCGTACAAACGTCTTCAACATGCCCCGAACACGGACCGCCTTCTGTCCTGTAATGAAAGTGATGATATCAATGAGATGGGAGCCGAAGGTGTTCAAGACACCACCTCCCATGTTCTCATCGCACATCCAGTTGTATTTATCACGGAGGAGGGACCCACACGTCACTTTGACGTCGCACAAGAAGACTTCCCCGACCTCGCCATCTTGGATCATGCGCTTGAGGCGAATAAACGCGGGCAAGAATCGCAGGCAATGGTTCATGATGGACATCAGGGATGGGTAATACTGGGCAGCTGTCACCATCTTATGAGCATCGTTCTTGTTCAGCCCGGCGGGTCGTTCGCAGAGCACGTGCTTGCCGATGCCCAGAGCCTTCGAGGCAACTTGGGCATGGAGATGAGGTGGGGTGTTGATGCAGACAAGATCCACTTCCGGGTTCAGAAGAACGTTATCGATCTGGTCTGTGTGGAAGGAGATGTTGAACATCCTCGCTAGCTCCGCAGCTTTCTCCAGAGTGGGACCCCACAGCGCCACGATCCTAATCCCAACGGCCTGGAAGGTTGGAATCAGGATTCTTGCAAGGGACCCTGTCCCTACCACTCCTACGCCCTCCAACATTGTCTAGAATCTCTCCGGTCTTAAGTTTTTTAGGAAATGATGCCCCTGACTCCTATCGTGGCACTGAAAAAATACGTAAAAACAAAATCAAAGACATGCTTGGAAGATTAGAGGCCAGGTTTTATTATTTAAAATCAGTGACAATGGAAAGTGTTGACTCATCACAGATTCTTGCAAGGGATTATCTTCTTTTCAGCACACATGCAATAGTGTTATCACTATCGCTGGCACGCACTGAAAAGAATATAATCTCCCCTCTTTACTTAAGAATGGTCGGACAGGCCAATGTCACTGCATGCAGGCGGCCAGCAATGGGAAAAGATGGCGGGTCTGCTACAAGTGTTTGCTGTATCAGTGCAACATTCGTCTGGTTGAAAATCCAACATTTGTGAAAATATGAGTAAAACTCTGATTTCTCAAAAAATTGTTGGTCCGTTGGTCCGTATTTTTTTGTTTAGAGATTTTAGTGAGAGAAAGAAGTACCGGTACTACTCTGTGCAAAACCTATTATTCGTGTATCAACGCTAGTCCGAGTAACTTGGACCCAACTTATCACCTTTTTTAATATTCGGACGTGGTCTGGCATGTCTGGCGATAGACCATGTCTGAAACAAATGTTAAAAAAAGGCTTTAAGTTGGGTCCAAGTTACTCGGACTTTATCAACGCAGAATTTAAAATGCCATATGTTACGGCATGGAGGGAGGAATAGTCAATTCCTTACTCCATGTTATGGCGACCCTAAAAGTGATACATGTAGTCGTAGAAAAGGCACACGCATGTATAGAACTAAGTAATCATTTACAACATACAGTTGGTGTTATTGCTGGCTGTAGCAAGGACAAGGTTAACCCCATAAATGTGGCCTATTTACTGGACTGCCTCCGTAAACATAGGCCACACATCCACATGTACAAAAAACGTGTCGACTTTGCCAAATTTAGATTTTCACATTTAGGCTTAGTTTGTAGGATTTCTTTGCTTTAGAAGCATACTCACCCTCTTTATAGGCTAGTCAGAAAGTGCTGCCTTTTTCAGATGTCTAATTTTTGTGAAATTTCATGTTGAAATTTTGATACGCAAACGTGTAAAAATGAATCTGGAAATTTCACAAAAAATATGCATCTGAAAAAGGCAGCACTTTCTGATTAGCCTATAAAGAGCGTGAGTATGCTTCTAAAGCAAAAATAAACTACAAACTAAGCCTAAATGTGATAATAAAAATTTGGCAAAGTCGACACGTTTTTTGTACATGTGGATGTGTGGCCTATGTTTACGGAGGCAGTCCAGTAAATAGGCCACATTTATGGGGCTAGGACAAGGTTAGCCCGACTGCGTCTGGCCGTACAGTACTATCGCAAGCTCTGTAGTACGGCCAGACGCCCGATGCTTCCACAGAGACTGAATTTTGTTGGCCGCCGATGTAGCGATTTTGCTACATCTTTCGATCGCGATTATCTTTTCATCCAGGACACAAATTTCCAAAGTTAAGGTTCGTAGTCGTAGAGCAACTCATGCCTTTTCGAAAAAAACGTTGTTTGGTCTCAATATTTTCATCCATCTGGCCACAAGACGAATTTCAGTCATCAGATTCCACAAATATCGTCCCCCATGCGATCCCCCATGCGATTTCAAAATGGCGGCCGCGCTGTAATGTATGCAATATGCAGGCGCGCCCGCGCAAACTCATGAATATGCATAATTAGTCTGTGACGTATGACCTCGTGTTTTTTGGACGTGCGTGCAGCGGGGCCGTACGGTCATACGTCACAGACTAATTATGCATATTCATGAGTTTGCGCGGGCGCGCCTGCATATTGCATACATTACAGCGCGGCCGCCATTTTGAAATCGCATGGGGGATCGCATGGGGGACGATATTTGTGGAATCTGATGACTGAAATTCGTCTTGTGGCCAGATGGATGAAAATATTGAGACCAAACAACGTTTTTTTCGAAAAGGCATGAGTTGCTCTACGACTACGAACCTTAACTTTGGAAATTTGTGTCCTGGATGAAAAGATAATCGCGATCGAAAGATGTAGCAAAATCGCTACATCGGCGGCCAACAAAATTCAGTCTCTGTGGAAGCATCGGGCGTCTGGCCGTACTACAGAGCTTGCGATAGTACTGTACGGCCAGACGCAGTCGGGCTAGGACAAGGTGTGTAATCCCGATACAAATCTACCGAAAATTCGCACATTTTTTCTCGTGTGTTTGTGGTAACACGCGCGGTTGAAACAGACAACACCTGATAAAAGCCTTACTCTCCTTAAATAATGAAAAGTAATAGATAACCAATTAAACCAACCAAAATAATGTTTCCCGTTGCTTCATAGATATCTCACCTGTTCAGATCCTTGTGTTTACAAGAGTAATATAGGAATCGCTTCAGCCATTTGAGATCTTTCATTCGCTGGGCAAATTACCAAATATGGGTCTGCTAATCATTCACGAGAGCGATCTCTGATTATATAATTTCAACAACAGAGGGCGCTATACATAAACAGTGGAGTTGTAAACGTGGGTGGAAAAAAAAAGATTTAATTTTGAGCAATGGCTGAAGAAGATAATTTGACACGACAGGTAAAATGTTATCGGGCTTATCACTTAAGAGATCGTATATATGGATTATCATGAAGATCGACTCACCGGGTAGGACTAGTGACTCGAAAACTTTTGAACACGGGCGGGGGGGGGGGGGGGGGGGGGGGGGGAGGTGAGGTTATTCGGAGGTGCATACCTATGTTCCCCAACATATGCTTCCCCAATACCGATGTTCCCCAACCCTAAGCCTAACCCTAACTCTAATCCTAAGGATTCCGGGGAACATCGGTATTGGGGAACATGAGTACATCAGGTAGACCCCGGGGCTGGGGGGGGGGGGGAACAATGGGGGATTCCCCACTTTTTGTACAATATGAATGTTGGGCCATTGATATGAATTTTTTCCAAGAGTGACAAAAACTCTTTGTTGAAAAAGCAGTTATTTTATTTGTCGCATGTCATCAGAAAGTCTAAAGTATGTAATTTTGCTGTAATTTTTTTGTTCAAAAACCTACTTCTAGAATTAAAAGGCACCACTCATTGGCGGGAGGTGCCTTCTAATTCTAGAAAAATCAAAAACCTACTTATTTTGTGTGTGTGTAATTGAGTCAATACAAATTTACAAGTATTTACACAATTTGTATCATTTCTCCATGACGTAAAAATTAAAAGAATTTGCTTTCTTTTCATTTTTTTCAAGGCAGATGAGATTGAAGCGTTGACAGCAATTTACGGTGATGATTGGTGTGTAGTGGACGAGGCAAACCGCATTTATTGTATCGCTATTACCGATCAGGATGAAGCAGATAAAACAGCAGACTGCAAGATTAATTTACAGGTACACGTATGTGTTGCTATAATAGTCTGATGAGTCACAACTTGAACGTGAACGATGAACATGCAGTTTGCAACAAGTTTGAGAGGTTGTGTACAGTGGTTTTACAAGGAATTCTTCATGGGGGTTTCCCCCAAATTTCAATTTGCTTGATGGCTGTCACAAAGTAAAAATGTGTAGACCTACTCGCATGATATAGGGTGCCACATGGAAGCAGACTGGTTGCACCAACCCCATTGCTACACCACTGGTTGTGTGGCTGGGTTTCCTGACGACCTTCAGCCAAAATGCCGGAATTCCTGATTTTACTGGGCCTACTTCAACATTGGAACAGATATCGGGATGTAGGCCTATTGCTATTTTTTTTAGGGGGGGGTGGTATCATTTCAAAATCCAGTTTGCTGAATATGAGATTCACTGAAAAGGTAACTTTTTTTTTTGCTTGGCTAGACATTTTCTGCTGACACCAACTGTGGATTTAGGACGTTTCACACTTTTATTACCACAATTGGAATTTGAAATTGGTGTCTAGAGAGGAGGTCAGTTGATTGTAAAAGAGCCATCCAATTGAATTTGTTTTGGAATTTTTTGAAATATATTTTGTTTGAATTATTGTAAAAGTTAAAGTTTTTGATCTATTCATTTCAGATTTGCCTTCCTCCAGAATACCCTAACACGGCACCTCCAGTCTACCAGATCAAGTAAGACATCCCAGGAATATACGTGAACATTTTTTTATTTTAATGGAAAGTCATCAACTTCCAATAATAATGATGTCCAAATGTAAACTTTTTTTCTCTTGTTGTTTCAGTGCCCCTTGGCTGAAGGATGCAGAGAGACAGACTGTGATTGCGAGTCTGGAACAAGTCTGCAGGTCAGAAAATTGTTCTCAAAACTCAACCACTTTGTCTCTACTGTTTCCTATTGCGTTATTGCTGTTCAGAGCAACATACTTAAAAGTCCTTTAACCATTTTTGAGAATGTTGTCAAATTTTTGGATTTGATTATTTTCAAGAATGAACAAAAGTAAGATTTGAAGCTTTGCATGTTGGTGATATGAACTAGTGGAGGTTTGTGGTAGTACCATGTAGAAATCTCTTTTGGGAAGATGTGTGGTTCTGAAAAGAACCGGTTGGTTGAATGAACAAACAAAGCATACTTGTTTAAATTCATTGTTTGTTCTGCATTTTTCCTCGGCCCAGTGAGAATTCAGGTGAGTGTGTGCTGTACTTAATGTTTGAGCGACTTCGTCAATACCTCATGGAGAGAACGGAGAACACAAGACAAGACGTTGGTAAGCATTTATTTATGTGCTGATCATTATTTATGTTCATTACTGAAGCTCCACAGGTGGAATCAGATACAATGCCCAAAGGTTCTGAAGTCACATTTGAAAAGTTAGAGACACTAACAATTTGATCTGAACAGAATCTTTATTAAAGGCAGAAATGTTTTGCTGAGATCAACAAAAATGTCAGGCGATTTACAATTGGTTTCTCTTGTGAAGTACATGTACTGAGTCCTGAGCCCGCAATGTGGCCCATCAGGCCGGCGTTTATCTCTGGTTTCCCTATCATGAAACGACTAAGAATATTTATATTCCCCCTGGATGGGATGTCCGTCCCATCGCAGGTTACTTTCCCAGCTAATGCCAGAGCCCATTTATACTGCTGGGTGGAGAGTGGCAAATTGGTGTAAAACGGCTTGCCCAAGGACACAACATTATAGCCAACGGCAGGATTTGAACCCCTGACCCTCTGATCATGAGTCACAAACCCTCACCACTCAGCCACATTTGACCATAGACTGCTTGCACACAGTGGCCTCGGTGAGAAACGGTTTTGTTATTCAAAATCAGTATGTGACAATGAAAGTGCAAAGTCTCCACTCAGAGGAACAAAGACCTGTCCAGAGAGGGCGCTGTACGCAAGGGGTCTGTTGTGATATCTGATGAAACCCATTCATTTACAGCCAACAACTCACAGGATGACGATGCATCGCTCTCGTCAGACTTGGCCTCTAGACTCGCCTTCCCATCAGCCCCCGAGTGTGAGATACCCCCCATCAAGCATGGAGAGCCAATCACAGACCGGCGTAGCACATTCCAAGCCCACCTGGCTGCACCGATCAGCACAGTGCAACAGGTAAGAATGGTCGATCGTCAAACTAAACCCATTAGTCCATGTATCGCCCCAAACTGCCCTACCTGTTACTCCCTGTACTGCCCCAAACTGCCCTGCCTGTTACTCCCTGTACTGCCCCAAACTGCCCTGCCTGTTACTCCCTATACTGCCCCAAACTGCCCTGCCTGTTACTCCCTGTACTGCCCCAAACTGCCCTACCTGTTACTCCCTGTACTGCCCCAAACTGCCCTGCCTGTTACTCCCTGTACTGCCCCAAACTGCCCTGCCTGTTACTCCCTGTACTGCCCCAAACTGCCCTGCCTGTTACTCCCTGTACTACCCCAAACCACCCTGCCTGTTACTCCCTGTACCACCCCAAACCACCCTGCCTGTTACTCCCTGTACTGCCCCAAATCACCCTGCCTGTTACTCCCTGTACTGCCCCAAACTGCCCTGCCTGTTACTCCCTGTACTGCCCCAAACTGCCCTGCCTGTTACTCCCTGTACTGCCCCAAACTGCCCTGCCTGTTACTCCCTGTACTGCCCCAAACTGCCCTGCCTGTTACTTCTGTACTACCCCAAACCACCCTGCCTGTTACTCCCTGTACTGCCCCAAACTGCCCTGCCTGTTACTCCCTGTACTGCCCCAAACTGCCCTGCCTGTTACTCCCTGTACTGCCCCAAACTGCCCTGCCTGTTACTCCCTGTACTGCCCCAAACTGCCCTGCCTGTTACTCCCTGTACTGCCCCAAACTGCCCTGCCTGTTACTTCTGTACTACCCCAAACCACCCTGCCTGTTGCTTCCTGTACTACCCCAAACCACCCTGCCTGTTACTCCCTGTACTGCCCCAAACTGCCCTGCCTGTTACTCCCTGTACTGCCCCAAACTGCCCTGCCTGTTACTCCCTGTACTGCCCCAAACTGCCCTGCCTGTTACTTCTGTACTACCCCAAACCACCCTGCCTGTTGCTTCCTGTACTACCCCAAACCACCCTGCCTGTTACTCCCTGTACTGCCCCAAATCACCCTGCCTGTTACTCCCTGTACTGCCCCAAACTGCCCTGCCTGTTACTTCTGTACTACCCCAAACCACCCTGCCTGTTGCTTCCTGTACTACCCCAAACCACCCTGCTTGTTACTCCCTGTACTGTCCCAAATCACCCTGCACTGTATAAGCTGAGCTATAGGCCTTCTGCACTGTAAGTGATGAATTGAAACAAAATTAACTATTAAAATATATCTATGTTATTACATGTTCTGTAAAAAGCACCTGAACCGAAATAATTGTTTTTACCTATTTAAAAGAAAACTTTTACCCTCATCTGACAGAGCATAACTAAATCGATTCTGCAACACGTTTTTGTGGATACTATGTCGTGCGCTTTGTTATTGCAAAGATGTTCTAAGAAATTTAGAAAAAAAGTTGACTTGTTTTGGCAGGTTGCCCAGGTACGACGGGAATTGTTACAAAACAGGAAGATTGCCAACGCAACACACAACATCCTGGCTTATAGGTGAGAGTTAGTTTATTGTACAAAAACAACAAAGTTACTGCTCCAAAGGTTTTGACTAATGTTGCTATCTCAATGGCAGTCTACTCCAAACTTGTAGTTGAATCTATCACACGTCCTCGCAATTCACAAGTTGTTACAAGTCCATCACAAATCCTGCGGCCTCAAGTCTAGTCGCAAGGTATTCAAATGAAGTGTGACAAAGACATTCTATTGTTGTTTACCCCCTGTTACCATGGTTACTTGTGACTGAACTTGTGAATTGACTTGTGATTTACTTGTGATTTACTTGTGAATGGACTTGTGAATTGACTTGTGATTTACTTGTGACTTGACTTGTGATTTATTTGTGACTGGACTTGTGATGGATTACACCACTAGATTTAACTTTACTGATGTACTGTGACACCACTCTCCCATTATTTCTCAGGATATATTGTGAGGATCGTGGTACCTTCCTTCAAGACTGTGATAACGACGGTGAAGCTGCAGCTGGCCCAAGATTACTGCATCTACTCGAGGTGAGGTACAAGATTTGGGAATGAACAGAATTAATCAGCCTCAACAAAGGGTGGAGCTAGGTATAATGGTGGAGCTCCATAGTAGAGTAAGAGACAGGAATTTTTATTTCACTGTATGAGTGCCTCCTTTTTGACTTGTTTTCAAAAGGTGAATATAATTTTTGATCTTGTAAAGATAACTAATTTTTCAAAACCATCCAACAGCAAGTTCTCAAATAAGTGACAAAAGGTGAGACCTTTTGTCCTGATCTGAGGGATGACATTTACTATTTTCATGATGGAACGGTATTCTAAAGCTTCAGTTTATTAAAGGTGGGATGTTAATGAAAAAAGCCTGGAATCTATGCTGAATGTTTGTAAAGACATTACAAGAGATTATTCTATCAAAATGTGTTAGGAAACGAATGGGACCAACATTTTCTCTAAATTTGTTTACTCTTTTGTAAGTTTATTTATTTATTGTTTTTCTAGATCTTGGATGTTAGGAATGTCCTGATAGTTGTCAGTCGTTGGTACGGCGGTATACAGCTTGGTCCCGATCGCTTCAAGCACATCAACAACGCAGCTCGTAATATCCTGGATGCACACGGGTTTATACAAAAGGTAGGACATTGTCTGGTTCTTTGAAGTTTTTGCTGACTGACTGAGGGAGTAACCGAGTAGGAATAATGCCCTAAACGAAACTTTTGTGTCCAGCTTGACTAGAAAGCCTAGACTTATTTCTATTGGTCTAGGCTGTACCTACGTTACGGTGGATTCGCATGGGCAAACATCCCTTGTTGGAAAATTTGGGCTTTCCCAAGTGGGAAATATGTGTTCCAGAATAATACAGTTTTGAGATGCTCTTTATGGGAGTCAGGTTGGCGTAGCGTACTTTTCTCGCCTTCTACTGCTGTGACCCGGGTTCGAATCCTGCTTGGGCTAATATGTGGATTGGGTTTTCAGTTCCTACTTGACTCTGTGGGTTTTCCCTAGAATATTCTTCTGGGGTTCTCCTCCCTCCGCTAAAGCTGTCATTTCTTCACATTGTCTTCTCTTTACTGGGCCCCATGGGAGACCAATGCATTCCACTGAATGGGCTGCCCAGTTAAAATAAGAAAAAAATAAGAAATAAATAAATGTATTTTTGGCAATATTTGAGGTTCAGTCTCTTACTTTTTTTTTCATCTTCATTGCAGGATGAAAAAGGACCCAAGAAAAAAGGAAAGCACAAAGGCAAATGAGCATTTGGAGAGTCAGACGATGAGTAACAGCAATGGGAGAGATTACTGTCTCAATGAATGTCATTGGCATGCGAGACTGATCAGGGTTAACTGCTCATTCACACAGTGATACTTATGTGGTGATTGTATGATATTCAAACACCGATTTCTATCATAATTATGTGCCTGGACTGGCGTGTGCCCAACTTGGAATGTGTGCCAAACTTGGTATCGGTGCCTAAATTGGAGTGTGTTCCTCCGGGCCTCTTTACAGACATGGGCTGATGATACCAGTCCATGCCGAGATCTTGATCATGACCAGGCAAAAATTTCTCTCTGAGTTGTCTTTGAGACATTTTATAGGTAAAAATTGGCTGTATTGGATACTATATGAAGTTATTTTATGATTAATGGGTACAGTGGTTTCATGCTTCAAAATTGTTTGAATTTATGGTCTTCAAGAAACTCTGATTTGAATCTTTGAAGAATTCAGTTAATATAATTGTATATAAATAAAGATTTTTATATTTTGCCAAATGCACTTTTTAAAAATTTGTTATAAATGGTCAGGTAAATATGATGATGAACTCAAAATAAGAGACACTATTTACTCCATACAATGTGGCATGCATCGCATTACATAATTTATTTCTTCATGTGCCTTTGTAAAAGAAAAATTTCCAAAGAAAACTGAGGAAAAAAAATACGGAAAATAAAAAACCAAATCTGTAAAAGACTTATAAACAATGTTTGTTTGTTTCATTCGACACGCTCCACGATTTGCATTTAACTTTAGTGAAATTATTACAGTAATGGACTTTAAGCCCAAATTTGATTGGATTTTTACCGCTACTCCTACCATTTTACACTAGATCTACAATACATTATGACATATACAGGTATATATATACACAATGGAACAATATAACAAGCATTATTACATCTACCGGCACCCCTCTATTGACCCCAACTATTCTACATCCTACAAAATCCAACAAAAGATCCAACAGTTTTTTTAATAGATTCAAAACTGTGAAACTTGATGTCACAAGTTCACAGACTTTGAGATTTATGAAACCCTGGCTTTGTTTCTGGCTTCGGCTACGGCTGCAGCTGTGGCTGCGGCTACATCTGCAGCCCAAGTTTCATAATAGTCGTGCCACTAATAAATACGAACTTTAAAGGGAATGTACATCATTGGCTTTTGCTGTAATTTTCAGAAATGAACTATTTGAGGGGTTAGTTTAAAAGGTCAAATATTGTTACACTGACATGTTTGAAGTTCTGTGTTCAAAAATGCTGGAAAAACCAAGAAAAACAAAAATGTTCAAGTAGTCTGGTTCCCTGACTCCACTAAGGATAAAATGGATCAGTTTATAGATGCCGGAAAACTGTAAGGTAAGGGAACCAGTGTAGCTGGCCAGCACCCATTCATGAACATGTTACCAATAGCAACCAAAATTTGGATTGAAAAAAAAAATGGTAAATTTGAAGCAGAAGTTGAAAAATAGTTCGGTTTTTCCAACGGTGATCTGCCGACCACTGTTGGAAATGTATACAAAAATACCATTTTCTTGAAAATGACTTCACACCAGGAGCCATAATTTTACAGGATGCTTTAGACTGTCATTTACCAACATCCTATTAAGGTATTTTGTAAAATCTTGATAGTTTATTTTTCGATGTTTTCAAATGTTGTATATTCCCTTTAAACGGCCATTACATGTCAACAGAATGTCTGATAAAAGTGCAACAAACAATATTGTAAGGAGAATTTTATTCTCTTTCTTAACACCTGCAAACCCTCATTTCAACCTCTGCCCAGTTCTGTCTCATTTTGCCAGAACGCCTCACAAATACGAAGCCAAGATTTCGTAAACAAGTGCAATGACCGAGCGAGTGTTTTCTGCACACTGTTGGATTTTGAAGGATTGGGGAAGATTCCTAGCAAAAAAATTCCTAGGAAGTTGGGGTAAAATAAACCAGACCAACAACTCCATTTTGTTACATCTAATAATCATTTCAATAAACCTCCAAAAAAAAAAAAGAAGGAAAAAAGTTCTTCCATTTCCCTGCTCTAGTCCCTTTCAAGCACAAAATTATTTTCAAATTTCCAAAAATATTTTCTTAAAAACAAAACTGCATGCTCGCTTCATTACCTTGAAGAGGTCGACGCTACTTTGGTCTCAGCTCCAAAGTATTTTACTTCTTTATTTGTCGTCTCCATAAATTGCACATTATACACCGTCTTTTATATGATTAAGCAGCAAGCATTAAAAATGGGATTATGTTCAACCAGATACTGACCAAAAATCAAATGATTTCAAAAATGCAAAACAAATACCACAAATTCCTGAAGAAAAAAAAATGTTTTCTTTCAGCATTAGCTTTTTCTCTTACCAAATTGGCAGGAAAAAAGTCTCATGTGGCGTCCACTGAGAGAACTTATAATAAAAGGGTGTGGCCCATCAATGAATTCTTGGGGGAGGGGCTTATTTCCAAAAAAACTGGAGTAAACTTTCAGCTAAATGTTTTTCTTAAACTGCAATTCAAACTGAAGTTGAAGCCTAAGCTACTTTTTCACAATTATCTTCAATTTCATTGATCTCTTATTTGTAATCATACGTTGACCTAAATTTGATGTCCTTTTTTTGCAAATGCACTAAGAAACCCACTTCAGTAGAGGGTGATATGGATATTAGCGTACATTTTTCTATAGTTTTACTGGTTATCTTGCGACAGGCTCTTTACAAATTCAGATAATTTACATCAATATGCCACTGGTCTCGTTAACTGCAAACATTTTTACAAGCTAACTTGGTACTTGCGTTTAAACCACCTATAGAAAAAAAATTCAAATGAATTATAAAAATAATAAACCTAGGATACAAGCGATGGCAAAAAAACTTGGCACTTCTTTTCTGATGCAAACTCTTGTAGCGGAGTCATTGTTAACACACAGATGTGTTCTATTTTTTTTTTTTATGGGACTCCAAAAGGATCCAACATTACTGTGTCTGTGAGACACGCTTTTCAGAGCTCCTTTTTACCCTCAGTTATTTTTGTCAAATGAAATTCTTGACAAATTCAAATGCAAGATATTCCATAAAAAAAAAAAAAAAAAAGTTGTATAAAAAAAAGCAAGCATGGAATTCCATGATATATTTTTGTTACTATTTGATAGTGTGACTGGTACTTGTTACTATTAACCAGTTCGCGCCGTATGACGTGTATACATGCAAAGGTTTTGCGGTATTCAGAACGGATGACGGATAAACACGCAGGGAGCGAGGCCGGAAACATCTGTCTGCGACCCGCTCGCAGCGAGCGAGGCCGGAAATAAGAGTGTGCTGCCTGAGGGTGATGGCTTCCACCCGCCTGGCTTGAGGTCGAGTGAAAATTAATCCCGCGCCTCGTACCGTTCTTGTAAAAATAATCCCGGCATGAACTGGTTATAAAGAAGCCTTGCTTGTCACAAGCAAGTCCTTTAAAAAAAATCCTTACTGCAAAAAAAAGATATTATTTGCATTTTACTACAAAGTAAGAAAAAATTAAGCATTTGATAGGGAATTATGCCTTATTTGTTAAAATTAAATTGGGCTTCAATGAAATATCGTACTTGACTTGATAAACATTATGAGCATAAAATGGTCAAAATGATCAAGAATCAAAATGCAAAATGAACGCAAAAATACAAACGGAATTTGCCTTGGAAAAAAAAACACCAGGGATTTTGGAGTTGTGTAAACTGTGATCCAATTTAACAGCCTTAGAAACGATTACCATTACCGTGGCAACAATGCTTTGACCAAATTCCTTTTTAAAAAAGTTCATTGTGTTAGCTCAACTCTTGCCTTGCAAATACGCAGCCATTAATTTCATCAATTGAAACAATTGAAATACTAATAAAAAATTTGTTCTGTGAATTACAACAGGACAAGTCATACTAATACCTCCACAAATTGGTCAAGCTATTAGTTGGTTTGTATCGCAGAATGAAAAAAATAAATATGAACCAAAAGAATTATGGCTTCAAAATGTAAGCGGCTAAGCTATATAAGCTCAGAGCAATGTAAGTTAATTTGGCTGAAATTGTATGGATATTTTTATTGACAAATTTTTCCATCACTTTAAGACAGAACGACAGAATAGCTGACAATGCAGCAGAATGCTGCAACGAACACTGACATACTGGACATTTGTCTACAACCCTTACCGTACTAAATCCAACAACTTCCAAGAGTGTGCAATTTTGTTAGATTCTGTTGGATTAACTCTCACCCTCCCAGATCCTTCAAAAACCAACGAGAGGACTTGGAGGCTTTGGTAGGATCAAGAGGTTTGGAGGATTTTGTGGGATCAAGAGGATTTCATAGATTTTGTAGGATTAAGAGAAGTTGGAAGGACTTTGGTAGGATAAAGAGGATTGGGAGACTTTGGTAGGATTTGGAGAGTTAAGAGGATTTGGCGGATTTTGTAGGATCAAGAGGATTTGGAGGGCTTTGTAGGATCAAGAGGAGTTGAAGGCTTTGGTATTATTAAGAGGATTTTGAAGGATTATGAGGATTTTGTAGGATAAGAGGATTTGGAGGCTTTGGTAGGATCAAGAGAGTTTGGAGGATTTTGTAGGATTAAGAGGTTGGAGCCTCACATTCTTAGGTTGTTGCACATTTGTGGATTTAAGAGGATTCAGGTTTTTTTTCCCAAACAAAAATGCCTTGGGAGTTAGGTTTAATCCAAGCTGTTGTTGGGTTCTGTTAGATTCAGCATGCCCAGTGGAAACGTTTACGGAGATCCCTTTACAAATTCCCTTTACCTACTGATCTGTTGTGTATAATACATACATCCACTGCCACATAATCACGTTTAACAAACAGTTTTGTATGTGGATTGTACGGTGCTCTTTGCAGCAACATTCTTCACTGTTTTCTTCAGAGGTATCAATTTAACATCATCTTGCGTCAATCCGGGCATAAAAATTTACCTCCGAAATGATTATTATTAGTTTACTCCACAAAATGGCAAGCATTTTTGCACATACCTTAGAGACAGGCACCAGAATTTAGACTCCAATTATTTAATAGCGATTTCCATTACGGAAATTTGTTTATTCTTTAAAAGATTGATATACATTTACACGGATAGGTTCCCGCCCCTGGTACTACAGTTTCCCCGGTAACCGAGACGTGTCACCTTGCTAGGATGCGCCGGTTGAGTTTTGACCGGGTACCGACTTGCGCCCTCGCGTCATGCGGTCCAACTCGGCCGCTGCGTCGCTACGTACTGATTTGTCTCCTGTCAAAAGAAAAGAAAATACTCAACATTTGATGACACTCACAACGGAGTATTACTCTGAGCGTCTTAAAGATTTAAGGGCAAGAACAGCCCTTAACACAGTGACATTGTTCATATGACCTTTGACACAGGGTCAACTTCATTTACATATGCACAGATAAGCTCGACATTGTTGACCACAATCTATTTTGGTTTTCAGATAGGAGAAATTGTACGCATTCATTTTCTGTTGAAAAGATTCTGGAGTAATTCCGAATGACTGCAAGAGTTCATTTGATGGAATTTGCCCCTTATTAATTCAAACATCCAGCTTTTTACGGGCTGAAATCAAATCGTAAAAATAATTTGGTTCCATACAACTCTGGAATCAGTTTGAGAACAGACAGAGGTGGCAGCAAGTCATTTTTTGCAAGTCCAAGTCAAGTCACAAGTCATTGTTTGCAAGTCCAAGTCAAGTCACAAGTCATTAGGTCCAGTCACAAGTCAAGTCACAAGTCATTAGGTCCAGTCACAAGTCAAGTCACAAGTCATTTGGCATGTTTGGTCTAAACACAAGTCAAGTCACAAGTATCTTTGTCCAAGAACACGTCAAGTTGCACATTATTTTGTTCAGCTTTAAAAAAGAACCTGGCGTTAACTAACAAGTTATTTTGAACATGCCTCCTTAATTCCCCTTTTTCAATGTGTTGCAATTACTATTCTTGTAGTTTATCACATATCCGTCGGATATTAGCCCTTTGTATACTTTAATAAATGTACTTTACATTGTAGAAATAAGAGATGACATGAAAAAAAGACTTCACTCACTCGATTACATGTATAGTATACTAACACTTTATTGTTCAATTTTCATGTATACTAAACGCCTATACCAATGGGTTAAGCTATCCGGTATTTTACATGCAATTGACAAAGGCATGCTTTCTTTTCATGAAAGGTTCCTTTCAAAGTTTGTTTAACCATTACATTAAGCAAGAGACTTGGTCATTGAAAACTGTAGTTTGTTATGACAGTCTTATTGAAAACTTTTGAAACTAGTGGGAACTATTCATTTTACTGGATTCAGTCACTGAGGTCTATTTTCTGGAATGAAACTTTCTCGCTGCAACTATAAACTGCATTTATAAACACCTTGAGTGGCCTTTTGGGCCTTGTGATGGGCGACTTCAATTAAAATAAAATCGAGTAGCGTCTGACTTGGGTTGGTAACAAGTCATTTTTTGCAAGTCCAAGTCAAGTCACAAGTCATTGTTTGCAAGTCCAAGTCAAGTCACAAGTCAAAGCTGGTATTTACAAGTCAAGTCACAAGTCACAAAAATAGCGACTCGAGTCCGACTCGAGTCCAAGTCACATGACTCGAGTCAGCAACTCTGAGAACAGATGTCAGACTATGGGGCGCGAGGCTAGGGGGGGGGGGGGGGGAGGCTGGAGGGGGGAGAGGGGAGGCTGGAGGGGGGAGGGGGGGGAGGCTGGAGGGGGGAGGGGGAACTGTCCGATGACTGACCTGGTTTCGGACTCGCCGGTGACCCTGGTGAACCTGTCCCTGTTTTCTTACTGAGTAAACTGTTGAAGAAATTGGCTAAGACTCCTTCATTGGTTGCTCCTGGCTTCCCTGGCTCCATCTAGGTAAACAAAAGCATGTAAACAAAAACATTAATATGTACACAAAAACATAAATATGTAAACAAAATCATAAATATGTAAACAGCCACTTAGATATAAATTCCTAGACATAAACATATGTCAGTGCACATGAACATATTTTATGAAATATGCGCTTTACCTGTATAAACGAATAACATTATAAAATTATCAAACAAAAACATAAATACCTAAGCGAACACATACATATATAAACAATGAGGATAAATGGCCACACTTTGCTTCAGGTTTATAATTTTAATGATGTGTTTTGCCCTTCGTTGATGTTATTTTATAAACATTTAGTGCTGTCCAAGAGCATACAGGGATGAGACTGTCAATTTAAAAAAAGTCTGAAAATTGATGAAATGTCTGAAAGATGCTTTTCTTTCCAAACTAATGTCTTTCTCTCAGATTCTATATCAGACAGAATTGGTCTCTGTGGAGAAGTCTGTAAAATCTCATGCCGGAGCTTAAAAGAAAAATCCACAAACTGACTAGGGTGACTATCGAACCACTGACCTCCTGTTTACAAGTGCAGAGGTACTACAAACAAAGAAAACCCTTCAACAAGGAAAATTACATGCACCAAAATATCAAGCTTTCTGACCTTTCCTTTTCCTGAGGGCGTGATGGGCGAGACACTGGCAACATTGGCTTTCCTCTCTGGTGTTCTCATTCCCATTGGTCTCTGTGGAGATTCCTGAAGGAAGAAATGGGAAAAAAATATGGGAAAAAATATGGAAAAATATGGGGAAAAAATATGGAAAAAAGTAAATTATAATTCGGATAAGTGGATTACATGTAGTTTAAAAGACAGAATGAGACCAAAAGTTCAAGTCAGTTATGCGCTTTGACAGAAGCGAACAGATCAAAAATTGAAGTCAGTGGATCAGTCTTATCTTATAGCTAAAGCTCAGAACAATCTTTGAAATGTACGCCAACGGAATTTAGAAAAATTACACTCGTTGCTTTATCGCAGAAAGTGTCAGATGAGAAGACACACACAGAGCAAGACACAGTGAGACTTACCTGCTGCTTAGCTGGAGGGATATTCTTGCTCAACATGGCTTGTTGTTTCATCAGGAAGACCTGTTCATCCTCTGCATTCACTTCTTTACTGTCTTGTAATGGCTGATTACAAAACAAAAACAAAAATTCAAATTACTTATTAAATTTTGTTAATTTCTATAATAACTCATGGGCACTTATGAAAATGCTGAAGATATATATATTTTTTTAAAGCAACTTTGATGAGTAGTCCAGATACTCAAAATTCTAATACTGAGTCCAGACGGACGTACCTTTCTGATAACTGGTTTCGCTACGACTTCTTCAAAGGGTTCTTGGGGGTTGATATTGGGCATATTTTCATAAAGAATGCCTATCTTCTGTAGGTTATCCCAACCAGAAGGCCTGTGAGCAGACAAACAAATGAACATCGATACAAGTAACAACATACGGTATGGACCAATCAGGTGAGTTCAGTTAGAAACCCATCATTGAGGTGGAAGTGGAAACATGCTCCCATGATTGTCTCATGAGTTCTTATAAGCACATAGGAACATTGGTTATTACCTGGAAACAGAACTACCGATTTAATGAGGAAAAACCTCGCTCACAGAGAAAATAGGGATGGTATACCAAATATCCTATTAAATTAGTTCGCCTGAAATGGTATCGTGCAGAACAAAACAATAATTGAAGTTGGTTCAAAAAGGTGTGTCTGCAGGCACACTTTTTTAACGTGTATTAGCATTCCAGGTATGAAACCTGCAGAAAATTGCGCAAAGTTTTGTGTGTTTTCTCAAAATGTTGGCAGGCACTGAGCTAAAACTTCCACAGTTTAGTTGTTTTACATTCTTCTTGAGATTTTGAGAAATTGTGTTGCTTCAAACGTAAAAATACCAACAAAAAGCAAACAATCCCATGTGCCTGAAACTTGGAGCATGGAGGATTTATATTGCAGCATATTGGTTACAGTAGCATCGACTACATGCGTACAAGTTACATGCTCAATTTAAACCATACACAATTTGTCTCTCCGGCAGAACTCTTGGGAGTGGCCAGGAAGGATTATGTACATGTACTGTTTGGGTTAATAAGCCTTACAGACAGGGAACATGGTTGGGGGAGGGAGCAGGGGTGGGGAGGGGGTGGGGGGCAGAGGAGGTGAATACTCACACAAACAAGGCGTCCTTTTCTACGACTAATGCTGGTTTGTGGAAGGGAAAGCCATATATCCTGTGCAGCAGATATTTGTAGAGTAGATCGCAATTCTTGCCTTCCTTTACCGATGTGTAGAATAACGCTGCGCCATCTACGTGACAAATAACTTAAGGAAAGACAAGGAAGGTGCCAACCTTTCTCTTTTTGTAAAATCATCACAGCCAGGTTATGCTGGTTTTTTAGGTAATGATTTCATTTATGGAAATCTTTTACACATACACAACAGCTTTTTATCCGAATACATTGTTTTTCTGCATCAGTAAATTTGCAATAATTTTTTTTTTTGGGATTCAAGGATTTTTTGGAAAAGGATACAGTTCAGGCAGAACTTTCTGATATGTTGTTGGATGAAGTCTAAATGTTCCATCTTAAAGTCGTGTTCTTTCTCCAAACTGGATATGGCGTCTGACTGTAGAATAAAAAAACAACACAAATGTAAAATATTCAAATTTTTGTATACCTTTTTATACCTGAAAATGTTCCAGATGTGAAGATGGAAAACAAATGAATCTTGAAAAACCTTAGTATTCATGATATCCACTGTCAAGCTGTAATATAGACCAACAAAAAGGGAAACAAATTCATGAAGAACACATCTCTGGGATTTGGGTAAATTACATTTCAGAAAATGTAACAGTCAGATGAGCATGTCATTGTCTCAGTAATCTTTTATTATGATCCATGGATTAGCCTATTCATCAATTTTACGGATTCACATTTTTGAACTAAATTGACGCTACACAAAAAACTCTTTGGAGTAATTACTACACTTATGTAGACTACAAAGCCATTAACAGCAATGGAAATCATTTGCAAACGAATGTATTTTTGCCAATTCAAGGAACAATAATACCATAAATCTGACGCAAGTTATTGAAGAAATAAACCTGTCAACATTTCAGCTCAGTAGATATATATTTTTGTAAAATCTGTGAAAATGCATTTTCTTTTTTTCTGACGCATTCAAAGCCTTCCCTTCCAACTTGTTCATTAGTACGTTTTGACTTGCACCCTTTTCTGGTATGATCCCTAATTTGTCACTCTGAAAAATAATTCCCCATTCATGAATATGTAACCCACTGCAAACTAAATTGTATTTTGGTTAATTTGGGGCAGTTTTTAAAAAACCAAAGCTGTTTTTTCCCTCCCGATGATTTCATCCTAACCATCATGAGGAAATGATCGAAATTGCTCTGTCCTCGATAATGCCAGCATACTAGACGCAATGATTTCATAGGATGTATGATCCTATTATTCACTACAATCCAGTAAATTTCACAATTTTAGACGCTTTCATTTTTGAAAATGTTTGCAAATGGTCCATTACCTGTTAGAACCAATTTAAGAGGCCAACGACCAGCAGTTGATCCTAACTTTCAACTCCTACCTTAAAAAAAACTCCCACAAAGAGTCAAAACTGACTTTTTGTTTACCTTTGTAACTACGACAACAATGGGTATTCCCAGGTTATGCGTGAGTGTGGTTTCCCCTAACGGGAGCAGCACTTTTTCGTCTTCCCCGCCCACCGTGCCAGGTGCTGTCGTTCTCCTGGGGGATTTAGGCTCCTCCCCCTCCTCGGGTTCAACGTACTCTTGGAATTGTTGCACCACTGAGGAAAACACATCATAAAACAATGAGGGTATATATGAATATTGAATGAAGTGACCTCAATGATGTCATTGTTTAATATTAGATATTTGTGAGTCATTCTGGCAAAATGAGACAGAACTTGGTAGAGGTCGATCTAAGGATTTACCAGTATTAGGAAAGAGAATAAAATTCTCCTTTCAATATTATTTGTTACACTTCACTTGGACATTCCATTGACAAGTTATGGCTGTTTTAAGTTCGAATTTATCGACATGTCAAAAAAGTAAAATACTGAGAAAAAGGCATTGAAAGTTTCGAGTTTTGTATCTGTGGAAATAAAATAGGCAACTATTTTACTGTTAAAACTTTTTTGTTGTACGATTTTTCTTTTAACATACATGTATGTGTAGTAGACATATCCAAAAATTACAAATATCAATAAATCTGAAAATCGAAAAAACAATCACCCTATTTTGTTTTTAGCATTTTTCTCCACTACTGTCTCTGCCCCGTTCCGTCTCATATTGCCAGAACGCCTCACATTTGTGGGTTAACCCAAAGTCTTATAATTACACACTGATCATTTTACCACTTCACTCTTATCTTCGTGGTATGTCCATCCTGTAAGCCCCCACCTAACCACCCCATCCCCCCCCCCCTCGGCTTCTTGTAAAATTGTCAGTGTCATCAACATTATCATCAACAACATATCTGTTAGCTTAAGACTATTGGAACAATGCAGCATTGTTTACAGTTTTGTTTTCCATTCAGGTTTGTTTTCAGCAGCCCACATTGATCAATTCATATTTAAATATCAATTTTTTGTTATAACCTAACTCCCTAGGCCCTTTTTGCTAAGAACCATCCTCAATCCTCCAAATTGTACAACAGCACCTAAATTCTTCAAAATTGTCAGACAGTCCTGCCTCAAAATGCATTCATCCTCAATCCTCCAAAATCCTCCTCATCCCAAAATGTTGCACTTGTGTTTAAATGAAGAATAACCAACGCCTAAATCCTTCAAAATCATCAGACAGTCCTGCCTCAAAATGCATTCATCCTCAATTCTTCAAATCATCCTCATCTTCAAACACCATTCATCCACAATCCTCCAAAATCCTCCTATGCTTCAATCACCATTCATCCTCAATCCTCTAGAATCCTCCAAAACCGCCAGGATGATTTTGGAGGAGTGAGGAGGGTTAGTGTTTTAAGACACCTCTGCCTTCATTACAGAATACATCTTGAAATAAATGTGGAAAACTGACCAACGTACCCCTTCTTACAATGTAACTTACATGCTTGGCATTTGGATGTCTTTACAATTGTTAACTTTCAAAAATTACAACTGTAATATTTTTCTCCAAAATGGCCATACATAAGAGGTAATTTCAGGGATGCAAATTTTTTACATCCAAGATGCAAAACTGTACATTTTTCTTGAACAATGATCTTCCCTGATCAAGTGATTCCCAAATTGTAAGATGTGTCACTCATTTTAGCAAACCAGTCCACAAACATATGTTCACTACAGTCTGCCTTCCCCTGAATGTGCCGCAGGCCATATGAAGCGGTGGAGAACGCAGAGGCTCCGGGCCCACTGTACACATTATAAGATCTCGTTAATACCATTTGTGGAGGGAGTTAAACTTAATTAAATGGGTAGTCCATATCACTGATGGTAGATTGTAAGTCTCGGTAAGCAGACACGGAACGGATTACAATACTAAGAAGTGAGATGCATTGCAAGACACAGTCGTTGACGTAATGCAATCTTGAAGAATTTAGGAGGGAATGATAATGAGGTGTTTTGTAAGAACTACGATCAACAAAATTGTTTTTATGGACACAGTTTTTTTATAGGGGGGTGTTTTGGTATATGGAAAGGTGAATATAATTACCAAATATTTTAAACTGATTGAAATAACATTAGTGAAGACAACCACAACTCAATCATCATCTCGTTTTGCAGCATTTTTATGGACTCAGTTTTAAAGGCAACACAGTACAACATTTGCAAACATAAACAAGTCAGGTGTGTTTACAAACACAAATGCCCCGCAACCGTGACTGTTCCCATGACATAACACCACTCTTTTAACATCAACTTACATGTACCTTGGTCACATGGAACATTCATTGACAGCATTAGTGTCTTCTGTAGGTTTTATATGAATTAATCCCTAATCCCTATAATCTCAGAATAAATACAAGATTTCTATTGTTTTAGCCACTGTGAACTTGACCCTTGACCTTTTGGCCCCAAATTCAATAGGCTTCTTAGGATTACCAAGAACAATCCACAAACCAAATTTGAAGTTCATATGTTAAGTATTTCTCAAGTTATCGCGCTGACAAGATTTCTATTGTTTTAGCCACTGTGAACTTGACACTTGACCTTTTGACCCCAAATGCAATAGGCTTCTTAGGATTGCCAAGAACAATCCACAAACCAAATTTGAAGTTCACATGTAAAGTATTTCTCAAGTTATTGCGCTGACAAGATTTCTATTGTTTTAGCCACTGTGAACTTGACCTTTGGCCTTTTGGCCCCAAATGCAAAAGGCTTCTTAGGATTGCCAAAAACAATCCACAAACCAAATTTGAAGTTCACATGTAAAGTATTTCTCAAGTTATTGCGCTGACAAGATTTCTATTGTTTTAGCCACTGTGAACTTGACCTTTGGCCTTTTGGCCCCAAATGCGAAAGGCTTCTTGGGATTGCCAAAAACAATCCACAAACCAAATTTGAAGTTCACATGTAAAGTATTTCTCAAGTTATCGCGCTGACAAGATTTCTATTGTTTTAGCCACTGTGAACTTGACCTTTGGCCTTTTGGCCCCAAATGCGAAAGGCTTCTTAGGATTACCAAGAACAATCCACAAACCAAATTTGAAGTTCATATGTTAAGTATTTCTCAAGTTATCGCGCTGACAAGATTTCTATTGTTTTAGCCACTGTGAACTTGACCTTTGGCCTTTTGGCCCCAAATGCAAAAGGCTTCTTAGGATTACCAAGAACAATCCACAAACCAAATTTGAAGTTCATATGTTAAGTATTTCTCAAGTTATCGCGCTGACAAGATTTGTCCGGACACACACACCCACACACCCACCCACCCACACACACACCCACACACCCACCCACCCACCCACCCACGGAAGGACAAGGCGGAAACAGTATGCCCCTTCGGCTTCGCCGCGGGGCATAAAAAAAAAACTTATCAAATTATTATGAAATACCTTACTTGACTTGTGAAATCATGGCACCTGGTGTGCTGTCATTTCCAAGAAAAGTGGAATTTCTGCATTGATTTCCAACGATGGTCAGCCGACCATCGTTGGAAACTGACTTGTTTTCTGATACAGCCCCCAATGTACCAAATTTATTTAGTCCACATTTTGTTTACAATCGGTTACACATCCGTGAACGGGTGCAAATCAGCTAGTCTGGTTCCCTGACCTGACAACTGCCCGATGTCTACATATTGTTCTGTTTCATCTGAAGTAGGATCTGGGAACCAGACTACAAGAAGATGATTTTTCTTGGTTTTCTCAACATCTTTGAACACAAACTTTAAACAGGTCAGTGTAATAATATTTTCCTATGAAATACTAACCCCCAAATCTATCCATTTCAGAAAATCACAGCAAAATCAAAGGTTGTGTATTTCTTTAACCCTAACCCCTTTTTACTAAAAAGTATCCTGAATCTGCCAAAATCCATCAATTTTGCCATGCCAAAAATGTTGGTTGACAGTGAGTCCATCAGAATCCACCAATTAGCCGGGGGTAAATCTGTTGAGATCCTGAATCCATCAAAGTCCCTCAACTGCTCAATATGGGGGTATCTTCAATCCATAAAAATCCTGCAGTTCCGCTAGGCTTACATTCCTGAATCCATCAAAATCCCCAGTTTTTTTGCAATATGGAGGTATCCTGAATCCGCTGAAATCCCCTGAAACAGGGGTGTGGATTTTGATGGATTCAGGTACGTTAGGGTTAAACTACCTGTACTATATGGGTTTGAATACCCAAGTTTTTAAGTGTAAGGATATACATTTATGTTATTGCACAGTGATTTTTTTTGTTTTTTAGCTGACATTGCTTTTTGGGCAAATAATTGTGAGGAATTTTCATAAAATATTCTCCCAGTTAGTGTTATAAAGGTTTCCATACTCTAAACCTTTCACTCTCACAGATAATAAATATTTAATATATGCAGGATAATCCCCAATGTGTGAAATAATTAACAATGGAAAGGACCACCTGATACATGTACTGACGGTGTACATGCGCACAGGAATGCTCAGACGTCTCCGTATTGGGTGGGGGGGGGGGGGGGGGGGAGGGACGACGACATTATAGTCACTATGTCTGTACAATACACACCTGTAATCACCAGTCAAGTTCACATTATGCAGCAAACTGACAAAAAAGGCAGTCATTGATTTCAGCTTTGATTGCAAACACATAAACCAGTCTGAATAAATAAATCGCAGTAATTATACCCTGGATTTATACAATTCATAATTAATTGATTTTTTTTTTGGACGAGGACCGTCCATCTGGTCAAAACAGATTGACAGCATGTGCCTCATAGCATTTTAACTCGCAAAGCATTTTACATGTTTGTACAATCATACATTGTATTAAAATACATGTATTGTTTTTTTATTTTATTTATAGGCCTATGTACTGAAAATACCATTACATCTGAAAATCTACACAAGTTCATAGTACATGTCCATGTTAATGTCTGGCTCAGCATGTAAAACATCTGTACACACTGTCATAAACAAACGTACTGTAAACTCTAGCCCTTAAAAAAAATGACAACAGAAAAACCATTGTTTTGAACTGCTTCTACTGGAGAAAAAATGTTGAACCAGATGGGTATTTTCAAATGAAAATCTGCACTTAATTACTGGGTATTGATTGAACTGACCTAGATGAAAATGTGTGATAGGAGTAATCGTGCATACACTGGGCAGTGTGATGTGTATGAGAAGTATTCATAGAGTGAGAACAGTAGCAGATGTACTTGGGTGGTAAATTGGCATTTTCAAATGATGATTGAATTTTTGTTTTTACAAGTACACTATAAACATTAATTACTTTCAGCAGGTGTACACATACATGTACAAGGTGTTTGTATAGTCCAGGGGATTTTCTGTCAGGATGGAATGTCCATTATATGTCACATATTTTTTTTTTTATTGTTCTGTACATGTACCGGCACATCCACATTTAATATTCACCATTGTAATGCAGTATATGCATACATGTCAGTGCGTGGAATACGGTAAATGTACTGAATAACATTAAAGGGAATATACAACATTTTCTTTTGCTGTAATTTGCAGAAATGGATGGATTTAAGCGATAGTATTTGATAGCAAATATTGTTACATTGACCTGTTTAAAGTTTTGTGTTCATAGATGCTGAAAAAGCCAAGGAAAAAAAAATGCTGTTCTTGTAGTCTGATTCCCTGACCCTACTTCAGACAAAACGGAGCAATTTATACTACATCGGGGATCATTGTGAGGGCAGGGAACCAGACGACCAGGCATTCAGCCGACCATCGTTGGCATTGATACAAAAAAGCCCACTTTTCTTAAAAGTTACAGCACACAAGGTGCCATGATTTCACAGGATGCTTGAGACTATTATTCACTTACAGTCAAGTAAGGTATTTCATAATAATTTGGTAACTACAGTTTTGTTTTTTGATGCTTGCAAATGTTGTATATATTACCTTTAACAAAAGGTGGGCGTGACTATATATAGAATCCAAAATGGTCCATAACAGAATTGATCGAACACACGGCTCACGTCTGTGACAATCACAAAAATAAATGTTAAAACTCGGTCAGAATGTGTTAGCCGAAAGTCTCAAGACACAGTACTTACATCTCTCCTCCAGTTCCCGTAGTCTCTCGGGCGGCAATCTCAACGTATCTATGTGTCTTCTGAGCAACCCCACCCACTTGTCGAGCATATCCATGATAGACCACGGTTTGGACATGTCCACCATCAAGATGGCTAGGGAGTGGCTCAGGCTGGCCGGCGTCAGCGCAAACTTGAGGAGTTCGGAATGTTCCTCCTCGCCTCCCAGGATCCACACTCCGCACCGTGTGCTGTCTGGAAAGACGAAGATAGAAAACAAAATGAATTCCAGAAGTGTGGAGTGCTGTGGGCTTGTGGTTAGGAGCACTGAATTTGTGGTCTGCGGGTAATTCTGCAGGTTGTGGGTTCAAGTCCAGCCTCGGGTTGTGGTACATGTACGTATGCCCTTGGGCAAGACACTTTGTCACTCATTGCTTCTCCCCACCCAGGAGTAAATGGGTACCTGTTAGGGCAGAGATGATTATTGTGATTGACTTAAGCTGTTTTACGCCACAACGGCAGCATCTTTTGAGATCCCCGTGGATGGGCAACACCCCATGGGCGTATTGGTCCTCGCATATAGTGCAAGGTACGCACGACTATTCTAATCTGAATGTGTACAACTTTATTCCGAATGTGTACAAATCCATGGCGTCCACGCACAAGCGTCGTCAGCAACGCATTCGAATGTCTAACCCAGTGGTCTCTCCCAACTCTCACTTTCTTACCATTGAGGGGGTACTTGTGCACGGAGCCCATAGTTTTAGTCTCCTAACATTTATGTATAGTGCAAACATATGCCTTGTGTTCTGGTGATATTTGTATAAATTAGGAAACATCAACTGGAATATAACATTGGAATCAAAATGTATTCTCTCAATGACTTTACATTTCATAGGATGGTATACTGTGTCAATCTGGGGAAGCCTTTCAAGAAAATTATTTTCAAACGAAAGCAAAAGCTGAAGATCATATGTCACAGTCCAGTCACTTTGCCCCAATTGCTTCTCTACACATAATGTACAATCTGTAGCATCCAAGAGCACACACTTGATATCTCTCAAGCACGTGAAGGTTAGTAATAGTTGATTACTGCCTAGAGAGTAACAGCAAAGATATTACTGCCACCTGATTCCGATTCTGTATAGCTCCACGGGGAAACTACTGTGGTAATGATGGGGTAATATTAATCCCCGGGTAATTTGCCACCACATAAGTGATGACTGGTTTTTCTGAAGTGCTATACATGTACACGTAACCATGGAACCATGATGTGACTAATTTAAGAAAAAGATCAAGTCCTGTTTTTGTCCTTCATTTCACATATTTTAAACTGCGGACTACAAATGAAAGTATGGGCTCCGTGTGCCAACAAAAGAGGGCGTACTTTTACCTAGCAACGGCGTCCCATGGGCGGAACACATACATTTCGCTGGTTGACACGCACGCACTGTTCCTTGTGTGTGACGCAAGTACACCAGGGGATTTGTACTATGTACACGCAGTGGCCGCGCTTCGCGGCGAAATATTGCAGTCAGGCAAGATGGCATCGTTCGGTCACCCCCAACTGTACTTTCTTTGCCGGTGAGGGGGTACTTGTGAACAGAGCGGATAGCCTGCACATGTAGTCAGACATTCAAAATGTAACTTTAATTTTAGCAGAGAAATTGACTGGAGTTTGAACCTGCGAGCTCTACCAACTGAGCTATCCAGCCCTATGTTGGCGGTTCCCCATTTTGTTCAATGGGGAGCTACTCAGAAGCCATAAACTCAAATGCTAGGTAGCCAGGGATCACGCCCCAAATTCACAATGCTAGCAACATCAGCAATGCTGCGAACCTGGGAAATACATGCAGCAAGCGGGGATCACCCAGAGAGGATATGGTTTTCAATTTCACATTTTCAAATAAACCGCAAAGGGAAACCGACTAAGGGAAAATGTAAATTGACTGTAAATGTTACTGAATACTTAGATAACCCTATGGAAAGTGTGTACGTTAAGTTTAGTTTTTCTCAGATTTTGCTCGTTCTGCGTCCATTTGAGTATCATGTAACTGGACAATATGTCACAAGCTGCATTGATGTGATTCTACCGCGATAGGTTAATACTCACACTGCATTAAAGTCAATGGACACAACTTAGACACACCTTTCCGATCTGGGTCATGTCAATTTCCCCGTGTTTTTCTTAATTCCCTAATGGACTAAAAGTGGAAACTCATTTTTAAGGTTTTCCATGATCATGATGGTTAACAGAGCGGCTGGGAACGCTGTTAATACAATGTCAAACTTTGTACACATTCTGCAGGCAACTGGTCACTAATACATAATCAAATACGGAAACTGAAACCTAGACTATACATTTTACATGTATTGTATTTTAGGCCTATATGTAAATTTATGAGGGGGGGGGGAGGGGAAAGAAATAGAAGAAAACACCTGTTTACACTTATTGCAAATTTATGCAGATAAAAGAAGAACATGTGGATAATTCCTCTCAATCGTATTTGTAATGTCAACCACAACAGCCAATTTTCTGTGAAGAACACAGGAAATAGACTACCGGTACGGTACGTACATGTACATGTACACTAGACATGAATATGAGCAAAATGTAGAATATGAGCAAAATGTGTACCATATTATAACAACACGTGATGTGTAGTGCAGTCTGGTTTGCAGGCTAGTTTATTATGTGTGGGTGGTGCTGACCTACATGTACATGTACCACACATGTTCATTACAATATGCACATGTATGTACTTACATGTACGTCCACAATGTGGGCCAAATACGTATATTGGCCTTGAATGGTCATGTATGTACATTTGTACATGTACACATCATGTTCATAAGACTGACTGACAGTTTATCACAACATGTAGTCAATCATTTCATTTTGTATAATATTGAATGAGTAAATGGTCTTGGTACTGCAATGCACTGATTATATGTACGGATTACAAAATATTAAAGGGACACTAGGTCCTGGAACAGCCAAATTGGGCTACAAAACGCGCTTTAAACGAGATGATGTTAATCGGAAATAAACATTTAAAAGTCGGATATAAACATCCACACAACTATCCTTTAAAAACTGGGCGGTTTTCTGTTATTCCTGTATTATGCGTGTGAAAACGAATTTCAGGGTCCACTTTTGCAACCCCATAAATTTGAGCTGTTTGGATGCTAGTTGTGATTTCATTCGTAAAGTGTTCGCCTTTTGCAGACATTGAAGAAACCATATTTGTTTGCATTGGTGATTGGTCACCGCTGTTCCCGAGACACATTATCATACACTGAGAACGACATGAAAAACATAATCGGAAATAATCATTTAAAAGTAGGAATAAACATCCACACAATTTTCATCTTTTCTCGGGAACGGTAAGACATTAGGTTGGTTTCCTTTCAACCAGATGTTTGAAATAGGCTTACAATGTAGTAAACAATCCAAAACATGGAATTTTTGGGGATTTCAGGACCTAGTGCCCCTTTAAACGATGGGCAAATTTACTGATTTAAAACAAAGGTGCACACTCAGAATTTCTGTTAAAAAGGGAACAGGAAGAAATTAACTAGAAAATCTACTCTATCATAAAATATTCCATGATAATTATCAATGAGAAAGTATTATATTACAGGTCAAAGCAATGTCTATTTAACACAATGGAAAAAACAAACAATAAAACGCAAGTGATATGTACATGTACATGTACATTTCAAGGTAAAATACAACATTTGCATTTGCTGTAATTTCAGAAATGGATGTATTTTAAAGAAAACATTGTTAAACTTAACCTGTTTAATGTTTTGTGATCATGGATGTGGGAAAACCCAAGAAAAAAAATTTGTAGTCTGGTTCCCTGACCCTACTTCATACGAAATGGAGCAATTTATAGCCGTCGGGGATGTCAGGTCAGGAAACCAGACTAGCTAGCTTGCGACCGTTAACAGATGTGTAACTGATTGCAAACAAAACTTGGACTAACTAAATTTGGTAAAACGGGGGCAGTATTTGAAAAAAAGTCAGTTTTTTTCCCAACGACAGCCAGCCAACCATCGTTGGAATTTTTTTTCTTGGAAATAAGATATAAAAATTCCACTTTTCTTGAAAATGACAGTGCACCAGGTGACACAATTTCACAGGATGCTTGATACTATATTATTACAGTCAAGAACAATATAAGGTATTCATAAATCATAATGATTTGATAGTTTTGTTTTTTGATGTCTGCCAATATATTACCTTTAAGGCATGTACTGCTGCATAATACAGGCCTACGCCTACTCACTACAAGGCTTATACAAGCCTGTTCTTTTGTTTTGGTCTGGCACACTTAAAGGTCGCATACTTATCACCCGACAAGTGTCTCGCCCAGACAACATATGGGAATCAATGACAGACATTGGCAGCATCGATCCCTAGTCACAGTAACCCTTGGATCTGCTGATTACATACGCATCGTGTTTTTATTTAAACGGTGGCCTTATCATCGTTTTCACGCATCACATGTGGAGTGCAGTTAATCTATTGATCATTCTTTTTTCAAGTTCGAAAATAAACATGCGGTGTTGATGTCTGCTGGGATTAGACATGTGATAAATGATGGGCTTGAACTGAAAGTCAGGGGACACACCTGAATATGAAATTGGCATTTTCATCTTTTTGACTGTCTGAGCCTAGACAAATTGAATTCTTGAAGAAATGAAAAGTGATCCTTGGTTAACCAGTGTCAATGTCATTTTTATTCAAAATGCAGCTCTCAGCTCGAGATACGGCCAATTCAACACATGAAACATGTTTATGTTTGCCTTTAAACGGCATATAAAAATTAAGCAAACATTGACATGTGTTAGCCATCAGAATTATTACATGTACATGTGACTTCATTCTAATGTGCTGGTAGGCTGTTTGTGTACGCAAATTTGTATATTAATATTATATTGATGACTGACGCGAGTGTTTATCTATAGTCTGCTGTGGGCAAGGGTCTACAGCAGTGACTTTAATTACTGTTAGGCTGGCTATGCAATCCTTCACTGTTTCTGGCTGTGAATGGTTGATTAATTCCGTTGGACTTTGAAAATCATGCATAAACAATGGACATGTTAACTGCACTTTTATTGAAATATCATCTAAAGACTAAATCCACCAGTACCGGTAAATTTGTGCAATTACCCTTGAATCACACAAAATGAAATTGTTGAGGACACTTTTGACACACACATATTTCCGTTATGAATAGGCTTGGTATTCAGTTGAAACAAAGCACCTTTATTCCTAATGAACTTCGACACTGGGTTAACTTGATTTCAATATTAAACAGGCACAATTGTATACAGGCAAAATGTTGCATTCTGCATTCTGCACATATTTGTGAACTTGGTCAATTGGACATGGGCGGTAGCAAATATTGCAATTCTAGAAACGTTGAGGGCATCGCCTGTCCTCAGATATAAGGTCAGGTTTCTAGTAAAAGGGAGTGGAGTGCTTTTGTTCTCAAAAGAAGCAGTGAGCTTGCTGCTGCAGCATAATAGGGCAGTACACACCTACTTCATTATATTAAAACTTAACCATCCTATGCAAACAAACATTCTGTGCCAAGTTGTCCTTTTGGTCAAAATCAATCAAGTGACTGTTTTCTCCCAGAAGAGCTCCCAGCCTTCATAAAGCAGGATTGACTGGCTGTGACTGTTTACGTAACTTGATATAATTATGCTTTGACTGTAGGTGATTGATATGACAGCTGTGCCACCAATTTCCTGCTTTTGTCTGTCAACTGAATTTGACTTGTCAGAGTGCTTGCTTAAACTATGATCTGACTGTTTGTGACTAGCATACATGGGTAAAAAGCATGGCAGGGGAAGTGGATGGACTTTTTGACTGTCTGAAACTGTTCAAACAGTAGCAGGGTTAAAAGGCAAGGCAAGATGTAAGTAAAAGATGAAACTCCTCATAAAAAATAAAGACATCCAAAATTTATCGTTTTTTGCACAATGGTGTACAAAATCCCACAAACTTCGTGGACTCTGGGCTGGATGAAGGAAGGCCAGAAAAGGAACAGCAAAGTTTTTGTATTTTGTCAAAGCCTTCAGTCCAATCTTCTGTGCAACTACGGATAATGAATGTCATCATCTATGCTAAGAATGCCAAGCCTAAGTTTATTCAGGAACCAAACAGACCCTAAAATATCATTCTGAGCTCCTGTCCAATTATTTCTGGGCCCAATTTCGTGGGAAAGGTTTATTGACATGTGTAAGAGAACACAACAGAAAATGTCCCTTTGCTATTCACTACCGAAGTGATTACAGAAGATATGCCAAAACCGGTCGTTGGCACAGCAACGGGATCACGCCCAAGGGCGGAATTCAGAAAAAGAAAGGAAAAGCAAGATATAGAGGGAGAGAGACTCAAAAAGAGAAGAAAAAAGAGGGCGAAACAAAATTATAGGGCAGTTCACGTCAGACCGTAGTCTGCTAGGATTAGTTGCACATACATGTGTAAGACAACAATAATTATTGGGAGTCTGTCATTCTTTTACTAAAATTAAAAAGCGACAGGACCAAGAACTGCAACGAGACAGCACGCGCGACAAGACAGAGGGCGCATGCGACGAGATAGAGAGGGCGTGCGTGACGAGACCAAAAAGGCGACGAGCGAGGAGATTTATGCTGTAAAATAAGCAGTAGATTACAGGAAAATGCACCCAGACCCCTCTGGGGGGGGGGGGGGGGGACATTTTTCCCCTCCCCCACGTTTTTAAGTGGGGGTATCATATCGTTTGTCCCTCCACCCCCCTTTTTTTGTCCCCGATTATAAACTGTAGCCTTCAGTTTGATTTTATAGCTCAGGATAGCTGATTCAATGACTCCAAACTCAAAATGGTTAACTGATGATCATTTGATGATCAATTTTCCAATAATTTTACTTTGCTTCGAATACACGTGCAGTACCAAAAGCTGGATCAGTTGCTTAGTGTGTGGCATCGCTCGCTATTATGTAACACTTCGATAGTGAATAACAGCTTAACACTACCAGCTAAACTATCACGAGAAAAAAACTATCCGCAGCGTAACAGATTTACTAATCATTTCCCCCTTTTTGACAGGTCAATGGAATAGACCCCTTGCACAGACACTGGATTGAAACAAATAGTCAAATATTCCATATCCATCCATGAGTTGACCTGTAGGGTCCTACTACACTGCGTCAACAAGCGTCAACAAGCGTCAACGGTCGTCAACAAGCATCAACAAATTTTGTATAAGTTTTGGAACATCATAATGACGTTTTTTATGGTAGAAATAGTGATGTTGTGCCCATTCTTGAAAATCACGCATTCTCGAGAATGGGCATGCACATTCTTGAGAATGTGCAACTGGATCCTTGCTCAATCTTGGCAAAAAATAACTCTTCCAGATTGAGCGCACATTCTCGAGAATGCGCGACAAGATAACGGTCTTGTCGATGCCGAGCACCGGCTGCGCTTGGCAAGTCTAGCTGAATCCTCGTTCACTGATTCTCAATAATTATACTGTTGCAACGCAAGGCGCTGAAAAGTAGAGTGGATATGATAAGTAAAGGCGTATTAATATGGGGGGGGGGGACCGGGAAAATATAAGAGACATAATAATACTAGTGCAAAGAATTCTGATTTTTGGGATAATAAAAGCGGGGGGGGGGGGGGGGGGGGGGGGACGTAAGAATGAAGAATGTGAAGAATGAGAATGAATACTGCGACATCCCATAGTGCTAATGCTATTTCCCATTTAAATTGCCACCAATTTATTGTTCACATCCCACCATAACGTCGCAGAGCTGGATTCTATCTAGTCAAAAGAGCAATTTTGGCAGCTTCTGGACATCGTTTTTTTTTCGTGGCACACATATGATACATGCAGGGACTTGTAACTTGTCTAGCCTAAATAAAGCACTTCCCAGACTAGTTCCCAGTCCTCCGTTATTACAAAACTTCCCATAGTGGGCAGAAAAAAGCAATAATAACAGGTTTAATTTGATTCAAATTATCGTAGTTATACGAGTACAGAAGCATAGCACATTTTCTTTTCTCTTTATATGAACTGTTTCCCTTTTAACCGCTATACAATTCATTTAACATAATTATGTCGTGCAATGTTTGTTAAGATTGGGCAAAATTCATAAATTGTGCACGTGATATTCCCACCCAATCTTAAGAATGAGCGCTCATTCTTAAGAACGCGTGCTCGTTCTTAAGAATGGGCGCTCATTCTTAAGAATGCAAGCCCATTCTCGAGAATGCGTGATTTTCAAGAATGGGCACAACAGTGACAAAGGACATATTCAGCATACAAAATAAAGTTAAAATTATTTAAAAACTTGTTTTTTTGAACGCGAAATGTACGAGTTCGTCGATTAGTGTTGGCCGCCATCTTGTTTGGATGGCACTATACACTTTGCGCATGCGTAGTATGGCTCTGTACACTTCATGCATGCGTAGTACGACTAGCTTCACGTAAACAAAATGGCGACCACCCTAAACTCGACAAACTCGTCGTACATTTCGCGTTCAAAAACCAAGCTTTAAAATAATTTTAACTTTATTTTATATATGCTGAATGTGTCCTTGGTCACCATTTCTACCATAAAAAAAGTGTCTTTTGATGTTCCAAAACTTATAGATACAAAATTTGTTGATGCTTGTTGACGCTTGTTGACGCAGTTTAGTAGGACCGGACCTATGATTAACTTTTGACTGGACTTGTAACGGACACGACTACAATGTTAGTACTACTGACCGTCTTGATCTTCATCTTGGACGTCCAGATATAAATACTCCAGTCCATGACCTTTCTTGGGGTCATCTGTGCCTTGTAGCCTTGATATAAGAGTTGTCTTCCCACATTCGTCTTCACCTGAACGCCAAAGGGAATTTGACACACAGTGATCAATATGTAATGTAATTTTGCATCAGGGAGACGTCAATCTATTACATTGGGTGTTGCCAAATAACAAATAAAGGTCAATCAGGGTTATCAGTTTTTAAAAAAAGGCAGTGTTTACTTGACCATGAACATGTGAACAAGTCCCCGATGTTTTTGTTCTTGTTACCAGCACAGCAGTGCACTGGCATGACTGGACAAGCGTAGTGGATGTTTTTGGGACTTAGAAATTTTTATGGTAAACAATCTTTGTCTGGTGCTTCACTTACCATGCTTACAAAACATACATATTGTTGTTACTTCGGAATAAGACCCATTGCAATTTCGAAATTTATTTCCCTTTAAAAAAATCCGGATTTTTTTTCCCGCAGTGGCTATCGTTACGGCAGCCGTAACGCATTTCCCATTTTCTATCGTTACGGTAGTAGGCAACTTTTATAAAACATGAGAAGAAAATATAAAATTAGAAGGAAAAAAGTGATTTTGAACGTTATGAAACTCGGACTTTATTTCCCTTTTAAAAAAAATCCTCCAAAGCCTCAGGTTAGAAAAGGAAACAAATTCGAGTGCAAAACTGAGATGCGAACCCGCAATCTCGCAGTGCAAAATCCTACCCTCTATCGACTGAGCTGTCGCACTGCTCGCTAAAACGTGGGAAAACAAATAATTATATACCTGCGTGCGTATTAAAAAAGTATCGTAGAGGTCGCTAAACAACGGCTGCCGCAACGATAGCCACTTCGTTTTTTTTTGCTAATTTTAGTAATAAAAAAATCTTAATTCTAATTTGATCGAAACAATACAGGGGCCCTATACTACACTATCACCACATTTTATCCTAAAATAAAACCACATTGTATTCATCACGTTAAAAAGACGCTGGACAGACTGGTTTTTAATGGGCAGGGCATGTGTGACGGTCAATGGCACTTTGGCAGACCGCAGACGACTTACCGAGAACCAGGATGTTTTTGCATGACGGCAACTTCGAACCAGAATGCGATGAAACCTCGCCTAAAATTGAAGACCTGAAAGGTGAAAAACGCCAGGAGTTAGATCCAAACAAAGCCTTACCTACGTGTTTAAGGTTTATACTCTAGGAAATGAGCTTACCATAAGTTTTGCGGCTCAGATTCACCGTTTTCCATGCCCGCTGATCGAGCTGTACTTTTTTCGCCGATCGGCGCCATCTTGGATTCGTGTAAAATTCCCGGATGCTGCTTTACGTCATTTTTCACGTGCGTACATAGAGAGAGTGCGCCCTGTCGACAGAACGGACACACGTTTTGAAGGCGTGGTCGCAATTTTTGCAGGTGCATGTCGTGCAGTTATCGAGCTGCGCTACTAAAGCACATATCTTAGCTTTACGTGTTTCTTAAAAATTAATGAGACAACTTAACACACAGTGAATCGATTAATGTCTTTTTTATAAGTATATATTTTATGGAAGGTGGGTGTGGTCGTACCGGCGATTGCAGGCGTTTTCAACTTGGCCGACGCAATATAATTAATGCTACCCGTCTAATGAACTTTAAAATTGCGGAAGTCGTGTAATTTAGGACACCTCCCTTTTTTACTTGCTCCGTTCAAAAATGACTTTGGTAAAGGACTGTCAAATTTTCCAAAAAATGACTGTTGCAGCCTCAAACAGTCGTTTTTACTTAGGGTAACTCTAGGTTTTTGAACTCTTTTGTAAAAATGCGACTTTCTTACCTGTTTTAGCAATTAGATACGTGCGAGTCACAGCAGTTTCAGGCGCTGTCATCATTTTACCCATTTCCTCATCGATTAAAACCTGACCTTTTTCTACAAAATTAAGTATGCTGATATTCAATATGGTATATTAGCGAACTAAAAATATAAAGTTACTTTTCCTGTTATGTTGGTATAGCCGTCCCAAAACAGTGTATTTTCTTTCTTTTATGGAACGGGGTCCTAAACTGCAAGAATCCCAAAATTGCTATCTCTCTGTGGACCTAAAAAACCTGTTCGGTACAACTTGCTGCCTCTTTGTAGACCACATGCAAGTACATGTATAATTTATGTAGGCCTAATCGTATTCCACACTAGTAATCAATTTTGCATTTTTATTTTTCCCCACCGTTAATTTGATAGGGCGCCCTCTTTCGTCCCTCGAACGATATGACAATACCACGTGGTGCGCTGTCATATACGGCGCGCGGTTGTTGATTTTTATAAAACTGTCAAAAATGTCCTCCGACATGTCTGAAATTTTGACCTCAAATGACGGCAAAGATCTGGATGACATTCCAGCGAAGAAACAGAAGATCCATCACAGCTCAGATGCGTCGTGTTCTGATGATTCTCTAGACACGAAGAATGGTAAAGAAACGGTTGAAACACCGTCAAGCATACCGCGGGAACTTCAAAGTGTCAACACATTCGACGTGGTGCAAGATCCTCGTGTCGTGGACAATGTTGGTAAGAATTCTCCACAAGCTCCCCGTGTAAACGAAGATGACCCGAGTGGCATGGACGACGACTTCAAACTTCCAGCCTTGAGGATGCCCCAAGTCTTTGATTTCGCAAGTCTGAGCTACGAAGATCGACGTGACGGCATCTTGAAGATTGTACAGTCTGGCAGAGAGTTCCAGTATGAAATCCAGCGAACCTTCGCTTACTATGTTGAAGAAGAGACATCGGAGTTGAAGGGGCATCAGGCTGTATGGCGATCCGTTGATCTGGCTTGTGATGTACTGGTGCAGGTAGCATTTCCCATGGATATAATATTATTATATGTTTAAATGATGATTAAATTAGTAAGCAGAGGGGAAAGGATAGAGGAATGCAATTTCTAGTTAGGCTAGGTCATTCAATATTGATTTTTAGGTTTTCATCCGTCACTCAAGATTGAAACAAATCAGTCTGGAGGGGAATTTCCACTACTTCACATTAAGGCAAAAAAAACATAGTTCTGCTGCACTTACAATTAGGCCTGCATGGCATTTGAAACTGGGGTAGGTAGGTAGGGAATTTTTTTTTGCCAATTTTTTTGTGTACGATAATATGGAGACGACTGACGTCTGCGTGTAGTCAAGGGTAAAAGGTAGAAATTGATGGTTTTGTTTTTTTTTCTTCTCATTTTTCTCATAAAAAAATTTAGGGTAGGGGCTGTCAGAAATAGGGTAGGTAGGGCAACTTAAGCAGAACTTTTTTCGGCCTATTCCCATTCAAAGTGATTGAGGGGACAACGTCAGATAAACCTAAAAGAAGACCCAACAAACATGAAAACTACTTAATATTAAGTAGGCCCCTACCACTCCGCTGTTTGACCTAGGGTCTGTGTCTAGAATTTACTGAGATAGGTTAATGAACCTCACAGTTTATAGCAGACTAGGTTAACAGCTGACTGAGTGTTCAAACAAACAATGCAACAATTGGCCTAGCCTTGCCAGCTAGATGTCAAACTTTGAACTTTATAAACTTTACGACCACGACTCAAGAGTTCATACTGTACAACACACGCTAACTGTATGATGCTAGAGTGTTGTATCAATACCACATCGACTTGTCATGTTTCCCGACTATACGATGACGTATGCATTAGCACTATGAATTCGCGATATGTTCAGTTTGTCGTGCACAATGTCCGTGCAAGTCAGTGCGACAATGCCTGTGGATTTGGTGAACTTGCCTGGAAAATACACCTTTTTTTAAGGGAAAAACACACTTCCAGAAAAAATATAAAATATAAAAAAAATGGGGGCAGGAGTGAAAATTGAGGTGGGCGGTGATGAAAACCTAAAGATCAATGTTGATTGGCCTTATCCATAATTTGCTATATTTTTGTTAACAGTCTTACCTGGAATGTGGCTGTAAATAAAAATTTATTTGTCTGACTTTCCCCAGAACAATTTCCAAAATTGCCCCCCCCCCCCTTATTTTTTTAATTTCCCTAATTCCAAAAATAATATTCTCTCTTAAAAAACATAAAGGGGTCAAAACTTTTTCTGAGATAAGGTTCTCGCCCCCCCCAAAAAAGTTTCAGAATTGTGCTTTCCGACTTCTGCTAACTGGATATACACCTGTTCAAAACAGTATTCAAAACATGTAGGCCCCTACATATAATTGGTGTACGATTTTTAATATTTTTTTTGTTCCTATTCAGATGCATGAATTATATCGTGAGTCCTTTCCCATCATGATGACAGTTGAGATGGTCGAGCCATTCTGTTGTCTCCCAGGACCTTCATGCAGTACGGCAACTGAAGAACAAGTCATCTCTTACCTCAAGGTGATAACTAATAAACAGATAAAGAAAGAAACAAACAAACAGACCATTTTGCCTGCATACTCATGGCAACTTAAAGGGAATATACATCATTTGCTTTTGATGCAATTTTCAGAAATGGATGGAATTGGGGGGTTGGAAATATATAGCAAATATAGTTACACTGACTTTTTTGAGATTTTGGGTTCGAAAATGCTATAAAAACCAAGAAAAACGATCATTTTCCTGTAGTCTGGTTCCCTGACTCCATAATAAGAAGAAACAGAGCAGTTTACATACATTGGGGAATTGTAAGGTCAGGGAACCAGTCTACCTGGCTCGTACCCGTTCATAGGTTTGTAATCGATTGCAAACAAGTGCGATGGTCAATTGAGGCCAGTATTTGAAAAAAAAGCCAGTTGTTTCCAACGCTGATCGGCCGATCAGCGTTGGAAATTGATACAAAAATACCACTTTTCTTGAAAATGACAGTATACCAGGTGCCATGATTTTACAGGATGCTTTACACTGTCATTCACTAACAGTCCAGCAAGGTATTTCAAAATGATTTGGTTGTTTTATTTTTTAATGTTTGCAAATGTTGTATTTTCCCTTTAAACCATTCTTCCCTTTTATGTAAATGAAAAACGTCATATTGCAAAGTTTGACTTACAGTGATTAAAACGCTAAAATTATAAAGTTGTAATTTGAACCGTTAATGAAGAGGATTTCCTTCACAGGACAATGACTACAAGGTGAATGTAATAGAGTTGTTCCCAGTCCATGATGACTCTGGCGACATAGATGAGGCAGCTTTGGTTATTGAGCATACGAGGTACTGAACATTCACTTTACATAACTTGACAATCTCAACTTGGTCATCAATCAAAACCATCCCAGTTTTTCACTATTGCGAATTGTTTTCAGAATCCATTGATTCCTACAAAAAAAAAAAAAATTAATGCATGGCTCATATCCCGAAGAAACACGTCAAGAAAAGGCAATCAAGAAATTACAGTTTACGAGGAGGGGGAAATCCCCACTTAAATATTTTTGAGAAACCCTTGGAGTTGCACACGTTGAAGAGAAAAAGTTGTATAACATAAAGCTTTGTCATTTGTTGCCAGGATTTTAAAATCAGATCTGGTGAAGATTTGCTTTTGATTTTTTTGATTGATGCCTTCTCACCTGTTATAGGTTTTTCTTCAACTACATATGGCGTCTGAGTGACGTCAGCAACTTCATGTATGCAGTGGACAAGTTCGCCAACCGTCACCTTGAACCCAGATTGAAACTGTAAGTTCCTTATTACAACACTGTTTATTCGAACCAAATTTCAAACCGGAGTTCTTGTTCATGAAACATTGGCCCCTCACAGATGCAGTCCTTGTGAGATTATGATATTTATGAAAACATGGATTGCTAAAAGTTTTTACAAAAACTAAAAAACCTAAACATGATTGTGCAGGGTTATCATTAATGGATACAAATACTTCTGAGTTAGGCAAATGTTCGGTGCAGTTTCTAGTTGTATTTCTGAAGGGTGATTCAATTTTGACTCTTTTCAGATATTTTGACGTCATGGAGAAAAATGTCTCACCGGGATTAGCTCTGAAGTACCAGAATATCATAACCGATTACCAGACAAAGTACCGACAACTCCGCAAGAAACAGGACTACATCGAAAAATATGACGAGTACGATTACACTGATACAGACAGTGACGGGGACATTGACAACGGCTGTGACAAAGACAAAGAAACAGGTGAAAACAATGACAAGGACATTGGCAAAGACCGTTGTGACAATCAGGAGGATGATGACAAGAAATGTCACCTTGATAAAGTTAAGGACAGTGACATTGAAGACAGTGAGGCCCTGGCACAAGAGCAGGACATTCCCATGGACAGTGACACAAACCTTGTCAATGTGGTCGCAGACAGTGACAAAGATAAAGACAGTGACAAAGATAAGGTCAGGGACACTCAAGACAATGGTGCCAAGGTACAAGACCAGGACATTCCCATGGACAGTGACACTAACGTTGTCAATGTGGATGTGGACAGTGACAAAGATAAAGACAATGACCATGACAAGTTTTGTAACGGGGAGCAATATAGTTCCAAAGATGAAGACCAGACGAGTGACAAAAATCAAGGTGATAAAGTGTCCAAGATCAATGACAAGGAGGACAGTGACGCTCTGGAGAAGAGGTTTCCTGAATTGGAAGTGTTTGAGATCTCAAGATTGTGGAAAGATCTCGAGCTTCTTGAAGACACTTTGGAAATGATGGAGAACCCTGTAATGAGGTAAGGAAGATGGTCAATGGTTTTTTTTTTTTTGCCTAAAGGCTGTTCCATACTTCAAGCGAAAGTAAAAACGAAGGAACTTTCATAATGTCATCAATTGAAGTTTCATTGTGAAGTTTGCTGTAACCCTTTTAACAAATACGCTTCACACTGAAATAAAATAAATTGTAATGCTTATGTAGCGGTTTCCATTGTATCAACAATCTCAAAGTGCTTTACGATTATTAACCCCATGCATCAGGCCCAAGAGACTATGTGGCAGCCGATTTCAGCACACATTCCGTCCCCTTCCCTCATAGGTACCTATTCATACTCCTGGGTGGAGAGAGGCAATTGTAGTGAAGTGTCTTGCCCAAGGACACAGACACCATGTTCCTGGCAGGGTTCAAACCCACGTACCATTGTACATGAGTCAAACACAGTTAACACGGACCATGGCATTCATTTTGGCCTGCCGGGTAGAAAGTTTTCTCCTTTTTTTTTGAGGGTGGGTGGTGGTGTTGGTACACTGGAACACCTTGAAGAGACTGACCAATTTTGTTGACAAATTCCAGGCACCTGATGGAGATCCCGAGGAAGAGGCTTGGACATAAGAAAAGCACGGCCTTAGCGATCCGACAACCGCGACGTCATAATGAACCTGTCACACACATTGTCGCTGAGAAAATTACTCTTAGAATGATACAGGTCGGTATTGCAAACCTTTCTGGATTAAAAAAAAATATGCAAGTGCATTTTAATATTTTTAAGTTTTAATTGAGGTTTTTGTGCTTTACCGGGTGGATAAAAAAAAAACTAAACCGAGATATTATTGCTTATTGGAACAGAAGTAGGGCACATGTGAATCAAAGGGAGATATCCTCTGTTAGGGTTGAATCTCCTCTTGAAAATGACACCCTGATCATGTCATTACATTCACGGTTGACTGAGCAGTGACCAAGTTTAGAGACCAGATTTAGAGAGTTACACCACTTTTCATGGTGAAATCTCTTTTTTCCCCCACCTGCCTTGATTGGCAACCATAGCCTTTCACTCTGTGACATTAATGACACCACTAACCACAATTGAAAACTGGCGCAACTCTCTAAATAGACCCTTTCATAAAATTGGTCACTGCTCAGTCAACCGTGATTGTAATGACATGATCAGGGTGTCATTTTAAAGAGGAGATTCAACCCTAACAGAGGATATCTCCCTTTGATTCACATGTGCCCTGCTTCTGTTCCAATTAGCAATAATATCTCGATTTCGTTTTTTTTTTTATCCACCCTGTTTACAGTTGGGTAACAAATTTTTTTTTTTTTTTTTATAATCTGACTTCCATTCTTGTCAAACATTTTGTGGAATAAAAAGTAAATTTCATTTATCTTAGAACCTTCGGCTGCCTGAGGAAACTGTCTTGCAGACCCATTCCACGCCCGCATCAGCTGTGGCTTGTTGCTATGACAACGACATCATCCTCATCCTACCTGGCACGTACCCTGGAGAGGGCTTGACTAATATCGAGCATTCAGTCACAATACGAGGTGCCACAACATTCTTTTTTCTGAATTCCTTTTCATTCTTGGCTTGTTTCTTTTCAAAACATTTTCATCTTTTGTAACCTTTACAGGCATGCAACTTTTCCTCGGATCTGCTGAGTTCCTCGTGTTTTACTTCTCGTGAATGCCATTGAAATTGAAAAACACTGTACGAAGTCTTCTGTGGTTTAGAGTTGCCTCGTTTTTCCTAAATTTCCAGTTGCACGCCTGCCTTTAGTGTTCTGTATGCTGCACCTCATCTCATTCCATATATGAAGTCAAATTTTCATTTGTGCAATCGAAACAGGCAAAATTCACCATTTAGTTTGGTCATTCTTGTCGGTGTTTTAATTTGGTGATGGCTGTGGGAGGAGTTAGATCTATGGCAGTAGTCATCAGCAAATTGTCCAAATTCTTTTACTTTTATACAGGGTGAGTAAAAAAACCAAACCCAAATGTCAGGACTGTTGTTTTAGTGAAGTTTTGCATTTAATCATGCAGCCCTTTCAAAATCTAGGATATGAAAGCCCAATTGAATTCATGAGCTTTCTTTTAGTCAAGAATCATTCAAATCACTCTTGTACTTTTCAAGTTACGGAATTTTAAACACAACCACCGTTTTACAGTTCTGCCCACGGATCACAAAAAGGTGTGCGTTCTTTCAGCAAAACAATTCACACACATCTCTATGTGATTTGTTTTCGTTTTGCTAAAAGAACACTTACTTTTTGGTTGGTTGTGTTAATTTGAAAAGTACATAAGTGATTTGAATGATTCAAAAAGAAAGCTTATGAATTGGGCTTTCTTATCCTAGATTTTGAAAGTGCTACATGTAGAACTTCACTAAAACATTGGTCCCAACCTTTTTTTTTTTTTTTTTTTTTTTTTTACTCAACCTGTATTTGTTTTGCATGTCCCTATACACTGTACTGTGCTCTGTAGGTTAAAGGTTAGAATCCCTCTTAAGTCGATATTTCTCGTTATACTGAAGATTTCATGTTTGTTTTATTTGTAGGTGTTGGTGGTCCAGAAAACGTCATCATCATCAGCAAATGCCGAGATCCTGAAGATGACCTGTTTGTCCGTTGCTACGGTGACCATGTGACCATCAGCAATCTCACCTTTATTGATGAGAGTGACTCCGCCCACTTTAGGGGAGTCTTAGAGGTCGGTGGGCCGTCAAGTTCAACCCGGCTCGTGAACTGCCGCTTTCTCTGCAGTTCGACAGGGGTGATGGTGAACTTCTCCAAACTGGATATTCAAGGCTGTGAAATCTCCGGTGCACAGGTAAAATTCAAAGTTAATTCATGTCTAAAAATTGGAAGTGTTTTTATGTTCATAAAAAATTGTCTTTTAAGTAGCGCAGAGATGCTACTTTTCCAGTTTTAACCGGAATTCCGGTTTTTCAAAAAATCTCACAAAATTTATTATTCAAACACTCCACAATATACAACATTTTCTGAAAATCAGCCTTGAAAATAGTACAAATTTGAGCTCCTCTGTTTTTCCCATGGTAGACCCATCAGTATTCAGCCAAAATGTTCAGGTTGCTATAATTCGTCGGATCAGCGCGCGACATCGCATAGCTGCAATCGACTCAGTGAGAACGTGTCTCGGACGCTGGATTCAGGCCCAATTCAAAACATGATTCAGCACCATTTGATTTGAATTGAGATCCTAGAATGTTGTTTTTCTCGAAAAATGCAGCTGAAGCTGAGCTGAAACTTTATCAGATTGGTTGTTCCGCATCCTTCTTCAGATATTGAGCATTTTTGTTGCTTCAAACAAACAAAATGCACAAATTACAAATGATGGACTTTACCTTTAAACAAATGCTTGATTGTATTCAGTAGGTTTTAGTGAGAGTGCACATATTTCGGCTTGGTCTGTGATTTCAATCCCATTATCAAAGCAGGCTCCTGGCGTAAGTGCACACCAAGGCTCAATGCTCAACATGCACTCCTGCTATATCCACGACTGTGGAAAGACAGACGAAGCAGCACTTGCCGAGGATACGTGCGGAGTCCGCATTGATGTAATTATTGCCTCTTTTATGCACTTGCAAGGGCAGAAAGGTGGTTCGATTCCAACTCAAGACGATTGTAGTTATATAGAGAAGCCCTTTATGCCCGCAAACATTTCTAAAATTAAGTTCCCCCACCCAATTTTCTTTAACCCCTCCCACTTTTTACTCCCTTTTATAAAACTGGACCTGTTTATGTTTCTTAATTTTTTTAAAATTATTATTTCACTACAGTCCCCACAACAGCTAGAGCGAAACGTTCCGAAAAGCAAAACTTTAGTGAAGATCAGCAACTGCAAGATACAAAGCAACGCTGGGCCGGGGGTACTCCTCAAGATTTACTCGACTGACAAACAACAGGAGGCCAAGGCTATCGACCTCAGCGACCTTTGCACCCTGACCTGCCGTGACCTGCAGGTCACCGACAATGACTTCAGTGGCAATGCGAAGGGCGTGGCTATGGTTACCTATTTTAAGATAAAAGAATGGTGATTTTACAACAAGACAAACAAAAGTGAGGAAAAACTCCGGGCAAAAAAATATGTTTCTACAATTTTATTCAATGCAATGTTGTTTTTGCTGAAACAATTTCAGTCTGCTAAACGTTTGAAACGATTTGTTGGAGCACATTGGTTTTGAAGAATGTGTAACATAAACAGCACCATATGAAACAAATTAGTACGCCAAATAGAGTGGCAGTGTTAAGGAAATCATTTTTCTAGGTCCTTGACAAAGATGTGACAAATAGTAAAAAAAAATTATATTTACAATTTATATACTGAAAGATGCAATGAGAAATTATAATCAACTCAAGATAACTACCTTTAATATCATTTTGTATTCCAACACAAAGCTAGACTGGTGCAGTTTTGTATAAATTGTCCCTGCCCCGCCCAGCCCCTGCCCCGCCCAGCCCCCTCCCAGCCCCTGCCCCACCCCCTGGCCCACCACGCTGCCCCGCCCTGCCCTAAGTCTCACTTATATAAATATAAGTTTCTGCTTGCCTTTGAAATTAAATCAATTTTTTTGCATAAATGTTACACGTTAATGGTTTGACTACAAGTAGTTTATGAACATGTTTGTTTTGAGAGTAAATGAAGAATTTGAAAACTGTTGAAATTGTAAGTTTTCAGAAGTTTGCATTAAAAAATTCTCCGGAACTTCAATTGTTGCATTTGATGTGCCCTGATTTCTTGGTTCAAATGATGTATTTTAAATTTTCAGGTTTCTTCGTAGAAGAAAAGAATCATATATTCGAAGCCAACAATGGGTTGCTCGAGATGGCTTCTCAAAAAGGCCTGCTAAAAGATCTTGTTCATATTCTCATCACTGTACGGGTTGCTCTTAAGAGCAACATACGGCACGCCAAACTTGGTGTGAGAGTCATTGGGCCAGTATCGCAAGACAGGCCCCATCTCCGCCCATTCACTGGTCGCATCGAAGTAGGCATAAAGAACCACGGAATAGTAGCAAGCAAGAAGGATAAACACGTGCCAGAAACTGTGGAGGTAGGGGAACGACACGAAGAGCCAGAAGTCGCAGAGAGTACGGTCAGCTACCCAGCAGGAGATGGAGACAATCCACAGGACAGAAGCCGTGCGAAATAGAGTGGTAACTCGCTGATGACTCTGCACCCTGGAAACAAATTTAAAGCATGCGTCGAGTGATTATCTATAGTTTTCAACACGCGCGCCCAGTAAGCCCCGCCCACTATGCACGTGGCAATAACTGCATCCAATTACCACATGGCAGGGTGAGTCATACGCGCGCGCGTGCATTCTTATCGAACTTTTGCGAACACTTTGTCGGGCATAAATATTGGCTGTGATTGGTCAGAACACCAAAGGGCGGGGCGAGGCGAGAACACGTGCGACACGCGCGATCGCCGAATTCGTTCAAGACAGTTTGTCCATGATAGACTCAGTTACAGATTCTAAAACGGAATATTGTACCCTTTTCATCTTTGAATCGTTTTTTAATGTCTTGTCCCTCAACTTGCCTTCTGAGTTCCAGATAAGCTGTCCAGAAACCAGGTACTACAAACGCCAATAGGAGGAACGAGTTAAGCCAGGGTTTGATGAAGGCAAGCATCGTCCCACACAACATCAATATGAAGACAAAGATACGGAAACGCCTCCTGAAAGAAAAGAACGATGAATGTGGCGAGTCAAATATCTTTCAAAGTTATAGGGCCTAAGTAATTCCCCGGCTCTTATAATTATGACTTTTTGGAATGCCATTACATTGCTTGCCCTTCGGTTCAGGTTTTCTGAAATGGCCTCTGACAATCGAGTCTTTCGCTATGGTCTCTATTACATTTGAGCAGATTCGCTGATTAATTATGCAAGATAACCGCATCTTGACCATTAAATTTCGACCAATCAGCGGGCACTTTCTATATCGAGTCTCATTCACCCGTTGCGCGTCATAGACTTGGATAAAAAAAACTGTCACGCACTCTGTATCATGTTATGCGATATGCGCCCGGCTGTTTTTGTATTATAAAACACTGCATTGGAATTGACCAATCAAACCATTAGTCCTGATTTGGGAATGATATGACGTCACGATTTAGTAAAGTCGACTCCAATTGGCTGGCGCGCGGCTTGCATGCATGTATCTGCATGAGTTAGACATAGGGCACTTGGCTCAGTGGATAACAGGTGATACTCATACGACTGACAATCAACCCCCCCCCCCCAACAGAACATAATATTATGTGGCATTCAAGGAAAGATCCATGGACATAGCATTATTTGCAGTCTGAGATTATCTGCGACACCTGACGATTCCATTAAATCGGTCTGGGATTATCAACGAGACCTTACGATTTAAAGCCAATAGACCAATAAAGGACACTTATAAAACGATTGAATGTATCGCATTGCATCTCCCCGACTAAAAACAAAAAATCCACCACATGAAATAGTTATCGTATACCTATCTCCCTTCAAAATTCTTGGATAATATCTCCTTGGAAACCAGAGTCCCGCCCCCAGGGAGAAAGCCCACAAGATGGAGACCTCGTCAAGCAACTGCCCCACAAGACTCAGGGTACAGTGAAAGTAGGCGGAGCACGCCCCTACCAGCATCATTAACACCCACATTAGGTTGATGGAGGGGTTGATGCGATGGGCGTAATCCTTGAAGAGTGCCCACATCATGGGCGGGAACACGAAGAAGAAGGCGTTGCTGATCTAGAGGATAGACAAGGAGATCATTAGGTCACGGATCATAGACACCAGGATAAACGACTTTTCTGAGCTCTAGTACAAAATGCACTCAGTGGACTTGCCTTTATTGGTTAGACGCGTGATAACGGGCATTAATACCCGTTGGCGCGTAATCGCGACTTTTCCATAATGTGCCATTGTGTTGGGTTTTTGCACGACATCTAAAACGGAAATATTCATAAAACTAGTAAGTAAAAGTACTTCTTATTTAAGATATAATTGTTCCAAATTATTTTTAAAAATAAATACTTCAGGATATAACAGATGGTATTGTGCAGTTTTTGTCGTCATAGATGAAGTATTTACTCGGGAATAAACGTCAAATTTCGAGAAGAACACCGTTTACCCAAATTTCGTTTTTAATTAGGCTTTTATTAAAAAGTTTTAGAGAGATAGGATGCCGAACCGATGAAACAAAAGCGACATTTCATTGTTCATCTTAAAGCTAAAGATATTGTGTTCGGCATTACCATGGTTATGTAGTTATCACTTATCAGAATTCAATAATAAAGACCAAAAACGTAGACTCATGAATATTCAAAAATATAATTCGCTGGTATGACAGACTTCGAGGCCAGATCGGGCGAAGAGCCTTGCAAATCTGAAAGCCTCCGCGCGCAGTGGTCTTTGTTGAAAAATATTCATGGTATTTGCCACCAGTACAGGCCGTCATCACGCGTCTAACCAGGAGTTGGGCCGAGTCGTTAATCCTTGTGTGTAGGATCCGTGATTAGGTTGAGAAACTGTGGTTATTGTTTTACGATGTCAGCTAGTGTCTATCTATAGGCTTCGACTAGAGGCATCACCAGTTTTTGTAAGAATTCTAAAGAATATTTCAAATTGAATTTAATTTTAAACTGGTGCGGTCTCAAAGGATGATGAAGAAGTTACATGAATGGCAGGAATTGTGAAACCAATCACCAGCCAGGAAAGAACTATAATGCATGGGCTGTAGACCCTGAAAAGATATGCATGTACATTATATTTTAAAAAAATCGAAACAAAAACAAATCTCACAATATCCCCTCCCGCTTTTAGGCCTACTGCAATGAGAAGTCCCGAGAATTTTCCAATAATAATGTTACTGAAAATGTCCACAGTATCCCAACTTTCCCCGAGTAAAAAATAACAAAAAAAAATCAGTTAGGCCTAGGCATACACATATATTCTAAAATAATTATTAAGAGTCAAATTCGGTTTTGAACACAATTGAATTACTGAATTAGGCAGCCCGACATTCAATGACGCACATGTTTGCTTGCTGCATGGTTGTCACGGTCACAGCATCTCGGCATTATGTGCTGGCGGGAAAAACAAATACTTCTTCCCATTGATCCAACGCGTAACGACACGCACATGAGGCTAATTTTCTCACTTCAATTTACTTAAAAAGGCGTTCCTCTTCTTTTCTTTTAAAGAAAATAAAACAAACTCAATCACAGAAATCCTGTCCACTTGTTTCAGTATACAGGGTGACCTGTAGCTGTTTACATACCGTGTTGTAGAATTCCGCGATGAATGGAGAGATGGAATAATTGTCCTCGCACCAATCCACATCGGCGCTTCCACGACTTAATTCCTTGAACATTCTGAGACAAGACGGCCTTGAAATCTTTCTCTGAAATATTGAAACAGATCTTCAAGCAGCAGGCAAGAATAAGACAAAAGCAGTTCTGCCAAAGCCTCTGAGCGGGATGGACTGTGACACTATGAATCTGGTTGCTTCAAAAAGAAATGGCAAAAGGAATATTTCAATGTGGATCAATGGACGTCTCTGCTGTGCATGGGCATTGTGTGGGGGCAATCATGGAGCTATAAACACCATGGCTCATATACATGTAGCTCCATGGGGCAATGGGGTGCAGTGGTCCGCATCAATGATGGTGACGTCAGAAGTGTTACGTAATTCCCAAGGTTCACTTGATCACGTTGATGTCATATTGATTTGGATTTTGGCTTGAACAGCTTATAGCGACTACACCGTATCTATACGGGGCAACTGTGCGACGCGTCAAAAATAGTCTCTCGTTCGAAGGAATTGATTATCTAATTTCCCAGGAAATAACTGAGGTTTTTTTTAAAGGCCTTTTGTTACGGTATTCAACATTGATTCAGGTGTTGATATGTTTACAGTTGAGTTTTTGTAAGGGAAATTTGCAACTGGGATAGGCTACAAAAGCGCAGCAGTTAATGAACGTAAAGATTAGATTTTCTTCACAAACGGCCATATTAAAGTGAAAGCGAGGCAAACGTTTCATTTTTAAAACTTGCGAGTATAGAAACGAAAGCAATAAAATACAAGTTATTCCAAAGTAATACCAGTCTGCTGTGATGAACAATTCAAAATTTGTGAAGACCCTAATGTTTTTAAGCCACATATCAATACAAAAAATGAAAGTGCAGGCTTGGAGATCACTCCAATTATAAAAAGTCACGCCGCGACAACCTCGTCCTCAGTGCTCTCTCACCCTGGTATTGGATTATTTGCATGTGCACAATTTTTGAACAAGTATGCAAATGAGGAATAGTCTAGTGCCTGCCTGCACGTTACATTAACGTTTGTTTTTGTATGCGGTGTCTGGGGTATAAACAAAATCAATTCGTCGAGCTGTGAGTTACGAAAACACGATTGTTTTTGAAATAAAAAATTTACAATCTTATCCCACCAATATGCAGTATCATATTTCATATTAATATAGAGAAAATTGGAAAGGAAACAGTGTTTTGAGACAGGCGTGGGGCGCTGTGGTCCAATGGTTACGGTGTTCGACTCGTGTGCCGAGGTACAAGGGTTCGAATCCTGACCGTGGGAACATGGTGCTTGTGCTCTTGAGCTTCGTCCTCGACGTAAAGTCGTAGGTCCCGTGTGTTGTGTTATGTGGTTAAAGCATGTTTGCCCCGGTGTTTCTGGCAGTGGCAGCAATTATGCGCCGCAGCACCTATAGCATAACGGTGCTACATAATGGGTCTCATAATATGTTCATTAACTTCATGTACCCGTCTTTGGTTGCATTCTCCCCCAGCGCTTTGTATCCTCTGGCAAAAGGCGCTATATAAATACAGTTATTATTGTTTATTTATTATAATTACAATTAACGTGAAAACACGTACTGCACGTTAACAACACCAAGTACACGATATAAAACCACTACTAGCCAATTGCGCTGTATTGCGGTATCGAATCAGGATACATGAAGAGCGCTTTCTATCAAGGGCTTACTATTGTAAACGAGGTTGGAAATAAAGTAAGTCCTGGGGACTTATTTCAATAGGGGGCGCTGTTCAAATTCGACGATTATTAACACTAGATTACTGAATGGTGTACCGTATTTTGAACAGGCGGACATTATACCAGTATAATTTTTTTGTGGGGTGTCACAGGGGGGGGGGGGGGGGGGGGGGGGGGGGGGGGGGGGGGGGGGGGGGGGGGGGGGGGGGTTCGACTTATTTTTTAGGAATTTGTATGATTTTTTTGGGACAGAGCTGGGGGGGGGGGGGTGACCCCCCTCTCTCTGGATCCGCGCCTGGCAAGGCCTCCCAACTTTCACTTTCGGCGCTGCGCCTGAATTAAGTTTGAAATTGTTTTAACATTGAAAATGATGAGTTTATTTACAAGCAGTGGTTTGACAAAACTTTGATGTACCCACTCTGTTCACAAGTTCCCCCTCATCGGCAAATAAAGTACAGTTGGGGGTGACAGAACGACGCCATCTTGCCTGACTGCAATATTTTGCCGCGAAGCGCTGCCACTGCGTGTCGTGTACATACATATTACAAATCCCTTGGTGGACATGTGTCACACACAAGGAACGGTGCGCGTCCACCAGCGAAAAGGGCGCCCTCTTTTCTTGGCGCAAGGAGCCCATAGGGTAAACTTGTGAGGGGGCACCTGGAGTGCACACATTACTCATGGGGGAAACTAAAGGCGTCTTTCAACAGTTCAGTCGATGGAGCTAGGAGCAGGGGCACTCCTGCAGGAGGAGACTCTCGCACGTCCACCAGCTGAAGAAGAGAGAGAATGCAGCGCAACAAGATACCGCTGAGCTGAGGACACTGATGCTAGACCGGGATGCGTGGAAGGCGAAGACAATATCCCTCGCATCATCATTATCAGTGTAATTTCTTTCTTATTCAAGTTTTAAATGGGGCGGGGGGAGGGGGGCACGAACATCCGCTGGGGGGCACCCCCTGTAGAAGCTTTACCACAGACGGCAGCTAATCCAGCTATATATACAGTGTGTATAATGCAAGCAAAATATAACGGAATGCCAGACGTAGAATGTGAAACCAACTATTATGGCTAATATACTGTTCCCTGCTTTATGATATAGGTATGGTTTAAAAGATAGCCTTTCCACTCTAAATCGAGACATCAAACGTCAAAATCTGATAATATTTGACAGAGTTGTTAGTAATTTTCTAAGAAAGTGTTTAGAATTGTGTTTACTCACTGAAGACATTTCTTGTCTACCTTCCTCCCAATACCGAAAATAAGAAACTTGGTCCCATGGTCAATTTGACCTCTCTTGGAAAATTACTCATAACTCTGTCAAACATTATCAGATTGGGACGTTTGATGTATCATTTTAAAGTGGAAAGGTGAATCTTTTAAACCATACCTATATCATCTATGTTGGTTACACATTCTACGTTTGGCATTCCGTTATATTTTGTGCTTTTTTATACGGACTGTATAATGCTAGTCACAAACTGCACGTCTGAATGGTATGGTTATATCTGTATGGTATACTGGACATTATAATGACGGACAGATACGGAATAATTATCCTGCACGTCTACCGTAAATTAGAGGCAAATGCTCACTGGTGCGCAGTATATTATTTTGTACCTCAATCAAGTTCGTGAAGGACTCGAATCCATTCTTGTTTTACCTTAATTATCTGGCATGGATAAGCTTTTTTTGGGGGGGGGGGGGATAAACAAACCCGATAAACATTCATATTGTTCTATACTGATGATTCCATCGGTAATGAGCAGAAATACCTGTGCCGTTGACCGTGGAAGCCGCGTTCGATTGCCGGTTGTGAACACGGGCAAGGGACTTTGTAATCAGCAGTTGCTGAGAACTAGGCATTATGATGACGCTTGATTTAACTTTGCGAGGATCGCCAATAATGCTCAAAACACACGAAGGGAGCCGCCTAGAAGTCATTTTATCCAATGGTCTTGTTGGTGCCACAAGTATTTGCCATCACTGTAACCTTTTTTCGTACCTAAATGCTGCAGGCCGCCTAAACTAACATCGCGGTATTCATAAAAAAATATATTTTGCCTTCAAAAACGAAATTATAGAATTGCTGAGTAAGCAAGGACCTTATTGTAGCCATACGCGACTTGCTTACTTATCTTTTATCTTTTTGAGGCTACCAAAGAAGAAGAGATTTATTCGCTTTTGTCATCACAGTCGTTCAAGATTTGGAAGTTTTTCTTCATTTTGTTCTTTAAAAAAAGCAATGGATTCCCGTAGCTTTTTGCTGATGAGTTTTGTGTTCGCAGCTGCATCAATGAAAGGTATGTTGAGTTTCTTTTCTTATCTTTTTAAACATACCCAACTTCAGATGGTTTTCAAAATACTCGAAGATCTTCTCCGAGTAAGCAAAATGTAAGGACATGAATATCCGTGCCGTGATTCGTCACCACTTTCAAGAAGCGACGCCCGGGCATGTCAGTTCGGATGAAGAACAAGTTTGGCGATAATCGCAAGAGAAGGTTCCTTGTTTTAAAATTGCAAAATATACCACAATGCATCTACTCTATATGCAGTACACAAAACGCCCAAACGATTCTTAGAGAGCTTAATTTACTAGTTACTAGTCATAATCATTGAAGTTGTGGTTAATAATTAGCGTAAATTATCAGTAAATTTTCCCGTCTCTCCGTGAAAACCAAAACTCCAGTTAGCTACTTTTACAAGTTGTGCAGTGTGTTTTTCCACAGGGAGAGGGCGCGCATCTGAAATGTACTAAAGATTTCTGTCTCTTCGTAGAAACAGAAATCTCACTTGTTCTGTTTTTACGCCCTTGCTACTCCGATCAGTTCGTTTTGTGCATAACAGGCAATAGTGTCTCTTCGTGAACACGCAAAAATGCAGTTACGGAGATGGCTGCCCCTTACGCAATGTTTTGCTTCTAGAAGCAAGTCAGAATGTTACTTGTGAGCGATATTTTAGAGCCCGGTTCATACTTCATGCGAAAGCGAATGCGAAGCGAAGTTGACGTCATGAAACATTCGCTGCGAAATTCGTCCGAGTTGTAATGTGTTCAACTTTTGCGAATTCGCAGCGCGAATACTTGCCATGTCGTCACAAATTCGCGTTCGCTTTCGCTTTCGCGCCGAGTATGAACCGGGCTTCAAGCGCAAAAAGACATCCCAAAAACTCGAAAATGGAATAAACCTTATGCTTGTTTACATGCCCGCTGTCCCTTCGTGAAAACGATGACACATTCAATGAGAAATCTAATAAAATGAAAGCTCAATTTCCTCAAATTGAATTTGAACAAACATGTTGCATATATCGAGTTGAAGCAATCATTTTAAATTTGGATGGAGACAAGTTTTATAAAACACATAAAATGCGCAAGAAAATAAGTAAAGTATACCGGTACTCACCTTTGGATAGTGTTTGTGTGGGATTTTCAAGTCGGTAGTGTGTTCTATTTTTCCCAGGGGCCTCAGCCAAGTTTCCTGTTGGCTGTTGCACTTTTCGTAAACAGCCAGATCCACAGAATTCGATGGAGACCCGCTGGTTCCCGCAATTTGACGATCCCTCCTGCGAATGTCAACACTTGAACATCATGAAGAAGATTGGAAACGAACCGTCGTACGGGGAGAATTTCTACAAACCGCCGTGGCAAACGCCTAAAAAGGGTAATATTTTGCAAATAAAACATGGTTTTATCGGTATTATATCCCCGAGGTGTCTGAAGTTGACAATATTGTCAACTTCCGATTACCGTATGCTCGGAATTTTTATGCTCGGAATTTCCTTATGTTCGGAGTTTCCTGGGTATCGTTGCCAATATTACCCAAATTGCCAAGACTGGAATTGATTTATCTCAATCCAAATCCATTCTTAGATGAAGATTTCTTTTCCACCCGAATTACAATTTGTTTTAATATCATACATCTGATGTACGTCCCTATTCATCATTCATAACTATTCCTTGCTCTATGGTTATTCGCATCAGGGCGATGCTCGCGTGTGCGTACTATCCACGTGCGCTAGTTTTCACGTCGGGGGATTGTCAGGTCAGGGAACCAGACTAGCCTGGCACCTTGCGCTTGCGCGAGAATATCAATAAGGCAATATTCGCTCTTCGCTCGTACCCCCCCGCCCTGCAAACAGGACGCTGGTCAGGGCTGACGTCATTTGAGCTCTCATTTGATAGATTTGCGTGACCTGTGACGTAGAACGCGTCACACAAACTAGCTTCCGGTGCCCATCATGCGTAGCGCGCGCTAGCTGCATGCGAAGGTCAATCTGTACTTCCTTCATAAGATTCTGTGAAGCTCATCAGCCCTTACCAGCGCCCTGTTTGCAGGGCGGGGGTACGAGCGAATATTCGCTCTAATTACCAACTCGCCTTTTCGAATGGCGCTGGTGACCTCTTGCATTGAGCTCTCCACTGAGAGAGTTTATTTAACCTGTACCTCAAAGTCAATACTTCCATGTCCTGTATTTCTTTACTACTCTTTGGGTTTGCTTGGTAGACACGGTAGAGGAAGATTGCGACGTCGGATTAGGAATGGAGGATGGAACCATTCTCTGGAGCCAAATTGCTGTATCCAATATTGGACATTGGGGGTTCCGAAATGAGGATTCACGCTTGAACAGTCTTGGTAAATTGATATTTTTGATTTGATAATCAATGAGTTTACATGGTTCTTTTCAGAAACATTCTTTTATATTTTGAGAAATTATTCCCGCATGTTTTTTCCCACAAACATCAGTGTCTCAACCATGCAAAGCCTCAAATTCTTAATGATCTGATAACATCAAACCTGACCATAACCGCTCACCTGCGCCCAAACACATTCCAACTTAACTCAGCCTATTAAACCAAGCAAACACCATAAAATCCAACACAACCTAACCCATACGACATTACCACCAATCCTGGCAACCCAACCGACACATGCATCCCATTTATGAACCCATCTCACCCTGATCCATCCCACCCCAACCCAACCCAACCCAACCCAACCCAACCCAACCCAACCCAACCCAACCCAACCCAGCCTACCCCAACCCAATCCACCCCACCCAAACCAATCCCATCCCAGCTGGGATGATCCCAGCCCAATCCATCCCAATCAACCCACCCAAAACCCATCCATACCCAACCCAACTCAAGGCAACCCACCCACCCCACCCCATCTCAACCCAACCCCATCTCAACCCAACCCATCCAACCCTACCCACCCCAACCGAACCCAACCCGACCCAACCCATCACATCCCACACCACATCAACCCAGTCAACCCTTCCCACCCATCCTAACCCACCCCAACCCCACCCGACCTAAGCCAATCCCACCCATCCCAACCCACCCCACCCCACCCCACCCCAACCCAACTCAACCCGACCCGACCCAACCCCATCCATCCCAACCCGACCCTACTCAACCCAACCCAACCCGACCCAATCCGACCCAACCCAACCCAACCCGGCCCAACTAAATTCTATGCCCAAGCCAACTTATCATAACTTCCCGAACACCAGCCTCACCCAAACTACTGTTCCAACCCAACTCAACCCAACCTATTGGACTTATTTATCTTAAGCTGGCTGGTGTCCCAGTATCGCGGACACCAACCAATGGATCCGTGTTGACTTGGGTAATATAGCCAAAGTAATTGGACTCACCACACAAGGAAGGGCCTACAGTAATATGTGGACCAAGACGTACAAGATCAAGTACAGCACAGATAACGTGGTCTGGAGCTATGTCACCGACAACGATGGCAATCATATTGAGGTGAGCTTTGAATTGTGTGTGCATGTACCCTTTCACGCAAGATGTATGTGCATTGTAAATGGCTTTGCTCGTACTCCACCGCCCTATCCAATAGTAGGCTACCCAGAAAGCATTATGTTTCCGCACAGATTTTTGTACAAGCCATTAGCCCCCCCCCCCCACCATCACCCTTTGTCTGAGCTCTCTTTGGACGGTGTTTTTTTGTAACCAGTGACCGAGGTCAGCACTTCCGGGTATACATGTCACATGCGTTTATCATTGCGGCATACAACCCACAATGCATTGCAAAGTCTACGTTTCTGTCACAAAAAGTTTAGCTGTCAGCCTTTCACAGTGCCTTTGATATGGCTGTCGGTACCCATGGCTATGGTCGGTACCATGTCTATGGCCGGTACGGGAAACAAAGCTGAGTTAAAAAGCGCCCTCGGACGTGCTCGTGCGATTACATTTTTAATTCCAGTACGTGGTGTTTAGTCACAGAACTTGTCATCAACGGCATAGATAAAAGGTCGCATCAGAACAGGATATCTACCTAGCTAAAAAAAAATACCAGAAAAAACTTTAAAATACTTCCACATTTTTATGTGATTATAGTTTCAGGGAAACACGAATAATGAAATTCATGTCTCCGTCTATTTCCCGGCGCCTCTGCTAACTCGCTTCATCCAAATCGAACCTGTGACTTGGGAAGAAGGTATCTGTCTTCGCTTGGAGCTGCTTGGTTGTAGAGGTAAGATGTTTTTAACTGATATTTTTCTCCTTCCCTTTTTTTTCTTTTCGGATATTGGTGCATACTTCTAAAACATGTGCAATAGTCTTTGACAACGTAATTGTCGACGATACGGGGAGTATGTTTTGGCTGGCAACGTCTTGAAAGATAAAACTTAGTTTGCTAATCGACTGTACGGATTAGAAACACTTTGAAGTGAGGTCTCCCATCACAAAGTTACTTTATCATCCTCACTAGCTTCATAAGTGAGTGCATCAATATATAATAAAAAGTTTCACATATCTTTAAAAAAATCTGGCATATATAATTATTTCCATTCCAGTAGAGATTGCTCTGCTGTCTTTATCATTATGGCAAATCCGTGATGATGTAGGTAATATCTTCTCTGCCTGAAACACTACGTTTTTTTCCAGTGCTCAGCTTGACTTTTCCAAACCCTGTCCATCTGCATTCACTAATACCAAGACATCAATGTCGTATCCATCCATCTCTTGGCACGTTAAGCTGATTTCCTAATGGTGTATAGTGTTTTAACCTTCCAAAGGTATTTGGACCGTCGCCTCCCTAGACCCGCTTTCGAGTTTCACTTGCAGTTTCCACAACAGTTGATTGAACTGGGAGGGTTGTTGGCCCTCGGTCCGAAATACGTTTATTACTCGGGGTTTTCCTTCCCTCAGCCAGAGCCTCGTTGGCCTAATACCGCAAGATTATCTGACTGCTGGCGACTTCCAAGCTACACCCTCCGAATCAGTCCGCGATCTAGGTGTTATTTTCGACTGCCACCTTACTATGCGTCCACAGGTCAACGCTGTATGTCGAAAGGCATCCTTTGCTTTGAAGCGAATTGGCAAAATTCGCAGATCTCTCGATAAACGCTCCACCGAAATCCTGGTCCACGCCTTAGTTACATCTCTCCTGGACAACTGCAACTGCCTACTTACTGGCCTCCCAGACAAAGAAATTGACAAACTCCAACGCATCCAAAACTCAGCTGCCCGTCTGGTATCCCTTTCCAAGAAATGCAACCACATCACTCCAACCCTCAAATCCCTCCACTGGCTGCCCATCCGGCAGCGCATTCGCTACAAAACCCTTCTGCTTACTTTCAAGGCCCTAAACGGAACTGCTCCAAGCTACATTACTGAGCTGCTACAACCACACCATCCTCCCAGATCTCTCCGTTCATCTTCCCAGGGATTCCTCACAACAACTATACCAAGGACCAAATCATACGGCTCAAAGGCATTCTCACACGTCTCTCCCAAGTCGTGGAATGCCCTTCCATCCCCACTTCGAACAGCTCCAACCATAGACAACTTCAAATCTAACCTCAAATCCCATCTGTTTCAATTGGCCTACTCTCATTCACTGTAATTTTTGCTTACCTATGTTTGCTTTGTTAAGCGCATTGAGATTTCCCCCGGTTATGTTTTGCGCTATATAAGACTGTCTTATTATTATTATTATTAAGATGTAAGCTTCCAGGGTAGGCCTATACCGCTTAAGCCTATCGCTTTTCACCCCAATTGGGCTAGCCAGCCCCAAACCACTGGTTGTGCATGTGATGCATGCTGAGCGCGGCTGCATACTTATGTTCCCCAATACCTATGTTCCTAACCCCAACCCTAACCATCTAACCCTAACCATAACCCTATTCATGTACCCCTATCTAAGGATTTTGGGGCACATAAGTATTGGAGAACAGGTATTGGGGAACATCGGGTAGATCCCGCTGAGTGCATGCACGGACACCCCCTGTAACCCGTAGTCTTTATGGCTACTCCTCCAAATTAGATCATTTTGACTTATGACAAATGACAAATGAATGATGTTTGTAGATTTCCCGTGAATTCAAATATATTCCTTCTCTTTCTGATTTTTTCCCTGTCCAACAGTCTACTGATTGCGTGCCCAGGGAGCGCTGAGTGGCAATAATGTCCGTCAAAAAGAAGGGAACGAGGTGGATGACCTGACCCAAGTTTTAATGTCTAACAATAAATATATGGTCAGATACTTTGTAGTTTGCAGTTTTGAATTTTGTGGCAGTGTTGTAAAATTATGTGCGAAGTACTGTATCAATCAACCAATCAATCAACCAATCAATCAATCAAAAAGAAGTTTATAAAGCGCCCAAATCTCGTAGGCGCTGATGGGGCACCAAAATGCAGAATAATTATTGACGGTACGCCTCCTGAAACAGGTGAACTTTCAGGAGTGTGTAGAATGTATGCAGTGAGGTGGTGTCTCTAATGTATTGAGGAAGTTTGAATCCCTTTATTGCTTTAAATATCCTCTTTAGAATGTCATAACAATTTTAAGAAATGTTCAGATACTTTGTATTTTTGAATTATATTAAATATAATGTGCGAAGTGCAGTGGTGTATTGTTGTTTTAAATCCCACTTAGAATGTCATAACAATTTAAAGAAATTTTCATATTTTCAGATTTTGTAGTGTTGAATTTTGTGGCAGCAGTGTTGTAATATAGCGCGAAGTGCTGCATCGTTGTTTTGGATCCCAGTTTAGGCCAAAAAAAAAAATAAATACTCGGGCTCTGGTCAGCGCGCGCGTCGATTTTAATCATGCGCGTCAACCTTTTTCTTCTTCAAATTAACACGGAAGCTACAACAGTGCCCTCTATTGCCGCGCCTCCTCAAATTTTTGTACCAAGGAGCACCAAGGAATGGGGAAATTGCACCAAGGCAAATGATAAAGGGCACCAAGGCAAATTATGGAGGACACCAATGTATAATGAGGCCCCAAAAAGCAAAATAGTACCCACCTTGTCTGTACAATACAAGCTTGAAAAAAAGCCACAAAAAAAACCCCAATAAACGCGTCGCCGCATCCATTCCGGAACTTCGGTCTGACCAGAGACCGACTATTTTTTTTTTTTTGCCTTATTGTAATTAAATATCGTCTTTCAAATTGAAATTTGCATGTAAAATTTTCAAAAAAAAAATCATCTTTTCTTGGTATAGGTATTTAGGTATTTAAAATTATTTTCCAACAACAAGAGAGGACGCTTTTTAAAAAATCACTTTCGAGAGCCCCGTAGGCGATTATATATAGAGCAACTTAGAAGTGCAGTCGTTGTTATGAATGAGAAATGCATACAACCGCAAAATTGTGTGTAACAAATTAAATGTAGAACAAAATTAATGTACAAAGATGTTGGCTGCATATTCGCCTTTTTAAATGAGTTTGTTTTCTGCATTCAATAGGGGACGTTGAACAATAGAGGACAATAGGGTCCACAACTTTCGAATGTCCCCAATTTGGCGATACGTGGAAGGTTTTCCTAAAAAGTTTAAGTACAAAAAAAGGGACAATAGGGGTCCCCATTGCAGGAAAATATACACTTGACTGCAAGTGTGGCGTGTGTTGTCTCTATTGTCTATTCACTCGCCATCTTCAACTTGTTATGAATCTTAACAGCGAAAAAAATTAACCTAATTAATCTATTAACTCGGGGGAGGGGTGGGGGACAGACAAACTGGGGGAGGCAAGGAAACAACTGGGGGAAAGTACCCCCCCCCCCCCAGTGCACAAGGTTTCGTAACTTTCACTTTCGGCACTGCACTGGATTTTAGTATGAAGTCAGCATGTGGAATAGATGAGTATTTATCAAAACTGTTGCAAGGGCATGTCTGATACAGTGACGGTCAGTTATTTCACTGGTGCACAGTATATCTAATTACAATTTTGTGTGCAGCTTAATACTGGTTGCTCTGCTCCCTGGGCTTTAACCTGGTGTCGTGCTTGACTCTGCCTTCGCATTTAGACAGTTAGATACCTGTCAACATTGGGGATGGGGGCGTGGGGTGTATTAATTAATAATGGCTGTTGGACTTATGAAGCGTCGGACCCCGTGTGTTGGAGAAAACTGGCTTTTTTTTAAACTGCTTCTAATTTTTTATATTTAGTTACTCCGCATTTTCTTTGCAATTGATTACACACCTGTGAAGGGGTACAAGCCTGCTAGACTGATCCTCTACCTTACAATTCATCGACATCTATACATTGCTCCATTTCATCTTAAGTGGGGTCAGGGAACCAGACTACAAGAACATGGTTGGTTTTCTTGAATTTTACAGCATCTCCGAACCAAAAACGTGAAACAAGTCAGTTTAACAATATTTGCTATAACATTCTAATCCTCCAAATCACTTTTTTTCTGAAAATTGCAGCAAAAGCAAATGTTGTACATTCCCTTTAAATGTATTTTACATGCAATGCCAAAATGTATTTTAGCAATAAGTGTATTATTTAAAAAAGTATTTTCAGTAAGCTAATAAATCACACACACACACACATCTGTTTGTTTAAGTTACTCTTTGGAATTGTTTCAATTCTTTTATTATTGCAGTCCTTAAACATTTGAAATGACTCAAAAGTTGTGAGGTTATGGAATTTCTTGCTGATATAGAAACATGACTGAAAATAAACGACAACTTAATTCAAGCCCACCTCTGGAATATTCGACATGAAATTTGACATGAATCAAAAGTTGCGAGGTTGTGTAATTTCTTTCTGATAGGAAACATGACTGAAAATAAACTACTACTTAATTCATGCCCACCTCTGGAATATTCGACATGAAATTTGACATGACTCAAAAGTTGCGAGGTTGTTTAATTTCTTTCCGATAGAAAACATGACTGAAAATAATCGACAACTTATTTCAAGCCCACCTCTGGAATATTCGACATGAAATTTGAAATGACTCAAAAGTTGCGAGGTTGTGTAATTTCTTTCTGATAGCAAACATGACTGAAAATATACAACTTATTTCAAGCCCACCTCTGGAATATTCGACATGAAATTTGACATGACTCAAAAGTTGTGAGGTTGTGTAATTTCTTTCCGATACGGAAACAGGACTGAAAATAAACTACTACTTATTTCATGCCCACCTCTGGAATATTTGACAGGACTACACTTATCATTCGCTTAGTTGAGTGAAACAACAGAGTTACTCAAATTTGTAAGTGCACAGCTGAGTCTGGCAATTTTGTCCATAGTTGTCCAACCCTGACTATCTTTTGTTTCTAAGTAGTCAACGGGAATTTGCCCACCAAGAATCCCGTATTTCTTACGGACATTGCCAATACACCTCTGCACATGACTCCTAACATGGGCGATGTTACTTGTTACCTTTATTTCTGCAGGTGCAAGTTGCTTTTTGCCGCCAGTAAATGCCGGTGGTTTTACCTCGGCACACTGCATGCCCACACTTTCAGCAATGTCAAAACCACAGTCAGCAAGCACTAAATCACCTGGTTCTAACTTCATTAAAACTCCACAATCCTCAATGATATGTTTGTCCGATATTTTACCTCCCCATGCATTGGAAAGATAGGAGATTGCTCCCTGGGGGGTGATACCGATCAAATATTTGATAGTACTGTGATGCTTGTAGTTGCTACAAGTTTGTGCTCCAGCAGATAGATTTGGAGGCCGGTCGATGAAAATCTCAAAGCAGTCGATAATGACAGCCACACGCTTCCCAAAATGCTCTCGGAATTGCATTGGCATGGCTAAGCGGAGCTCTTCTCTCTCTGGCCACAGGATGAAATGGTTCAGTCTTGTAAAAAGAACATCTAAGGTTAATTTAAAAACCCTGGAAATTGTTGACTGAGCAACATCAAATCTGTATGCCAAATCACATTCTGACAAATTTAACTTGAGCCTCATAAGCACAATCATCATTTGTTGAAATTTGGACATAGCTGAGCGGTGGGTTACATCAATATTCGGGGATACAAGATTAAAAATAGCCACCACAATAGTGTATGTAGGTAGCCCAGTATAGTATCTGACTTGTTCATCATTCCCTGCTAAACTTGCTTGACTCACAGACCTTGTTAGCTCAGCCTGGTCACGTAGTCGAGAAATGTGTTCATCTTGGTTCACAATATGGCTAACTTGTCCAGTTAGATGAGTTTGTGACATCACATCTTGGAAGTTGGGTCTCGCGTTTCCAGTATCGTGGTGGGGTTCATTTACTTCATTGGGTTGGTTTCTTAAAATCTGCAGTAAATGCCGTACTGTTTTTACTGGTTGGCTGCACTTCCTCTTCTGTGCTACATCGTCAGCATTAATCTCGTGTGGGACTATTCCTCGCTTCTTTGCTCTCCCGTATCGCAATCTAAGTCCATCGTCAGCACCCAGACACAGGGTTGGAACCCAGTCAACGCTGGATGTTTCCCAATTCCCAGCACTTTTGCCTGCGTCGCAAAAGGAAAAAGAAAATGAAAATAGTAAATATTCATTAAATACAGTACCGGTACTTGAACTGCTGTACCCAACTGTTTTGATAAAATGGGGCCAAAAAAAGGGTGGGCTTCAGGACTGTGCTTCACTTGATTTTCACCATGGAAGATATTTACCTGTTGAAAAACCAAGATTTAAATCTGTTTCTGTAAGCGTTCAGTTATCCTGTGATTTCTGAAAGTGAGTTTGTCCAAAAAAGATTGCAAAATTTTCAGCAATTTTCTCTGGGTCGCAGGTCATGTACACTTGACCTTTTGAATTTTATTTTCCCTGGTTATTTACCAGGTGACCGGTACAAGTTCCATGGTGAATTTCAATTGAAAAAAAAAAGGCCCAATTTTAATTTTTGTCAAAATCAACTTTTCCGCAAAGTTTGCACACTGTTGAGTGGCTCTATAATAATGGAGAAAGACAAGTATTTGAGCCACAATTAATGGGGACAGACATAGGCAAAATTACAAATATTTCTGGGTCCCATTCCCAAATTCATTTTTTCCCCAACAATTTTTCACGGACTGACCATTGAGATAAAAAAATATGAAGAAGTGGCATAAGGGGTGAATCGCTAAAGGAATGCAACTTTCTTTCCTGGTTTGTTTTTTTACGTTAGCGCTAACTTTAGCTCTAATGCAGTGGTTATTTGACTGTGATTAAGACATGAGATTAATTTTAGCTATATGCCCGGAGCTACAATGAACATGCGCAGTGAGTTTTTTTTTTTCGGGAACATATTCTGGTAAGAGTGTAGTTTAGTACTAGTCCGAAAATTTGGGATTCTCAATGCTGTGTATGAGAGTCCCAAAACTTGAGGTACTGAAAACATGCAATATGAGAAAAGAGACTGACATCTGAAACAACCAGTCCAACAACTCTTCAGCACTGCATCAATCAACTGTCAGCTGACTGTGCCAACAGAAATATCTACGATGACGGGTACTAGGTCGCTATTTCTACACATTTCTCCATAGTCGGGCACCAGACTAATGACAACGAAGGAAGAAGTCAGTCTTGTCAAACAGTTGGACCATGGATGGACATGTACAAGTCTAGTCTTTAGCCTCATGTTAATATCACTTGACTTCTCTCTCCCCTGCAAGCCACTGCCAAATATTGAAGAAAAGTCCCCTTTAAAAATTGACTTGAGTCTCCAAACTTGGTTGGTGAAATACTAAGAACCTTTTCTTTGCCCATGGAAAGTTTTGGAGAAATTTGCTGGCTAAAGAGTGAGTAAAGTTGGCCTGATCTTCTTTTGCATCGTTTTGACTAGCACTTAAGGTCCCAGTCTGCTTTAGTACACTCTTATTTCCACTAGTTCAACAAACAATGCACCATGCGAAAAGGCAAGAAAATGTGACTTGTCACCTAGTTGTTTTAGCAAGTTGCAGTACAGTAATTTCATTCTCCTATGGGCTCCGTGCACAAATACTCCTTCAATGGCCAGAAAAGGAGAGTTGGGGGAGACCTAGACTGGTTCCTGGTCCATCCACTGCGTATTTCGAATGGGAAAGAATGTTGCAACCTGACGTTCTCACTAAATGCTTCAATATATTTCCTGCTAAACTGCAATTTTTAAGACCGCTTTCTGATGGCTGTTATTAAGTCATTGAAAGAAAAAACTTGTGGCGTACGTATATGGAATTTCTTTCCTTTATTTCCCTTTAATTATTTTAAAGAAAACTGCTTCAGAGTCTGAGCAATGACTCAGAAGAATAAAAATGAAATAATCTGCAAGAGGGCGCTAGCTAACAGAAAAATCAAGAGAGACCATGATTTATTATGAATCAGCTAAATAAACACTTCATACTGCGGAATCGTAGCTCCAAAAAGAATCCCCCTCCACACGTTCTTATTCCTCCATCATGTCCATGTTCCACCAAAATAACTGTCAGTGTCAAGCGCAATTTGAGTCAAGCGCAATTTGAGTCCCCCGTGCAATTTTAACCTGTGCACGCAAGTTTTCACTTGCGCGGGGGACTCAAATCAAATTGGGCTCAACACAACTTAACCACAAGTCCACGACCTTGACAACCACTGAGCCAGCAATATCTTAATTGTCTTCCCCCTATCGGTGTAGAAATAGAATTCACCTTCTGCATTATATAAAGACAGTGGATATTTTGCCGAAGGTAATGACGGCAAACTAACGTTTACTAAAGGTTTGGCCGGCGGCAATCCATATCAACAGAGGGCGCTGTAATCTTTAAGATAGGGCTGAATTAATATAAGATGTATTAAATTCTCATCAAAAGTTGAGTTTGGTGTAGTGGTTAAACAAAGGCTTTGGTGAGTGGGATGACTCGGGTTCGATCCTGATCCCTGCCAAATTTTAAAGGTTTTTTTTCCCATCCCCAAATAAATAAGAATATTCTTCTTTTATCATGTTTATTATTTTAACATGTCTCAAACATTTTATTGCAGAGTAGGCTAGTATTACATTTTCTTTTTCATATTTGTGGCTCTGGAGGATTTTTTTTAAAAGGGAAATAAAGTCCTAAATTATAAAATGGTCTGAATCCCAATTCCCATCTTGTGAATACGACTGAGATAATCTTGGCATAGCCATAGCCTAGTCCGAGTAACTTGGACCCAACTTATCACCTTTTTTAACATTTGGACATGGTCTGGCGATAGTAAGGTCCAAGCTAACACCGCGACCTAGACAACACAGTCCCAAAAACCAACATTTTCCAACAAAAAACATAAGATTTCACCTTCAAAACGGCCTCCAAATTACTAGATATGCCACCTGAGGTACAAGTAGACAGCGATAATTAAGATGGTTGTACTGAAGTTTACTTACGATCCGGAAAAAAGTGAAATTTTCCGTTCATTTCGGAGAGCTCCCCTCGCGATCTTGAACACATTAAATTTCCGATCGTGTTTAATGTTTGAACGACGCGATTTCTTCTACATGCCCAGCGTACATTCGATGGTCCCCGTATCCCGAGTGCGATTCCGTCACCGAGCGCGCGCGATGCATCGATTATGATAATGAGTAGACTGGATCACGTTTGTAAACACATGTGCATTTCAAACGGTAATGGAGTTGGGAACTAGTGCAGCTTTTATGGCGGGTACCAGTTCAAGCTGGTTCCCGATTCCCTTTTACAGTTCGAAATGCACATGTATGTCATGTATGTGTTTACAAACGTGACTCATTATCATAATGTGTAATGGTTATTCCAGGCAAGTTTGGGGTGAGTTGCAGTTGCAATTAGTGTGTAACGGGGACAAAATTGAACATTTTCCAAATTTTTTTTGCAAATAGGCCTACTACAAGTTTTGAGAAAAATGCGCTCCAGCCCTAGATGACAACCCATACTCCTAGAACTATGAGGCTCCACGTAGTGGAGCCTCATAGGTTCAGAACCCCGCAAAATTGTTGTCGGCACAAAACACTAATTAAGTACAAAAACGTCCATCCCAACCAAGCCGTTTCCCACAGAACCGCTGCACAGTTTGCCCCTAAACTCCGTACAATACCTCATGACATTCTCACGTTATGTGCACCCAACAAACATTGGTGGATTCTGTCGGTTTTTCGGCAAAATGATGGAAAATATGCCCTTTCCGCACTGAGCCAACCTGACACTTGAAATTTGCACGCGCGCAAAATGATCGCAGTCATATTCGGGTTCGATAGCTAGCTAGCTCGGAGCGCGCCGCGGGGGGTACGTACTCGCACTTGTACGCATGCGCATACTATCGTTCCGCTCCTACACCATACCCCCCGCGGCGCGCTCCGAGCGATCGGACCGAAAATGACTGCGATCATTCTGCGCGTGTGCAAATTTCAAGTGTCAGGTTGGCTCAGTGCGGAAAGGGCATATTTTCCATCATTTCTGCAAAAAAAACGACAGAATCCACCGATGTTTGTTGGGTGCACATAGCGTTAGTATGTCATGAGGTATTGTACGGAGTTTAGGGGCAAACTGTGCAGCGGTTCTGTGGGAAACGGCTTGGTTGGGATGGACGTTTTTGTACTGAATTAGTGTTTTGTGCTGACAACAATTTTGCGGGGTTCTGAACCTATGAGGCTCCACTACGTGGAGCCTGATAGTTCTAGGAGTAGACAACCCAATGATAAAACTCAGGGCTGGGTAACTCCAGCTATCGCCAGACCATGTCCAAATGTTAAAAAAGGCGATAAGTTAGGTCCAAGTTACTCGGACTAGCCATAGCCATGGAGCCAGACTAAAATTTGTCACCGGCATGATCTGACCGGAAAAAAACAAAAAAACATTAACTGCGCAATTCAGTGCATATCCGGCAAACTAACGTTTACTAAAGGTTTGCCGTCTCCGGCAAAATATCCACTGCCTTATAGTTAGGCCCCTATATAAATGTAGGCCCTATTGATCCTTACCACTGACAAAATGGCGAGAACAGACACTGGCGCTCTCGCCAAAGTCTTTGACAGGCCCGCCGATGGCTGCAATCCACAATCGCCGACGTTTTTCCGTGAGCTCTCTCTCGTGGTCACCACGATGCAGTTTGATTTGAGGGATACGACAAAACCTGACCCCATCACTATGTCTACGTGATCCACAACCATAAACTGCACAAACGGCAGGCATTATTCTGTTTAACTACTACTACTACAAAAGTACTACCAACATGGTGGGACGGGAAAACCAGAATAACCGTCGTGATGTGTTTGCGCGCGCGCTATGGCTCGGGTGACCGTAAGCTCATTGCGAAATTCTGCTAAATGCACATCAAAATCTGTCAGATTTATCAAAAATCTGCCAAATTCCCCAGCATTGCTCGAAATACACACATACAGAGTTGTAGTACTGCCTTAATTTGGGTCCAAATTACATTATAAATAATCTGTAGTCACATGATGTATTGAAATTATTGCATAAATTTGAAATTTCAGGCAAAACGCAGTTGCGTCACAGCGAAGTCCGGTTCCCAGTGAAACTCAGCACCTACAGTGTGTAAACCAGCCAACCTAGTCCCATTATGCAAGGGTTTGTTTGAAAAGACTGAAGCTTTATTAACAAAAAATGTTCCATTTAATTTGTTTTTCAAATTTGCTATGGTTTTCTCTCAAATAACCATTTGTGCAGAATTCTGCCGGATATCTGCCCAAAAAAAATCCATTCTGTCAAATATTCTGTCAAACTCGTTTTTTATAAAACAAAAAATCTGTCAAAGTTAGCCTAAAATCGGCTAAAACGGTCACCCTGGCGATGACCTACAAGATGGCTGCCCTTGCGCGAGCCCTCTCGCGGTTTCAAGGCCGTGTCCGAAACGGGCTTCCAGAGCTACGGCTACGTCTATTGTCAGCATGTCCCCGCGTATTTTCAATGGGCACAGACCAAGACCCTAGCTCTAGACAACTGATTCGGATGCAGCCATACCATTGATCTCCATGTTGTGCCCATTCTTGAAAATCACGCATTCTCGAGAATGGGCGCGCATTCTTAAGAATGAGCGCCCATTCTTAAGAACGAGCACGCGTTCTTAAGAATGAGCGCTCATTCTTAAGATTGGGTGGGAATATCACGTGCACAATTTATGAATTTTGCCCAATCTTAACAAACATTGCACGACATAATTATGTTAAATGAATTGTATAGCGGTTAAAAGGGAAACAATTCATATAAAGAGGAAAAAAAATGTTCTTTGCTTTTGTACTCGTATAACTACGATAATTTGAATCAGATTAAACCTGTTATTATTGCTTTTTTCTTCCCACTATGGGAAGTTTTGTAATAACGGAGGACTGGGAACTAGTCTGGGAAGTGCTTTGTTTAGGCTAGACAAGTTACAAGTCCCTGCATGTATCATATGCGTGCCACAAAAAAACCCCCGATGTCCAGAAGCTGCCAAAATTGCTCTTTTGACTAGATAGAATCCAGCTTTGCGGCGTAATGGTGGGGTGTGAACAATAAATTGGTGGTAATTTAAATGGGAAATAGCATTAGCACTATGGGATGTCGCAGTATTCATTCTCATTCTTCACATTCTTCATTCTTACGTTCCCCCCCCCCCACTTTTATTATCCCAAAACTCAGAATTCTTTGCACTAGTATTATTATGTCTCTTATTTTTTCCCGGTCCCCCCCCCATATCAATACGCACGTTACTTATCATATCCACTCTACTTTTCAGCGCCTTGCGTTGCAAAAGTATAATTATTGAGAATCAGTGAACGAGGATTCAGCTAGACTTGCCAAGCGCAGCCGGTGCTCGGCATCGACAAGACCGTTATCTTGTCGCGCATTCTCAAGAATGTGCGCTCAATCTGGAAGAGTTATTTTTTGCCAAGATTGAGCAAGGATCCAGTTGCACATTCTCAAGAATGTGCCTGCCCATTCTCGAGAATGCGTCACGGTGATTTTCAAGAATGGGCACAACATACATACCATACGTACGTACACGCAAACTGCATTTTTGCCAACCACGGCCTGCAAACTATGAAAGGTCCAACGTTGCAAAATCAAAAATGAAGAAGAGTTGTTACAGATCACCAAAATATTATTAAATAATTTTGATACTTGAAAATACATTTTCAACAAAGCTACAAAATAATTTCTACATATGCCTTTTTACTATTGTGTTGATGGCGTTATGAGGACTTTTTGTGGAAAAATATGTTGCCAACCACGGCTTCAATTTATGCGCTTACGGTAGCAGACCAGTAAATAAACTTCCATAGACCCCAATGGTAAATGCTCCCACTTCAAAAATTCGGGAAAAATACTCACAACTCTCCAAGGTGTTCGAGACGCACATCAAATTAAAGCTTATTTCATCATCTTTCATTTTCTTTTCAATTTTTGGGGGGTCAACTGATGACTTTTAGGAGAAATTTCCATCTGAAGATGATCACCCCTGAAAATAGTCCTGAAGCCCATCGCCATTTTGAAAAACGATGCCTACACTCCATTGCAAAATAGAGCGCTTTTAGGGTCCAAATTACATCAAAATGACACAAAACTGCAAGCTCCCAGTCCTGTGCACGGCTTCCACCCATATTTTTTTACAAACCCTCAAGTTCATGGGCCACAGCATGCCCAAATACCGAAGATTTTGAGGGCATACAAATCGTGATTTGGCCGGCGCAGGCAATTTCGGACCGATTTACTGGTCTGCACCCTATACGGCAGCCCATACAAAATTTCGCCAATGTTTACAAACAAAAGAAAGGTCTATATGGAGATCAAACGTTTCCATTCGCTCGTACCCCCCCCCCCCCCCCGCCCTGCAAACAGGACGCTGGGATACTCTGATGAATTCACGCTCTGATTGGTTGGATTTTGCGTGACCGGTGATCTGCGCGTCATCAAGGTCATGACTCTGTAAGGTTTGAAACGGCCGTTAAGTCTAATTCATCTTTTATTCCAGTTTAGAGATATTTTTTCTCGTTGAAAAAAGCGTAATAATGTAGGAAATTCTGTAAAACTTATCTGTGTTGTAAATTTACAATTCCCGTTACTCGTCTTGATGACGTCCGGATTTACCAAGGTGTGATTGGACACATATTAGCCCCGCCTACATACACTTATCTGTATTCGCATACGAGGTCGTGCGCTAGAAATCCAGCGCAAAATAAAGAAAAATATAAGCTTTTGCCGACGATTGAACCAAGGCGCGATATTGGGTCCAACTAATTTGCATAGAAATAGTGGCCGCATGAGGTCGCTGTTCGCGCTGTATTTTTAATGCACTGCATAATGCATGGCCCTAGCGAGGATATCGTTTACGCGCCAAGGCCGGGATGAATAACATTTAGCGCCTTGACGTATGACCAAGGTAGTACGGAAGCTTGAATTGCCTTCCGCGATACCGCGTTACCGCGATAATTTATCACAGAAATCCAGAAATCAGAGATACGTATTCCTCGATACCGCGTTACCGTGATAATTTATCACAGAAATCCAGAAATCAGAGATAATTCCTTCCGCGATACCGCGTTACTGTGATAATTTATCACAGAAATCCAGAAATCAAAGATAAATCATTCAACGATACCGCGTTACTGCGATAATTTATCACAGAAATCCAGAAATCAGAGATACGTATTCCTCGATACCGCGTTACCGTGATAATTTATCACAGAAATCCAGAAATCAGAGATAATTCCTTCCGCGATACCGCGTTACTGTGATAATTTATCACAGAAATCCAGAAATCAGAGATAATTCCTTCCGCGATACCGCGTTACTGTGATAATTTATCACAGAAATCCAGAAATCAGAGATAATTCCTTCCGCGATACCGCGTTACTGTGATAATTTATCACAGAAATCCAGAAATCAAAGATACCTATTCCGCGATACCGCGTTACCATGATAATTTATCACAGAAATCCTGAATTCAGAGATAATTCCTTCCGCGATACCGCGTTACTGCGATAAATTATCGCATTTCTGGATTTCTGTGATAAATTATCACAGTAACGCGGTATCGCGGAAGGAATTATCTCTGATTTCTGTGATAAATTATCACAGTAACGCGGTATCGCGGAAGGAATTATCTCTGATTTCTGGATTTCTGTGATAAATTATCGCAGTAACGCGGTATCGTTGAATGATTTATCTTTGATTTCTGGATTTCTGTGATAAATTATCACAGTAACGCGGTATCGCGGAAGAAATTATCTCTGATTTCTGGATTTCTGTGATAAATTATCACAGTAACGCGGTATCGTTGAATGATTTATCTTTGATTTCACGATTTCTGTGATAAATTATCGCAGTAACGCGGTATCGTGGAAGGAATTATCTCTGATTTCCTGATTTCTGCGATAAATTATCGCGGTAACGCGGTATCTCGGAAGGCAATTCAAGCTTCCGTACCAAGGCTAACCGAAAACGTTCGTTTATTTAGATCCACTGCGCATGTCTGTCATTACGCGAGGAGCCAGGCGCGAGTAAGCTGGGGAAGTAATCGAACGCATTTAAATTGTAGGTCAGTCAGCCTCCGTGGCTAAAAATAAACATGACGACATTGATGGCCCTTTTTCAAAGCTCGGCTTCGTTTCCGATTTCGCTTTATCACTTATAGCTTTTAATGTTCTTATCAAATATTTAAATTCGTAATATCTTAGAGTTAAAACTAATGTTGATCTGGAATCTCAAAATTGGCACCCAGATAGCACTGTTAGCAGGCAGAGCCGAATGAAGACCGAGTTTTGGAAAATCTCAGTAACGGTCGTCAAATTCAAAACAATACATGACGCTGCAAAAAGTTCGCCCGTACGATCCGAGCTTACTCGATGCACAAAATCGGCGTTGAATTTCAAGTTTTCTAAATGAAAGCAAAGAATATTTATTATCAACTCATTTTAAAATTTTTTAAAAAGAATTAGCAGTTAATTAAACCTATATTATACTCGGAAATACTCGGGTGATATCAGATTGTCGACGAAATGAATTCGGGAAACTTCGGATATTTTCGGAAAAAGGAGGAATTCCTCCCGGTTTAGTCACGTGATGTAAATTGTAATTCAATGTATTACCGCTCCAAATTATAGCTCCATGCCGGAGGCTACCGGACCTAAGATTCATCAGGAATAGTCAGAATATTTTGGTCAGGGAACCAGACTATTCTAGGCATTGATCTCCATAAAGTAAGGCCAAAAAAGTCTCCGGTTTCTGGTATGGAGCTTGCCCAAAAAAGTGGTTGGGCGACGCGGCTTTTTTTTTTTAAACGTTTTTTTTCTTCAAATG